CTAGTTGGGGTGGTACTTTGGTTGGCATTAGTTTGAGCTTTTTTGGTTGGTTGAGCAGGTTGACCCTTTGTGGTTGGTTGCTGCTTTGTAGCTGTTGTAGTTGCTGTTGCTGTTGTTGTTGTTGTAGCTTGTTGTTTAGCATTCTTATTACTTGTTGTTGTTGGTGTTGTAGCTGCAACTGTTGGTGTTGTTACTTGTTGCTTATTTGAATCACTAATAGAAACTGTTAAATTGTGACCTTGTGGAGCATTCTTATTTTGTTGAGCAATATCAATATATGAAACAGCAGGCTTTTTGATAGTGGTAGATGTTGGAGTCGTAGAACCTGATGCTGTTGTTGCTGTTGTAGTAGTAGTAGCAGCTTGTTTTGTTGTTGTTGCTGTTGTGGAAGTATTGGTTGGAGTTGGTTGTTGTGGTTGAAGAGGAGTTTTTGGAGACTTAACTAAATCACTATAAGATGGTTTAGTTGTTGTTGGAGTGGTAGTGTTTGGAGTAACTTGACCACTTGGTTGTTGGGTGGTGGATGGTTGGTTAGGAGAGGTAGAAATAGCTGGAGGTGCTTGTTTGGTAATTTTCTTGTCTTTTGATACAACAGCTGTAACTGTGAGATTACTTCCTGAAGGTTTCGTTATCGATGGATTCACATTAACAACAGGTGTTGTATTAGGAGGAGATTTCTTCTTCTTATCATCATCTTTTGAAGATGTTGATATTGGAGAACTTAAATCTTCATCATCGTCAACATTACTTGAACCATCATCATCATCCGAATCCAAGTCTTCATCAAACCCTTCATCAGAATCTTCATCATCATATTCATCAGAATTTTTAATACTATCCTTGACTTCATCAACATCCACGAGTTCCTCCTTTGGTGCTGATTCTTCCCATTCCTTATGTTTTTTGAATATTGTTTCAAATGAATCATCATCTTCCACAAATTCAGCTTCTTCATTTTCATCTACATAGTATTCTACATATTCCTTAAGTTCTTCCAAATCTTGAGGTGTAATACCTTCATCATTATCCAAAAACTCGTAAACTTGGTTTAACTTATCAATATATTCCTCATGTTTTCTTTGACGTGATCGATGCGATTCAATCATATCTCCATCCTTCTTCTTTTCCTTTTCTTCTTCTTCTTCAATTTTTTCTTCAATTGAATCAACAGCGTTCGTCAGTGTTTCTATCATATCCTTCAGCCATTTCTTAGCTTGCTTCTTCTCTTTCGAGTCAGGAATAATATTTTGTTTGTTCCTACTTCGTTTTTCGACTTGACTTTTACTCAGGGCTTCTTTAGAATAGGCCTTCATCTTGGTTTTCTGCTCGCATTTCTTGAACCTTTCCATTCTTGTTTCAATCTGTTGCCTCTTTTCCACCAGTAATTCCTTGTCTTTAATTTCATTACCAGATATCCAGCCACGTATTGTTTCTCTCAGACGTTGTAGTTTTTTAATTTCCTTTTTCAATTCTCCTTCAAATTTATCCCTTTGCGAAGAACTTTGGGCACTATATACTTTTTCTTCCAATTCATCAAAGTTTTCAATACCTTCATTCACTTTTTTTACGGTCCTATCGACCTCAGCCATAAGCTTTCTGTTCGCCATTTAAAATATTTTTTTTAAATTTTAATTTCTAAGAATGACAATATTTTTGCGATCAAATTGCTAATACAACAAGCAAGAGATCATCAATATTTTAAAGAGCTGAAAGGTTTGTTTATTAGCAGCCTTTCCAGTTTGTTTACTCGTTATTGACCAATGGAAAATACACTACCAATTTATTGATCAACAACATATTTTAAATTGCAATAAAGAGAAAAACAGACCCAATCATTAATTAACTAAAAATAACATTAATCAAATGGAAATACATCTCCCTTTCCTGACATATGTGACAAAATTTATTATTAATAATGTTTCATCAATCACAAACCTTAAGGGAGAACGTTTGATATCTTTTCACTGCATTCAACGTGTGTTTCTCTTTTTTGGCGGGTTAAGTTGTTTAGCGCTTCTTTTTCTTTAAAGAAGAGCGCACTCACAACACAACAAAACAAAAAGAATAGAAGAAAAAAATTCTCTCTCATAAAACTCGACTTTGCAATTCTTGGTTTGATCTCTCTGTTCTCTTGTGGAGCAACCTTTCGAAACAATAGTTTCTCTTTAATATAGTTAACAGTTTCGAACGAAAGGAGAGAGTAGCATCATCTTTTTTTTAATTTTATTATTTATCACACATCATCATGAATATTCCCTACTCAAACAAGAAGCATTTCAACAATTCTTATCATCATCCCCAACAACAGGATGAAAATTTACTCGGTATGAGTTATCAAACAACAAGCGTTCATCCTATGAATTTTAATAATTCATTTAAACAATTCAAGAATGAACAACAATATGGCACCCCTGTATCGGACAGTGGTTCAAATTTTGCTTCCAGTTACTCTAGTAATACTTCTAGCAGTTTTTCATCTGCATCCTCATTGGCATTGAGCAATCTCGGTTCATCATTCAGTTCTGCTCACTCTACAAGTACAATGGGAAGCCCTCCTAACTTTTACTATGGTTCTTCTCCTAATCCACATCCTATTAATGGCAGTTTAAATACTTCCCACACAAAACCTAACATTTTTACTCCTACCATTACTAGTTCTAATACTAATAATGATAATAACCAAACCATTAATACCTTTAGCACTCCTAAAAGTGGTGCAACTCAAACCAGACCAATAGTTCATTCTAGACCAATGAGTTGGGATGATGTTGGTGAATATGCAAGACAATCTTATTCAACAAGTTGTAACAGTGGAGGATTATTTGTGAATGAGTTATCCTCATCCATGGATGATTTAACACTTGCTTCTTCACCTGGTTTATTTGGAGGTAGCCAATTTGGTTCTTCACTTTCGACTTCTTCCTACGCAAATTCATTTAATGAATCAAAGATTGACAATATGACCTCATCCAATCCTATTGATAACATGTTTGTTCGTTCTGTTGTTGATAAAGTTTTATCTGATGAGAATAATCAGGATGATCAATTCCATTCCAATAGCCTTACCACATTCAAACCAAGACCAACAAACCAATTTCATCAAAGAGCTACCAGTGTGGATCGTTATCTTCATCCTCAACAAGCTTTCAAAAATACTGCAACACCAGTTAATAGAAGAACTCTTTCACAATCATGTCCTACTGGAATGGCTCAAATGAATGGTGTTGGTTACCAATTATTTCAACAACAACAAACTTTATCTCCTAACACTACTCAACAGGATGATTCTGCACAACTTTGCAGATTTTATTACTCACCTGAAGGTTGTCAAGTTGAAAATTGTCCGTTTGTTCATTCGAATACTACTTTAATTGTTCCACAAACACACAATTCTCACACAAGAGTTCAACAACAACAACAGCCACAGGTTAAATCCAAATCTTCCTTTACTGTTATTAATTTTGGAAGCAGTATTCCACATTCTCCTTCCCTACCACAACAAAACCCTTCCTCAAATGGTGCACTTCCTATGGCCAGTGATAATTCATGTGCCACAAACACTCCAAACAGTAACAATTCCAATCAAACGGTTCAACAAGTATGCCAATTTTTCAAAAAAGGTGAATGTAAGTTTGGTGACAAGTGCAGAAACATTCACTTGAAAAACAAGTCGAAAATTGATGAACAAAGTCGTAAGAAATTGAAGAGTATTAGATGCAGATTTGGAGTTAATTGCCCATTCGGTCATGAATGTTACTACTATCACACAGAAGCTGATTTTGAGGACACTCCTTCAAACAATGGAAATAATACTGATTAAAATATCAATGTAAATAATAGCCAACTTGTAATGTAAATAAATACAAATGAATCCCAATTCTTTTCAAATTCTCAAATTTATAAAGAAAATAAAGCTAATGTAATTATTGTAATCCATCTACTGTTAACTTCCAATAAGATCAACTATAACAATTACAAACAGTATTCCTTTTGTATAATTTGTTGGTTTGAATATTTTGTAAACTTTTATTTTGGGTTGTTTAAGTTCCAAAAACAAGTTCTAGATATGGTGTTTTTAGCAAATTACCAAAACATTATTATGTACCGAAAAAGCCAAAAAAGTAACCTCAATTCAGCAAACAATATTGGTAAATCAACCGACCAGAGTTGAGGAATTTAATTCTCTAAATTCATTTAAATCCCAATCCAGATTCTAATCCATCATTCCTCAGTTTAAAACATCTGTTGATGCTTCTCTCTGTTCAAGTAAATAGGTTACGTTCTAATTGAAATCTTCATTTCAGAATTATTGAATTTGAATATTTGTAATTGAAACTGAATATTTTATACAACCCATTCAACTTTTATTGTAAATCGCAACTTTCTTTCATTATTGGGTAACCCTTACGCTTCTTTTTCAATTTAACGAATAATTGCGACAGTTTCGGCAATGGTGTTGAGGACTATTAACTTCCGGTAGGATAATTTTTTCAAAGCACCCGAATAGCTTTTTTGAGGTCAACCTTCCTCTCTCATTCCGTGGTACTAAATAAAGAGAGAGGTTGTGTAATAAAGCAACGATTCTTAATATTAACCTGTGATTCTTTAAAATGAATGAGTTCTTGAGGATTTAATACAACAAACAATTTATTAAGAGAACAGTAGTGAAGAGGTTCAATTATTCAACAGAAACTTTAACTGAGGAACAAAATATGTACTTTTTTGTAGTGTAAGAAAAAAGATCAAATTTATCAAGCTCGTGCTCTTTTTATTGCTAGAGATGATTCTGGGGCAATTTTTCATTCAAACGCTTTTTGTCTCCTTTCAGGTTGATCCTCTCTTAAAAATAGCAGTCACAAATTCTTGAAAGTATTTTTCGCACCTTGCCAACGGTATCACAGATGATGGTGATGCTTTTTGTGCTCATATTCTCCCATTTTGTCAAAATGTTCGATTCTCTGGGTTTTTTTGTTGGCTATTTCTTCTCTCAATCAAATCTCCATCATCATCCAATATAAAAGAAATAGCACAACATCTAACGCTGCTACAAATAATAAGCGAATATACAAGACGACAATTTATACTGCTATTTTTATTGCATTTCTAATAGTCCTCCTCATACATTTTCAAATCCTAACTTGTTGTACATAAAGATGAATCAATCATCAGCCCAACCTTCTATTCAAACAGCAACTCCTAACAATACAACAACAACTCCTCACTGTAGAGTAGTTAATCATCAACCAACAACTCAACATTCCCACCTCCATTCACATCAACAAGAACAACAACGCTTATTCCGAGTACCAATGGATAGACTCTTTTCAATTCCATTACAGTCATTGGTTCATAAACCTCATCTTTATCAATTCATTGTTGAATTGAGATCCAGATATGTCCAACATTTATTAAGAACTGTTTCAAGTGACCCATTGCAAGATCTTAAAAGACAAGATAATGAGGTATTTTGCTCTCATGTTTCAGATATTGTAAAGGAAACTGAAAAATTAATTGAAGATATGAATAGTGAAGAATATCTTGCCAATGAAAATGGTGACAATAATTACTATACAACTCTTGGGAGAATTCAAATGATCAAGTCACATATGAAGATTTCTCAATGTTTAGCTCCTCAAACAACTGAAGAAACAACTAGCTTTAATCCATATGAAGTTATTGAACCACAACACTTTCAAGAAATACCAGAAGATGAAGAAGAAGATGATGATGACTCGGTTTCTGACATGTCAGATGATGAAGAAACTAATCAATCACTCTCTCTAGAAGAAGATTTCCATTCCATCCTACAAAATTCTCATTCCAACCACTCTCTCCAAATATTTGAAAACAATCAACCAAACGTCACTCTTAAAATTGATAACTCTCCCCAAACTAGTTCAAATCCAACTCACCAACCATCAACATTTGAGATTCAAAAATCAGAAGAGATTTCTAGACAAATTCAAAACTCTGAACCTATTAAGAATGGATCATTGTGTTTTAATCAACATCATCATATTGTTGTTGGTAAATATGATAGAGATTTATTGATTAAGGAAAATAGACTGAAATGTTGTGCAATGAAAAAGAGTACAATAACAATTTTTGCCGAGAAGAGAAACTCTAGAAATGGAAAAGTAATGAAGAGAGAACAGAAAGCAAAATCATTACTTAGATTTTATAGAATTAACGTTGATTTTAACTATTTGGTTAACTCTTTCATTGAAAAGCAAGCACTTCAAATGCACCAACACTAGTCTTCTAACATTATCATTCTTCCAATCCCCAACCAATTGTAAATAATATATCTTTTAAATTCCTTCCCAATCTGAGTAAACCGCCACAATTTTGAATAATAAATACAACAAGTATTTTACTTATCAACCAAATTGTATTATTTTGAACTTGAAAGTGTTACTGTTAGTAGACATCATAATATCTCAATAATCTCAATAACAATCAAACAACTCAATGATTTAGAGTAGACAGCGTGTAGGTATATTTTGCATTCATCAACAGGGTGGTTAGCTCAGCGGTAGAGCACCGGATTGCAATGTTATTTGCAGCAGACATCCGATGGTCACGTGTTCGATCCACGTACCACCCTTCCTTTTACTTATTATTTTATCGTCAAATGAACCTGATTCTCTCTGCTGCCGCCAAAATTACAGTCAAACGAGATATGACAATTCAAAAAAAAACACATCCACCTCAATCCTTTTTTTGCCCCAAACAACCATCCATTTCATACCACTGAGGATAACAAACCAACCCAATAACAGCAGCAGCAATTTCTTTCACGACAACAACAAATCATCAATCTTTCCTCGTCTAAAATCAACAAGTAAATCATCACAACAAAAAAATGAGCACAACCGATCTATCTGGTCTGCCTCCATCTGCAGTTGCGATCACAACTTCATATTCGTACAAAGTCGATTTGTGGGATAAATTCACAGAATTGGCAGAGAAATTGGTGGTGAGCAAAGCTGATGTAAAACAATTCCAAAGTTTAATTAAAGAGACAGCTAGTCTCTATGAAACAATCGGTAAAAAGTTGTCTAAAACAAAACTCACTACCGAAAAGAATTCATTGTATGTAATTCTCTAAAATTCAATTTGATTTTGAATTTTAACCATCACAATAATCACATAAACAACAGTGAAACTGGGGAACCTTTTGATAGAATGGCAACCGGTTTGCAAACTATTGGTAATCAATATCTTGATTCATCAAGAGATTTATCTGAAAATTTATTCAAGGAAATTACAGCTTTAAGAAAGGAACTTTCTAAATCAATTAAAGCTGCAATCAAGGAGGAGAAAAAGTTGAGATCGGACCTAAACAATACTAGACATGATGCTCAACAAGCCAAACAAAAAGACCAAGAAGAAAAGAAACACTTGGAAGAATTGCAACTCACTCTTTATAGTGACAATGCAATGCCACCAAAAAAGTTGGAAAAATTAAATAAGGAAGTTAATACTTATGAAAAGAGATCTAAAAAAGCTGAAGAAGATTATGATTTGGCTATTAGGAAATTACATGATATGGATCAACAATACTATGCAAAGTTAGGTGCTCTTATGGCAAGCTTGGAAGCTTTGGATAGAAAGAGATGTAATGAAATGAAAGATTTGCTTGTTCGTTTTGCTAAAATGAACTTTGCTATCGGAAAGAGTACTACAGCTCAATCAGATTACATGGAACAAAGCTTTGAATCAATGAATGAGGAAAGAGAAATTCAAACATTTATTGGTGGTATTAGATCAGGCAGTAGACCACCTGCTCCTGATCAATTTGAACCTTATGTTATTAAGATTCCAGATGAACTTAATAAGAAGAGATTCTCCACAATGAATGGATCTGTTTCATCTCCTGTTAGCCCTGTTGGTACCAGTAGCACTACTTCTGTTTCAAGTGTTAAAATAACACCACCACCAACAACAACTATTAATCAACCTCCTCCAGTTAGCAGTATTTCAACCAATGCATCAACTGAACCTAAAAAAACCACAACAACTGCTAAACCTATTGAAGAAGAAATTCCAACAAAGGTTATCAAGACTGTTACCTGTATATATGGTTATGATGCGGCTGATGAAGGTGAACTTACAATCAAGGAAGGTGATTATATTAATGTACTTGCCATGAATGACGACGGATGGTGGTTAGGTATTAATAATAGTGGAATGACTGGTTTGTTCCCTTCAAACTTTGTGGAAGAAACTCAAGGTTCAATAATACCAGAGGATTTACTTACTATTAATAAGGGATCAAAGGTTGTAGCTCAATATGACTATGAGGCTCAAGATGATCAAGAAATTAGTTTCAAAGCAGGAGAAATTGTAACAGTAGTAGAAGTTAACACAGATGGTTGGTTTATTGGTGAAAATTCTTCGGGAGCTCAAGGCCTCATTCCATCCAACTTTTTCAAATTGGCTAAATAAAACCAAATAACTTTTTTATCTGGTGTTGGCAGCAGGCTTTCGTGATTTTGCAAGTAATTCTTCTAAGCGTTTCTTGTGTTCAATTAATTCTCTTTCTTTTTGCACAAGTTGAATAGCACTATTTGCGCCCCATCTTCTAATGGTTTTATCTAATGAACCTGAGTAGACACTTTTATCTTGGTCAGTTATTGAGATGGCAGTAACACAATCTTTGTGTCCTCCATATACGTGAACCATTTCCTTTGTTTTAATATCCCACAAAACAACAAATGAATCTTCAGAACCAGATAAGAGATAGTTTGCATCATAAATTCTAGTGCACAGAACACTATCCGCATGCCCCTTAAACGAACCAGTCACTTGTCCATTTCTTAAATCATATTGATAAATTACACCTGTTGAAGTACCAACAAATAGATCGTTACCACTCACTGATATTGATCTAATAGGTTGTTGGTTTGGTCTTAATACTGATACAATTTCTTCTTTTTCCACATCCACAATTTTTACAAAAGAATCAAAACTTGAGCTGAACAATTTCGTATCTGCATAATCAATTGAGGAAACATTCGATGCATGTCCAGTATAAACTGTACTAATAACACCCTTTTCCAAATCCCACAACGAAACATCTCCATTAAGAGCTCCACTAGCACAGAATGGTCTATCATTATTCCTTAAACAAACCTTCATACTTGTTATGGGAGCTCCATTTGGTGATGACATTTTCTTGGCACATTTTGATGATTTCAAATCCCAACATCTGATATCTCCATCCCTTGATCCACTAAATAAAACTAATTCATTCCTTGACTTTAATTCCTTCTCATCTTCAGTTTGTTCTTCTTCGATATCATCTTCTTCCAATCCCAAGATAGTTGATACTGTTGCCCTAGGAACCAATTCAAGAGATGATATCAGAGAATTGTGTCCTCTTAGAGTTTGTGTTCTTTTCCCGTTAGTTGTACTAAAACATCTAATTGGACCATCATAGGATCCATAGAATAATTCCTCTGTTGATGTTTGCAGAGAAATGATAGGTTCGAGAGGTCTCTTTGTATTAAGGAACACGAACGAACACTCATCAAATCCTCTCTTCTCTGTATCTAATTTATCGAATAATTCGTTATAAAATTCTTGATATTTCTTTGGATCCTTATAGATTTCCTCCATTGGATCCTTCTGAACGGGCGATTTTGTTGTCGTCCTTGGCGTCTTTGTTGAGGAAACGCTTTTAACTGATGAGGGCATTTTATTTTAAGAGGAAATTAAAAGTGCTTTTAACGAATATTTAAAGCGCTATTAGTATCAGCTGCTGTAAATTTCAGAGATAATAGTATCATGCAAGATTGCATTTTAATTGGATGATTTTGTGAGGGAATAAATACTCTATTTTACATATCTTGAATTTCATGATTGTAACCATTCAAAGTAATGTAATGGAAATTTCTGGCACCAATTGAGCCATCCAAAACAAAATCTGGAATAGCAAAGGCATCAATCAATTGTAAAGAGTTTCCAGCTAAACTTGTGGCCAATTCTTCTCTCAACTTTTTAATTGCTTTGAATTTGGATGCTCCAACAACCTTCTTGGCTAAGAAGAATGGATCCTTAGCAATAATGGATAAGACAAAGAGTTGACACATTGTTTGCATGATTTTGTAAACATTGCTATAGACACCCATGGATGATTTGATAGAATCAAGTTGTTCAAAGAAAATTTGACCAATAATCTTATCACAATAAGCCTTAGCACAATTGAGACTGTGAGTTGATGCTTCATTATGGGCAAGGTATTGAGCTGTGTGAGTGTTATTATTTAAACTCTTATATTTTTCAGTCAATTTGTACATCTTGGAAGCAAGAGTGTGAACAAGTCTATTTTCTCTGTATTGCAAAGCACCCATCAAGAATTCTTTGGAAAGGATATGATCCTTTGAAGTGTTAGCATAATGAGTAAGTAATCCATTTCTCCAGAAATCATTAACACCTTCCTTTCCAATGATATAAATTGAGTTAATAGCATCAACACTTGGACCAACAATATTTGTCAAAGCTGACATAAATACATTATTCTTGACATTTGGTAATGTTTTGAATTGTTTGGCATATTCAGTCAACAATACACCAGAGATTTGATATAACAACAAGTGGTTATCACCATCCAAAGTAACGTTGGCTTCAGAGTCAACTCTAAGAATTGGAAGAAGGTTTCTAGTTAAAACACCTTGACCACCACATGATTCTCTACATTCTTGAATAATATCCAAATTTCTTGAAGATATAACAACCTTAGAAACAGAAGCAAGCAAGTGCAAATTCTTCAATAATTCTTCCTTAAATCCACTCTTCATATATTCTTCATATTTCTTCATACAATATGAAGAGAAGAAATTGTAAGCATATGATTCAGCCAAAAGTGGAAGTAATCTCATTTGGTGAGTCTTGTATTCAATTAACTTCCATTCATTTGATTTTGGTGGACCAAATTGTTCTCTTCTATGTGCATATCTGATTGCAACAATTAAAGCCATTTGTAAAGCATTAATAGATCCACTACCAACACCTAAACGAGCTTGAAGAAGAGCTCCAATATGCTTGGCAAATCTGACATTTTCATTCTTAATGGTTGTTTCATATTTTCCATTATTAATCTTGGCATATCTGGCAAGTAAATTGGATGCAGGAATTCTATAATTATTGAATGCAACCATACCATTGTCAATACCATTCAAAGCCATCTTGATACCAACATCACGAATTAAAATGTTATCATAAACCTTCATAGTCTTTGGATCTCTTAATGGAACAACAAATGAGTGAATACCATGATTAACACCATCAACAATACATTGTGCAAATAAAACACCACTTGTTGCACTCTTGAATGCATTACCAATCCAATACTTTTGGGCTCCTTCATCAGGAGTATTAATAATAAATTCATTTCTTGAAGAATCATAGGTAGCAGTAACTGCCAATTGTCTAACATTACCTGTTAAAAGATGATTAGTGTAAAAATATTAAATTGAAAGATCACCTACTTGCATGAGCCAATTCAGACATGAGGAAACAACCAAGTTCCTTTGAGAATGTACTGTTTGGACCCAACCATTTATCTAATTGTTCAGTTGTACCCAAGTGAGCAATACAAGCACCAAATAAATTGAAATGGACTGACAATTTAACCAAGCTACTAACATCAGTTGGAATTGAATTCAAAAAGAGAGAAATTTTCAATGGATCTTTCAAAATATCAATTGGAGAAACAAATTCTTGAGAGAGAATTTTCAATGCTCTATCATGTGATTTTTGTCTACATTCTTCCAATTTAGCATCATAACCAGAATACATTTTAAAATAGTCTTGATTCTTTGTAAAGTAATCCAATAATTTTTGTCTCAATTCTACATAATCAGGTTTTAATAAATTATTGGCAATTGAATGTACATCTTGTTGAGTGAGGGAAAAACTTGTTTTGATGGTAGGAGGTGTTTTAAGTGTTGGATCATAAATTCTTCCTCCACCACTTGTACTATTTTCTTCTATGATGTTACTTTGATTATTTACATCAAAACCACTGCACAAATGATTGGCAAGAATTGATAAACGTCTGAGTTGGTTGTGTCCGATCATTTTTTTATATAAATTAATACCAATTAATTGCAAAGCATCAATAACAGACCCGAGAGAAATCTCCTGTTTTCAGTCCTTCCTTGCATGGTTAATAATTGTATGAACATTCATCTGTTTACAACTTTGCAATTGGTTGTAAGGCCGTTAAATTTTGAATGATTACAAACAAGAAGTTGAGGTGGCCGAGTGGTTAAGGCGCCAGCCTGCTAAGTTGGTGGAGTAATCCGCGTGGGTTCGAATCCCATCCTCAACGTTTTGCTGGATTAATTTTTTATCAAATCCAGACACTATTCAGTTTGCAATATTATCTTCAAGATAAACACCAACAAAAGATTGGAACAATTTGAATTGCTTAATAAAGATTACAAGAGGAGATATGAAGCAGATAATGTGATGTTTGGCATTACAATATGAATTTCTTAATAAAGATTACAAGATAATGCAGCAATTATGGATTAAAATTGTTATTTGATCTTTTTATTATTTGGATCTAAGGAAAAATCTGTTCTCTTTCTTTTCAGGGATGAATTATCAACAGATGCAGGTGAAGGACTGATAAAAGATGGTAAAAGCGAAGGGTCTCTTGTTGGTGTCACAAAGTTATTTGAAGAAATAAATCCAGAATGATTTTTGGTTGGAGTTGAAGCGTCTTTCATGTCGAAATCCTCACTTCCTGAACTGTAATCAGAATTTGCTGAACTTTTCAAAATTTCATTTTCCTTCTTTAAAGATTCCAATTCTTGTCTTAATCTATTCATTTCACTCATTGTTTCCTCTAATCTCTTTCCAACAGAATCTAATGTTGGATATGGAATTGATTTCTTTTTACAATTAAACCAAGTAATTAATGCTGCACATGAATGTTTACAATTTGTTTCAACTGGACATGAACAAACACATTTTCTAATTGACATGGTTTGTTCTTCAAAAACAATACTTTGTTGATATGGAACTTCCACTGTTCCCCAACATTTAGACGAGAGAAATGTTAATTCATCACCTTCTTGTACTTCCAATAATTCTGCTGTCATTTCAAAAATTCTTTCTTCACCAGAATAATTATTACCTCTTTGGAAAGTTGTGAGACCAAAATAATCTTTGATTGCAACTAATTCTTTTTCTGGTTGTGTAACTTTTTGAGGAGAAATTGCATGTCTATTCTTATAAATAGCTTCTCTCCATGATAATGGTTTTGAAGGACTAGAAGGTCTTGGATCCAATTTTACAAGTTCCATTTGAGAATTTTCAGAATTCTCAATTTCGTCCATATTGGATGGATTTGGTAAAAATTCTGGAGTGCATACAATTTCATCTTTGTATGATTGAACTAGCTTGAGTGGTTTCTTTTTTTGAGGAGATGATGGAATTTTAGATCTTAGAATTTCAATAGGAGATGATTTTGGAACTTCCTCTTCAATTGTAGAATTATTTACATTAGGAGTTTCTGGTTGATTTAAAGCTTCTTCTAATTGAGAAAAATCAATATCTATTTCTTGAGAATCTGGAATTACTGTTTGTTGTTGGTTTGATTGAGGGAGTTGTTGTTGTTGTGATGGTTGGGGAACTGTCTTTTGTTCACCAACAATAATAGGTGACTTAGGTGAATTATTCTCTGTACAATTGGTAGTAGGAATATTTTCTGGGTTACATTTTACAGAAGGATCTAGTTTGTGAAAGGCACTTTCTTCCTCGTTATCATCTTGCATTGTTGAATTTTGTACAATTTCAACAACTGGTTGACTGATTTTTGGTGATTGTTGACTAGGTACTGACAATTGATTAATATCATCGTATTGATAAATATTTCTTTGTTCTTTTTGATATTGACTTAAGCCAGGGCTAGAAACAGTAGGTGAAGAAACAGTATATTGAGTTGGTTGAGCAGTAAATCTAATTGAAAGAATTGGTGATTTAACTGATACTTCTTCTTCTTCTTCCTGCTCTTTTTCATATTCATCAAATAACTCGTCTATTTCAGTTTTAACTTGTTTTTCATCATTTTCCAAAATATCAGAGAGTGATTGTGACAAGTTTTCCTCATACTGTTTGTTTTCATAGTTATAATCAGACATATTATCTAGATCCTCATCAAAATCAAGTTCTGGAGAAGGTGGTGCAATTGTACTGTTGTTTGTCAATACAGGTGAACGATTTCCATCCGATAAATCATCATCATAAAATGATGAAAAATTATTATTAACGGATGTTTTAGGTTCATCATCCTCAAAGGTAAATTCATCTTCCAATGTAAATGACACTGATTTACGTGGTTGTGTTGATGGCATGTTGATGATTAGCAGTGTTGTGTTCTTTTTTTCTTGAGCATTGACAAGCAGCGTTTGCTATGAATAGAATATCAACAGCGGTGTAGGCATTTTTTCTTCTTGTGTTTGGTGGAAAGCGGTTTTCCAGTTTTTATCAGAAAAAAAAGTTTACACAATCTCTCATAATGATACAACCTTGCAAAAAAACTGAACAACATCTTTAATCAATGTAACAAAGGAATCAAGAATAACGTCATTATTGTTGCGAATAGTCATCATCTACCTCATTATCACTTCTTGTGAAACAGCAGGGAGTCAATCAATTTGAAATTCCAGTTTCATTCACTGGGTTGAATTTATTACTTCAAGTTGATACTAATTACCACCGACAACCATATCACATCATCCACCACTTTCAAGCAAATTTGCAATGTTTTATAATAAATTATAGAGTAATATTTCAGAAGCTTTGGGATTGCCTTGTATTAATTTGTGCCTATTTTAACATCAAAGCCCAGCTAATAATCGGCAAAACGTTCCAGCAGGCAACCTTGAAGAAAAAAAAATGTTCTCTCTCGCTAGAATCACCAAGAATACCTCTAGAAATTTCAGACAATTGCAATCTTTGAATTTTGTTCAAAGACAATCATATGCCACTGTTAAATATTCAAAGGATCACGAATGGGTTAGATTTGAAAGTGGAAAGCAAGCTGTTGTTGGTATTTCTGAAGAAGCCCAATCAAAGCTTGGTGAAATTGTTCACGTTGCTTTGTCCGTCAAGGTATGTGATTTTCTCTTCATCAGTACTCACTTAATTTTCTGTTTAAATATTATTTAAATTTATTATTATTGAAAATGTTAAATTGCTAACGGCGATGATGAAAATTAATCTGGTATCATGCTTACAAAATAATTTCGGAATGTGCATGATGATAAAAGGTTGGTGATGTTATTCAAGCCAGCAGTGTTATTGGTGAAGTTGAATCTGTCAAGTCTGTTTCTGAAGTTTACTCACCAGTCTCTGGTAAGATTACTGCAGTCAATGCTGTTTTGAATGATAACCCAGGTGTCGTCAACGAAAGTGCTGAAGCTGATGGTTGGATGATCAAGTTGGAATTCGAACAAGAAGCTGAAGAATTAATGTCCAAGGATGCTTATCAAAAGTATTGTGAAGAACAAGAACATTAAATTCATCATTAATATTCTTCTTCAAATAATCATCATATTTACCATCTTATTTAAACTTCTAAAACAATGTATTCTCTATTAATAATAATAATGATTTAGAAACGCAATTAGAATTAACACAATCAAGATTGTCTACAACGAATACAAGATTTGCATGAACAATCACAAAAAATGTACAAAGTCATAAGGCCGGGAACACCAATGCATGATTTGCTGCAAAGTCGATTAAAGGATCAGGAGCAAAATGGTGAGCAAGCCATGTCGAGTCTATCCGATCCTACTTCATCATTAAAGGGAGAACAAACAAAATCATCCATTGATAATATTTCAAAATCAACAAACCATTTCTACCTTTTGATGAACCAACTAATTTCGTTATCTTTAAAGATGTCTCGATATTATTGGAAAAAGATATCATTTGTTTTATTTGATTATGATCAATACTATTTGGATAATGCTATTACATCCTATTTAGAACAATATTGTTATGTTTTAGCAAAGGAGAAATCTGAAAGTATTGAAAATACAATTGAATATTTATCTTCAGATAATGAAGTATTTCCAAATATTACAGAGCCTAATTCATATTTGATAATTTTATTATTTTGTATATTAGTTTTATTTCATTTTACAGCAGATTATCTGCCATCCCTTATTACAATGATGCTTGTAGCTGGCTTGTTTTTATTAATTGTAAAGTATAGAGAATTTGAGGTAGGTTACTTAATGAAAATTAAAATACTAAAACAAGAAAAGAACTCATTGTATAAATTAAAAATTTTGAATGAAAATACATGTACAAATTTGAAACGAATCATTAGATCAATGAGATTATACCACAAGAAATGTAATGGTATTTTAAAAACTATTAAAGAGATAGAGTTGACTTCAAGAGGATATTTCATGTAGGTTAAAGTTTTAATTTTTCAATTTATTAAATATAAATAGTGACAATCTCCATAATGCACCTATTTCTCGAATTGAGATGAAAACTCCTGAAAGTATGATGAAATGTAAATACATGAGGAAAAGTTTGGTAGATTCTTTAAAGTCTACCATTCACACAAAAACAAGTGTTCTTTCGTTTTTTGAGAGCTTAACTGAAGAACCTATTCCACAAATTTTGGACATTCATACATTTTTGGATAGTTTAAATACCAACAGTATTGCATCAATTAGTGATTTAATTACTGTAAATTATGATTTGGATGAATTTTTGCTTACAACTATAATTCACTTTTCTAAAAATACTGAGATAACAATTCAGTTAAAGGAGAAGCGTACGTAATATTTAATCAATATTTAATTAATCAATCAATAGTATTGCATGAGTTTTCTGAAAAGGGTAAAATTGGATCAATCAGTTTCAAAATATTAGAAAAAATTGAAAAATTGAATGAGGTTAGTGAAGAGAGCGATTTTGAGTATTTCTCGCAATATAAAAAAGAAATTGAAAGTTGTATGGATACTCTCAAATCATACGTATATTTGATGACAGAAAAACAACCAGAAGATCAATTAAAAAGAACTGAGTCATCATTAATGGAAAGTGTTGGCAATTTAAAGTACAAGATTGAGCTTTTATGTAAAGAGGTTGAGAACTTTTATTATCCTAAACTAGAGTCTTTGGATAGCACTGATAAAGGTATTGATAGCTATTTTGAGGAATTTTCAACAATCCCCTTTAATTCTGAAGAAAGAGAAACTCTCGATAGAAGATTTTATCATGAAGAATCTCTTTCACCTCGTGCTTCCAGCCAAAAACCATTCCTTAATATTGAGAAGAAAGTTGTTAATGTGTATGAATGCGAAAATCAAATGCCAGAACCTGAAAAACCTCTCAGCCTTGGGTCAAGATTTAGAATGCCACCAATTATGCACAAATCAAAGCTTACTGAAACTTCCTCTTCTGTGAATAATTCAACAACTGAAACAGAATCAAAACCAACGACATATTCAATACCCATTCGAACTCAAAGATCATCTCTCTCAAATAATCCTCTCTCAGATGAATTGAAACAAGTAGTTTTTAAAAGAAAACAAGAAATGCAAATTGTTAAAAACTCTACTGAAAATAATCAAGAATAATACTCCTCCAATAAGACTATTCCAGACTATTTGGAAAACATTTTGGCTACATGCAAGAATCTGATTAGAAAATAGATCCACACAATATTTTTGTCCTCGTCAAGTTGTGAATAATAAACTTTAAAAAATGAATAATTTTGGTATGCGAGCAGTGCTGTTGGGTTCAGCTTTAGGATTAGGAATAGGTGGATATGCAGGCAGAGAATTTCACTTGTACTTTGATGCTGCTGCTATTGAAGCAAAGAAAAAGGAGGCTGAAGAGGCTCTTTCTTTCAAGGAATCTACAACAGAAGGAGAGGAAGAAAAACAGTCAGCATCCGATAAGACAAATGAAGATGAGTTGGAAAAGACGATCGTCATTACTAAACAAGCCACACCAAATGTTGTTCAAAAATCAGAATCATCTAATAGTAATACTACAACACCAGTAATAACATCATCAAATAATAGCACCACTGTCACTGTTGTTGATAATAATACAAAATCGGAAGAGGAAGAAACAAGTACTCCTGCTAGACCAATGGAAGGAGGATTTAATCTTTTCAGAAGATTCTACTAGGACGATCTTGATCATCAATAACAAATCACATAATTATTTGCTAAATTAATTGAACAAAATTATTTTAGATCAAGATTAATTTATAATCTACCTGTAAATTTCTATAGAGAATAAAATTGTAATAATATAATATCTATTGATACTTTCGTCATGTGGTCTTTATTCAGAAACTGAATGAGCCTCTTTCATATCCAGTTCATTGTTGGTCAATTCATCTATTTGATGAGAGATTTTTAAATAATGTGATAAGTTATCGGAACAAGAAGCAAGAACTATGATGACGATCAATTCAATATTAATATTATTACAATATAGAGTGAATACAGAATAATTTATTAAAGAGGTTACAACAGCGACGGAAAGTAAAAAATCATTCCAACAATAAACAACTGCAAAAAAAATGTCTGGACGCACAATCTACGTTTCCAATCTTCCAGCAGAATTTAACGAAGAGTTAATCAAAACTTTCTTTGACGACTGCGGGACTATTTGCAACGTAAAGATAGCTGGGTAAGTACATGAAAAAATTGTATTATGGGGAAATATCAACAACAACAACAAAATACAACCATGATTAGAGAGCCAACAAATAAATACGCATTTGTAGAATTCTCATCAAGTGAGGAGGCAAAAGTAGCTATCGAACTTAGCGGAACAGAAATTCTTGGTAAACATTTGAAAATATCCCTAAGTCGTAGTCCAATCTCTAATCCAACACCTGTACAATCAAATCCAACTCAAATTTCACCTACAGATGATAATGCAACAAAATATCAATTTCTTTCAGAATCGGAATTAAAGAGGAAGGCTGAGGAAGATGATAAAATCAAGAGAACAATTTATGTAACAAGTATTGATACACAAATATTGGAAGCTCAAGTATGTGAGTTCTTCTCATACTGTGGCAGAATTGTAAATTACAGAGTATGTGGAGACACTCAACATCCAACAAGATTTGCCTTTTTTGAATTTGAACAGAAGGAAAGTGCACAAGCAGCTGTTTCCTTGTCTGGTCAATTTCTTGGAAGATATGCCCTACGCATTTTAGGATCGAGGACACCAATTCAGCCTACACCAGGTGCTGTTGGAAATGGTGCTGTTTATTCATTTACTCCTGCCCATCATGATCAAATTAATAGAACTGTTTATGTAGGAAATGCTGATATTTCATTGACAGAAGATGATCTTAAAGAATTTTTTGATGCTAATTGTGGTCCTGTTACTAAAGTTGTTTTGGCTGGAGATGCAGTACATAGTGCACGATTTGCATTTGTGGAATTTTTACATATGGAATCTAGAAACAAAGCTTTAGAATGTTCTGGTACACTTCTTGGAAATAGAAATATTCGTATTAATCCATCTAGGACTCCAATTTTGGGAGGAGGTAAAGCTTACGCGTCAACAGCTCCCTCAATCAATCCAGCAACTGGTACAGGTCAATATGCTGTAAACCATTTAGCTCAAAGTTCTAAATTCCCTCCAGTTGCACAAATTACTGATCCATATTATAGTCAACCACAATATTCCTCTAAGACCAAATCAACCAAGAAAAAAGAACCAACATCGACGCTGGGAGCTCATCATAAACCTTTCACAGATATGACTGAAAATGATAAGAAACGAAGAAAGAATGATTGGTCGTCAAGTGATGAAGATTCTGACCATGAACATTCAGAAGAACGTAGACAAAGAAAGCTCATGAAACATGACCCAATAGTTCCTGGCATTAATCCTTCAACTACCAACCTCATTCCAACAACTCATGATACACTTCATCATCCTCATCAACATGTTGACAATGAACAAAACCATGAGAATGGTGACTACTCGGATCATTAAACTCAGAGAGACTTAAATTATTAAGGAAAATAATATTGGTGTGTACATAATTAATTAGAAGTTAAATTATTCTAACACAATACACGGAGAAAATCATCACAACCTCTTCGTGCAATAAAAAAATCCTTTTAAAATTCCAATTTATCGATTTTTAATTTCTAAAATTTAAATTTATTAAAAAATGTTTATTCATAAAAGCCTTTGTCGTGCTGTTTTATTAGCATCAAATAATAATAATCATCATCTTCTATTCAAATTGAAAAATACTAGTGGCAAGGGAATGAGCACAACATTCCAACGATTGTTTCATTCCAATAATATTGCTCTAACTCTCGATAGGAAACATGTAGATGAAATTAAAAGGATTTTTGATGAGGACACTTCAACAACAAAGAAAGGAGGTGAAGTTTTATATAATCCTAATGAAATTGATATGGCTTTTAATCATGATTGGACAGGTCAATTTAAAGGAGCTTCCGAACTTGTTTTGAGACCTAGAACAACTGAACAAGTTTCAAAAATTGTAAAATATTGTAATGAGAATAATATTGTTATTATTCCACAGGGAGGAAATACTGGTTTAGTAGGTGGTGGAATACCTGTAAATGAACAAATTGAACATAGACCTCAAATCATTTTGAGTACAAATTTAATGAATGAAATTATTTCATTTAATGATAAGAGTGGAAAATTGATTTGTCAATCTGGTTGTATTTTAGAACATTTAAATCATACTTTGGAAGAGAAGGGATATCAAATGCCACTTGATTTGGCTGCTAAAGGAAGTTGTCAAATTGGTGGTAATATTGCAACAGGTGCTGGAGGTATTAGATATGTTAAATTTGGTTCATTACATTCGAATTTACTTGGTTTGGAATGTGTTTTACCAGATGGCTCAATTATGGATTCAATTAAGGAAATTAGAAAGGATAATACTGGTTATCATTTATCACATTTATTTGTTGGAAGTGAAGGAACTTTGGGAATTATTACAAAAGTAGCTCTTCAAGTTCCAATCAAACCAAAATCTGTCAATGTAGCTCTTATTTCCGTTGAATCATTTGAAAAAGTTCAAGAATTAATTTTAATGGCAAAGAGAGAGTTGGGTGAAATATTATCTGCTGTTGAGTTTGTTGATAGTGATAGTATGAAATTGGTAATGAGATTAAATCATGAAACTCTTCAACCACCAGTTGAGGGAGAACATCCATTCTATCTCGTCATTGAAACACAAGGAAGTTCTAAAGAGCACGATGAAGAAAAATTAAATGATTTCTTTGCAAAGGCCTTAGAAGAAGGAGTAGCCACTGATGGAAGTTTAGCATTTGATGAAAAACAATCGCAATATCTTTGGAAATTTAGAGAGTTGGTTTCAGAATCATTGAAAAAGGATGGCTATGTGTACAAGTATGACATTTCAATTCCACTCGCCAAAATGTATGACATTGTATTGGATATGAAGGAGAGAATGAAAGTCTTCCCACAAGCAAAGGTTTACAGTTTTGGACATTTGGGTGATGAAAATCTCCACTTGAACATTGTCTCACCAAAATTTGAAAAACAAATTAAGGAAACTATTGAACCATATGTCTATGAATGGACAAGCAAGCATAGAGGAAGTATTTCAGCAGAGCATGGTATTGGAGTTTTGAAAAAGAATTATCTCCACTATTCACAAACCAATGTTGCACTCAATTTGATGAAATCAATCAAGAAAACTCTCGATCCAAACAATATTATGAATCCACACAAGGTTTTATAAATACTTTTGGATTTGTTTCTGTACAGTATCACGCCAAGGTAGTCCAGTTGCATCACATGTTTTACAACGGAGAGTGAATGGATAATCTGGATCATTTCCATTCCTTGATACAAGAATGTTGAAATGTTCACATTCCATTTGTTTTCTTTCCTCTTTGTGAACATCTGGAATTGTTTCTACCATTCCAAAACCATTCTCATTAGCTGATCTGAATAATTTCATTTTCCCTCTTTTGTAAGAGTCGAATTCCACCTCAGATCTTGTTCCAATACTGACCTTTACTTTGATGAGTTTCCTCAATATCATATTTCTGTTTGTGAAATTTGTTCTCTTGTTCAATAATCCAAAAAACAAATTTTCAAATACTTTGTGTGGATGATCAGATTTTGGTTTGGAATGAGTCTTTCTTAATTCGAATATATTTAATCGATCATTAATTTCCAATACTCTCATAAGACTTCTTTGAAGGCTTTGATTTTGAGAGTATAGAGCTGAGTGATCTGATTCATATTCTCCAGAAAGAACATCCTCAAATTCTCTATTAAGAATATATTTCTGGAATTCAAGGGAGTATAGAATTTCACACACTTTCTTATCAACAAACAGAAAGGAAGTATACAGAGATTTAAAATCAAAATATTTCAAAATTACAACCCAAACTTCGCTCAAGTGTATTTTTGTAAATTCTGTCTCTGGAATGATTGATTTTTCATAGTGTTGCTGTTTTGTTTTCTTCTTATTTCTTGTTGGTTGCTTTTTTTGATAAATTAAATCTTCATCTGCAAGTAAATCAAATGACGACATTTTTTATTGTTGTTTTTCTTAAAATCAGATCTTTCTAGTTCCAAATTTATCGTTGAAGTTTCAATTTACAATTTCAAATTTCTTCAATTTTACAAAATATTTATTTTAAAGACCTCACAGAAAGATATTGCTGTATCTTTTCTTCTGAAAGTGAGGAAATTAATGGATGAATACATGATGAATGATATTGTAATTTGTTGTGTGGATTGGTATATTTACATAAGAGTCCAGTAATATCACAATATTTTGGTTTAGGATAGAGTGAAAAACTTCCAACCTGTATGGAAGAATAGGTCAAATTTTGTTGTTGATTTCCATTTGTATTATCTTGATTTTCCAATTCATTTTCATCAACATCCTCGCTAGCTAAATCTTGTTTTGAAACAATTTGTCTGAATGATCGCTTTCGTTTTCCTTTTGTAAATCCTAATTTTAATTTGAAAGGTAATAAACCTTTTGTTGTAGAAGTTGCTGTTTGATCCGATGATGATGAAGATTTTGTTTCCTTCTTTGTTTCTTTCTTTTTAACTTCTCTTGTTTCCTTCTTTTTTGATTCTTTTTTAGAAGACTCTTTTTTACTATCTTTCTTTGTATCCTTTTTACTTTCCTTCTTACTATCCTTCTTTGTCTCCTTTTTGGTTTCCTTTTTATTGTCCTTTTTCGATTTTTTCTTTTTAGATTCTTCATAATCGGAATCTTCATCAACTTTTTCTTCCTCTTCTTCCGATAGATCATTTAATTCATCATCTTCATCTAGTATTATTTTTTTCTTCTCGGTAACACTCCTCTTACTACGTTTTGTTGTCATTTTTTTTGTAATTGATTTTCCAATTATTTTAAAAATTACTCAGAATATTAAAATTTACATTGAGTAATTTATTTCTTAATAATCTTTGAAGAATTCTTCACTTGGAGAGGCTTATTCTTGCTAATTGCTTGTTGGACTGCCTTTGCTTTTGGAATTTTGGCAAGTTTCTTATTGGAATTAGTATTGGATTGCTTTGTATTATTTGTAAATTGTTTGATTTTCTTGAAAGAAGAATTAACCTTCTTATTGGAAGAATTTCTTGATTTTCCAGTTGGCTTGTTGATATTCTTTGGTTTTTGATTATTGGAGGAATTATTTTGAGAGTTATTACTTGCTGGTTGTTGATTGTTTGATGGAGATTGAGGAGATGGTTGAGATTCTGGTTTCTTTTCTTCCTTCTTTTCGTCAACTTTCTTTTCAGAGTTTTCAGCTGGCTTTGGGACTTCACACTTCTTGGCTTGTTCCTTTTCAAGATTTTGCTTTAAAGATTCAACAAGCTTATCTACTTTTTCAGTTTGAGCTGCCATTGATGCCTTGATTGACTTTAACAAGAGAGCAATATTCTTCTTATAATTCTTGACAAGCTTTCTCTTCTTCTTTTGAGCCTCCTTCTTAATTCTCTTCTTTGCAATAACAACAAGATCCTTAACACATCTCTTGAAGAGTTTTTGATTCTTATCAGCATCAAGAACCTTTGAACAAACTTCTTTAGCCCTATTTCTTTCATCAACAATAGAATAGGCAAGTTTCTTCATCTTTGGCTCTTCACCCTTAACTGAAGAGATGAAAACAATGAATAATACACTGGCAACTAAACCTAAAATCAAGATCTTATTCTTCATTTCAAATCAATTGTTTTTTTTCTTGAAGTTTTCTAACGCAATTCATCTCAATATTGTAGTTTGTTTTGGCGCCAAATTATGAAAGCACACTAATTTTGATGTGACACGATAGCTGGAATTTTCCTCATCTCATTCCATTGAAATCATTTCAAGAAATGAAGACGTAAAATTTCAATTTTCCAACTCCAAATATCTTTTTACATTGTTATCTTATTCCCGAGAAATTTATAAGTGTTTATAGTTGTGGTATGTAAGCTACCCAAGAGTGTTATCATTTACTGTGGTGGTGCAATTCTATAGAGTATTAAGCTTTAAAAAAATTGTCTATTTTTGTTCATCACACAACAAGAAAAAAGCAAAAGATAGAGAGAAAAGGTGTTGATAATTATCAAGTCAGACCAAAGTTTAAAGTCCAGACTTCATATTATTATCTAAATTAAATTGTCCAATAATCACACACAAAGTCCTCCGATAAAAAGAGTCTTTGTGAAGACATTCAACTTTGAATCATCTTTTCGGATCAACAACAAAATGTTTGGTTTTCCTTCATCATCAAATCATCAAGCGAATAATAATAATAACTCACGACTTAATATCAACACATCACCCAACAATCCATTCTCACTATCATCGTTGGCTGTTGATATTTCTTCATCATCATTTATACAATCCCCAACACAGGGAAGTCATCACAGTGGTGGCACTCCAGATTGGCTCTCTTCTTCCATACCAATGACATCTCCTTCTGAAAGTCATCATTTAATGGATAATTCTCAACAATTGTTTCAAAAACATGATGATGATGAAGAACCACAGTGGCTGAGTAACTCTAACGATCAACACGAGGATGATTCTGTCTTTTCTCCTAATGGTTTACGTGATGAAGAACATCAACATCAAACTAATACTGTTCACAATTCTAAACATCAACAACATTCTATTAAAACACCTAATCACACCCACGATTCACACCATCCCTTTGATATTTACGAAATTTACTCTGATGAGTATGATGAAGGTGTTTTATTATCAGAAAATCACTTTTTTAGACAAATATTACATCCAATTGGTATGTTTGTTCTTTGATTTGCTAATAATTTAATGATGAATTTATAATCAGCTGAGAAACGAAGGATTGGAATTAATAATGTTATACAAATAATATTAAACCATGCTAAACTTTGGAAGGAACGAAATTATGCAGCGGATACAGGAGATGATGAAGATTCATTGAAGCCAAGTCTCTTCTTCCAAAGATATTCTCCTCTTATATCTAGATTTGCTTATGAGAGTCCTTTTGAGGATATTTCAACAACCTTTTTAAAATTAATTGAGGATTTAGATAAGAATTATGGTGTAAAATGTATTCAAAAAGTAGATTGCAATTCGGGACATTTGAGAGCAATTTCTCAATTCTTTTCACCACTTTCTTTCAAACCAATTTACAAAATGGCATCAGGTAGTGATCAATTCAATGATTTACATATCATTCAAGAACATTTCAAAACTATTTTCATTGATAATGGTGTGATTCCTCATCTTTCTCAAGCTCTTTTCACACACGCCCATTTTGCAGAGATTTACTACAAGTCATATAATTTTTTGATGAAATCAAACGGTCCTCTGCCATTAGATTGGAGATCTTACATTGCTATTTTGGCTGCATCAAGACATAGTTGTAAATATTTAGTGAGAAGACTTGAAGTAGAATTTTTACTAAATGGTGGAAATGAGGAGTGGTTGAAAGGAATCGAGTTTATTCCACAAAAGCTGAAAAAGTTATTGAAATTCAATTCACTACTTTGCCACATGCCATGGATGCTTAATGAAGATAGCATCTCTGAATTAGTAAGCAATAATGGTGTTGGAGAAAATGCATGGACTATGGCCGAGCTAGTTCATGCTGTAATAATAATGACTCATTTCCATGCACTGTCGGGATTCATTTATGGTATTGGTATTTTACCAGATGATGATGATACACCAATTGCAGATATTATCAGCTCTGTTACTGAAAGTGAGGAATCAAAACAAAGACAAAAGAATGAAACTCAAAGGCTTGTTGAAACATTAACAAGGACTGCTGATGATGACGATACACCAATAGACAAACATCAAAGAGAAAAAGCTTTTGAATGTACTGAAACTAATGACAACTCATCTAAAATTGTACCAAACCATTTATATAGTAATTATAACAACTTTGATTGCTTCTCAACGCCAAACTTTGCATCAGTTACTTTCTGGGAAGCTCAAAAACAGGATATGATGAAAGGAGCCACAAAGAAATCAGATAGTGAGGGTCTGATACCAAGTGCAGGACATACCTTTATAAGCTCTAACACATCTGGTGTTTACAAACGAAACTCTAACAATAGAGAACGCTCACTTAAACTTAAAAAGTACAAACATAACAAGTATGACTTTACTTACAAAGATTTTGATGTAAAGAATAAGGAATATGAAACTACTTCTATTCATGATTTCAATTGGGAAGAAAATGCATTCTCTTTATTGAGTAGATTTTACTATGGTGCTGCTGATTTATTAGATACTGAGTTTGAGTTTATTTATAACATGACAGATAATAGATGTTATGATATCAAGGATGTAGATACGACTTCATTCAGAGCTGCTATATGGTGTTATGTTCACAGACTATTTGGTGTGTCTCATGATGATTTCAATTATGAAAAGGTCAACAAGCTTCTTAATATTGATCTTAAAAAGTACATCAAGACTGTTGTTTGCTATCCAGAAAGATGTACCAAGGAGCAATTTGTAAATACTGGTGTGAAATTAAGAACGAGGGAAAAAATTCACATTTGTTTATTAGCAATCGAAGCAAGAAAGCAAGTTGAGATAATCTATGGATTAAGGTCAATTAATAATTTCATGCAATAAAATTTATATTGTACAATAAAATGGGCTTAGTCAGTTTCAGTAGATTCTTCACTATCCTTTCTCTTCTTCCATTGAGCATATACTGAAACACCAAAAACAATACCTAGAGAAACAACCGAAACAAAACCACCAGCAATAGATAACAAGACAACTGCAACAATCTCAATTTCAGATGTCACTGCAGTTTCGCCCGAGGAACAAACCCATTTATCCAAAGTTGCTTGTGCTTTAGATTTAACATTATTTGGTAATGGAACAAAGCTTGCAGCAGTAATAATTGTATCAACATTTCCACTATATAAATAAGAGAAATATCTGTACAAGACTTGAGCCAAGCTACATCTATTAAAAATGTTAATAAATGAAATATCATCTCACAACTACTTACTCTTCAATTGATGAACTCTTATAAATAAGATATGAATAACCAGAGATTGGATATGAATTTTGACCTGGAGCATCTACAATTGTTGCAGAGAATTTAGAATCGAATGCATCTTGAAAATCTGTCATGGCATTCTTACAAGTTGTTTCAGAAGCATCAACTGGAGTTCCATACTTGTTAATAATAGTTGCTGATGTGAATGAAAATACAGCAGAAGGTGTATTATATGCAATAGTATATGGAGTTTGGTACAAGTAATTTGAAATACCAGATGTACCTTTTTGTTTTGAGATATTATCTGATGCTTCACTTGGCCATGTTAAAATACTTTGCACACCAGGTGTCCATGAAACTCCAGTACTTGAAGCAAATGCAGCCAATGCAGATGTGAAAAGTTCAGTAGTACCTGAACTGTCAGATCTCACAACTCTTTTAATTTTGGCATCTGGCAAAGTAATTGAAGGATTTAATGCAGCAATTGAAGCATCATTCCATTTACTTTAATTGTAAACTAAATCAAAAACAGTAAAAAAATACCTACGTCACACGAGCAGCAAAAATGTCAACAATTACTTGTCTATTTAAGGTTAAAGAAGAAATTCCAGGTAAATTGAAAACAACTAAAACGTTTACACCAATAAATGGAAGTAATTGTAAACCTGGATTAGCAGCATATTGAGCATCGGTTGGAATTAATTCACCAGCTGCATAATCGAAAGGTGTTGATGTATAATTGATCAAGTTCAATAAACCAGTACCACTACCTATTCGAAAGTATTAGAAATTGAAATGTGACAATATTTACCTGTAGCATTGTAATTCATTTCAATGTTATTTGAAAAATGTTTAATAAAGAATGATTGACCACATCCTTTGCTATAAAGTTTCGAATATTAGAAAAAGAAAGAAACTGATACGTACTGAACTTCTTCTGCAAAGGTTCCTCCACCTCCAATCACTTCCATATTATTAGCAGGAAATGCTCCATAAACAACATTCATTGATTGTAGTAGCACAATACTCGCAATGATAATTAACAGTAAACATGAAGTAGATTCGGATAATCTTCGAAGGCTACTCGATAATGAAACATTAAATTGTTGGTGTGTTGATGATGAATGTGCTGGCAGGTGATGATGTGGGTGCATTTTTTTATGTGTAGTGAATTTTGTCTTTTCCTCCCAATTTATCTTGTTGTGTTCGTTCACTTTCTCTTTTAGGAATGGATGATTGTGGTTGGGATTGGTTCACCCTCAAATAATTATCCAATTAACAGTAAATAATCATCGTGGAATTTTTTTACTCAAAGACTTATTGTGAACGTATTATAATGAAAGGCAACAACATTCATGGAGGTTGTTTAAATTTTTCAAACACACGTGTGAATGTCGTCGTTTAAGGTTTTCTTCTTGTTCATGGTGAGTCTCTAATATTTATGGCTTGGGGAATAGTGTACTAAGGATGAGTGTCAATATATTCGTAATAGGAGTTTGTCAAATTAATTCTATTCTCTCATCTTGCTTTTCCGATAATACTGTTAGAAACTTTTATTCTCCTCTTATCAAATAAGTAAATACAAGTCATCACTTTTGTAGTTAATTTCTTCCAATTTCTCAATTTCTACAAAATTACTAGGGAATCTGAGTATGTTTGGCAAGTATTGGGATTGAGTAATTATCTCTTGATAGTAAAACTGAATAAATATCTTTATTAATACGGTTTAACTCAAATTCTCCAACATTTAAACGAACAGGTTTCGTCTAATCACCTTCTACAAAAAATTCCACTAATTTCACACTAATCCACATTGCAAATTTTTGAATTCCCTTCTGTTGGGACAATTCAAAAAATAATTTATGAACTTTACACAGTTGATTGAGCCAACACTCTCTTTTCTTTATTACTCAATCTTGAAAACCTCCATGTCCTCAATAAGAAAATTCATTCCACCAAAATACTGTTTCCCTGGTGGTAATCTACCTTCAGGAAGAATATTTTCTTCTGTTTGGCCATGTGAACTGGATAGTGTCTGATGGTTGGCATTGTCACCAATCCAGAAAGAGAAAGAAAAAGCAAAAAGATAGCTTGAAGAATATCGATGCAATGCATGTTCCAATCTCGAAGGCAACAATCTGAAAACGTACAATTTTTCGCCACCAAATTGAAAAGTAAAGGAATCATTATCCCTCACAGAGTCAGATGAACAATTCAATGCTACGTTGATATTCTGACTTGTGTATCCTCCAAATAACTCTCCCCTTTGTGCCTTGACAATAATTACAAGTTTTGGTTGATTGTCGCATCGAGAATGAAAATCAGAAAGTGAAAATCCATCTCTACTCGATCTGAATAATAATTTTGTACTTGAGTGAATATTTAATTCACCCTTGAATAGTGAAAGATATTGCGAATAGTTGATTAGTTTACTTTCCAACTTGGCAAACTTGGCAGTGGTCCTATAAAAATTAGTTAAAACTCTAGATCCGATGTGATGATCAAGTTTTAGGATGGTTTTCTCCTCATCTTGTTCCATTTTTTTATTGTAATGTTATTGATCTTTTAAAATAAATTAGTTGAGACAAGTTCCATACCCACTTGAAACTTTCATTGTCGCATGAGAAAGTTTTGCAGCAGAATAAGGCGAATAATATTATTATATTAAATATCAATTTAATGAATAGAGTAAGGTTTATTTTTTAGTCTTTTTCTTTTTTCTTTTTGAATCCGAATGAATATTTGGATCCCATGCATCGGTTTCTACTCTCTTTTTCAGATTCCTCTTTAGTTCTCTTTGTTGTTTTTGTTCCTTTTCAAATTGTTTTTCCAAGGAAGGATGACGAACAACTCTTCTTTCACTACTTGATGTTTTGGCCTTGTGTATAAATGAATTATTAATTTCTGGCCATAATTCATCATCTTCCTCTTTCTTTTCGTCATCATCTTGATAATCTAATTGTTGGCTATCTCTTCTATATTGAATTGGAGTCATAGTTCTACTCTTGAATATTTCTGAGAGGCCGAAACTAATTGAGGGTAAACTCTTTCGGGATTGAATTAATGATTCAGTTTGACTATTACTATTGAGATGAGTTGGAAGGGATTGAGGGGAATATTGGGAATTATTAAGGGAATATTGAGATGATGATGGTGAAGTTATTGGTGAATTGAATATTGTACAGGAAGGAGTATATGGTGATGGATGAGGAGATTGTGGAATAATATTTGAGTGTGGAGTTTGTGAGTGTTGAGTTTCATCTGGCATGAGAATTTCTCTTGGAGGTGTCATTGATGTTTTTTTAGAGTTTGGAGGTAAATCCAATGTGCAATCATTGTTGGTTTTCTTCTCTGATGAGTTGAAACTGTTAGTAGTAGGAGTGGTGGAATTATTGATTACATTAGGAGTTGATGAGGTTGAAGAGAAGATTTCCTTACTAGAATTTGAGGAAGATGGTGAGGAATTGGAGGGGTATTGATTTGATGATGAGGTTTTTGAGTTGTTAAATGTTTGTTGAGGAATTATAATGTTTGGTGGAAGTGTTGTGAATTGATCATCTTCATGATCAGATGGTAATTGATTAGCTTCTGCCAGTACTTCTTCAAGCTCTGGTCTATCTAATCCTCCCATTTCATGCGTGATATCATCGTGCATTCTATTAGAATTGGATTCTTCTTCTTCATGTTGTGTGATAGTATTATCATCTTGGGAAGGTGTCTTTGGTGTATTTAAACCAGTCACAACCACAACATCATCATCATCAAGGTCTAACTGATGTGCTGGAGAGAGTTGGACAATTTCTTCTTCTTCATCATCATCAATTAAAATTGGTTTTATCATAGAATCACCCTCCTCATCATTAGTTTCCACATTGTCAACTTCCTCTTCATCACTCTCATATTCTTCTTCTTCCTCTTCATCATTTCTTACATTTGTAGCTTCTTCCTCTTCATCGGATACAATAATACTATCATCAAGTGACGACTCCGAAGAGCAATCGCTACTCTCATCACTTATTTCTACAGAATTGTAGTTTTTCTTCTTGTTTTTTGCAACAACGTTAGCAGAACGTGTTGAATAACGGGCCATCACTGAATGGGACAATTTTTTTTAATAATTTTTGGTTGAAGCATAAAAGCTTGTGTTGATAGAGTTCGAATGCTGGATGGAAAAACAAAATAACTTGTTCCATCACATACATTCTGTTTTGGCGCCAATATTTTGAAAAGAATTAAAAAATGTTTAGAAATGGAAGACCAACAACTTCTTCAAGGGTAATTTCGGAGCAAGAGATGAGAATTCAAAAGTTCCCTTCATCATCGGTGGAGTTTGAACAAAGGAATTTCGAGTTTAATAATTCTAGTAAGGCAATGAGGGGTTCAAGTAATTCTTTATCATCTAGGGAGGATTCAAGCAAGCTTCCTGTTCAGAAGCAATCTAAGGATGAACAATTAAATTTTCATTATATTGGAGAGGAAGATGAAGAGAATGATGAGAAGGAATCTCTTTCTTTCATGTTGGATGAAGATGAGGATATGGAAGTAATGTCTGTAAATGATCAAGCACAGTCTTTAAATGAGCTTGGTTCAACTTCTAGTAGTAGGAATAGCTTTTCTTCAGCAAAATCAAATCATGAATTAACTTTGTCAAGAGATTCGATGCCTCTCAAAAAACAAAGAGAAAGAGATTTAAGAGATTCAATTTCAAGTAACCAATCGATTGGAGGAAAGAGTGGTAATAGCTCACATGAATCGTTAAAGTCAAGTCCGAGGTATGTGGAAAAACAGGGTTCAACCAGACCAGCAAGAATTGCAGAATATATTAAGAGGTTCAGAACAGCACCACCCACAAAAAGGACTGAACGGAAGGGTCTGGACGATCTTGACAATTTAGGTAAATTGGATACAAATATTATTTTGGATGAAATATTACCATCTAGGAAGAAAAAGGCATCTAATTTCAAACAGGGTGATAATTCTATTAAAGAATCAATCGATTCCATAGATGCAATTGATTTTGATATTAAAGAAATTAGTAGAATGGCTCTAGAAAGTACTGAAGTTAAGAATTTGGATTCAATAATCTCAAACTCAGTTTCTACTGAAAAAAGCAATATTTTGATAGATTCAGGCGATGATCATCTTGATGAAATGTTTAGACAGAGTGTTCTGTCACGTTTGCAATCAATAGGTCTACACGAATCATATCTCAATCCAAATAGTTATGAAATAATAGGGGATGAAAAAAATGATGTATTTAACAAAGTTGAGGAGCTTATGAAAGAAAGAAACCTTGTTGAACAAATGTTAATTAGAGATAACATGCTAACAAAACAGGGTATGGAAAACAAACCTTTAACATCCTCCATTGCAGGTTTGTCGGAAATGCCAGTTACTCAGTCATTAGAATCACTGGATGAATTACCATTCGAAAGCAAGCAAATTCAATTCATTGATGAAGAAGAAATCGAAACGAAACTTGGACTTGAAAAATCAAGCTGTTCAATATCTTCCTACAAAGAAAACTCTTCTAACTTGCAAGAGGATTTTCTAGTGACAATAGACATTAACGATGATGACAACGAATTGTTCATGAATGATTATATTTGTCAGAATCTTAAACTCAAAATAGATCAATTACGACAACAACTCTCAGAAGTTGAAAGAAAGTACTCATTATTGGAATAACTTGGAAATTCATTAGAGTTTTTTTAATTTTACAAAAAAAATGCAAACAGAGATTTTTATTCCTGACATTTGCCTAATAGTTATGGAATTGATCGGAGGAAACGAGGCCTTCAGTTTACGAATTATTTCTAAATCTTGGCTAGAAGCTAGTAAACATTTTCACCAGATTGAATTATCATTGTTCAGAGATTTTCCTAAATTCTGTAAAATTACCGAGAACAGATTGATGGAGCATGTTTCCAAGTTGGCTGTAATGGAAAATATAAAGTTAGAAGGCTTTAGAAAATTTATTCAAAATCCTCATTTGAAAAATTTGAAAGAATTGCATTTGACGAATTTGAGTAGGTTTGAAGGATTTATGGATGAGGAAAATAGTTACGAAGATATGAGTCTTGGGGATGAGATTGGGCTGATTGCTAATTGTGAAACATTTTCCAATTTGGAAATTTTGGCGATTTCTTCACACAAGTTGGGCAATGCAGGTCTGTCAGATATTTTTAACAGCCCATTTTTGAAAAAACTCAAAACCCTTACTTTGTCTAATAATGAGTTTAATAATTTTGGAATTGCTAGTTTAGGGACATTCAACTTATGTAATTTAAGTGAATTAACATTGGATTTTGAACATGTAAAAACAGAAGACATTCAACTAATGTGCAGGAACCAGCTTTTTTCTAATTTGAGAAAGCTTGTCCTTAAAATTTGGATACAAGAACAGGATTTTTCAAATATACTTACTAATTCTGTCTGGGTAAATTTGAAAGAATTGGAATTCTCTTGTTATAGAATTGAAGATAGGGATAAAGTCTTGAATATCAAATGCACTCTTCAACTGGAAAAGTTAAAAATCCATGCTTCGAACTTGGAAGTATGTAGAGCATTAGTCAACAATAAGACTATTTCTAGGTCTTTGAAATATCTGGATGTAGGAGGAATTAACGGGTACCATGACAACCCAAAAGATAAGAGAAACGTTGCCGAGATTAAGGCATCTATAGAAACATTTATTTTCATGTTTAATGATTTTGTCTTTTAGAATTATTTATACATAATGAACAACATGTCTCTCCGAATGGTGATTATGTTTATTCGAAACGATTAAGTCATCTCCAAATAAAATTGGAAATATCTAAAGGTATTGAAAGTAAAGCAACACCAATCAGATTTTACAAGTTAGTGAAATGGATTTGAGGAAATCTATTGTAAGATGGGTTTAATAATTTAAATGGAAATTTATCTAAGTAGTTGTCTTATTCATTATTTTGAATTCGTTTAGGTGAGATACAATCAACACCATGAGATTAAAAATCATGAATAACTTCTTCATCGAATCGGTTAAGAATTTCTTGATTGTCTGCCAATTCTTTTTGTACTTTCTTTCTCATATAAAAGACTGGACAATCTCTATTTGTACAAAGAACATCAGAGTGCAAACTACCTTGGCATCTTTGGCAGTGAGTCCAAACTCTACTGTAAATATCTTCATAGTGGTTTCTCTTATTGATGGCAGATTCATAAATTTTTGGAGCTACACCTTTTTGAGAACAATCAGAACAAATTGTTGTACCACCATTCTTTGGAAGAACAACTTTACATCCAAGACATCTTAATTGCTTTTGAGCAAACTTCATAATACCTCCTTTGGAAGGTGTTGGTACTGCAATTTGTCTGGTGTGATCACCACTAAAGAGTGATTGTGTGTTATCAATAATAGGTTGGAAAATTTGTTCGAGAGGTTTCTTAATTTGATGTTCCAAGTAATATTGTGCATCGATTGGAATACTATTTTCTAAAACCCAGATAGGATCTTCACTCTTTTCATAAGCTTTAGCACCTTTGTGAGCTTTAACTATAACATATGGAATTCTGTCACCGACACGAGGTGCAGTTAAAGGATCTCTCTTACTCATTCTTTCTGCAAGCTCAACGTGAGATTGTTTAGCTTTGTATTTATCACTCTTCTTGACTAGAGCTTTTGTAATAACCAGCATACTGATATCCATTCTGTTCATCAACAGATCAGAAATTACTGATTTGGCATAATTTACAGCAGATTCAATACTCCTCTTAATCAAAATTAAATGGAGGCAAGTATTTACAAGGTTTCTCACCAAGGCACAGTTGTCTCTTCTGACTGTGACAATACCCTTAGCGTCCATCTTATCGAACTTTTCTGGTTTTGTCCACAACAAACCAGCATATCTCTTCTTGGACAAAAGTAAATATGGATAATAAACTTTTTCAAATTCAAGTTTGATGGGTTTGACAAAAGTCTTTGAAATTTCTTGAGAAGCATGAAGACCAAGTTCCATCGCTTTCCTGATATCCTTTGTACCAAACTTTACCATGACAGAGTCTGTGTCACCATAAATAACAACAGCATTAGTTTCATAACCATTCTTAATAGTATAATTTTCTTCAACCATTTCCTTTGTGTGTTGAATCATTTCTCTACCAAAAGAAGTTACAGATTGTGAAATTTCAAGACAAGGAAGCATACCGACTTGGGCACCAGTGAAACCGTACACAGAGTTGGCACTGATCTTCAAGGCAAGCTGTCTACCATTCATAACAGCCTTTTCAAGAGGATCGGTTGCCTTGTCCATATCCTTTTTAGCTTGTTTTCTTGCCTGTAAGAGTTCTTCTAAAACAAGTGGAAGTAAACCTTGTTGAACTTCTCTCTTGATAAAATAGTCACCACTAGGAGTTTTTACATATTGATCTTCACTCAATTTGGCCAAATCTTCTTTCTTTAAGAGGGTAGTATAACATAAATTGTGAGCAATCATAATGGATGGATACAGAGAAGCAAAGTCAAGAGTTGTGATTGGAATGTCATAATAGCCAGTTTTTGGTGACAAAACGAAACCACCTTCATAAGTCTCTTCTGATGTTTCACCTTCTTCATCAAGTGATTCCTTCTTTCCACTTTTAGAAATAGTTGGCATTAAATATTCTTCCTTCTTAGCTTTTCTCAACAATTGAGAAATAACCTTAATTTGCTGACCTCTCTTTAAAATAAAAGAAACTGGAATGCCAGTAACACGAGCCATTTCAATATAATTAATAATAATCAACAATTTCTCCAAAAGTCTAATTGGAAGGAAAGCATCTTTAAGACAGTATGAAGCTAATCTTCTTCTATCTTCATCACTACCCTCATGAAGTGTAGAAATAATAGAGTGGTGAACTTCTTCTTTTTGATCACCAAGGAAATGAGCTGATACCGAGTTCAAAGTGTATGAGGAAAGTTTGTGGTCTCTTTGAATTGCTTGCATAACGTCGAGTTGGATTCTACCTTCAATATTAATATCCTTACTTTCTCTGGTACCGTATGCTTTTGAAGAAAAGGTACTATTTTTCATTTGAGATCTCTTACCAGCAATACGACCAAGGAATGGGAAGGAACCAGACTTTAAAGCTTTGGCTCTGTTAATTAAATAAGGTAAGTCAAAGTTAATAACGTTGTAACCTGTAATAATATCAGGATCGATACCAATAACGAAATTTCTCCAAGTTTCTAACATTTCTTTTTCAGTCTTGAAACAATGGATTTCTACACCAACTATTGGTGCACAATCTCCTAAACACAAAATATTCTTGATGAGTGGTTCTGATTTACCTTGAACAGTAACATAATTGGAAATAACAATTACAGGATCTGATTCAGCTTGAGGAAAGTGACCATCTTTACCTTTACATTCAATATCAAATGAAAGAGTTCTGAGAGGTGCAATCTTGTGCCAGCCTTCTTCTGTTGGGGCATGACTTATTAAATCTTCATATGAAATATCAACTTCAATTTGAGCATGACTAGTCTTATCATTTTCATTTCTCCACTTGTATGTACCTGCTGGAAGCTCTACCCAATTAGCACCAAAAATATTCGAATCAATCATGCAACGTAAAACAAACAGAACGTTACTTTCATATGTGAGGAATTTTCTAAACCCAATACCAGGAACGTTAAAACCCTTTTCAAGGAATTCTCTAATGTGAGGAACCATAGGAGGGATACTAGCTTCAATTCTTAAAAATGATTTTTTGGTATCAAATGCATAATGCATCAAACTCTTCTTCTTTTCAATACTAACATTCACAACATATTCGTCAACTTTACCTGCCTTCTTGATACCTCGTTCGGACATTCTAGCATTCAAAAATTGTGCAAAGTTTCTACATTGATCAGGATTGAAATTTTCTGGTTGTTCAATATAAAAGTAAGGTGTATAACCTCTGACGTGACATGCCACAGAGAACCCTTCTTCAGTAACACCATACAAACGAACAATAGGTACGTTGCCTGATGCAGGTCCTGGATAGCCTGGTTTTTGTTCGGCTAATGTATAATCGGCATCCATTTGTTGGAAAGCAATTGATGCTGTGCCTTTTACATAGAGTGAATCCTTGCTGAGGTGTGGTCTTGACCAGTTTGCATATTTTGGTGCTACAGGTTTATACTTTTTTAAATCTTCTAATGATCCTTGTGTAAGTTGTGTATTCACAATATCATCATCATCATATTCGTCTTCTTCCATATTTTCAGTTTCCATTATATTTTCATCGTCTTCAATATCTTCGTTGGCTTCCTCTTCATCAAAATCAGAAGGTGTTCCTTTCGAAATAACCGATTCATGTTCTTTCTGTCTATTCTTCTTTTGATCTTGTGATGACTGTGTAGTTGGTTTTCTCTTCATTTTTTTGTGTTTGTTTTTAAAAATTTAACGATTCTTTTGATTGTTGGAAGTGTAAATTGGCTGGAAAAAAGGAATAAGCTTTTTTATTGCTATCGTTCTTGATTGTTGATAGAGGTTAAACGATGAAGAATATAATTACAAGTTTCACCACTCTTGCCGTTCATGACAGCAACACTATTTCTATCAAATGGTGTGCTCTCCAAGTTAATAATGACAACTGGGACATTTCTTGCAGCCACCAACTTTGGTAATTGATTAACTGGTGAAACCAACAATCTTGTTCCCATAATAATCATCAAATCACATTCTCTACATTGTTGCCTTGCTTCAATTAATTTGCTATCTTGTAATTCTTCACCGAATGAGATTGTATTTGGTTTCAAAACACCTCCACATTTGCATGTTACCAGTTCATCTGGCAAAGATTTTCCTTCTAAGACACAATCCTTGACTTGACTGTAAATCTTCTCTGGATCTTCGACCAATGTACGACATTTGGTACAAACAACTCCTCTGGAGCTGCCATGAATTTCAATAACTTTGTCATCTGAAAGTCCAGCTTTTTGATGCATGCCATCAATATTTTGAGTGATAACTTTCAACAACTTTCCTTTCTCCTTGAGTTGAGCGAACAAGTGATGAGAGCCATTTGGTTCTGCCTTGGAAATTTGTTCCTTCAAGAACGCATGCATCTCAAAGTAATCGTCTCTTATCTTTTTTTTAGAAAGAATATTCTGGTAGGTCATTTCATCTTGATTCCACTTTTCCCAAATATTTTGCAATTGACTATTGCCACTGTTTCTAAAGGCAGAAATTCCACTTTCAACAGAAATACCTGCTCCTGTCAATCCCAAAATTTTAGATGAATTTTGAATGAGTTCAATAATCTTTTCTAAAGCGTTATCTCCATAAAGTGTGTTTGGTCTTTCTTCAATTTCCAAAATCAAATCAAATTCAAGACAATCAGCTTCTGTACGAGTAAAGAAATCAGCATGAACATTTGGATCACTATCGTAACAATCCTTCAATGTTGAAATGTTTTCTATTCTATTACATTGAATTCTTGAATTTCCAAGTGGATCTTCAATAATCAATTTGAACCAATCAGGAACATAATCTACATTGTTAACAATTTCAGAAAATACACCAATCTTTGGCAAGAGTTGACTTTGAATACTAGATGGCATATCATCAATTGAATATTTGATAGCAAGTAACAAATCCCGAACAGTTGTAAACTTTGAATTACCCTTCGGCATCTCAATAGAAAACAATGGACACAAAATAGTGAGAACCGAACTATCTGTTCTCAACACCAATCTATTCATCAAATCGGAGAATACTTTTGATGGAAATTCTTCCTTCTCCTTTTCAAAGATAATTTGTAAAATAATTCCCTTGTTATAATATTCTTCATTTTGCAAGGCTTCTAAATAATCAAAGTGATCAGAAGTTGGAACAATATCAAAGGGAAGCTCTGCTTTTTCAAAGTCTTTCATTTTTTTCTTTTGTTTTTTATTGATTTCCAGTTTGAATGCAATTTTAAAATAGCACCATTTGTGAACTTTGAAATTGCACTAACTCTGCAATCTTTAATAATTTGTTCACAAAAAAGGAGGAAACTCAATTTTTTGGACCCTTATTAATTTCGAAGGTCAATAACAAATGTTCACACCCAATACTAAAGAGGAGCCAAATACTAATCATCATCTTCTTCGAGGGAATGTGAATTTCAAAATCATGTTAAACGCCTTACAGACAATGATGTGCCTTATTCAATATGTTCTCTCTTTAAAAATAAAAACAGCACCCCAATGTTCAATGTTCTTTTAATATTTCCTATTTTGATTTAAAGTCTCTTTCAATTTGTAAAAAAGAATCAAACTCCTTTCGAATGCAAAACGTGTTGAAGACATTTCAATCCAATCAAATTAAAGATAACATCGATTATTATCATTATGCACAATTGACGAGTATTCACTCTATTTATATTTATGCTCAACATTCACTCGGTTATCGAACCAATTAGAGAGAGGACATCTCTTCCGCCATGCAATCTCAATCGAGATTAAAGTTTGGCAAATATCCATCTAGAGATAAATCAAACTAAAAAATCAAATCAACACTCAATCTCACTGCCAAGCTCAATTTTTTTCGGTTATTTTACAAAATACAACAAGCACTCAAACACTCAAACCACCACTCTGGAGGAAGTAAGGAATAAGAAGAGGATCTTGTAAATATGTTGATATCAACAACCCAGAAGAATGAGAATGGTGCATTGACTCATGAAATTCATCAAAATAATCATGATGAATTATCACAAGTTGGTGGTGGTGATATTGTAAATAACAACTCAAATGTTACAAGTCAAAATCCACCCTTGTGGAATAACCCAATTCTCTACTTGATTAACATTCATATTCTTGTTTGTTTACATGCATTCTCGTGGTGGGCTTTATCTCAAAGTGTTGATCATCCTCTTCGTAAACATATCATTACTCAGCCGTTGTCTTTCATTCATAAAACAATTACAACAATTCCAGAGACTATAATGATTCCTACTATTAATAATCACAACATTTCTGTTATAATTTCAGAGTATTTTCCTTCTGATGAAACTGTAATTTGTACTTCATTTCTGGCTGGTCCATTATTTGGTTTTGTAATCATTCCAATGATTGACTATTTTTACAATGGAAAGGAGTACGTCTATATGAATCAAGAACATGATAAGAAGGAAATTGACTCACAAACAAGAGACTATAGTACCCTGTATAGAATGGTTCCAATCATTTATACGATTTCATTAACTTGTTTGTTTTTCTATTCTTTGAGTAGAGTTCACTTGTTGACTGCTGAACAATTTCTCATGCATTCAATTTCATTGGGTGTTGCTTTGGGTCAATCAGGAGCAGTTTCTCATGATTTACTTCATAAGAGAACCTTCATTGAGAATTTATGTGCTAGGATTATTTTAATTTTCCATGGTTATTTACATTTCCCTCTGGAACATGTTTATTCTCATCATAAGAAAGCAGCAACTCCTCAAGATGCTGCCACTGCAAGATTTGGAGAAAATCTTTACAATTTTGCTGTGAGATCTTGTATTGGTGGATATATGAATGCTTGGCACATTGATACTGAGCATAGAGAAAGAAGGAGAAGAAGATTTAACACAACACTTCCAAGTTTACTCTTCTCAGAAATGTTCTGGAGTACTGTTTCATTGGTATTGTTTGCCTCGTTTGTATTTTACAAGTTTGGTACTTTGGGTTTGAGTTCCTACTTGCTTACTGCATTGATTGCCATTATTCTTATTGAATGTGTGAATTATATTGAACATTATGGATTGAAGAGAAAATTGAGGGATGATGGTGAGTATGAACCAGTGAATGAAACTCATAGCTTTGATGCCTTGTTTAGAATGAGTAGTTATGCCTATTTCAATATTGTTTTCCATGCAGATCATCATTTCTATGCAACCAGAGAATATTACAAATTGAGAGTTTATGAGAAATCTCCAAAACTACCATTCGGCTATTCAACCATGATTTTAATCTCTTTCATTCCACCATTGTATTTCAGTCTTATGAATCCAATTGTTTTTGAATTTTATAGAGATAGGGGTGTAGATTATGAAAAGTTATTGAATCAAGAATAATTGTGTAAAGTATGTAAATATTAAATAACAATGTAAATAGATTGAAATTAAATTTTATAAATACACTCATTCTTCGTTTTGATCATCACTTTGCTCATCCTCATTTCGTAATTCGAGTTCTTCATCATCATCTTCATCAGCGCCTTGGAGGATTCTGATTTCATCTCTATCTTCTCCAATGTGTTTTTCATTTGAAGGAAGGAAGAAGATAGCCAATGCAAATGGCCACAAATTCAACAAGGCATGACTAGCCAAGAATAAGAAGGATGTAAGCTTTCCAAGAGAATATGAAATAACTGATGTTGCAATAGCAATAAAGAGCACAAAAAGTGTGACACCATAAATAACCTTAAATTTGGAAGAATACTTTGTTGGAAGGTCACCCATCATTCCAACACCTCTAATAATATAATATAAAAGTTGTAAAATATATAGAGCTAATAAGAATATTATAGCTGCGGTAATATAATTGTGGTATGTCAATTCTTCAAATGAGTAAACTGTATCAAATTGCTTGTTAAGACTGACCATAATGAATGAAACAGTTGTAAGAATCCACAATGAGGTAATTAAAATACCCTTTGGGAAATAGAATGTAAATACACTACGATTCTCTTCCTTTGTATAAATGGAATGAGCAAATACCAAAAAGCTGAACAAAATAAGTGAAATATATGTAACTCTAAAGACAATATTAATCAAACTGAATAGCCAGATATCAGAAATATATTGCAGGACATAAACAGGGTCTAAAACAGTTTTAGAATTGAAATCAAATACTACTTACTATTATAGAGAACCAAGAATCCCAAAATGAGAGCAATCCACTTTTGTTCAGTGTGCCATACAGAGAATGGTTGCTTGAATCTAGTAAATCCAACAAAGAGAGCATATATAAGAATGTTAAAGAATAAGAAGACATATCTAAAAGCTATTCAAGTTAGTTGATGTGTTTTGATCATTAATATACATACCAATTTCAAATTTGACAAAACTATCATTCATACTCATATAACTGAAATATAATTTTGGAACGAAGAAATCCAATTCAGCTTGCTTCTTTTGATTTTTGATGGAAATTCTTGTTTCATATTTTGGATATGCAACATAAGGTAATTGGAAGAGAGTAACAGGTTGACAAGTTTGTTGGCCTTGACGACAAATTAATTCTCTCTTGTGAATCTTTGTTGTTGTTGGTGTAAGATCATGTTTTTTTCCTTGTGAATCTGTTCCGGTTAATGTAACTTCCAATTCCAAAATGTCTTCAAATCCGATCGAATTAATTAAACTTTCATTTGGATAGAAAGTCATGGTAAAAATCACTTCATCATTAAAAACAGAGAGATCATCAAAAAATCCAATAAGTGGTTTATCACCATCTAAAACTTCTTTAAAAACTGATGGTTCAAGATTCAATGGTTTATCATCAACAATTTCAACAGCAGGTGGTCCAAATATGCCTCCGATCGCAAGAACACCAAACACACCAGCTAAAACAAGATACAGAAAAATAATTGTCCACATCGGGGACACCTCAAAGCACAGACGCTTTTTCTCAGGTTGCATTTTTTTAGATTTTGTTTTAGAAGCCTCTTTGCATCATTTTAATAGATTTGTTACATCATCAATTTAATAATTAATTTAAATAACAATATTATTCTGTGTTTTGATGTAGTTATTATCAAACATAATATTCTTTTAAATTTTCATCATTTCGATTTACGGATTTTGGATTCCATTTCATAGAAGATTTTTTCGTTCGCCAATTAAGCTACTTTTTACTCTTAAAACACAAACCTGGTTAGTCGCCCCTTAGATCCCTGTACAAAGGCTGTAAAATAATTGTGAGAATGACGCGCTGGGTGTTTACGCCACAAAAAAATGGCCTTCACTCCTTCTTCATCACTTAAAGGGAAGTCTGGAGGTTGTTTTTCCATACTACTCTTTCTACAGTTTGTTATTTATTCAATAAGCCTTATTGTTGCAGGTCAAGAAGCAACAAGTTGTACATTTAAAGATACCTATATGGAAAAATCTTATCCTTTAAGTAGGGAGATGCCAGTCAGATATGATTTTAATAGTTTAAAGTTTTCTCTCCTTTTTTCACTTCCCGACAATTCAATGCTGAAAGGAAACATATCACTGAATCAGATTTCCTTAAAATCAAAGTGTACACTTCCTATCCTCCCTAAACCCTTCCGTGAAATAGCTTTCTATTCATTAAACTTGACTCAGATCGATCTCAATCAGAATTCTTTAAGCTTGGAAATTGGTGTGGAGTCACATGTTCCCACCTTCTTCAACTTGGATCCGTATTCGTATTGGATAGCTCTCTATAATGCACAAGATAATTCATGTAAATATCCTGGGACTTTTTCACAGAAAGGAACTCGTTTCACAACCACTATTGATCTTTATGACTCCTTCATATTTGGAGTATTTGTATTTAAAGACGTACAAAACGTTAAGTTTGATAGATCTGTTTCGATACACTACCCAAGAAGCATTTCTTTTATGTGTACCAACAATATCAAATCTGTATTATATACCTTCCCAAAGGCTGCTTACGTTGCGCCAACCTTATCTCCCTTTATATCTGTTGGTAGATACTATGTATCATATAGCGACATACCAGAGGGCTATTACATTTTAGCAAGATTCCAAGTTTCATTATTCAACCAACCTCTGAATTTGACAGAAGCAACAATTGATATTGGATTCAATAGAGCGAAATATGATTTCGATATAAGCAACAACTTAATTGAGATGTCGTTTGAGTCACTTACATGCATGTTCCTTATAGAAGGAAAGATTCACCAACTTGAATCACGATTTAATGATGAAACAACCTCCTTGACATGTCTATTCAATCAAGAATACAATGTCGATCATGACATGTTTATAGCAGTCAAGTCAGCCTACATTCCTACTATTTCCTCTTCAATGATTCCAGCCTTATTAGAAGGAAACACTGCTGAAAGGATTAACTTATCTAAAGGTGGATCAAAGGCTTTCAAAATACTTATTCCAAGAGGATACAGGCTATTGATACAAGTTAATTTTCCTGACACAACATTACTAACAGATGGATTGCCAATTTATCTTGCAACAGATACTATTCCAAGTAACCAACATTATTCTAAAGTGTTTGTGTCTTCTGGTTACTATAACAATGATGAACTTAGATCAATATGGTGCTATATTCTTGTAGAAAATCCCCAGTATGATACCTGTATTATAACACTCACTCCATCTTTGGAGTTTGCTGACGCCATGCCATTTGTTAACAGTAATACTTTAACTATTTTATTTGCTGTTTTGAGTGGGGTGTTGTGTTCCACTCTTATTCCATTGTTATGTGCGCTCTTTATAATTATTAGAAGAAATGAAAGAATGAAACTCCAAATGCACATTGAAGAAAATCTATCTGGATATGGATGCTCTCGTCCTTAAACAATCCCTTTTTAATTTGTTTTAATTATTTGTAAAATAAACAGATTAATAAGACCACAAAATCAGAGTTTCAAATCACACAAAGAACACAATACAAAAGTTAATTCATAGTGAACTCTTCACAAAATCTTTATTTTGAGGTGTCGACCTCTAATTTCACATAATTAGAAAAAAAATGTACAGTGACGAGTTAGATCACAGTGACCATCATCACAGAGATGGATCGAATTCTGGCATGACCTCCTCACCAAAGAGAAGTTTCCTCATCTATTGGTTGATTGGTTCTGTCACAATTCTTGTCTTGTCCATAATGTATGTATTATCCACAATCATTATATTCTCTAATTGATCCATTAATTGTTAATTGATACAAATAGTTTGAATATTGTTCTTATTGGTCTACAATTTAAATCGGGATCATCTGTTGACACTACTCAAAAACCAAGGAATATTATTTGTAAGTTTGTGAATAATGATAATTCATTGTGATTGAACTGTTTAATGATCATTTTCAATAATAATTATAATAATACTATCTATTTATCTGATAGTCATGATTGGAGGTTAGTACTAACTACTTTTTCATTATCCATCACAATACTATTAATTTATTCTACTATCAGATGGTTTCGGTCCTGCTGCCCAAAGTTTTGCTCGATACATGATGAAGAATTCAGCATCTAAAATCACAACACTTGCATTGGACAAGTATTTGGTTGGGTCTTCAAAAACTTACTCATCCTCCTCTGATGTCACTGATAGGTAAGTATAGACCTACTAATGCTCATGTGTGTATTGTGGAAAAATTCTGTGGATATTTATTGAATCTTCTTCTTATTGAAATGATTGAATAGTGCTGCTGGAGCAACTGCATTCTCATGTGCACAAAAGACCTACAATAATGCAATTGGAGTTGATAAGAATAAGAAACCGTAAGTTTATTGATTTGATCAATTGGAATTGAATTGGAATTAGATGTGGAACATTGTTGGAAGCTGCTATTAAGAAGGGAATGGTTACTGGACTTGTAGCTACTAATCCTGTGACAGATGCTACTCCAGCTGCATTTTCTGCACACGTTGATCATAGAAACAAACAAGATACCATTGCCTTCCAACAAATTAAACAGTTATCTGACATTTTTGGAACCTCTACTAAGAAATATGGTGTTGATTTATTGATGGGAGGTGGCAGAGCATACTTTTTACCAAAGGAATCAGATGGAAGTCAAAGAAAAGATTCAACAGACGTCATTTCTGTGAGTTTTCAAAAATCTTTAAATAATTTAATAATTTTCATAGACAGCCAAAGATCTTGGATATCAATATGTTGAAAATAGAAATGAATTGAGCAAGATTGAAAAATTACCAATTCTTGGATTATTTGCTTTGGAAGAAATGAAATAGTATGTGTTATTTAATGATTTCTTTTCTCATTAAAAGTTGGAAATTAATAGTAATATTGATAGAGATGATGAAGAAATTGAAAAGGAACCAACTCTTACAGAAATGACCAAGAAGGCACTCCAACTTATTACAAAGGAAAGCACTGAAAAGAATCGTGGTTTCTTCCTCATGGTCGAAGGATCAAGAATTGACCATTGGTATGTTATTCAACTCTCAATATTTACTAATAATTCATAAAGTGCCCATGCCAATGATATTTCCTGTCAGTGGCAAGAAGTTACCGAATATAATGAAGCATTCCAATATGTAATGGATTATATTAAGGAAAATCCAGATACCTTAGTTGTTTCAACTGCTGATCATGAAACTGGAGGTGTAACAATTAATAGAGATGTCGATTATGTTAACCAATATATTTTCTACACTGAAAAGATTAGAGCAGTTACCAAGTCAACTGAATATATTGCCTCTAAAATTACTAACACTACTGACTTTGCTCAAGTTGCCTCAATTTTGAATACATATGGTATTCCAGATCTTACAATGGATGAATTTAACATTATGCAAACAATTAGAACACCATTCTTATTTGCCATTGATGAAGTCATTAATAGAAGAGCTAGAATTGGATTTACCACTCGTGGTCACACTGCAGTCGATGTGAATGTTTACAGTTATGGACCTTCTTCAACTCTCTTCAATGGAAATCAAGAAAATACTGATATCGGTCAGAAAATTGCCACCCTATTAGGCTTAGATTTGAATTCCATCACAGAACAAGTCAACACCTACATGAATAAATAATTCTATCTTTAATTTCGAATTACCACCAAAATTGAGTTACCGTTACAATTTTAGATTTAAAAAAATATTTTAAAATAAAAAAATGGTTAGATTTGAAGACGTGAGTGATGAGAAGAAGATTAAACCATCAACTTCTTCATCCACAACAATGAACAAATCGAACACTCCAGATGTTATAACATCTTCATCATCCGCATCGATACAACCATCAGTAACCTTACAATTTAATTTTGGTCAAATTCCATTGTGTTTACTCTTGGTGTTTGGAATGATTTTTCATACGATTGTTGCCTTTCATCACGACTTGAATCAATTCCCAATATTACCTTCTCTCTTCTCCGTATTGGCTAGCCAGCAGATCTATTTGGTCTGGATTTGGTACATTGCTATTTCCCTTCATGTTATCGAGTCTATTGTTTGTTATGTTCAGATTGAAAAGTTTTTCAACAAGATGGAGAAGGAATACAATGCAATGGAGGTGAGAGATGCCTCCGTTCAGTGGTCCTACGCTCTCCATGCATTGGCATGTGGTTTTCCAACATTTAAAACCCTTCATGAAGCAATGGCTGTCTGTGAAAAATCAATTAAAAGTAAATAATTGATTGATTACTACTATTTAGCATGATAATACTCACCCATGTGCACTGCACTGCTCTGGAGAGAACTTCAACGATTAGCAATCACTGCTTGTTCCTTACTTCATTTATTACGTGTATCGAATAGGCAAAGAAGGACAAATATTCTTCATCACTGAAGAATGATTCACTGCATCATGTCAGCAATCAATCCTTACCTGCAGCTCTGTTTCAGTACAAACAAAATTCCCAAATAAAATGTCTCACCTCGGTGATAGCAATTCATCATCAGTTGCTCTCCCTCCTAATGATGCTTTGGAAATTCAATTTACCTTCAGTAAGAATAACACACCAAAGAATGAACATGTTAGATTTGGATGTATCCAATTGAATGAATTGGGTTTTGTAACAGATGGTATGTTGTTTAATGTGCTTGCATCATAATAATTGAAATTTTAACGAACAAACATTCAAATATTTCATCACCTGTCTACAAAAAACAACATTTCATCATCAACATGATTAAATAATATTATTATTACTATATATTGTATGAAATATCAACAAAATCAACCACATTCTAAACTGTTGAATGGTGTGACTAACTAAATATTTATTCTAAACTCTCAAAATTGAATAGTTATATTTGATGATCATAGTGGACCTCTTTATCAATTATCAAATTATCACAAAACCATATCATTGAAATCATCTAATCATACAGAAAATGATGGAGAATATAGTCAATCCTTTCTCATCAAACCAACACTCTCTCAATTATTTACAAATCCAAAAGAATTACTTGATGTTCCATTTAAACTATTTCTCAAAGACTTTCATAAACAATCATTGAAAGGAATGAATTATATTGAAGCATTCAATGCAAGTAAATTAGATGTGGCTCATGAAATGGAAGTTTTTAAACAACAAGCAATGGATGATGAAGAATTTGATATTGGAGCAACTTTATCCGATCCACTAAAGACATATAGAGGTAAAGCAAAGTGTTTTATCTTTTTTGTTGAAGGTGATTTGAGTAAAGCTATCAGCCCTCAATCAAATTTAATTGTTGAATGGGGAAAATATGTTTATGGTGATAATGTACCTAAGAATGTCAAGACAGAATTCAAATCAGATTGCAAATTCACATTTTCATATAACACTCTTACAAAATTTAAGAATAATCGTGTTATTTACTTATCAAGTATGTTGTGGATGGATAGCACTTCACAAACTTGTCAATTTACTCCTTTGGGATTGAATTTGGGAAATCAAACAAGTTCAATTATGGAATGTTACAAAACAGGATTGATTCATGATCAAATTCCTAAAAGTATGTTCTCCAATTATTCAAATGATTCATTAATTGATATTTTTAATTGAATTTAGATGTTTTCCCAACTCAAAATGATGATTTAGTTCATTCACCATACAAATACTTTGAATTAAAGAAGAATAATTCAGTTGTTTTGGAAGGAACTCATCATAATAGTGGAGTTAAATACTTTTACTTTGAAATTTCACATACTTTGGTTGGTAAAAAGTTTAGTATTAGTTCAAAAGCAGCTTGTTTGGATAAGGGTAATTATGTAATGAATCATATTGGAGAACCTATTTTCAATCCAGCATGTGAAAAACCAGTCATTGTTGGAAAGACTCATTCAAAATCTGATTGTACATTCTCTGTTGATTTGAATCATGTTCCTGATGGAATTGATAAGATTTTATTCGTTTCAGTTTTCCAAGGTAATTCTGAAACTAATTTCATCAGAGTTAGAGATAGTGTTATGAAAGTTTACAATGAAAAGAAGGAACTTGTTTCTTCTCTTTTTGCTTCTCCAGGTACTGAATGCTGTTTGATTTGGGGTGTTTTAAAGAGATTGCCAAGAGTGAATAATGGTCCTCATAGATGGGAGCTCTATAACATGGATCAGTACACTGATCAGTCTGGTCACTTGGGTGCTTACAAGTATGCTGTCAGACATATGCCAGTTGTCTCTCCTCTAATTGATACTGTTGATACTTGTCCACTCCTTTCCAATGCCTCTGCTAATATGAGTACAACAGTTGAATTTTCTACTCAAAAACCATTGCATGTTAAATTGAGATTAGGTAAAAGATTGGCTCCATATCTTGTGGAGAATGATGACGATGATGAAGATGAAGGATTCACACGTAAACTCTCAAAGAAACCATTCATTACAATGGATTTATGTTATTTTGATAAGTATGGCTATCATGTATACCATGAAACTGCCAAACAGGCAAAAAATAAGTATAATACTGCCTTTGAACTTGCGTTGAAGGATCAGGTTGCTAATTTCCCATCTCTCAAGACATTGTTCATCAAAATTTCATTGAGATTACCTGAAACAACTATCAGAGGTGAACCAAAACCATATTATGATTGTGATTTTGAGGATGAAACTAGACCAAGAACACTTTCTCAAGGATTTATTAATTCCATTGTTGATGAAACTCATCGTTTTATTGTTTACGATGAGGAGAAGAATCAAGATTTATTTGCTGTCACTGTTCAAGATTTGAGTTTGAATGATCAACAGGAAGCTCTCAAAAAGATTAAGGACAAAACAGTGATTAAACCATCATTCGAAACTGATATGCTCATGATTAAATTGGAGAAGGTAGATATCAAATCAGATTTGTGGAAAGTAGTGCCATTGAGAGCAGATTTTAACAGAGAAACCAACTGGATTGAAAAGATCAGAAAGGAAATGTTATCTGATTATATTCGTTTGAGACCTGCTGCCAGAGTTTTAGCACCAAAAGAAACAGTTTCTACACCATTTGTTGATGATATCTATAAGGATATTGTCACTTCTGTTATGGCAGTTGAAGCATCAAAGATTCAATACAAACCAAAGCTTCAGGTTTTGACAGTCAATAGTGCAATTGAATTGACTGAACAAAATTGTAGATATGGTAATCCGCTTTGTGTTGAAATTATTACAAGTCAAAAGAGATTTACTTATGCAGGTGAAAATTCTAGATTTGAAGTTAGTTATAAGGATTATGATATTCAAACACAAATGCTTGGTATTGTTATTAATTTTGAGTTGACTGCAGTTCCTCCACCTGGTGAAATAATTGTTTTGAAATATTTTGATCAAATTGTTGGAGGTGAAAAGTTTAGAGTAGTAATTGATCCTTCCAAATGTGGATGGGCAAAGGTTGGAGATGTCTTGTCAGTATTGTCTGTTATGAAGGATGTTGGTACGAGAATGATTAATTCACAAGCATTATGCAAGGTAAATATGCAAGACTTTAATTGTTTGCTTCCTGAACCACCAAAGCATTTAATGGTCAAGATTATTAAGGCAGTAGATCTACCTGCTCACAATAATGACAAACAGTAAGTATTTCAAATAATCAAATTACTAATCACAATATAGTTCTGATCCATATGTTGTAGCCAAATTTGATGATGGAAAGAAAGAAGTCAATAAGAAGAAAACAAGTTTATTTATTACAGATCCAATTAAGAAATGTTTGAATCCTGTGTGGAATCAAAGTTTCATGATGTATGTTTGTTATTTTTTGTTATTTAATTAATCAAATCTATTAGAAAATTGATTGGAGATATTAAAGCTGACACAAGAGTTTTGGCATTCCATATGTACGATAAGGAATCTATTTCAAAAGATAATTATATGGGATTAGTGTCTGTAAATATGAAGGACATTGTTGATGGTACAGAGGTTTCATATCCACTCAAACCAAATCTGCTAATCCAAAAGAAGCCAAAGGAAATTGAAAAAGTTAAAGGAAAGCTTTATCTTTCTTATGAGTTTTTATATTAATAAATATTTTCGAGTTAATGTTTGTAAAATCTATTTGCTTTGGGAAAATTCTTTAAAGACCAAGTTTTTCAGCAGAAGCATTACCAAATAATTGCTTATTGGAGAGAGCAGCCTTGAGCATGGAAGAGTAGATTGGAGATGGATCAGATGATACTTTACCACTGACTAATCCTTCATTATTACAAATTGGGACAGGGATTGAGTCTTGATCGATAACTGCCTTAACAATATTCAAAAGTTCAACATAATCAATTGAGTCAATAAGCTTGGATTTCTCCTTGACCAATTGTTTTCCAACTTCTGGTGTAATTAATTGATGAGTTAAAAAGTATGTCATATTCTTTTCCAATAAATCAACAACGAATAAATTGAGTTGTTTGGTTAAAACCTTCTTGATTGTTGGATTCTTGCATTCCTCAACTTTGCTGTGGAATAATGCTAAAAGTTCATTTTCAATGTAGGCTGTTGCTGCATCCAACAATTGATTTTGTACCATATTCCAGGCATTGAAATGATTGAGTGCCTTCTTTTGCTCCTTTGGAATATTATCTTTAGTGGAAAGATTGAGTTCATTTAGAATATTTCTAAATCTGAGAGCAGCAGATTGAACTTGCTTTTCAAGTTTGACGTCGAATAATGACAAGTAAAAGTTTGGATCAAGCAAATTGGTTGAGTTTTTCAATTGTCTTGATTTTACATTATCATTCAAGGAGTCTAATAAGTAATAACCAACTGAGGAGAAAACGCTTGAGTATTTCTCGCCCATTACCTTGTTATAATTACCAAGGAGATATTTGGATACTTCTTGCTATTTATAATGTTAAAATAAAAGAATATATTGAAAACTTACCAATAGAACAGTATTATCACCTTCAAAAGTCTTGTAAATATCGTGATTACAAATAGCTTGTCCAATTCTATTAAGATTTGAATAGCCCAAGCCACCACACTTTTCTCTCAACTTGACAATACATGTTTGAGTGGAATCAGTCAGATATGCCTTATAACCAGCGCTCATTATGTGAAGCTTTTGAGTTGTTTCAGGAGTACGATTCACGTACAAGTGGAATACTTGATTGGAGGCAAATCTAAATGCAAAGAATTTGGCCAACATTGGATATAATACAGTTTTTTGTGATTGAAAATTAATTACTGGATATTCTGATTGATTAGGGATACCGAATTGTCTTCTTTCAAATGAAAATCCTAAAGTTAAAACTGAAAATGGGTTAATAAAAAAGTAATACCTAATACCTACATAAAACTTTGGAAAGGACTTGGGCAGAGTTGACGCAAATGGTTGTTCTTCCCATTGTTAAAGTTGACATCATTGATCCAAATCTTTGGTTGGCTGACTTGATTTCACTAACATATAAACCTTCTGGTGTAACATCACCATACTTGTTTAACAAGTTTTCTCTTGGGACATGAACTTTGTTAAACATAAGGAATCCGTTATCGAGATTATTCAAACCCTCCTTAACAGTACAATCACCAATGGTTACACCATCATAAATTTCATTAGTGCTTGGATTTCTAACAGGAACTACAAGGCAATGAACACCATGATTTTCATTACCAACATAAAGTTGAGCAAATACTAAACACATATGACAATGTCTAGAGTTTCCAATCCAAAATTTGCATGATTCTCTATTTGGAGTGTTAATTTCAAATGTATCAGTTTCTTTACAATAAGTAGCTGTTGTTTGAATTCCTTTAACATTAGATCCGTGTGCAAGCTCAGTAATAGCACTAAAATTATTAGAAAATTACAAACACTCGAAATAAAACATACTAACTTCCCATCAATTCTAAGTTGTCAATTTTTTCCAAATATTTTCTATGTCTTTGAGTACCAAGACTTAATAAAGTACCTCCCCAAAAACTAAACTATTCCGAGTCAGTAATTTAATTAACATTGATAATTACCTGGAGCATAATTTTGGTTGATAAGGCTTGATCAAAATATGCAGCAGCAAAGACTCCAGCAAAAAATGATGCAGTATCGTGTTCCAATGTCTCAATTGAAAAACATCTCTTTTCCAATACTAGATATTTCAACTAAAATATTCACCCATTTGAATTTGCATTTTCATGATAAACTATTTAAATTATATATTATATTTAAACCTACTCTCTCATAATTATAATCCATTTGTTCAATTCTTGGCATGTCCAAATCAGGTGCAGCAAAGAGGTCGGGTCTGTCTTTCATTGCTTGAATCACTCTTAAGTATGATTTTTCCTCCTTTGGGGTGAATGGTGAAATAAATTTTGAAAATTCATTGAAAGGAAATGTTTCGGATGGTTTGACAGCAACTTTTTCAGAAGATTTTGTTGGAGCAACAGTTGGTGGTTTGGTATCTTTTGCTTCTTTTTTCTGTTGTGGAGTTGGTGTTGTTAGCACTGGATTCAAATGTTGCTTCAACATGTCCATTCTTTTTTGTCCTACCTGATCATCAATCTTTATTTTCCGATCACTGGTAAGTGCTTGTTGGATGACGGATACTTTCTTCTTTTCTTGTGCTGGCATTTTTTTGTGAAGGTTTTGTGATTTGTTGGATTAGTTCTTAATTGGATATTTATTGGTGCTTGGATTGAGAGGAGGTAGTTCTTACTGAAGACAATGAGCCCAATGTTGCGAGTGTTGGGGATGATTTGCTTTTGGGTTTTGAGGAGTCTTTCAGGAGAGGTTTTGTAACTCTGTTCATTAATAAGTAAAATTGAATATTTGAAAACTTACGTTGGTTTTGGTGTTGTGGTTGTTGGAATTGTTACTGTGGAAACAGTCTTGTTAGTTGTTGGTTTGACAGGATTAGAAGGTGTTGGAGAAGGACTAGGAGATTTGGTTTTTGTAGTTGATGTAGTTGGAATATTCAAATTTGTTTTGGAATTGCTTGTTGTTGCAGGTGGTCTTTTTCTTGGACCACTTGTTGTCGAAGGAGGGGAGTTGTTTGCTGAGTTGATAACTGGAACAGGTGAGGTCATTAGGAAGTCCTTATCTGGCCATTCTTGTTCCTCTCTTTCCTTTCGTTTATCATTGATATCATCTTGTGTTTGAAGATTAAGTCTAAAACCTCTGTTTGTTTCCGTTTCAATCATTGAGAGAATGTTTTTAGCCGAGACAGCTGCTTCTTTAACATCTCGATCCTTATCCAAACTCAAATACGAAAGTTTTTCCTTAATTTTTGCTAATAAAATAACATCATCTGGCAATGTCAAAGTTTGTTTTAGCTCTGGGAGCATGAAACAAAATCTTCTCCTAACATTTGCAATTTTATCCTTTTCCAATTTCATAACATTTTCAAACAGTATTTCTTTTGAGAATTTTCTACTGAAATGTTCCATAATAGGGTGACATAAATCGAAAAACATCATTCTGTTACACCATGATTTGCTGTTTACCAACTCCTTAATCAATGAGTTGAAAATGTCCTTTTGTCTGCTCAAGTTATGTAATCCTCTTGTCAAAATAACAAGAGATAAAGCTGCTTGAAGTTTAACTGGAATGGCAACTCCTTCAAATATTTGTTTCCTCAAAATTGGAATAAATGTCTCAATGATTTGTTCCTTAGAAAAGTATTTGTGGAAGTGTTGGAAGTGAGAAAAGTAGTTTTCCAATCTTCTCCAGTTGTTTTGAACACCACTATGATACTTGTTGATGTGAGTGATTACTAAACCAAAAAATGGTTCTGATGTTTTAGCAAGAGCAGTCTTGAAGCATGTTAAAATAGTTGTAAGGTTTTGTACAATCTTGTCCTTGACCTCATTGTTCACATCCTTTTAAGGTTACAACATTTCCATTTTAAGATTACTTACAGAAAGCAAAGAGAAGAATAAATTCTTCAGTACTTTTGCTGTTCCATCCTCTGCTAACAACTTTAAAATTTCATGAAATCCAGAGGCAATCCTTATTCTAACTTGAGACGAAGGATCCTCACATAACACTACCAAACAGTTATGAAGCTGTTTCTCGTATCTTTTGGACCCTACACATTTCACAACAGCAGGAAAGTTGAATGCACAAAATTCTCGTATTTCTTGTGAGTTATCTTTTGAAGCGTTCACAAAGAACTGAATAAGATAAGAGAGATGACCTTCATCTTTGAAACACAAGTAGAAGAAAATTTCTCCAAAACGCTCAACCAATGTTCTGTAGAGGTCACTTGGTGGTGATTTAATCCAGTTGATGTAGAACTTTTGAAGGTAATCAATTCTATATTTTTCATCAAAAAAGCTTAACAGGCTGGTTAGTGTTTCTATAGCAGCTTGTCTCACTAATTTTGTCTCGTCCTTAACTAATTGAATAAGTTCTAATAACAAGTATTGTTTTGTTTTCTCTGGTCTGGAATAAATTACAATAAATAACAAAAGCATGTAAATAAACTTACCCCAGCCCTTTAGAAATATTTAGAATCTCTATGGCCATTGTTTTCCTCACAGAGAAGGATGTATCTTGACATAAATCAATGATTTTTTGGAGATAATGATCCTTAATTGTTTGGAATGTAAACCTCTTGGACAAGGCTCCAAACAATCTGACACAAAAACATCTATTCTGTTCAGACTCCGAGAGACTACCCTTCTGAATAGCAAAAGGTATGATTTCATTTTCCAATAACCCAATAGGGATATGTTCTACTGCAAGAATTAAAACATCTTGAAAAACAGAAGATACATGATCCTTAGCGTTATTAATCATTGATTGGAGAAGAGGGAACAGCTCTTTCAAATTTTCTCCAGACATCAAAGGAAAGCAAGGAACAAGATAATCTCCAATCATAATTTGTGTATCCTCATCCTCTTTGTTGATTTTATCCTATTACAAACATTAAGCAATAATCGCAACTAAAAACCTACAGAAAAGAGAAGTATTATTCGCGAAACAGCTTGTTGTTGTCTTTGAAAAAGAGAGGGAAGATTTTCGAGTACGGAACATTTTTGTACAGAAGTACCTGATGAAAGAAGAAGAACAGCTCGTTCGACTTCTCCTAAATTTTCATCCACTAGATACCTCTCCAATAATTGTCCTTTTTTCTATATTTTAATCATGTATGATTTATAATACAATTCTTAATACAAAACGATTTTAAAAATTACATACCTGAGCATTCTTTTGGATTTCTGTTAGTGATACTTCAGAAACAGATGGAGCTATCGATGATGAGAGCTCAGGGAATGAAAATTGTATGTGTGGGAGGGAAATTTTGTTTTCATTCATTTTTTATAGCAGCTGATAATTGTGTTCAATAGAAGACTTCCCGCCAATGGAATGTACAGACGCGGGTGTAATAGAATTATTTTGGTAGGTTTATCTTATTAAAAAGTAAATGAAAAAGTTTGAGGCACGATGCTCCTATCGTTCTGTTTGCGTTCCTCCTCAAATCATGAACCACTAATTTAAAAGCTTTTCAACTAAATGGCTGAGCTAATAAAGGCCAAATGAATAGGCACTCTTTTTTCTTTTGATTACTATGTAAATTTGATTATCTCTTTCGCTACACATAAAAGATCAGCAAGTAACACAAGGGAATGAAATGTAATAAAATCGTAATCTGACCAAAACATGCCCTGTCATTCAACGCTCAAACTTTAAAAAGAAGAACCACTTCTCTAATTCAGAATCACGACCGTTGGTGATGAGTGTATTGTTTAATAACTGTAATGCACTTGATGAAAGAATGCATAGACGATAAGGAATGCAAGCCACAATGTTCAAAAACGGTCTTAATATTGCATCAAAGCAAGGCGATTTCTTTCTTTAATAGTTAACAGTATTTTGTAGCATTTATGCAGCTCAAAATCCAGCTCTAACTCTGGATGAAAATTCTTCAAGTAAAAAGTCTAGGAAAAAATCTTGCACTAAAATCTACTTTTTTCCAATATTGAACAGATTTCAGTGCAACCATACTTGAAGAATAATCAAAATAAGCCTGAATTGAAGAAAGATAATTTGAAGTTCAATTAAAATAAAGTCAACTTTCCTTGATTAGAAGTTGAATTTCACTTTCTTAAAAGAAATTTAAGATTTTGTTGCTTTATCCCTTTATTATCTCTTTTCAACAGGTATCATAGTGCTACTACTCAACCTGCCAGTACAAACCTTAAAAAGAAGATGCACCTCAAACCTAGCTTTCCAAGAGCATGGGCTGTTAAGTGTTCAAAAATGGCCTTAATACACAGAGTGCATTAAAGAAAGATCAGCCAAATATCTGCTTTGTGATTCATTTCGCAATCGTCAGTAGCAACCATTCACAGTGTTAATCATCAGTAGTTGATGTGGCATCAAAGTGGTCACCCGTTAGAAAAAAATTTTAAAAAAAAAGAAAACATTTGTGGTTCGTTTTTTATCTTCCTTTTGACCTTCTCTGAATTGTAAAACTTGAATCCGCTCCAAAAAACCAACTGAAGATTTAAAAAAATTGAAAATGGAACAACCTGAGCCAAAGACTTTCCATGGTGAAGAACCATCGGAAGACTCTCAGCCTCAACATGAAATCAATAATTATAGTGAGCAAGAAGAACCAGCAACAATGCTAGAAGAAACTGAGGATTCAACTATGGAGTATCAACAATCATCATCTTTTGAGGAAAACTCTACTAAGGAATCATCAAAGACAGAAGAAGAATATCAAACTTCTAGTTATGAGGATGATTGTAATGATTTCAGTGCTGATGATGTATCTACTCCTAGAGCAAACTCCAGCTCGGATTTTTATCATGATAAACTAGCAATACAAAAACCGAAAACATTGATTAAGGTGGGACTGCCATCACCTTCTCGAACACACCCCCAAACAACAAACAGTATTAGAAGGGAGAGTCCATCATTTGGTAACTCTCAATATAAGGTTCCTTCATTTGTCCCAAAGCTTTCACTTCCTCCTAATCGATCACCAAAAGCTTCAACACCTATTCAAAGATACGAAAAATATCCTATCAATCAACCATCTGTTTCCCATAGTCAAGAGATTAAAAAATCTAAACCAATTCACTCCACAGACAAGCCAATTATCGACAAAAAGGAAAGAATTGAAAGAAACTTTACTGCCAGTCCAACATTTGATGAACCAAAGAAAACTCCAAAAACTCCAACAAGACAGTCCTTGAATCTTCTCTCTCCTAAACATCCTCTTTCTACAGGACCTGGAGCAATGAATTCGAAAAGAAGATCTCAATCAAGAGAAAGAATTTCAAAAATGTTTACTCCTCCAACTAAGGGTGCAACTGGAGCATTTGCAAGCATGTCTGATTTTTTGGAAGTGAAAAGAACCCTAGAATCTATGGGAATGAGTTATAATGGGAAGACTGTAATAAGTTTGGAAAGTTTTGATGAGGAATCAAAAGAACCAATTTTATTAACATCTCCTAGAAGTATTGAAGCATGTTTGAGAACAGGAATAACCCCATTAGAACTCTTGAAAAAACCAGAATCAGAATTCACCAAAGGTGTCTCTGAAGAGGTTGGTAAAATGAGATGGGCCCACTATGAAACCAGAAGAAAAGAAAAACTCATGATGGTCAGGGAAGAAAGACAAAAGATCATTATAGAGGATGAAGATATTTCAGGTGTATTTGATTTTGAAGAAGAAAGGATGGAAGACTCTTACAGAGTTCTGATAGAAGAACAAAATAAGGTAGAGAGTCAATTCAAACATAACAGAACCTATATTGAACATTTAGTACAATATGAAATAGATTCAAAACGTAAACTGGCAGAAAGAGAAAATAGACTCAAAGAAAGAGAAGAAAGAATTGAAAAGGAAAGACAAAAAAGAGTGGAAAGACAAATGGAAGCTAACAGAAAGAGAGATCAAAGCATACTAGAAAGACAACAAGAATTGGAAAGATTACGAAATGAAAGAAAATTAATAGAACTTGAAAAGCAAAGATCTGTTGATCAAAAAGATGAAAAAAGACAACAACAAGTTGAAGCTAGGTTAAGGGATGCCAAGAGTAAAACTGATATGCTAAAGTTAAAGAAGGATGATAAGATTAAACAAACCCAAATGAGAGATGAGCAGAATCAAAAACTGAAAGAGCAATCTCTCCTTGAAAGACAAGAACAATTTGAAAAGAGAATGAAAGAATTTGAGACCCAAAAGAGCAAAATTCTCCTCCAAACTAAACAAAGGGCTATGAGCAAAGAAAAAAAGGTTAAAGAAGCACAACAAAGAGGACAATTGAATGAACAAGAAAAGCTGAATAAGATAAATGAAAAAATCATGATGACAGAAGACCAATTAAAGAAATTTGAGAATGAAAAGAATACGCTCACCCAAAGAAAGAAAATAGAAGAACAAAACAGAGAATTCCACAGACTAGAAGTTATTCAAAAGAATAAGGAAGAAACTGAAAAGAAAGTTGAAAAGATTTTAACAAGACAACAAAAAGAAGAGCAAATTAGAAAGGAACTTTTGGAGAAAGCTAGAAGAGAATCTCAAAGAAAGGCTGAAGAACAAAGATTAAAAGATATGGACAAGGCAGAAGTAATTGAAAGAACAAAGAGGGTTGAAGAATTCAAAAAGCTCCAAGCATTAGCTGTTATTGAGGAAAAGAACAAGAAGGTTGAAATGATTGAAAAGGGAAAGCAAGAATTGGCCGAAAAGAAACAACTTCAGAGAACTCTTTTAGAAAGAAGTAAATATCTATTGAAGAGAGTGAATCCTGATTCAATAGAAACAGCAAAAGATGTTTTGAATAAGTCAATTGACAGCAAATCTCTCTCAAGTAGTATAGATTTTGACCAACTCAAGCTTACACCAAGATTTTCAACACCTAGAGGCCAAACTCAACATTAAATAATTGTGAATATTAAAATTATTTTGTAAAAAGTTAAATCAGATTATTATTGTTTGACAATCTTGACTGAAAGTACACGCAAAGCATCAAGTAAATCCAAATCCTCAAAGTTATCAATTCTTCCCTTTTGTTCATCCTTTGCATTCCACAAAATGAAAGTTGGAATTCCTTTCACACGCAAATCAGCATGTGTTCTGTATGGATAGCTTGGATTTCCCTTGTATTCTGATCTTTCAACGAGAGCCTTGATTACAATTACTTTAACACCTTTCTTTGAAGCTTCTCTTTCTACTTCAGGAATAAAATCTTCATAAATGATTGGTTCCTATGATCATGTTTAATAATCGATTGAAAATTATTTAAAAACAACATACTGAAACAACACAATCTGGACACCAACTCTTTTGTGTAGTGGCATCTTTCTTTCCGGTGACATAAACATAAACCAAAGCACCTGGATTATTGTTCAATTGATCTTGAACAGTGGCATCAAATTCAGCAGGAGAATCAACAATTACGTCAATAGGCATTTTTTTATTTAATCTTTGTCCATCCTCCTCATCATGATTTAATTTACAAGGTTTATTTCTCAGTAATTTCAACTTTTCCATCCTTTTCTTCCAAGGTTAATCTTGTGAAATTGGTGTTAGTATAGATACAAATTTCACCAGCAATAAGCATGGCCTTTTGAGCAATTTGTTCAGCATCAAATCCATTTACATCCAAAAGAGCTTTGGCAGCTGAAATAGCATAATGACCTCCACTTCCGATACCAACAACACTATCATTAGCTCCACCTTCATTTGGTTCAAGAACGTCACCATTACCTGTAAGAATAAGAGTAATATTCTTATCGGCAACAATCATGACAGCTTCTAATTTCCTCAAATATTTATCAGTTCTCCATAATTTGGCCATTTCAACACATGCTCTCATTAATTGTCCTGGATATTCTTCAAGTTTAGCTTCCAATCTTTCAAAAAGAGTGATGGCATCAGCTGTTGAACCAGCAAATCCAGCAATAACATCGGAACCAATTTGTCTCAATTTACGAGCATTTCCCTTCATGACAACATGGCCAAGAGTAACTTGTCCGTCAGCTTGAATGCAGACCTTTCCAGCTTTACGAACACACAAAACTGTTGTTCCGTGCATATCTCTTGATCCATCCATAGTACTCTTGTCCATTTCCATTTTGATTGGTTGGGTATGGAAAAATTGTTGTGATGATTTACAATTTAAATTACACATTTGAACAAAAACATTTTGATGATTAATATTATTTAAAGATGATGAAGAATTAATTCTCAATCCGGATCTAATCGAAGCCAAACTGGCAACTTTTGATGATTTGGAGACTTGGAGAGCAGCACTAGTCAATCTTTTCATTTTTTAATTTTTTAAATAAAAAAAATTTCAAAAATAGACTTGTACTTCCTCATCATTGTATTTAAGTTGAAAAAGAACAACAAAAGAGAATAGAGAATTGGATCAGGAATAAGTTGGCTAAATATTTAAAAACAATAGTAGAATTTCTTTCGAACAACAATCATCAGGAATTGGACAAATAGTTTGAAATTTTATTAAGGCTTGCAAGATCACAATTATTTATCTGTTCATCATCATTATTCACACCTCTTCATCACATTTTACTATGATACATAATCTTATTATTGCCACAGAATCGGGTGTAAAATTGTTTGAAAAACAATTTATGACCCCAGTCGGTAATAGCTCAAACATGTTGGCCTCCCTTCTCACTGCCGTCTTAGTGAAAGGAAAACGAGAACTTTTTCATACAATGGAATATTTTGAAATGCAACGAGTAGCTTTAACAATAGTAAATGATGGTTCTAGAAGATTGTTCTGTGCTGTGATTACAGATTCTGATGTTGGAAATGAATTTCCCAAACTCATAGCAACACAAACTCTTCAGAAATATATTGAGGAATCTACCAAACTTCAACAATCCACGCAGCAAACTCTCTATCAAACATCGAACATACCAATTCCAGGAGAAAGAAAAATTCAAAATCAAATAGGAACAAAATCAGATGTATTAACACAAAATACACTGCCCAATTATCAAACTCATGATTCGTTTGGATATTCACGAATGGAACCATCAAGCTACTTTACAGGACAGAGAGTTTTTCCCTCACTCTCAAATAAGAATGGAAAAGAAATTACTCTCTACCCAAGAATACGATTTAATGGAATGGTGTCAGAAGAAGAGATTAAGAGTGAAGAACCATTCCAATTACGAGTCGATCCTTATGTTTTTCAAGTCAAATTACGAGAAACCTTTTTATCAATTGTTCACTCAATATTGAATGAATGTAAGTTTAGTACAACAGAATTCAAAAATAATCGACAAATTAGTGAGAAATGAAACAGGAATAATAAGTGCAGATTTGATAAGCAAAGATAAGGATGTCCTTTGTTCAACAAGTCAGAATTTGGACCTTCAAGCATATTCTCATTTCTTAATGTCTAATGCAACTGATATCAGTAAGTATTTTAACAATTCTTTTTAATGTGAGACTTACTATTCATTAGTGAATGCTGTTAATGACAAACCAAGATCAATGGAAATTGTTCTCTCCACTGCAACGGTGGTAAAGATTGTGCAAGTGGAGATGAATTGTAATTTAATTGTACTGTATCAAATGCCTCAATCAATGCTTTCGCCCACACAAGATATTGTTACTGAGGAAGATATGGAATCAGTTGTGGATAATATTCACTCTGTAATAGATTGGGCTGTAAAGTTGTTAAGGAAAGTTCAGTATCTCCAGAAAATGACATAAAATTTAATTAAGTTTTTTTTTATTTTATAAAGAAATTTAATCAGTTTCGTCCATCTTGGCTTCTGGAACAATCTTCAAATCAGTCTTCAAAACAGCAAGAACTTGTTCATCTTGAATACTCTTTTCAGATTGGAATGATTGGACTGGCAAACCAGTAATCTTTTGGACTTGCTTCTTAGCAATGAGGATTGTTGACTTTTGTTGAGCAACAAATTCACCCTTCTTGGCAACCAAAACTGGGTATGGATCAATCATTCTATTGTTCAACAATTCCAAAACTCCCATTCTGCCCAACTTAGGATCTAAGTGCTTAACAGTGAATGGAACAGCACCGAATTTATCCTTGATTTCTTCATAAACCTTACGAGAAGCGTTAACCTTCAAATCAACAAGAACGGATGGTTCTCTCTTGTAGACAGTAGTTCTAGAAGTACCTTCACGCAACTTAGCTTCATCACCAGTTGAAGCAACCAAATCCAAACAGAAAACTTGGTTAGATTCAAACTTGAATTCGTCAACAGTTTGGTCAGCATCTTCGTGCAACAAAATAACATTCTTTCCGTCAACAACATCTCTCTTAATTTCGTGTGACAAAACACCGTTAACCCATTTAACATTGAAAGCACGAGCAACCTTTTGGAGGGCTTGAATGAGGTCAGTGTTGGTCTTTCCTGGCTTCATCAAACGTTGAGCAACTTCCATACCTTGTTGAACAGCAGCAAGACAGTCAGCTTCTCTACCGGAGACGACGTTTGGAGTCAAAATATAAGTTTGAGCAATGTTGGAGATGAATCCATCAATTTGAACACCCAAATCAACTCTAACAACATCATTTTCCTTCAATGTGATAGCAGCTTCTGGTGTATTGTCGAGTGGAGTGAAGTGGCAAATAGTTTCGTTAACGTTAACGCAAGTTGGGAAAGCAATACCCTTCTTCATGCCCTTGGACTTCTTATAAGCATGTTTAATCTTTTCTTCCATGAAAGAATCACCAGCAGAACACAATTCGATAACCTTGACACCAGGCTTCATCAAACCTTGAATATGCTTCATGGTTTCTATTGTTCATAAATATTCATAATTATTGTTATATCAATACCATTATATTATCCATTATATTATCATCATAGAATGTAAATATATTATTATTTTGTTATCATCATACAAAATTCCATCAAATAAGAATATTAAAGCAACGTCGCGAAATGTAAAATTCGCAAAATATTTTCTTTTTAGCTTTAATCCAACGATAAGAACATACCATTAGCAATTTCGGCAGCAAGTTTGTACTTCTTGATGACGTCTGGGTTGTCGATGGTTTCATCAACAGTTTGTTCCAAAACAGTTTCAACGTTTTCAGCTGGCATTTGAAGGCTTAGATTCGAGGTATTTTTATTTTCAACAAAAAATTTGAGAGTAGAGCAACTTTACAAAAATATACGGACCGGTTTTGGAAAGGAGGCAAGAGAAGAAAGAAAACTATTTAATATTATAATTTCATAAATTACTAGTACTTATTGAATGCATTCATATTGTGCAAATTAAAGAGAATGAATTTTAGTCTCGAGAGTTTTTTTCCTAGTTGAACAATTCCAGAGAAAACTAGAGTTGTTCACTCCAAAGAAAAAATGTCTTCCAAGTCGAACAGTAATAATAACAAACGATCGTTATTATTGAAAACGACAAGTGCTTCCTCAAATAATCAGGATGCAATTAATTCTGGAGACAGTAATAATGTAAATAGTAACAACAGTGGAAATCAAAATAATCAGTCTTCATCATCGAAGGACTCGATCGGTTTGAGATTGTATCATAGATCACTGAATTTAAGACCTGTACTCTCTAAAGGAATCACCAATGTACAAACAACAATTTCCGATCACTTTCCAAGTAAACAATCAACTTCGACTGTAGGAATTAATATTGATGATATTAATCTTGATGATGATGAATTGGAATTGATTTTGGAAAAACATGAGAATGAAAAGAAAGAAAAGCTAAAAGAATTGAAATATAATACTAAAAGCTTTCCTCAAATTGATTTGGAAGCAGCAAAAACTTGGATTTATCCAACCAACTATACAGAGAGAAAGTATCAGTTCAAAATTTGTGAGAAGGTTCTTCTAACTAATACACTCGTATGTTTACCAACAGGTTTGGGTAAGTATTGAATTAGGAACATTAGTGTGACACTTTTAGGTAAAACATTCATTGCCAGTGTTGTAATGTACAATTATTATAGATGGTTTCCAATTGGTAAGATTATCTTCTTGGCTCATGTAGGTATTCAATCAGATTACATTGATTTTTTACAATAATTTTCAGACAATATCACTAGTAGATCAGCAAATGAATGCTTGTTACAATATTATGGGTATTCCAGAAGAGGAAACAGTTGTATTGACTGGTAGAATTTCTCCTGACGAGCGTGTAGATTTGTGGAAAACTAAACGAGTATTCTTTTGTACTCCAGAGTGTGTGGAGAAGGATTTAGAAACAGGATCTTGTCCAGCAAGACAAGTAGTTCTTGTAGTTTTTGATGAAGCTCACAAGGCAAGTGGTAATCATGCTTATTGTGTGGTTACAAAATTAATTGGAAAGAAGAATGATCATTGGAGAGTATTGGGATTGTCAGCCACTCCAGGAAAAACTCATGCCGATATTCAAAAGGTGATAACAAATTTGAGAATTTCTCATGTAGAGGTTAGAGATGAATCAGACAAGGATGTAGCAGAATATTTACATGAAAAAGAAACTAAGACGATAATTTGTAATCGTGATAGAGATTCTGTGATAATAGATAGTAGGTTTTAATGAATTATTTCATAATTTAGATTCAAATTATCTTTATAGATTTGTTCTATAAATTAGTGGGACCATTTGTGGAAAGATTGATTCAAGCTGGTGCAGTTTATAATTGTGACCCATCTTCTTTATCTAAGAATGCATTACACGTAGCTATGACAAGTAAGTATTCAACTCTTTTCCTTCTCTAATGAATTTCCAGAATTTTTAAAGAGTAAAAAAAAGGATGCTTACAAATATATGGGTGATTTTCAGTAAGTTATCAACATGAATATTTTTCTTAAATATGATAGAGTATTGATAGCTCTGTATACAGGTCTGTTTTATTTACACACCCAAGATATGACCCTATTTGTTGATTCGCTGCAAAATATAACAACTGAAACAACAGACAAAAAGAAGAAACAATACCTTCTTAGTAGAAATCAAATAATCAAACAACCAATTTTCAAAACCATCCTTCAAGCATGTGAGAAGATTATTAGTCAGGGATATGTGCATCCTAAACTCAAAAAAATGGAACAAGTCATATTGGAACATTTCCAAAAAGCATCTCAAGAAACTAAAGTAGTGGTATTTGCACTTTTCCGAAAAACTGTCGATATTATTGTGGAAATTCTTTCAAAACATGAAATTCTGAAAGTTTCTCCATTTATTGGACAAGGCAAAGGAAGGGCCCAGAAAGGATTTAACCAAAAGAAGCAAAAATCTATTATTCACGATTTTAGAGATGGTATTTTTAACGTACTGGTATCAACACCAATCGGTGAAGAGGGTTTAGATATTGGAGAAATTGATTTGATTGTTTTATGTAAGTTTTCTATTGAAATAGAGTTTGACATTTTATAGATGATTCTGCTTCAAGTCCAACAAGACTCATTCAGAGAGTTGGTAGAACTGGTAGAAAGAGAAAAGGTAACATTGTTGCTCTTCTTTCTGAGGGTAGAGAACGACATGCTTATGAAGAATCCATTAAGCAGAAAAAAGTTCTTATTGATGCATTGAAGGAAATACCATATCATAATGACGTGAAGGTTTGTAATAATTACTAGTATTCTCGTGTTAACATGATAGTTCTTTGAGAAAAATATGAGAATGGTTCCTAATCAAATTATTCCTCAAGTTGTCAGAGAAAAGATAATTGTCCAATCACCAAAGATTCAGGGATTAAAACTTAAAAAGAGGAGAATAATAGACAGTGACGATGAGGATGAGGAAGTTGTGTTATCTGATAAGGATGAACAAGAGGAGGAAGAAACTCAGCAAATAGTTAATATTGAAGAGGAAATTGAAATAGTAGAGGACGATTTTGTGCCTCTTGGAGGAGAGGATATTTACGAGCCAATTGCTGATTATTCTGCTGTTGATAATACTCCAGATCATTATCAAACTACATCCTCCTCTGGTATGAGTAATACTAAGAGGTATACTGAAACAGATAACTTTGATATCACCAAATACAGAAGTGAAATGAAAGAAAAGAGCAAGGATGCTTTCAAAACAAATGGGCATATGGATTTGGATAAGATTTTGAAATTGTCAACCAATAATGAAGTAAGCTCCACAAGAAGAATCGATAGCTTACCGTCTCTCATATTTTCAGATGTTCCACCACCAAAATGGGCCTCCTCCTCAAATACTCCAAACGATTTAGAAGATGATGATATCATTATTGATTTTTCACTAGATGACCTCCAAAGCTCTTCATCTCCTCCAAACAAATCTATTCCACCAAACTTTGGAAGTAAGAAGGTGAAATTGAATGACTTTTATGATTGAATTCTAATAGGGACAGGTGCTTTCAATATGACGAATTAATTCAATCAAAAAAAATACAAGGAATGAATTGGAAATATCAAGCTGGTGTTTGGGGTGTTGCTATTGTTGGTTTTGCACTCTCTGTTCAATATTCGAGAAGTAAAGAAGTGAAAAAGATCAAGATTGATTTAGAGGAAAGTAAACCAAAGCAATAATCTTCTTATTACCGAAGGAAGGAATTCAAAAGACAAACTCTATCGGAACTAGTGTAAATAAAAATCAATTTCAAAATGCATTTACTGACAATGTGCCACTCTATGCACCTCTATTGAAATTATGCTCCATGGTGCATGCGATGATGGCATCAAACTAGTTTGATGGTGATGATATTAATATCATGTTAATAAAAATAATTCAATAATTATTTGAATGTTGGTTGTTGGTGATTGTTTTTAAAAAAATGGTTAAAATAGATTCTAATAAATTTAGATACCTCTCCAATGATGATTTCCGTGTGCTAACAGCCATTGAAATGGGTATGAAAAATCACGAATTAGTACCAACACCATTGATTGAGAGAATTGCAGGACTCAGACACGGAGGTACACAAAAAGTATTATCTTTATTATTAAAATATAGGCTTGTTCATCACGATGCCAAGAATTATGATGGTTATCATTTAACGTATCCAGGTTATGACTTTTTATCATTAAAAACATTTATGAAAAGAGGACATGTTGTTGGATTCGGAAGACAAATTGGTGTTGGTAAAGAATCTGATATTTACTTGTTGCTTTCACCTGTAAAGGAAGGAGAAGAAGTTGAAAAGGATGTTGATGAAGAAGATGAAGATGAAGTTAAAGTTGTTCTTGATAAGGAAGAAAAATTCTTGGAAGAAGAAAGTGATGAAGATGAGGAAGCTTTTGAATTTGAAGAGGATGGATTTGCTGGATATGATTTGGAACATAAAGCAAAACAAATTGTTATTAAATTCCACAGATTAGGTAGATCATCATTCAGAGCTGTTAAGAATACAAGAGATTATTTAGGAAAGAGAAGTAAGCCTACTAACTGGTTATATATGAGTAGATTGAGTGCTTTAAAGGAATTTGCTTTTATGAAAGCTATTTATGATACTGGATGTATTCCTGTACCAAAACCAATTGACTGCAATAGACATTGTGTTCTTATGGAACATATTAAGGGTTATCCTTTGTATCAAATTAGAGAGATGAAACATCCATTGTATGTTTATCAACAATGTGTAGATTTGCTTGTTAAATTAGCTCAATATGGTTTAGTACATGGTGACTTTAACGAATTTAACTTGTTGGTTAAACCAAAGAGTGAAAAGGTTATCGTAATTGACTTCCCTCAAATGGTTTCTACATCACACGCAAACGCAGATTATTACTTTAACAGAGATTTGGACTGTATTTCATCATTCTTTTCAAAGAAGTTTGGTATTGTTATTGATAAGGATGATCCAGAATATTCGAGGTATCATCCAAAACTTTCTGAAATTACAAAGGAATTTTCTTTGGATGTTAGTGTCGAAGCTAGTGGTTTTACAAAGGACAAGGCAAAGGAGTTTGATGATATTTTGAAAGAAAAGGACGAAGAAGGAAAAGAAGAAACAACAGAATCAACAGAAGAACCATCAACAACAACAAACGAGGAAACAACTGAAAATAATCAAGAAGAACAAGTTGACAGTGATCATGAACAAGCTTCAGTAGTTACTGGTACTAGTGTTTCAACAGCAACAGGAAGAAGGAGAAAGAAGAAGGCTCTTACTGCTGAGGACATTAAGGAACAAGTTAAGAGAGATATCAAAAAGAAGCAATTTACCAAGGTTAAAGATATTCAAACAGCCAAACGTAATACTCAAAAAGGTAGAGATCAAGTCAAACTCAGACAAAAAACACAAGAAAGAGATTATGACGATTATTAAAGTTTACTTTTTCTTCTTTTTGAGACTTGACTCTAAAATGTTATCAACAAAATCTAACATGTCAACTGATTCCTTCTTTCTCTTCTTATCTTTCTTTGGTTCATCAATTACTTCCAAAAAGTCTAGACTGAGATCCTCATTAGATTTCTTCTTACTTTCTTTCTTTTCAGTTTTCTCTTCTGTTGGTTTTTCTTTCTGTTTCTTTTCCTTCTTTACAGGTTCAGCAGTTTCAATTGTAGATACAGCTTCTGTTTTCTCGATATTTTCAGTGGTAGATGGAGCTTGTTCTTTCTTTTGTGGTCTTTCCTTCTTTGGCTTCTTTTTCTTTGAGGAACTGTTGGCAATATTTACATTTGCCATTTCTTGAATCATCTTGGCATTCTTCTTCTTTTTACTTCTTTGTTCTTCCTTTCTTTGTAACCAATCATTTGGATTACTCTTGAATTGTGACAAGTTGGTCTTATTCCAAAGGACAGAACCTGGCTTACTAGATCTAATCTTTGTTTCTGCGTCTTTCAAAATTGTTGCAATTTCCATGTGCAATTTACTGTCTTTGCATTCAAGCATGGCCTTTTCCACAACGAATGCACCATAAACATTTACAGATAAATCTACAAGCTTTGGTTTGATCTTTTGGATAAACTCATCACTCATTTGAACAAGTGAATCAATTACCATACTAGTTTCCTTTGTGGTACACAATGTAAAGAGTTTTTCTTCGTCCATTTCTTTGAAAATATTCAAAAGTGGATTCAACATTTTCTTGGATTGGAATGTGAAAAGTGTTGATAATAAATTGCAACCGTGTCTATTGCATGTAGTTTTATCTTCCAAATAGAGTAATTCTTCAATGGCTTGTTCATTTGTCTTTTCTCCATCCTTTGTCAATCCTTTGAGTAATTGTTGGATCAATTCTTGTTCCTTAGTATTGAACTTTAAACAACCCTTAGCCAAACAAGTAATAACATTGAGAATTCCCTCAGAGAAACACTTCTTGATAGAATCTCTCAAAGCATTGAAAAGTAAAATAAATTGTTCTCTATTTGCTCTTTCAATTGCATTAACAATTGTATAGCACTTATTCTTATCTGTGGCAAAGCTTTCAGCATTAGGTGCAAGAATCTTTTCAACAATATTTGAGAAAATACCTTCATCTCCAATACTAATAATTAATTCTACAATACGACTGTGTTGTGTACTAGATAAGAGTTTGGTAATTGTTTCAGAAGAAATTGTCAATTCTTCATCTGATGTTTGTTCAATAGCATATTTGATAATCTTAGAGAGAAGTTTTGCATCAGTTTTACCAATCATTTGCATAAATGTTGAAACATTTTCCATAAGTGATGTTAAAAATCCAAGAGCAATACTATCATTCAAAATATCACCAATAGGACATGATGAAATAACCTTGTCAACCATAAGATCCAAAAGAGTTTTTCCAAGTTCCTTCTTGGATTTAATATATCCAAGACAAAGTGGTAATTGTCTTACAACAAATGAAGCATTCTTATGGAAAATCATATCGAACAAGTTTGGTTCAATAGATGAGTTATAGGCCTCAATTATAATATCAGTCATTGTTGGCTTTGAATCAAGTTCATCATCTTGCATTAAATTTTCGACATGTGATTCTTCTTTAACAACTTCTGGAACATATTTCAAAGCTTCTTGAATTAAGAATGAACTAAATCTACCATTACTAATGATATGTAAATGATTCGAACAAGCATTCAAAAATCCTCTCAAATCCTCTGAAGAGCTTAATGGTACCATTGTTTGAAGACATTTAGCAATAACAGGATTATTCAAAGACACAATTAATGCATAATTTCCCTTCTTCTTTTGTTCTTGTTCATCACCAGTACCTTCAAATAAATTCTTCATTTCAATAGTATAATTGAAAACACTTGTAATAAATTGAATACGATCTTCGTTAGTTGGGAAATCATCCTTATTCATCAAAGATTCAATTCTTCTAAAATATGACAAGATACTTCTTGCAGTTCTAATTTGATTCTTTCCTTCACTATCAAAAACTTCAGCAATATTCAACTGTGAAAGTTCAGTTCCGAATGTGACAAGATCATCTTCGTTATTTGTTTCGTCTTCTTGGTTTTTATCGTTATTATATCTATCATCTTGTTTGTTATTGTATCTGTTGTTTTTATCATATGATTGTCTATTATTATCATATCTATCATTGTTATATGATGATTGTCTATTATTGTCATATCTATCATTGTTATTATATGATCTTCTACCTCCTCCTCTATTGTTGTTGTTCCTATTATTTCTATCATAAGAATCATCTCCGTTGGAACTTTTCCATGATGAAATTCCCCCTCCTCTATTACTTCCGAAACGATTATCATCACTTCCTCCATCAATTCTCTCACCTCTATCGTTGTGAGTTGGTTTTGTCTTTCTTAGCATGAACATTTTTTTTCAATTATTTTGATGAAATGGTTTGGTGAAGTTGAAGAATTTAAAATAATTTAATGTTGTTTTTTATTATTTACACAAAATCTTATTGGGTATCAACAAAGAGTGCTGTACCAGTTAAAATAAACTTGTCAACATCTACAATAGAATTACATGGCATAGTTAATTCAGCAACTGTGAATTCTCTGTTGGTAGAATAATAGATTGGAAGTGGCAGAGTAACTTGTGGGAATTCTTTCTTTTGCTTCAAATCTTCCACTTGTTTTTCTGTGAGCCAGTAAACTTCACATGGTGGTAATTCAATAAGTGCTGGTGATGAATCAGATGAAATGCTGGTAAGTGTACCATCAAATTCACTACCTTGAATACCAATACCCTTGATAGCAACTTTGAGTGAAACACCAGAAATATTCTTATTACCCCAAGAGGCAGTCAATACAGTTAAGTCATCAAGTTGAAGTCCAGATTTTCTAGCTGTTTGTTGTTTGAGAGCATTGAAGAAGATGTGAGGATTGAATAGTGTATTCAACTCGAGAGGCTTGGAGAATAGTTTACCTTGGGAAACGAGTGTACAACATTCATGCAACTTGAGGGTCTTTGAGACAATTTCGTTCAACCAAACAGTAATATTGTCACCAGGACCATTTTCCCATTTAAGTTGCCATCTTTCAGGAATTGAACCACCCATGAGAGAAAGACCATTGGAATGGATAATAGCATCAATCAAGGAAACTCCCTTGATTACTTCACTAATCTTTTGAACTTCAGAATCAATAAATTTGATCAAATCAAGAGAATTATCCATTTCTAAAGTAATAAATGAGTCAACTGGATCATTAATCACTTCATTATTTCTCTTAGTTTGAAGTAATACGGATCTGTTAGGGTTTACCAGTCCATTCCACAATTGTACAATAGGTACTAATTTTGAAGTCCATTCTTCCTTATTGAAGGAGTGATGTGATTGGTTCATAGAATGAATATGTTTGAGTTTTTCTATTAATTTGTTACCTCTGTAAACTTGAACAACTCTATCAGCATTAGGTGGAAGACCAAATACAACAGGTTGATCAATATCTGGTAATCTTTCAATAAATCTCATATATTCTTCATATGAATTATTATCAGGAAGGAATAAACCCTTTGTGTAAAGAGATTCCTTATTATTAAGAACATTTGGATTAAAGTACTTGGTGAGGTAAGCTCTCAAGATCTTGGCATCGTACTTATTATCAATTCTACCACCATAAATGGCATTTTCTAAAAGTCCAAGAATAGTATTCCATTCTGGATTTTCGTTCTCAATTGCAGCTCCAATAATGTCTGAGGCAGCTCTGAAATCTGAAGAAGAGAATTCGTAGAATTTAGACCAACCTTGAGGGATATATGTTCTTCTCTCTTGTACAACAGAGTGGAACCAAGCCAAAAGGAGAGACAATCTCATACGATTCTTTCCGTATGCCTTGAATTCAGTAACATTTTGTGATTCAAAGGTTCTGAGCATATTTTGCTTGATTCCTGGAGGAGATTCAAATGTTAATTTCAAGCTTTGTTGGAGTAAAATGATTGGGAATTCATCATGTGTCTCGGTGGTCAACCATAATCTAAATCCTTCATTTACATCAGAAAGGACAGCAATTTCTTTCTCCAAAGTTGGAAGCCAAGAAACTACCAAGTGAAGATTCTTCAAGAACAACCATTTTCCTTCTCTTGTACATTTTCTAAGGAGTTGGATAGCCTCTTCTGTTTGACCTTGACCCATAGCCAATTCAATAAAGTTGGCTTCCCCAGCAACATCAAGAGCCATTTGTCTCAATTCTTGTGAAGGATCAGCACCAGCAGTAGTAATAAGTAAAATAGGTTCGGCACAATTACTTTCTTGCTTGTGGATATTGGCAAGTTTTAATGAGGTTGACAATGACTTGATATCCAAAGTCTTTGTGACCAAATCTGTGATAACAACAAACAATTGATCAGGTTTCAAAGTTTTGATAACAAGAACCTTTTCAGCATAGCTGATGGAATTATCAGGTACTGGGAATGATGAAACAGCATCTTCCTTTGAAGTTAACCAATGTTTCCACTTCTCACTGTTACCAAATTGAAGCTTGCTAACGGTTTCAGGAAGGCATGCTGAAAGAAGTTGGAATGTCTTGACTCTATCTTGAGGAATCCAATTTGGAGTTTGTGTTCCTGTAGGTGCTTCTTTCAAAACATTACCAATAAAGAAGTTCCATTGTTGTTGATTGAACATTGATGGGAATAGACCACGAACCATATGCATACCAAATAAAAGTCTATCCTCCTTGAATAAAGATCTAGTAATGTAGGTAAAGGCAATCTTACTCAATTCTTGTTTCAATAGGGTAATTCTCAAATTAACATCAGATGCCTTGTCTAATCTTGAAGTTAAAGCTTGATCGAAAAGCTTGATGAATGAAGAGAGACTGAATTGGTACATTCTATTAATGTTCTTCATATCAGAAATGATAAAGAAAAGGTTGCTACCCATTTCAGCAAATGGACGATATTGATCTCTCTTTGTTTCTAATTCCTTCATAGTCTTACTAGATTCTTCTAAACTGCTAACAATAGATTGACTCTTCTTCTTAATTTCAGCCAATTTAGTGATAAGAGATTCATTCTCAAGTAGATTTCCTTTGGATGATGCTAATTCATTCAAGAGTTGCTTTTCTAAATCACTAAGTTGAATCTTGTTTTCTTCTTCCTTCTTCAACAACATACTCTTCTTTTGTTCGATTTCTGGGTTTTCATGTTGTAAGGTTTGACTCAATAATTGTCCTTCTAGACCAGATTTTGTTACAGTAAAGTTGACAACAGTAACAAGAGGAGAAGCATCAGGTGTAAGGGAAATATTTGGATTTCTTGTTACAAGATAAATCTTGAAATCTTCGCTGTAATCAACAGTCTTTTCTCCTACCACTACGGATTTTCTAGTACCTTGTACAATAATTTCATTTCTCAAAAGTGGATAGAGGATTGGATCGACTTGATCAACTTCTTCAACAATTAATGTCTTACCAAATCTCACTGCCAATTCTAAAGTTGTACTAAACTTGGTATCATGGGAAGTTGTACATTCTACGCTCTTATTCATCAAGTGAGTCTTTAACCATTCAACAGCTCTTCTGGATGGATCAATGATAAGTGGATGCTTAATACTTTCTAAAATAACAATAGCATTTTCTGTTGAAAGTTCATCACCAGGAAGTCCTTCACCTTTGTATTGGAGCATTTCACTTTCAGTACTCATGAATGAACGGAAGTCAAATGACTTCATATTAGCAATAATCTTCCATTTTTCAATATATTCCTTTCTAACATTTTCTGGGGCATCAGGAAGGTAAGTCATAAATGATGAAGCTAATAATGCTTGGTATGGCATATCTTTCATTTCTTTTGCCAATGCATCAAGTTGTTGTTCCCATCTTTCTTTTTCACCTCCAAGTTTTCCAATCAAACTCTTAGCTGATGAAAGTGTCTTTTCGGCTTGTTGGAGTCCAAACTTGAGGGATTCAGCTTCTTGTGTCTTTTGTTCGTATTCATCTTGCAAAGATTTGACCTTCTCATTGAGGGTATTAAGTTTACTCTCGCATTGAGCCAATTGATTGTTCAATACTTCTTGAGATTTAAGTAAAATTTCCATTTCTCTTTTAAGTGGACCAACTTGTTGGAGGACTTCAGCATATTCAACGTTGGCAGTAACCCATTTTGCGAGAGGTAAAGCTGACTTGCTACTTCTGGCAGCAACTTCAGGTTGGAATGATTCTGCACCTTCACCGGCAAGATATTTCTTGATATCATCAAGTACCTTTTTATCTACAGTTGATGCATCAAAGTTCATAATTTGATCCTTAACACCCATACGATTCAAGAAGTTTTGGATACCCTTCCAAGAATTCCAATCCTTTTGTCCCATCAATCTAACTACACCTTCCAAAATTTGTCTGATAATAATTGGAGGTTGTTGTAAACTCTTAATTTCAGATATTTCTTTTGGTGTTAATGCACCGACAGCTTGTTTGGCACTCTCCAAAAGAGGTTCAATACTTGAAAGTTTTCCATTGATGAAACTCTTCTTTTCGTTGAGCTTGACATCTTCTACCTTGACTTGCTCCTTTAGCTTTTCAATATCATTTTGTTCCTTGACTGATTCTTGCATACTCTTTTGAATTTCTGTAAGGGCAATCTTCTTTTGTTCTTGCTTTTCATTGAGTTGTATTTTTTGTACTTCAGCTTTCTTAGACAATTCATCAACACTCTTAGATGCTTCCTTCAACTTTGATAAACCCTTGTTCAAGTGCTCTTGTTGTTCTTGCTTAACAGATCTCTTCTTTTGTAAAGTCTTATTGAATGTATCAATAAAGTTAATAAAATGGAGAGGGGTTGCTTTTCTTTCAGTACAAGTATCGTGAATATTAACGAACAATTGCATGAATTCATCTGGTTTAAGAGATAGGGTCTTCAAGTCATTTTCATCTATAATCATCTTTGGAATTTGTTGAATTCCTTCTGCGGACCAATTATCCTTCCAAATGATTGAACATTTTGTAAAGATGGCAGGATTTGATCTACATTTCATATCAAAGTTACTATTATCAGGATCCATCAATAAAACTATTCTCATGTTGTTAACTACACGTTTGATGAAGATAGCATTAGGACTCATACTTTGATTTCCTTCTCTTGAACTTTCATCTTTGATAGAAGAGAGAATCATTTCTAATTCTTCCTTGGTAAAGAGACCTGGAATTTCACCAGAACTGAGAAGACTATTAACATATTCCAAAAGTGAAACGTCAGTCATGTGGTGGTCTTCAAGGATAAGACAAACTTTTTCGTTTTGTGCAGCTTTTTGAATAACAGCTTTAACATCATTCTTGAAATGCTTGCTAGAGTAGCCAACAACCATCTTTGGAATGAATAGCTCAAACTTGAGAAGGTGACAAACGAGGGCAACCATATCACTACTACCAATGCCTTGTTTGGTTACGAGTAGTAAAGAATTTCCATCTTTACAGAGAACTCTATCTATCATGGCTACATATTCAACAATTTCAGGAATAAAGAACAAACGCAATGGTCTGTTTTCTCTTTCAAAGCTTTGTAGAGCAGTCTTTTTAAGATTACTTCTCTTAGCAGTTCCAGAGTAGCCCAAATAGTTACCAAATTCAAGTGTCTTGGCAGGACAAAGCATACGCTTCTTGTCACTGGATGCCAAAGTAGTGAAGAGAATTTTACCAAGCATCTTAGGTGAGTATCCAATAGATTCTAACTTCATATGAATAGCAGCTTCCATATTATCAAAGGCTGTAATATCCTTTACAAGTTTATCTCTAAAGATTCTTCTTGCTTCATAAGTCCAAGCATCTAGAAGTTCTGTGCATCTATTACTAGAAGCAGGAATAGTAAAGCTCAATAAACCAAGAATCCATCTAGTGAGATCTCTTGGAGTGAATTGGTAATGAGCATATTCATCTACAGTAAACTTCTTAGAAACACTATCATACAAATCAATCATAACTTCAGTCAACAAATCAATATTTTGTGTTTGCTTCCAAACAGCGTGTCCTGAAAATTCTTTAGATAGAGCACATTTGAGATAAGTAAATACGATTTGTTTCAATTGTTGCTTGTCTGTGTATGACATGTAAGCAATTCTTACAATAGATGTAAATCTGGTTGTAAGCTCATATCTACCAACAGTTGTGGCAGGATTCATAGAGCAAACAATTTGAATTCTTTCTAAACCTACCCACTTTAGTTCATCATCATAATAGCCATTGTATGTGATAAGTTGTTGTAGGAAGGAAATTAATTGGGTTGTACCATACTTATCTGGACAAGGCAAGTTAATATCCTTCAAGAACAAAATGAGTCTTTCTCCTTCTCTTGGTCTAAGAACACGACCAGTGTTTGTAGTGAATACAGCACAAGTTTGATTCAATTTTTGAATAACATGGCTCTCATTAGTTTGAGAATTACAGTGGATTCTGGCAATTTGAACAGAGTGCAAGTCGAGGAAAAGATTTTCCAAGAGCATACCTTTACCTGCACCTTCAGGACCAGCAAGAATGAAAGGTTCCATATTGTGTAACCAAGGATAAATAATATCTGTTGTTCTTTGAATATCTACAGTTCTAATCATAGGACTATTTTGGAGACTTTCATATGTAATTTCTTCAGAATCAGTGAAAGAGTATTGGGTATAACAGGAATCATGTTTAGAGTAGTAATAATCAAGAGGTCTTCTCAAATCGAGTGAACTTTCAGAACAAAGTGTATAGATATCCTTTGCAAGCTTTTCTCTTGCCTTGATATTTAAGGATGATCCCAAACCTTTAACCAATGAATTAGCAAATTCTCCCTTTGTAGAAATATCAGGAGTTATATGTGATAAACCATTCATTATAATACCCATACTAGTAGACTCAATAACAAACTCACTTTGATCAACAGCGAGAACAGCATCTAAAGCTTGGTAGAAATAGTTGTCAACCAGTGACTTTAAATTATCAGTTAAATCTTCATGTCTATTCATCCATGCATGTACAAAGCTCTTTACATCAACATCATTATCTGACAAGAAGATAACACCCATTCTACTGACAGTAGCTGGAGAAGCAAACTTGAGGCTGTGAGTTTCGAAAATAAAGTTAACATTTGAACCGAATTGAATTCTTTCACCTGTTGGCATTGTAAGCAAGTGGTTATCATCAAGAACAGAATTCAATGATTCAACCCATTCTGGATCAATATCACCATCACAAACCATCCAAGACATGACATCTGGCTCTTCCTTCAAAATAATACGAGAGTTAGCTGTAATAATGCCTTCAAACCATTCTCTAGTATCCATGTCCATGTGACCCAAAAGTTGGTGTCTTGGCATTGCCTTTGGATTTACAACATAACTCTTGAGCTTTTGATTAATTTTCTTAAGGGCTTCTGAAAGAACATGCCAGATAGTTGTCTTACCAGAACCACTAGGACCAACAAGTACTACACCCATTCTTTGTTTGCATGCTTCATAGAATTGAACAATTTTCTTGATCATATTTGGAATCGGTATCAATCCCAACTCTGTCATTACTTCCTTGATAGCTCTTTCCAATTCAATGTAAGAAATATCAGGAGCATCAATACCAGGGAATACATCCTTGATAATTCCATTGAATAGAACAGCATCCTTATGAGTGAGTTTTGATAGAGTGTTAACACGAAGAGCCTTAATAACGATTTGAGCTTCTGCTTCCTTGGAAAGGGAAGCTCCATGTTTTTTAGATTGTCTAATTTGAGATCCACCAATGTTAAGAATTGTCTTGAGAGAACGCAAGCCCCAATCGTAGTGTTGTTGTGAACTCAATAATTGTTTGCTAAGTTGGAATACACTGACAATCTTTTTACCCAAAAACTTGGCATGTTCAAAACCTTCTGAAAGCAAGATTACCTCAGCAATCAATTCATTATCTGGAGCAGCCATTGCTACAGCTCTGAACAATTGTTTCAAGTTGTCTGGAAGTTGAGATCTACCACCATAACCCTTACCTGCAGGGTTGAGGGTAACGAAAATACCAGCATTCAAATCTACTTTAACTTTGCTTCCAAGAATTTCTATTGGGTTTGCTGATTTTTCTTTAATGGCAACTTGGATAGTTTGAATTTGTTGTGAAATAGCTGACAATTGATCTGGTTTCAATCTGTTGAATTCGTCAAAACAACCCCAAGCACCACACTTTACAAGACCTATGAAAATTCTACCCATACTGTTAAAGTCAATACCTTCATCACAGTTGAAAACCAATACTTGTCTACCAAAAAGATGTCCAAGCGCTTTAACACTTTCAGTTTTACCTGTACCAGCAGGTCCATAAGGATTACCACCATAACCTAAAAGCATACCTTGTGTTAAAGTCAAATAACACTTATCTGTTAATGGTGTGTGTACAAGTTTAGAAACATTTCCTTGATATTCATAAGTATAATCAAACTTGGCATTACTCATCTTGATTACACATTTACCATTTTCAATATAAAATCTAAGTTGCTTTTGCCATAACCAATGTTGAATAGAAGAAACGTTTCCATCAATAAGACATTGAACAACATCAATATTGTGGATAATATCAAGAATAAGCGCTTTAACTTTCATAGAAACAACTTCGTCATCTTTAGCATTGATGGATGTAAATTGACTTAATTGAGACTTGACACTGTTCAAAAGTTGTGGTAAAGCATTGTTTTGAATAGCAAGTTCACATTTTCTTGTAAAGCTCACACTTTCTTGCAAGCAAAGAATTTGGGATGGGAAAGCATCCATATCGAATTCCTTTGACTTATCACATTCTAATAAAAGTTGTTGTAAGGTTAAGATCATTTGTTGATCTAGGTTGGCTAACCATTGCTCTACCTTGTCAGTTATCTTCACAGGTTGTTTAAGTTGTACAACTTCACCCTTACTGCTGCACATGGCAATAATTGTATCTTGTTCCTTATTGAATTGGACTTTGTAAATACCTGCATACAATTTCTTAAGGTGAGTTTGGATAACTGTTGGGTTTTGTGATTGACCAAGAATTTCTAACAAATCAGAATCACCAATAAAATAGAATCTTGGATATGCGCTTCTCTTTTCTTCCAAGAACTTGTTAAGAGCCTTTTGACAAACATCAAGTCCATCAGAAATACCCTTCAATCTATCTTTCAAGCCAATAATTCTATCCAACATAACTACACGTTTACCAATACCTCCTTTATCATTGATATTGGTAATAATATCAATAAAGTCCTTATCTAAACGATTGAATCTTTGTTGTTCCGAAGGAAGTGAACCTCTAGAGAAAATAGGTTCTAGATATAACCACTTTCTTTGGATGGCCATTAAATAATCCAAATATTCAGCCAAATTGGTAAGCTTGAGTTCCCATGACTTAATTTCTTCAATGAATGGTTCTGCCCATTGTGAATCCTTGATAGATTGAGCAAGTGATTGGTTATCACCAATTTGAGTCAAAAGATCCTTCCACTCCTTAATGAGTTGAAGTACTTTGTTGTTACCCTTGTATTCGAAAGTAGAAAACTCTGTAGAAAGACCCCACGCTTTGAGTTCATTGAGGGCGTCTCTGATTTGTTGTTCACCTGTAGCTCTAGAACTCAATTCCTTGATACTATTAATTTTCTCAATAATAATTGCAGATCTTGGTAGTAAATGACCAAACTTTAAATCTTCTACTGTAACTTTTTCTAAACCAATCAATCTGAAGAAGCTATCCCAATGTTCAGCTTGCCAACCATCACCAGTAATGAACTTTAAGTAATCCTTGAATTGGTTGTACTTTTCAATCTCCTCTCTAATGTATAAAGTAATACTATTCTTGTCCTTTTCCTTCAATTCAGAAATCCATTCCATAACAAAATCTTCGAATGAAAATATTTGCTTTTTGAAAACAAGCCATTCTTGTGATGTCAACTTTTCCAAGTCATTTAGGAATTTTTCATAAATACCCCAAATCTTTTCATATCTACCAATATCTTCATCAATTTCTGTCAATTCCTTTGGTGGTTGTGTAATTACACCAAAGTATGAACATTCTGTTAAGATTTCATCACCTCTCTTTCGTAATTCTTGGAATGATTCTCTCTTTTCTTTAATGAAGGCAATTTGCTTCTTTGAACTTTCAGCATCAACAAAGCTATTATCCTTAGGTTTCAACTCGTGCCATTTGCTTGCAAACTTGGCCAGTTCTCCCTTGAAATTGATAAGTTTTGCCTCCACTTCCTTTTGAAGGTTATTGGTCTTATCTTTCAAGTAGAGTTCGTGTGCCTGTAATGTATCATCGAAATCATTCCATTTTTCTTTAATAGAGGAACCATCAATTGCAACACCAGCAACACTTCTCAATAATCTATTCTTCTTTTCAAAGTTATCAAACTCTGCATAGAAAACAGACTTTTCCTCACTTAGTTTTCTACAGTATGCATGTGATTTACCTATTTCATCCATACTTTGAGGATCCTTCAACAAGCTTGCCAATGATTGAACAATAAACTGCTCAATAACATCAAGATGTTTTTGAGTTTTAGCTCTCAAAGTCTTTACAAGTAAATCACCTAGTTTTTGTAATTGATCTTGAATGGTATCTTTGATAGTATCTGTTGATACAGAAATACAATCAATCTTGATAACATTTTCAAGTCTTTCAATTTCCTTACCCTTTTCCTTTATCATTCTAAAGTTTGCTTCCCATTGATTGGTATCATTCAAAGTTTGTGAAACAATTTCTTCAAGTTCGTTATCTACCATTCCCAAAATAACATAGTCAGCAAAACGTTTCTTTACCTTTGCCAACCTAGTGAATAAAATTGTTGCCTTATGGTAAACTGTTTTGATTCCTTCATTGTTAGTATAGGTGATATTTTTGAAAATATCAATCTCGCTTAGGCCTCTAAATATTACTGGGAAGGCAATAAAATCTCTCATTTTCTCGTAGTATGTTTGTTTGATTTTTTCAAAAGCAGGAGAAAATTGAACTCTCTTATCCTTGAAAACTAACTCGCATTTGATTTCTGGCAATTGTTCATTCAAGGTTTCAAGACCAACTTTATATTGGTAATCTAGAGATTTGTATATATTATAATCCCAGTGAACTTTCCAGCTGTCCATATTGGTATAGTTTTGGGTTCTCAAAAATGAAAATATTTTGGTAATTTCATTAACTTTTCCAACCCAAGATTCTTTTTCTCTTAATAAATCAATATTCATCAATTGAGCAACTTTATCACCAATAAGAATGTGATACTTTCTCAATTTTCTATTTTCTGTAGTGAATTGTTCTGCAGCACTCTTCAATTTTGCAATATATTTTTCACCATTAGCCTTGCTCCATGATTTATCCTCTTTTTGGAATTCAAAAATAACTCTTTCAAAATTTGAGGCAGCATCAATAAGCATTGAAGATTGACTCTTAATAACTTGTGTATGGACATTGTTATAAAAATTGGCGATTTGTTTTAAAGCAATTGCTTGAGTATAAAAGTCCTTTGCTTCCTCTGCTAACTTCAATACACTTGAAGATAACTGGAATCCCAGAACTGATAATTGTCTTACTTCTCTTAATAGTGAAATAAGACGTTCGTTATAATTTACAACCATTTTCTTATTTCTATCTAGGCTAATCATTGATCCATTCAGTGAAAGATCATCCTTTGCTCTTTCAACTTCTTTTTCCCATTTAGACTTTTCTGAATTAATAAAAGTTTCAACTTCATTTTGGATGGAATTACAAATTTCTTGTAATTTTGTGGATTCAGGTAAATCATCCAAAAATGTTGCTGCAGTAATGATTGTAGATTTGATTTTTTCTTCAATTTGTTTTACAGAAACAATCCTTCTAACAATATCAGAGTTTGTTCCACTTTCATATTTTTGGTTATCCAAATCTGCTTTGAGTGTTTGTACGTGAGCTCTGAGTTGTCCTAGTAATGTAGCTCTTTCTTGAGTTAATTCTTTCTTAACATTGTCTCTTCTAATTAAATCTCTATTCTTATCAAATTCCAATAACAATAGTAATGGTTTTGATGAAAGAGCTGAAAGTCTGGTTCTTAACTTTTCGGAAATTCTCTTTTCAAGAGGTTCAATTATTTCTTCAAATCTAACAACACCAGATTTCCAAGATTGTTCAGAATATGGAGTAATAAAAACTGGATTTAAACCTGAAAATGGAGAGAAACAATCAATTCTAGCACATTCTTCTGCTGATAAATTATTTGCTAATTGTTCGTAGCTACTTCTAATACGTTCAATTTCTTCTAATCTTTGTAGTAATTGTTGAATAAATATATCTTTTGTATTTCCTGATTTCCATCTATGACTTCCTTCGTTTTGCCATATTGTAATTAATTCCTCTACTGTTTTTAACCAGTGATAACAAATTTCAATACCAGAGTCCAACTTTTTCTTTATGGAAAGGTAATCATCTCGCCAAATATCAACTTGACCGATTTTCATTTGAATAAACCTTCCGATAGAACCTCCAATTACATCCAACAAACGTTTCATTCTGCCTTCAGGATATGGTTTAGGATCCAAAACCTCTACCCATATCGAATCCACAGCATCCTTTACCTTGTCAATTAAACCATACTCTCCAATCAAATCATCTAAATTTTTTTGATGAAGACTTGAAAAATCTGATAGAAGGTTCTTTTGGTCTAGAATATCATGAATTTGTTGGGCCTGTTCACTTCTTGAACTAGTGTCGCTCCAGTATTGAAATTCTTCTTGAGGTGTAAGGAAAAAATATTGTTCAGAATCTTCTGATTCTTTAATCCTCTCATTAGTTTGTTTCTGTACAAGTGATTGAAGTCCCATTTCTAATTGGTTCATTAAATTTTGAATTGTTGGGTTACTAATTTTTGAATTTCCTGAGAGAAGTGGACCATAAACTTTTTGCAACATTTTAAGAAGGTCTACTCCTGCAGATAAATCATTATTTGTAAGTGATCCTACTTTAATTGTATTTTCCTTGCTATCCATCTTCATTTCCTCAACTGATTGAATCGGATATTCATTTCTCTTGATGAAGTGAATTTCATTGATGTATTGTACTCCAGTTGCTGCATTAGAAATTTTCAACTATACAACATTAGTATCATCTCACTACAAAATAACTATTGTACTATACAAACCTTATTATTTTCTAAAAGACAAATTTCTAAAAACGTTTCATTTCCATCAAGAAAGTTCGAAACGCAATCATCCATATGAAGCACGTCTATTGTGTTCTTTATTTGAGAGAGTGTGGATGAGAACGCGAGCTTAATCCAGTCTTTGATGACTTCAACTCGAGGATCATTAAAACTGAGAGGCATTTTTTTTGTTTGTTGTTTTTTCCTTCCCGGCTTCCCGCCTAATTGTAGTTTGTAAGTTGATATAGGTGGTTGTATGTCAGTACTTTAATTCACTCCCTTCAGTGCGTCGTCCATTCTATTCAACAATAATCATAACAAGTTTGAACTGTTCACTTGTGTGTTGCACCTTCCAATGTTGAAAATATCGAACATTATTATTCAATACTGAATTAAACAGATGAAGGTTTTTGTGTTACCATGAAAAACTTGAAGTGCAATCCAAAAAATGAAGAGCATCCTCTCCAAGCACTTCCACCCTAAAAAAATTCTCACCACCAATAACAAGTTGGGTTTTGCTGCTCTTCCTTTTAATCTTCATTCTGTTGATTCTGTTGGAAGAAAGTTTTCAGTGACCACTACTTTGAATAATAATAACATCATGTTATCGGAACAACAAGCATCATCTGTTGCAACAGAGGCAACAACCACAACAAATAGTAACATTCCGAAAAGACCAGTCATTCCTATCGATTACACAAACAAAGTAATTCTAGCACCTATGGTAAGAGTGAATGGTCTTCCATTCCGTAGACTTGCTGCTCGTTTTGGTGCAGATATTGTCTACTCTGAGGAATTAGTGGATAAGAAACTTATTAAATGTAAACCTGTATATAATGAAAAATTGAAAACCATAGATTACATTGGTCATGATGGAAATATTGTTTATCAAGTGGAAGTTGTAGATAAAGAAAGTGACTCTCCGACTGCGTCACAAAAAGTGCCAACAGTCCTTCAACTTGGTACTTCATCTCCAGAGCTTGCTTTACAAGTTGCTGAATTGATGATAGATGGTTATGATGCTATTGATGTAAATATGGGATGTCCAAAGAAATTTTCAGTTAAAGGAGGAATGGGTTCTGCATTGTTACGACCAGAAAATCAAGAAAATGCATTTGCAATTTTGAGAGCTCTTGTAAAGGGAATTCAAGAAAAGCACGGAAAACCTGTGACATGCAAAATCAGACTCTTAGATACAACCGAAAATACTATAGAATTATACGAAAAATTACAAGCTACTGGTGTCACAGCCATTTGTGTTCATGCCAGATATATTCCACAAAGACCAAGAGAAAAAGCCCATTCCCATTTAGTAGATCCAGTTTCAAAGATTACCAAAGTTCCAATCATTGCCAATGGTGATGTTTTTAAACCAGAAGATATTGACCGAATTAAGGATTTAACAGGGTGTTCCTCTGTCATGATTGGTAAGTGTCTGCGTTTCATTTAAATAATTAATTCAAAAATTTTCACTTAATTGAACAGCAAGAGGAGCTATGTGGAATTTGAGTATTTTCAGAAAGGAAAAAGTTTTATTGGATAAATTGGTTGTTGCAAAAGAACTTTTGGACGAATTGATCAAGTATAATTATCACTCTGGGCTTTCCAAATATATTCTGAAGAGAATGTTTGAAACTCATGCCAAAACCAAATTATACGAACGACTTGCCAAATGTAAAGGCTTCGACGATTTACACAAGGCTCTCCATTTCAATGACAATGAAGATTTATCTAAAGAACTCACTCCTGAACAAATTGCCTCAATACCTGCCGAAGATGATGAAGTTGATTTGGCACCACGACAAAAGAAGACAAAACATGAGTAAATTTTAGTTTTTTACCTTGAATACTATTTTCAATTTAGTACACATCGTGACTTATTGGTAGATGGGTTTAAAAGTAGAGAATCATTCTTGATAACATCTTTCAATTCTTGTATGACCGATGGCAAATCAAAATCCCGAGCATTGATAACTCTTCTGGCACACTCTAAAAACACAAGTGGAACATCTTTTCTTGTTTTCATTTCCATGAAACAATAATTATTCATTGAAAGAGATTGAAAAAGTGGACTAAAGAAATTAACCCATTGTGATATTGTACTTTTTTGTTCAACGTTGGCCTCGTTCTTAATGAGTACTATTAAGGGACAAGCAGATATGTTTTGCTTGGTTGACTTGATCTGCTCCATCCACTTTTTATAATCTGAATCACACTGCTGAATGTCCAAACTCAAGCTTGAAAGGAGAATGAAAGAATTTGTTGATCGAATTTCATTCTGAGCATTCTGCAAGTCCCTCAAAGATCCAGAAGTTGCTTAATAAATCAGATGTTTATCGAAATAATTTATTCCACCTACCTAAATCAACAATCTCTAACACATACTTTACACTATCCATTTCCACTATTTTTATGAACGTATCTTCCACTGTGGGATCATACGACATTTGGAAATTATTGTAAATATAATTTTCAACCATATTTGATTGTCCACTTGCTCCATCTATTTGTTTTTTTGAGAATTTATGAATACACATATGATTACAAACCATTTCCAAATACAAGAATGAGAATATCTTGTTTTCTGTTGTGAATATCCAATTCCTTGGTAACTTGTGCTTTCTTTTTTAATCTTGCCAACTGTCGAATCCTAAGAAAAAGTAAACATTTCCTCTTCATTTGTTTGTTATTGATTAGTAATTGTTTTTCTTTTTGTACATCCAATCGGATTCCACATTCACATTCTATCAAATTCCACCAAAATTCATTTGTGAAATCAGAAATTCGTTCCGAAAGAATCTTTGAATTCACTGACTGCAATATTGCCATTTGTTTAATAGAATTTTTCATTAATAAATAGGGAAAACTAGCAGATGGCATTGGAAGAAGAAAGTTTATAATGTGAATCAACAACTCGGTTGGTAATTCAAGTAAAGACATTTTTTTACAATCATTTATTTGATTTCAAAGTTCAATTTTTGTTCTTCAATAATTTGTTTCAAAATATTCTCAATTTAATAAAGTGAATATAGCAAATTCATTGTTTTAGTGAATAATTCACTTTTTGTTTGTATCAAAAAAATGCAACAAGAAAGCTATTCACTCCGATACTATCCCTCTCAATTAACAAAACGAAAAAGAGAATTGGTTGGAAAACACAAAGTATCCGATATTTTCACAGTCATCATCTCTCCTGCTGTTGCCAGAATTTTGAATATATTTTCCAAATCATCATCTGAATCACCAGCACAAAATGTGCACCATCACAAACAATTATTTATTAAAATTAAAGAAATTAATCATGATGATGAAAAGGAAGAATTGGTGTTCAAGTTATATATTGATCCATCATTGGGTCTTTTGAAATCGAATTTTAAATCCGAGAGTGTGGACAAGGAATTATATATGAATGAAATTGCAATGAGGAAGTTTAAATTTACTGAAGGAACCAAGTTGGAAATTGTTAAAATTGGATTAAAGAGTGAAATTGATAAAATTCAGAGGATCATTTTGACACCTCATTTTGAAGGAGGATCTGAGAAAATTGTCAATTTGAACAAAAATTGTAGGTATTCTATGAATTTGTGGATTTAACAAGACAGACGTCAAAGAATTTTTAACACAAATGTGTTTTGTAAAGAATGCATCAATAATTTCTATACCAATTGATGTTTTCAACCCTGACACAACAGATTTCATCCACTTTAAAATATTCTTTAAATATTATAAATCAGAATCCAATGAATGGGGAAGGATTTCAATTAAAAATACGAGAATAATATTTGATTTTGATAAACTGAATACTGAGAGTTTGAAAGAAAATAATTATTGGAAAGGAGAGCAGTATAATACCATACTTTCCATCATTAAACATTCAGTTAGTGGATTAGCTGGAATTAATCCAATTAGGAGTTTTCTAATCAGTGGAGCTGGAGGAAATGGAAAGAGTTCACTCATTTTCAATATTGCTAAAGACTTGAATGTTAATATTAAGAAACTTTCTCCATCATCTCTCTACGAGAAAATATATCAAGAGGAGGAAGGAGTTTTCAATTTAGAAACCCAAATGAAAGAAGCTGAAAGCCTCTACCCATGTTTGTGTAAGTGCTATAATATTTCTACTGAAAACCTAAAATAATTAATAGTTGTAATTGATGAGATTGATATTCTGTTTCCAGATGATGAAGAATCAAAAGACTTATTGTTAATTAACCAACTTGTTTCAGTGTTCCATAATTTGGAAATGTCACGATATCCTATTTGTTTGATTGGTATTACAAGTCATGCGGATAGATTAGATTCATTTGTAAAACAAAAGTTTGAAGAGCATATTACCATTGATGTTCCAAGTAATGATGAACGTTTCGAAATATTTAAATCATTATTACTTAATACCAAACCAATCACCATTCAAATGAGTGAAGCTGATTCAAAAACTTATGGAGACGTAGATGGTTGCTTGAAGGATATCAGCTACAACCATTTCCATGGTATGGTACAAGCAGACATTGCTATGGTTTGTGCTAAATGCGTACATAGAGCCAATATTAATCGTCTGAAGAGTGGAGGTGATAAATTGTCAATACAAAGAGTTGAAATTATGGAGGAATTGAAAGAAATTGAACCGTATTCAATCAGACAAGCTTCGCAAACTCTCACCATTCCTCAAATACCAAAGGTTAATTGGGAAGATATTGGTGGTCTTTATGAGGTGAAGAAAAAACTGAATGAGATGATTGTTTGGCCACTAAAACATTTCGAGTCATACATAAGAATGGGAATTAAGCCACCTACTGGTCTGCTGCTCTATGGACCACCAGGTAATGGTAAGACTTTGTAAGTACTATTGATTTTTGTTTGAATTATTCTTATTTCATCAGAATTGCAAAAGCTGTTGCCACGGCATCTAGTTCTAACTTCATTTCCATAAATATTCCAGATCTTATCAAAGCAGAAGTTGGTGAATCTGAGAAAACCCTAGCAGAAGTTTTTAGGAGAGCCAAATTGGCAAGTCCTTGTGTCATTTTCTTTGATGAAATTCAAGCCATTTTTGGTGACAGAATGGATTCCTCTAGTGGAGAACAACGTTTAATTTCTCAACTAATTTTGGAGCTAGACTCTTTGGAAAGTGCAGAATTTTCAAATGATAATTCAAGTCAATCGAAAGGTTGTGTTATTGTGATTGCAGCCACAAACGTACCACATAAATTAGATCCAACTGTACTAAGAACTGGAAGAATTGAGCATACACTCTATGTTGGTCCTCCAGATAGAGAAGCTAGAAAGTCTATTTTTGAAATGTCCATTAAGGGTATGAGAGTGGATAGTGATGTAATTGAAAGAATAGGAAATTTTGTGGAAAATACTGAAAAATTCTATTCAGGTGCTGATATTTCAAATATTTGTCAAAGAGCTGGTTTGAATGCTCTCTCAAGAACAATATTATCGAATAATGATGAAAAAGGCTCTATAAGGGTGGAAGATTTTGAAAAGGCTCTTCAAATGATTTCTCCATCTCTAAAGCCATCCCAGCTGAAATACTATGAGGAATGGAAAGTAGAGGAAAGGTAATAAACTATTCTTTATCTGAACTGAGCTTGGGATAAAGTTTGTGCGATTTTTTCAATGCAACAGTTAACGTTTTCTTTTGATAATAATCCAATCCAAAAAGTTCCATATTTTCAATTATGTCATCCAATAAATGAGCCCTCTCCACAGCATTATTCACATTTACGTTATCTATGTTTGTGAAATGGACATGGAATTTGAAGAATGAAGGCCAGTAATGTACGAAAATTCTCAGTTTTTCTCTCTTCACTCCAAATTCTTTCAAAATGACATCACATCCCTTATCTCGAATATTCTTTAGCATTAATAAATGTCTTTCAGTACTTAAATCTCGTAAACTTTTGGTTTCAGGGTTAAAGCAGAAAGCAATACAGTATAATTGATTTCTATCAACCTTGTCAAACTTCATATCTGGATGAAGCATGAACCGTAAATCCTCATCAGACTCTGTATCTTCAAAAATTAAATGTTCCACCTCACTCTCCTTTGCTAGCAAGTTATCAACCCATTTCAATTGCTCCTTTGGTATATTATCAATGTAAGGTTTTGTGATTGTATTGAAAATAAGTGGTGTTTCCTGAATTAAAACATAATTTTCAATTGAATACTTTTGAATGTCACTCTCATCAGCAGGATAAATTCTATTATGTTTTAATTCCACATTAATCATCCAAAAACATACATGGTTGATTTAATTAAATTAAAATCATCGGAAGCTCTCACTGGAAGATTGAGCATGTAATATTTATCATTTCCAATCACTTGTTGCAATCCTAATCCCGAAGGCTCTCCCACTAAACTCATCCAATCTTGAATAATTTCATGGGAATCGATTGGAAATTGTGTCTTTTCCATCAGAACAATCGTACGCACAGAATTTACATTTCCCAACAAGACAATTAATTTTTGTTTTGCGTCATAACCAAGAATCCTTTCAACTTGAAAATCGTTGGCGAGAGAAAATGGGAGGCCACGATTTTCACTCATTTTTTTGATTGTTAACCAACAGTTGGAAGAATTAGATTTGCATTTCTGTAAAACAAGAATATATTACTATTGATCTTAATTAAACTGTTGCTTAATAATTAAAAGTTACAAAATTGATACGTTGTAAAAATTCAAAAAGGGATTTCCAAAAACTGACTCCTATTACCTTCAATATCCAATCTCATCCCCGCTCATACAACACGGATGGAATTGTCAAGAGAGATCAAGTATATACATCACAATCTGTCATTTTGTGAAATAATAAACATTCATCTCTCTAATATTTGGAACAAGTTCCTAGTAGATATTTTCTCTCTATCAAACTGTCAAAATTATTGAAAGGTTAATACCCTCAATTGACTCTATTAAACCGTATCAATTGTGTTCTTTCCTTCTTGTCTCTAAAGCCTCCTGCGAGGCATTGAATGGAGATCCATCAATGTATTCAACCGAATCCACTGAATACGAAATAACTCTCTTCACAATCTATAGTGATGTTGATTTATTCTGTGCACTGCGTATACATCATGAATGGCTTTAATAGTTGTTTGGATCGGTCAATATTAAGGAAACAAACCTAAAAAAACATCCAACACGTGAAAGAATTCTTTCTCTACTGCCAACCAACCAACAAGCAGTACTGCCCAAGCAAATCGTTTTTGCTGAATAATAATACGTGTCCAAGATCATTGTCACCCTCTCTGATACTGTACAACAACATTTTCAGTGAAAGATTTTTACAAGAGTTTTACCGCCCTTATTGTTATCTTGCAGGAACCGTTTAAGACATTTAAACATTTACTGTTCAAGTGTCTTATCTTTTATATACGTGTGCCTCTAAAGACAGAGCAATTTATTATTGGAGCTTTTTCCAACAATTTGCCAAATATATTGCCTCATTCCTCACTGTGACCAGTGAATTTCTAATCTGAACTCTCGACTTTCTCAATTTGTCGTTGGTTCATTTTAAAGCTCAAAAAAACAAACAACAAACCTCAAACACTGTGTTTGTTGTTGAGAATTAATCCTTACATAATTCAGTAGTAGAACAAGAAGTTTTCTCTTCAAGATAAGAAGAACATTCTACACTTGGCAACTCGATTGAAAAACAATAACCAATCACAAAGAAAAGAAATAGTATAATTGTGCGGAAGAAAAAATGAGTCTTATAGTAGCCTCCACGACGAGCACAAGCACGGCCGTTAATAGCCAACTACATAGACACTCTGTTGGAGGCGAACCACAGAGAAAATCCTATAGTGTAGAGGATTTTGAAATGGGAGAACAAATAGGTGAAGGAGCATATAGTAGAGTTGTCATTTCAACTTTTAAACCAACAGGAAAGAAGTATGCTCTCAAAATCATCAAGAAGCAACTTATTCTGAAGGAGAATAAGACCAAGACTGTCAAGATGGAAAAACAAGTTCTGAATATGATGGATCACGATAACATCATTAAATTATTCTGTACATTCCAAGATGCCAATCATTTATGTAAGTTATTATCATCATCATTACTAACATACTTATTATTATTAATATTATGAATTTGTGATGAATAGATTTTGCTTTAGAACTTGCTCCCGGAGGCGAACTTTATTCATATATTAAGAATTATGGACCATTCTCTTTAGAAGCTTCCCAATTTTACACAGCCGAAATTGTTAATGCCATGGAATATATGCACACTCTTGGAATAATACACAGAGACCTCAAGGTATGTTGTTTTACATTGTTTTAAAATAATATTCATATTGTTATCATTTAGCCTGAGAATATCATCCTGAGCAAAGATATGCATGTAAAAATTACTGATTTCGGAACAGCTAAAATTCAAAAGGCAGAAGAAGAAGAAGTGATGGTTGGAGATTCGCCACTCAAGAGTAAAAAGGGAACATTTTGTGGTACTGTACAATACGTTTCACCAGAAATATTAAAAGATGAAGAATGTAATGAAGGAGCTGATTTGTGGGCTCTTGGCTGTATTATTTATCAATTACTAACTGCAGCTCATCCATTTAAAGCTGATTCTGAATATCTAATTTTCCAAAAGATCCTGAAAAGAGAGTTTGAATATCCACCTGAATTCCCTTATGTCGCTAGAGATTTAGTTGACAAATTGATTCAATTGGATGCTACTCAAAGATTGGGTGTTGGTTCAGATGGTTACAAACAATTGAAGGCTCATCCATTCTTTGAAGGAATTGATTTTTCGAATTTGAAAAATCAAACACCTCCAAGCATTGTTCCTTTCGCTAATTTAGATAGTTTGGAAATTGAAGATAAGCAAGATGAATTCGATGAACTGAATCCATTTATTGTTGAGAAGCTCAATGAGAAATACTCACTATTTTTACTCAAAAACGAGTCTGTTGTATACACAAGAAAGGTAGTTAAGCGAAGAAAATTAACTGCCAAGAAGAGACAACTCATTCTAACTGATTTTCCAAGACTTATGTACATAGACTTTGATGCAAGAGTTTGCAAGGGTTTTATTCCCCTTTCAAAATCTGTCAAGCTCGTGAAGAAATCCGACAAAGACATGATTATCAAGACACCTGGTAGAGATTATATTATTGAAGATGTGAAAGGGTGTGTTGATAAATGGATTTATTGGATTGAAAAAATCCTAGCTGAAAAACTAACTGACAAAAACTAATCACTAACTGTCTTTTTAATAAACCTTAATTTAACTGTACATTTGATTAATCGTCATCTCCAAGGAAATCCATTAAATTCATCTCTTGTACTTTGTCTTTTTTGGTTTTAGGGTTGGAAGAGCTTGTTGAGCCAGTGTTGGTTGGTTCAGGTTTCTTTGGAATTTCGTTCTTTTCCTCAATTTCATCATCCATGTCAACTGAGCCAGACAAACTCAAACTAACTGGTTGTGGAGCCTCAGAAGAGAACATTTTGTCCAAAAGTTTCTTCTTTTTCTTCTTTTCTGGAGCTTTCTTCTTTGGATCGACTTTTTCAATTGGTTTTTCAACTGGGTTGTAAGCTCCAAAGATTGATTTCTTTGTGTTTTTACCTTGGTTGAGTTTGCTTTTGGTTTTAAAAAAGCTTGCACAAGTTGAAAGATACAGCTCAGTAGCTTCCTTTGAAAAACCAGACTTTCTAATTAAGGTGTCAAATACAATTTCACCAAGGTCTGGGAATGTGCTTGTTGAGTCTGACATGCATTGTAAAAGATCTTCATCATCAATGGTACTAAAAACATCCAATAACATTCTTAATGGTTTGAGGATTCCTGATACCCAATCATGATCATCTTCAGGAGGTAAAAACTCTTCACTAGCATGAACCTCACTGATCACAATCTCTCTTTCTGCCTCTGATAAAACAAACTTCCTTGTCATGAATGCATCAAAATACTTTTGTACAAAATCATTAAAAACGGTGGTAACAATTGTAACGACATTTTCCCATTCCATGTAGTCAATTGGGAGCTGGATATCATCTTGCATCAATGAAAGAGCATCAGTAACACAGGTTCTCTCTCCTTTGTTGACATACCAATCCTTTGTAAACAGCTTTTCTAATAGTGGTGAAGATTTAGATATGAATACATTACAAATAAGATTCATCAACTCTTTTGAAAGATTTGTGAATCCTAGAGTGACTTCTTCCATTGTAATTTCTGATAATTTTACAGAAGGCAATGCCTCAATAATTTGTTCTTGCAAATCATTGGTGAATAGGATACATTTCGAACAGTCGTTTGTTAGAGCTATCAATCTTTTGATTGTAATCTTATCAACATGTTCTTTAACACTTTTGTAAATTCTATAAAATCACATCTACTTACTTTTAACACCATCAAGAAGTGTTGCAGCATAGTCAGACAATGTTTGTCTGATATTCAAAATAACTTGTTGCATGAGCTTTTCAAATAATTGTTTTCCAAATCAAAAATTACAAAACTACGTACAGGAATAATTCCACATTCTGCAATCGATCTGAATGCCTGATCTAAGAAACTGAAAAAATCTATTGGTCCATATGTGTACAGCATATCATCCTGTATTAGAAAACCTTTTTCATCACTAGAGTCTTTCTTAATTGTGTTGAAAAGGTTGTTAACCAATTTCTCTCTCCATTCTAATAAGGAATTCTTAAAATCAAGGGTCAACAATGTTCTAATAACAAACTTACAAAGAAGGTAATATTAATTGTTGACTGAAGATCCATTATTAATGCACTATAATCAATTTTAACATTTTCCAAATCATCATTGTAGATTTCGTAAACTTTAGGATAATTACCGAGCCAAGCAACTATATTACAGATTTGTTACTCTTTTGATACTAATAAAAACTTACGTATTTGAGCTCTTGTAATATTGTCTGCATCTTCATGTATGAATTCTCCAAGAATTGACCTCACTTCAGTGTCAAAGTAATAAATACAGGTTTCAATAATTTTGTACTTTGATGGGAAACAAGGAACCATATTTCTTTCAATAATTTCCATTTCTCCTTCAATTAAATTATACATTTTAGAAGTAATTTCCTCCACATTTTCATCATTCTGAACTTCATATCGAAGGGTATTTCTGATGTATCGTTGCAGAGAGTCACTAAACATTTGTCTATAATTCTTATATGAATACATAGTAATACCCTCGTCCTCATCTCCTAGATTAAGGCCAGCATCAACCAAACTCTTCTTCTTCTCTTCTCTTTCCATAATTCTTATTGCCTGCATTAATTTTTCTGGTTCCTCACTTGACAATCCAACAGCATGATCAAAATGTTTTTCCAAGGTCTTTGAGAATAGTCTGGATGCAGAATCTATAACTGCCAAATAACTCATAAAAACATTCTTGATTCCTTGGTTATCTGAAGTCTCTTCCAACACTTTCATTCTAAATTCTTCCAATCCACATAATCTTTCATAAATCACGATAAGAATATTATGAGAGTCTCCATCAATACCAGAATCATCAAATCCATAAACTGATAAATCAATATCTCCAAATTCGTCTTCTTCCTCCTCTTCTTCCTCTTCCTCATTTTCTTCATCTCCAAACTCTTCAATTTGTGATTTTAGAATTGACTTAATTTCCGCAATTTCCTTCTTCAAGTGAAGTAATCTGGCAATCCACTCTCTTGTTTTCCCTAGGGTATTAAGGGTTGTAAAAGCTTGTCTAATTGTTGAATAACGTCTAATAATTTCTTGTCCTTTCTTTGCCTTTTCTTTTAATCCTGAAAATCTAGATTTTAACAATGATCTTGATTTCAAAGATGTTTCATACTTACTCTTTTTTAACTTCCTTCAAAACAACTTGTGATGAATTAATTAAGCCTAAAGCAATTTGTGCTTCTTCTACTTGTGCGGAACAGAGAGTTGTAATTTGATTATGTAGTAATGTATTCTTTGATTGAATATTATGGATTTCCGAACTAACATTTTCCAAATTCTTTGTTGTTTGAAGTTCTCCCTCTGCAAGAGCAACACCAAACTGTTTTGCCTTCTCAATGACAACCCCAAAGTCAAATTTATCCATTTTTTTAATAAGGGTTTGCCTTGCTATTAATAATAAAAGTGAATTGCAAAAGAATTTCAAAATTTACTTCTTCTTAGTCTTTCTTGATTGAATTAAATTGAAGAAAGATTGTTTGAATCTTTCAAAACCATTCACCTTATTTACATGAATATCTTGAAGAGTAAGACAAAAGTTTTGAATTTCATCCACAGAGAGAGGAACTCGAGGTAAGAAATTATTGGCTAAATAATTCAAAAATTCTGGACCAAACTTTTGAACAAAAACAGAGTAAACTTGACAAACTCCAACAATAACATTGAAAGAAGCTCCATCACTAATATCAAAATCAGGACTGAGTAACATTTGGAAAGTCTCCATAACTGCATTAGAAATTATATACTCGTTAAACTCTTTTCCTAAATTGTTGGCATATGAATTGGCAAATGATTCAATGCATAACAGAGCTGATTTTTTGTGATGAACAGACAAGTGTTGGCAACCCTTAAAAACAGTCTCCAAGACTGAATTGAATAAATGTCTGTTAGCATCAGAGATTAATACAGGACTCAAATTATTAGCCAATATTGTGTGAATGAATGTAAAGTAATTCTTATGCAAGTCAGCAATTTCTCTAATTTCTTCACTGCTGCTATTCAATGAGTAGTCATAGACACCATTATTTATCATTTGATAAATTTTGGTTAATGTTGGTGTCAAGAGTTCATTGATGAGCCCATTCACTTTTTCTTTGTGCTTTTGCATTAATTGACCTAAAAGGATAAGAATATCTTTCATTTGACTAATTTCAGTACAGGTTTGATAGAGATGGGAAAGTGTACCTGGAATTATTTCTAAAAGTTCAGCGTCCATTAAAACAATCATTCTGTGGTAGTAAAGAATAACATTGGATTGAATTTCCTTATTTTTAGGAATTTCTGAATGCACTCTGGTAACCAAAGCGAGGAAATGTTTGAAAAATACCACTGAATCCTTGATGTGTGCCTTATTAGAATTGTCATCGAACCCCTTGCTCAAAATAGCTGCAGCACGAATCATTGTACTAATGTACTTCTTGAATCTTGGTTTATCGGGAGTATCTGAAAGATAAAGCTTTTGATTTAAAACATCTTCAATATTCTTGGAAAATGGAATGAAAATTTCTTGGAAAATCTTGTGTCTAGTTTCTGTTTTAATATTTTGGCAGGCTAATAAAAATCCAATAGCCTCATATAAAAAGAATTTGTCACTAGTGGAGTCGTTCTCAGTCAATTCCTCATCTGTTGGTAAGTTGACTTGTATAATATCTTTTACAAAAGTGTACAATGGTTCCACGAATCCACTCAATCTATCCCTGAGAGGTTTGATGAATTTGGCCAATAAAAATTTGGCTCTACTTTGAACTTGTTCATTGTTATTTCTCAAACCTCTTTGATCAACAAATGATTGAAGCATAGAAGTAATAACTTCATCTGGGAATCTTGGAACAAGAGGAGCAAATCTGGAAAGAAGTTCAAAGTAGGCAAGTTGAACAGAGGAGTGTGGATAAGAGGAAATATTATTTGTGACAATATCTAAAATTAATGGAAGGAAAATATTGTCCTCCTTATTTGACTTGAGCAAATCTGAGAAAATTTCTGCAGATAAAAAGAGTAAAGTGAGACAAACTTCAACATCTGCAAAACCCAAATTAGTAACATTTGTAACAACGTGTTTTGTCAATGCTTGAACATATTGTTTTACCAAATCTGGAGCAATAACTCCAATATTCTTAAACAAAACAAAGAGTTCTCTTCTATATTCTAAAAATCCATTTTCATAATCGTCACGTTGGGATGGATCAAAATCGAAATCTTCAGTATATTTAGCCTTATTTTGAATGGTTGTAAGCATATTTTGAAGTTGTGCTGGAAGTGATTCCGGATGAGGGGATTTGGATTTCTTAATGACTGAAATGAAATCATTTAAGAAATTAGATGCTGAGGAAGAAACTTGGTCGTATTGATCAGCAAACAATGACAAGATGAATGGAAGAATATCTTGTAAAAGTTTGGAAGCTGTTGTGGCAAGAAACATTTCTTGATTTGGTCTTGAGGATATTTCCAAGAGTTGATTAGCTACTGCAGCAGCTAAAGTAGAAACTGCCTCTGCAAAGACATCATCTTTGGAGCTGTCAACTACCATGTTCATTAAAATTTGTGGAATTTGAAGAGAAGTGATTAATTTGAGTTTGTCATTGTCATTCATACCCTTTTCTACCAATACACATAAACACTCACAAGCCTTAGTTCTAAATTCTGCTGTGTTTAAAAATTGATAATAGAGTTGAACAAATTGTTCAGTTGTCACAAGATTAATATCTATCCAATCAATATAATTTGACATAGTGTTAAGACAATTATTTGATAAAACAACATGTTTAGCTGTCAAAATAGTGTAAAAAGTGCCTATAACTTGTGGAATACAGTCTTCACGCATTGCATCTTTCTATTTCAAATTATTAACAAATTTAGTGATGAATTCAAACTTACAATTTCAATAGCCCTTTTGTGATTAACTTCCGATCTTTCAACAAATCTAGCAACAAATTCAAAGTCAATAGTGTCTAGTATTCTGAGATACATATCAATCATTAATTCACTTGGTGAATTTGAAAGAATAGAAAATAAATCCTTGAAGAATGTTGGCCAACGAGCATAATACTCAATTCTAAAGATTGCAATTAATGCTTCACAAAACTTGTTTCTGATAAAAGCTTCTGTTCTTGGTGTTAGAATATTTACAAACCAGTGCATCAAGGCTTGTTTTATAGTATCCTTGTCTTGATCGGTCAAGAATTGAGACCTAATATTGTTGTTATTGTCGTTGTTTTCCAAAGCCTAGGTTAAAAATCAAGCCTTCAATAATAAAACATACCTTTCCGTAATAAAACTTGCCAATATTCCAAAGCACCATAATTTTACTTGATCATACTTTGATTCCAAGACAAATTGAAGACATATCTTCCAAATATCCTCTCTTTGTTTTAATTGCTCGCAATAATTAAAAGCATCCTGTTTTACAGCTTGGTTTGCTGTCGCATCTGTTTGCGAAAGAATAGCCCTTTCCAATGATGATTTGAATTGTTCGTCCATCGGAAAATGCTGCTCTCAAAGGATTCGAAGAAAAAGACTTGTCCAGAAGAGACGTGTTGATGTAATTTTTTTTTTAAATCGTCAAAAAAATAGAAATTTTGTTTTTAGTGATGGCTGTTGTTGATGAATTCTGTTATGGGGAATTTTATTGTCTTGTTCTTCAAGCAATCATGAGCAAGGTTGTTTTTTGTGACAATGTTCATTGCCAAGTGAGTCCTTGACTTCGCTATTATGGATATTGGAAAATGAACAAGTGGTGCAATTTTCAAAAGAAACCGCATACAAGATTTTCAAACATTTTCTCTTGTGCACTTTCTAAATGCTTTCTCTCAAAAATATGAACGAAAAGAACACATTGAGTACTGTGGAGGATGATTTGAAGAGGAAATTTAGAAAGCTACAGAAGGTGATTCATAAATCAATTATTGAAAAGGATTTAATTAAAAAGACTAATCAAATTATTGGAATAATACAAAGCATTTCCGAGACGATTTCCAATCATTCTATGCCACTCTATGCTAAATGTTCAAATTGTAAAGTTATTAGTGATGAAGCCTTGACATTCCGATCACCATTCTTTGGAAATAATCATTTTACAATGCCAATTCATTCATCAACAAATTCCAATACTCCTTCTTCATTTGATGGAGTATTATTACATGAATATCCAACAAAATCAATACTGTACTATTTCGATAAGGAGTTGATAGAATTATTCCTAGAGAAAATCAAAACACAATTAATTGATGAAATTAATTCAGACACTCTTTCGAGTGATCTTGTTTTATCATTGTCAATACTTAGTGTGCTTCTTCCGTCTTCATTTCTGTCAACCAATAATGTTGACGATTTTTATCAAAAGCAACAGGTTTTCTTCTGTAATAATACAGAAGAGTCTAAAAGATTAGATGATGAATAAATATACTATCATTCTCGGAAAATCCTAGTTGTTGTTTTCTTGATTAGAACAAGAATTTAAATAATAAATAAATAACAATCAACAATAGCAGAATAAATAATACTAATGATTCTCTCGTATAGAAAGCAATGAAAGGTAAGCTAGTTTGATAATTTTCCTTCAATAGTACACGTTTAGAGGCATTACTCATCTTCCAACTTCCGATCATCATATGTTGAATATTATTGCACAATTAATTAATCCTTACCTGTTAGGATAAATAAATGCTGAAGCCCAAGCCTCATCTCCTGTGGCTCTCAGCTTGTTTGGTTCGATAATTTGTGGTGAGATGTCTTTCCTCGTTTTGACAATGTTGAACATTTTTTTAATTTAATACTTTTATGATTTTTGAAATTTTCATTTGAATTAGAAAAACATAATTACAAATTAACCAAGACCAGCTTTGAGATTTTTCAATTTTTATTTACTTTTTACATGGTATGGAACTAAACTTGGATTATTGAAGTAATTCTCTAACTTTCTTGAAAAGTTTGAATTTACCTCCAGTTCCTGTTCCTTTTCGTTCTCTGGTTTGAGAGCTTGTTGATGTTGAATTGGATTGTTCTTGTCTATTTCTTTCATCTTCTTCATCTTGTTGTTTCTTTAATTGTTCTTCCTTTTGCTTTCTCAGAACTTCTTCTTGTTGTTGCTTAGCTAATTGTTCTTTTTGTCTTCTTTCTCTGATCATCTTCTTCTTTTGTTCAATAAGTGAAATATTTGGATACATGTATGAATTTCTATTATTTGTCTTATCCTTCCTATATTTGATAATTGAATCATAACATTCACGTTTGATATCTTCAGAGTCAATTAACTTATCTTCCCATGAAAAATCAAAGAGAGCATCACAATTGACAATATCACTTTCTTCGAACAAGTCAGCAAAGTATTGATGACGAATAGCTTGTTCTGTTGTAATTCTCTTTTCATGATTGAATTCTAACATTCTCTTTAACAAATCAATGGCAAGTACATTACAATTGGAGAAGAGTTTGAAAAAATCTTTTCCTTCAGATTTTGGAAGAGTTGCCATGAATTCAATACCTTGATCAGATCCCTTGATATCTTCAGCATTTGGTGTACCCAGTGTTGTGACAATACGTCTCATTTGGTCAACTGCACAAGTTCCTCTAAATAAAACCTTTCTTCCCATCAATTCAGCCATAATACATCCGATTGACCACATATCAGTTTCCTTAGAAACAATATCATTATTTAAAATCAATTCAGGAGCTCTGTACCAACGAGTTTGTACATAGTTTGTACTCATTCTAGGATCTTGATCAAAATCAATTCCTCTGGCAAGTCCAAAGTCACAAATCTTTAATTCACAATTGCTATTCAATAAAATGTTTTCTGGTTTCAAATCTCTGCATTAAAAGAATAAATTTAAAACTATTCAACAACTCAACTACATACCTGTGAAGAATATTTGCACTTTGTGTATAATGTACAGCTAATAAAATTTGATATACAAAATATTTAACATGTTGATCGGTCAATGGTTGATCACTGGAAAGGATATCTCTTAAATCGGCTATTCATTTCCATAGTTATTCAATAATTGTTATAATTGTTACAAAACATTTTCCCAAACTATTACTCAATTCAGTACTTACCTTCCATCAATTCTGTAACAAAGTAAACATCACCGAAACTATCGTAATCTCTTGGAGGAACAACATCAACCAATCTGACAATATTTGGATGATACAAGTGTTGGAGGATTTTCAATTCTCTCAAAATTCTCTTCTGTGACATTTTGGATCGGTGAGGAACAGTGGCTTCATTATTCTTTGAAACTCTTGGAAAGACATTCTTGTTCTTTTTAACGGCGCATTTGTGACCAGTTCTTGTATTCATGGCACTTGCAACTACACCATAACTTCCCTATAATTTTAAATAGATTTGATAATTATTATTATTAATATTTGTAAAATCATCAAATAGTCAATTGATAATGATGATTGTAACGATTTATACAAAATAAAACGTGTTGTGAATTGTGTGGTTCAAGAATCATGATTGTAGCAAACATTAAACAACAACAAGCAGTATCATCATTATCATGAATAATTAAAAAGTTTTGATAAACACTTGTTGTATTCTTCTAATAAAACATACCTGTCCTCTAATTGCTTCTAATTGATACTTTCTCTGAACATCAAATACTTCTCCATCAAGTTCCTTAGCCTCTAATTGATCATATTCAGGTTCTTGTTGTTGTTGCAATCTGGCTAATTTAGAAAAGGAAGTTGCCGGTATTTTGGATTGAGATATAGATTGTTGGATTTGTTCTTCGAAATGTTCTTGGTGATGTGCTTGTTGTTGTTGTTCTGATGATGAGCCTTGATTATTATTCATCATATCTTGATCGATGGACATTTCGTCTTGAATGACTTGATTAACAACGTCATCAGTCATTTGTGAGGAGTCTGTGTAGTGATGATGGGACATTCTTTTTTGTTGTAGAGAATAAAGGATGATGTTGATGATTGCTTCTTGCTACCATTCAATGTTGGTTTTAACGGGACTTGAAAAGTCAAACATCAAAGAATTGGAATGACATGCAATGCTGGTTATCCAATAAAAGGAATTTGTGGTTGTTAATGGTGCAAAAGAATTTCATCAAGAGAATACAGTTGGCATCTACTTTTCTTTTAAGAACTATTCAAAACTGAAACAACTTGCTAATTGTTCATTTGGCAAACAAACATTAATAACCCACTTTCCTTTTCCATTTATATTTCTGTTGTAAAATTGGAGTCACTTGAGAAAAAACACATGATATTGTTATTGTTTAAATATTTCATTTTCACAATCTGTCTTGTTAGTGGCGGGAAATTGGTGGCATTAAGAAAGAGAGAAAAATCTTTATTTCTTTTTTATAAAATTAGTAAAAATCAAATATTTTATTAATTTCAAACCACATGTTCTCTCAATTATTGTTGAACAGTTGCACCAAGAACACTTTCAATTTAGGTTTGAATTTTCGGAGATGACTACTCTTCTGCAACCTGATGTACAACTTTACGCTTTTAAACACGAAACTGCGATTCGGATCAGGTCTCTTTCTCTTCACCTTCATCTTAGTTGGTCTCGAAAGGGTTCAACTATTCCTCTGCTACATTGATACTTGTTTGCTTTTCTGTGGAGGCTTGGTTTCGGATACAGAACCATGTGTGCCTTATGGATTATGAGATCTGATTACCAAGTCATCTAAAATTTTTTGAATTAATCATTGGCAAAAGTGAATGAACCCATTTGGAGGATTATGTATTGGAAAACAACTAGTTTTGAAGAATTACATGAAGGAAGGTTTAATATTTTAATGAAAAGATTAAATATCATATCCACCCGAGCTCACTTGGAAGGACTGGATCTCATTCCAATAAATATCAAATTCATTTCATTTGATTGAGAACGTCAACTTCTGATGGTCTCTTTTCCATATCCTTTTCAATCATATTTAAAACAACATCAATCAATTGATCTGAATAAGTATTCGGTGCTTCCATCTTACTTCTCAATATTTGTTTGGTTTCAATAGAATTTTTGTTCATGTAGAGATAGCTTATTGAGGTTTGTACATCCTTAGTCATGAGTTGATACATGGTGACACCAAGTGAATAGACATCAGCATTGAATGTGTAATTAACTCCTAGACTCAATTCAAGTGGCATGTAAAGAGGAGTTCCAGCAAATGATTTGGCCATGGATCCCTGTGTATCCTTGGCTAATCCAAAATCAGCCAATACAATATGAATATCATCATTTGCTAAATCAATTGATTTGAGGAAGATATTTGATGGTTTGATATCTCTGTGAACAATCTTAAGATTTTCATGAATATATTGGAGAGCTTGGCATGATTGTTCAAGTATTTTTCGTAATAATATTTCTGAGTGAATGGTATTCGTGTCTTGAATCAGGGTGCTTAAATCACCATAGGCATAGAATTCCATTTCAATAAATACCAATTGAGAACTATCTACAAACATATCATTGACTTTGACAATGTTTGGATGATCCATTTTCAAAAGTTGAATTCCTTCCTTCATGATATTGTTCAAATCATCGTGATCAACATATTTCAGTGCCTTAACTGCCTTAATATCACCTGTTTTCTTGACTTCTACTCTGAAAACAGAACCAAATGCACCAGATCCAATCTTTTCTAATATATTATATTTGGAAGCTGCATTATTACTGGAAGATTCTGAAGCTACTGACTTGTACTGGCTTGATACCATTGATTGGAAGTACAAACTTTGCTCTGATGGGAAATCTGTGGGTTCTGATTTGACACTTTCCATTGTTTGAAGTGTTTGACTTTCTATTGCCATTTCCAAATCTCTTGGAACAGACTCTACTTTTTCAGTTGACTTTTCTTTTCTTGTTCTCTTACTGAAAATAACACAACAAATCAATAAAACCACAACTATACCAGCAACAATGCAAAATACAGGAACGAGAACGGATGGTAACACTACTGCCAATATTTGATTATTATTGGATACATTGGAATTATCCTTGGTTGAATTATTATTGTAATCTGTGTAGAAACAAGATCCGTTCACTAATGTACCCTGATTAACACAATATGGAACTAGTTTACGAATTCTATTATTACCTTGATCAGAAATATAAATTTCTCCAGTTGAGCTTAGTGCAATTCCATATGGAGAACCCAATTGAGAATTTGTAGCATCTGCTTCATCACCGTTGAATCCGCTATTTCCATTTCCTGCTATTGTGATAATTGTTCCATTTGTCAAAATTTTACGAATTCTATTTGTGGAAGAGTCAGCAATAAAAATTTCACCAATAGAGTTGACCACGACCTTACTTGGTTTGAATAAGTTAGCATTAGTTGCCAATCCACCGTCTCCACTAAATCCTCCAACTCCATTACCAGCAATGGTAGAAATAAACCCACTAGACGAAACCTTTCTAATTCTATGATTATTAGTGTCAGCAATGAATAATTCTCCTTTCGAATTGACTGAAATTCCATACGGAGTGTTCAATTGAGCATCGACAGCCAAAACATTATCTCCAAACCCACATGTACCACCGGCCACTGTAGTAATTATTCCAGTACTTGACGAAACTTTACGAATTCTACAATTGCTCGTGTCTGCAATAAATACATCTCCTGAAGAGCTAGTTACAACTCCATACGGTTCAAATAGTTCTGCCTTTGTTGCTAAACCACCATCTCCACTAAATCCTGAAGTTACAATACCTGCAATTGTCATTATTATTCCGTTAACATCAATCTTTCTAATTCTATGATTATAAGTGTCAGCAATGAATGCTTCACCAAGCGAGTTGATGAAAATGTCATATGAATTACTCAATTGTGAAGAGTATCCATTGTCTCCAGCAAATCCATATAATCCAGATCCTGCAATTGTTATTATCGTTCCAGAAAGTGTTATCTTTCGAATAGCATATTTATCAGAATCGGCAAAGTAAACCTCTCCAGATGGACTAATTGCAACACCCTTTGGGGTATTTAATACAACATCAGTTGCTAATTTACCATCTTGACTCTGCAAGTACTCTCCCACAACTGTTGTTATTATTCCATTCAGAGAAACTTTACGAATCTTTCCTGAACCATAGTCAGAAATGAAAGCTTCACCTGCAGAATTGAAAGCAACATTGTAAGGATTGTAGATTGATGCATTCACAGCTGCTTTACCATCTCCCATAAATCCAAAAACTCCATTTCCTGCAAAAGTTGAAATTATTCCAGTGCTAGAAGAAACCTTACGAACTTTGCTATTGTCTCTTTCAGCAATGAAAATATCACCTGTTGAGCTGATTGCAACTCCAATTGGGTAATTTAGACGTGAGTTGATAGCTAGTCCGCCATCTGATGATTGGCCCTGAGCACCACATATTCCTGCAACTGTAAAAATGGTACCATTAGTCAAGATTTTACGGACACAATGATTATTCGAATCTGCTATGAAAACTTCATTGGTAGTGGGATGAACAGAAACATCAGCTGGAAAATTAAGTGGGGCACTTGTTGCTAATCCTCCATCTCCTTCAAAACCTTGATTTCCAGATCCAGCAATTGTGGTAATGATTCCATTCAGATCAATCTTTCGAATTTTAAAGTTACTAGTGTCAGCAATCAAAATTTCACCAATTGAATTGATTGTCAGACCTGTAGGCATATTTAAAATTGCATTAGTAGCCAACCCACCATCCCCCAGTACAAATCCAGTACCACTTCCTGCAATAGTTGAAATAGTACCATTATTCGAAATCATACGAATTCTATTATTCGAATTATCACAAAAAACAACTCTCCCTGCTGAATCTACGACAATTTTAGTTGGACGATTCAACTTGGCATTAATTGCCAATTCACCATCTCCACTAAATCCAGAAATTCCATTTCCACCAATTACTTCCACAGTACCATTCGTTAAAACCTTTAGAATTCGATGATTGGCCGTATCTGAAATGAAAATTTCACCAATTGTGTTAACAGCCATGCTGTGCGGATTTGACAACTTGAAATACAATGCTAAATTACTATTTTTTAAATCAATTCCACCTCCTGCTATAGTTGTCATGTTATAGAGCACGAGTTGAGAATGAACAACAGAACATGTCATAATGAGGAGTGCAAGAAGTAAAATTATGTGTGGGAGTGTTTTGTTTGGTGGCATTTTGTGTGATTCGTATGATGATATTTTTTTTAGTTTGTGTTTAACAGAAGCTAGGTCAGGACAATTATTCGCATTGTCTCAACGAATAACAAGTCATACGTCACTCTGCAGTGACAAAACTTCAAATGCCATTGAAAACTGGATATTGTTTGTTTCATTTTCGATAATGAATTGGAACAGTTGGAACAGGGTTCTTTTTGTATCAATCTTTTCCTCAATGTTTCGATGTTGTTGTTTAAAATTAGAACAAGGACCTTCTTTCAAAAAACTGGAATCTTTCAGGAGGTTGAAACTTGAAATCAAACTGGTGAAAGTAAATCAAATAAATTCAAAGTATCGTAGTTCTGGTGAAGTGCTATTTAAAACCAAAGAACGAATAAAGATATCCCTCGCTTTTTGGTGGAAAAAAAAGGATAACTTTTACTATTGCCATCTCATTAATTAATAAACATCAACTTAGATGACATTGAGAATTGATTCTTACAATCATTACATGCTGTACATTAAGCTGTTAACAGATTGGCGTTTGATGACAGTTAAAAAAGTTTCCCGCCAACTTGGTTCGTTAAAAAAAAATTAAACAAAAAAAATGCAACAACATCAAACAACATCCCCTGCAGCAGACAATGACTTTGTGATAAGCCCATGCCTCTCATCACAAGGAGAAGAAACAACACCCATCCTCCACAATATCGATCCGGCCTCAGTATTTGATTCGCCTCCATCTGCTGCCTCCACAATCGAAGCACAACATCAACAATATGTAATGATGATGCAACAACAAATGATGATGAATAATAATAACAATGAACAACAACAACAACAACAGGTGGCTAGAGAAGAAGTAGACCATCAACAAGAATATCAAGAATATGTCTCCACACCAATGCCTTCCTCCCTTCATCATCCCTTATCTGATAATATATTCGATGCTGTTTCTGATTCGAGTAATTATCATCATCAGCAACCACAACAACCACAACAACAACAACAACTATCAAATGATGATGCAACCACAACAACTTGCCTTTCAACACAATTCGGTGGGAGATGGGTTTAATGATGCTCAAAACTTTTTTTATCCACATTCGCCAAATCCATTGCTTGTTTCCTCCTCTTCCTATGAAGAAGAACAAGTGGCAAAGAAGAGAAAATTTAACACTTTGAATGATAAGAAATCATTTGTTTCGTCCACTAATATGAATTCGTCAAGACTTTCCCAATCATCTTCCTCCACAACATCCTCTGGTGCTTCATCAAACAGATTAAGCTTGGCTTCTAGAAAGAGTATTTCTAGAAGAGCTTCTGTTAGTCAATCCACCCTTTCGAATATTACTGCTCCAGCAATTAAACCAAATACATCTATGGTTAACTCAACTAACAATGCTGATAATTCAAAACTGAGAAAGAAACCAAACATTCCAAAGCAACCTACACAAAAGGTTACCCCTACTGTCACACCAACATCTAATTCCAGTGTTATTTCAGATCAAAATCAATTGTTAAACACTTCCACTCATTCATCCCATTCTTCCACTGACCCTTCTGAAATCAGAGCTCAACAACAACTCATGCAATTCCAAGAACAGTTATTCTTCTTGGAACAAGGTATTCTTGAAAGAGATAGTGTTTTGGGCGAACTCCAAAATGAAAATAACTACCTCAGAGATGTTATTAATCAAATTAACAATACCAATCAAGATATCTTGAAGCAAAAGAATTTACTTGAGAAGGAAAAGAAAAAGAATCCACTTGCTGTTGAAATAGCTGATATGAAGAAGAAGTATGCAAAGATTGAAGAGAAGTGTAAGAAAATCACTCAAGAGAAATCAGATCTCCAAAAGACTCAACAAGTCCTTGATAAGGAGCTCAAAGAATTGAAGAAAAAGAATGTCAAGCTTGAGGGACATCAAGAAAAGATTTTGAATCAACAAAAGTTGCTCAAAGACTTGGAAAGAATGACAAATGAGCTTGAAGAAGTGAAAAATTCATTCGAAAGAGAAAGAGAAGCTTCTGAAAAGTATAGAGAAATTAATGAAACACTCACAAGAGAAAATGAAGAAAAACAAGCTCACTTATCTGCATTTATTCAAGAATACCAATCTGCTACAAACCACACAAAGATGTTAGAGTCTGCTCTTGACCAATTAGATGCTCACAATAAGCAATTAATGTCAGAAATTGATAACAAGCAATCTGATATTAATCATTTGAGTGAAGAACTCAACAGTGGAAGACAACATTGTGAAGCAGTGGAATCAGAACTCAAAGAAAAGTCAGCTTTTTGTGAAAATATTTCTTGCAAGTTGGAGGAAGCCACTCTTCAATTACATGCTGCTATCCGTTCTTTGGAAGAACGTGAAGAGCAAACCAAGTCTTTTGCTGCTGAACTCGATCAACTACAAGACCAACTTCAAAGAGCAATCAGAGACAACCAAGAAAAGCAATCACAAATTAATATTTATGAAGGTCAAATTGTTACTCTCAAACAAAAGGAAGCAGAGTTACAAATTGTTGGGTCGAACCTCCTCAATGAGCAAACTCGTAATTCTGAACTCACAGAAGCTAATACAAGGTTAAACTCGTTGCTTACTACTCAATCCCAAAAGATTGATCACCTAGAAAGAAATAATCAAAATTTGAAGAAGACAATTACAGAACTGGAAAGTGTTAATGATTATCTGTCCTCAAGACCAGCAGTCTCAGTATCTGACACATCAGAGCTCAACGAACGTATTCATAATTTGACTGCAGAGATTGATCTCTTAAAATCTAGTTTGGAAAAGAGTGAAGCCAAGAGACTCTCAAATGAAGTTACAATTGAAACTCTTCTCAAGCAAAATGATCATCTCAAACTTACAGTTGAAGATATGAAAGGTATGAAGGACAAGGTTGAACAATTAGAGGCTTCCAACTTGATTCTGAAGAGATCTAAGGAAACATATGAAGTAATGCTAAACGAAAAGAGAAGTATTGCAAGACCTCAAGAGCTCCAACAGCAAGAAAAGTTTACTGCCATGTCAGACATGATTGAAAAGTTGACAGCTCAAAACAAGCTGCTTCACGAACAAGTAATAACCCAACAATCAGAGTTAGGAAGATGTAATGAAGATTTTGTGGAGATGGAAAAGAGAATTCGTGAATTGGAGGAAGAAAACCACGAATTAATTAAGAATACTTATTCAAGAGACATTTTACAATTAGAAAAGGAGAACTTGGATTTGAGAAAATATAAGAATCTCTATTTGCAACAACCAAGCAACAATAATCAAGAAAGAGCTCCACTGAAAGTAAAGAACATCTAAGTGTAAATATACAATAAAACAATCTAGGCTTATGTACAATATTTACTTTTGCATTCTTTCCTTCATGTCAAAAAGAATTGAGGCTGCAACTTCAGCATTACCTTTTGCCATTTCCAATGCCCTCATTACGCTTTCTCTATCTATTCCAATTGTTTCCATCAATTGTGTTATGACTATTTCTCTTTCTGTATTGTTAGAATTGGAAGGAGTCATATCGAATGGATTCGGTCTGGATATATCAGCAGAAGTCGGTTTTGGACTCTCCAAATCAGTCATTTCATTTGGACATTCATTTTGAGGCAAGAATTTAATCTGTTCATCACCAACACGTAAGCAGTTATCCTTCAAATCAATCATCATTTGGTGCCTTTTGAGCATATCTAAGCCCAACAGAAAGCTCATTCCTGTTTGATTTAAAACTGTAATTGTAACAGGAAGAGCTGTTTTGCCAAGAATCATCAAAGTCAAGTGAATTCTTCCCATAATTTCACAAGATCCAACACCTTTTGCAACACCCTTATATCTCTTATCTAGAAGTCTCATTAATCCACACTTTTCAGCACATTGTTTTGACATGATTGACATTTGAGCACCTGAATCGACAAAAGCCTTAAGGTCATGACCATTAATTTTAGCTGGAACATATAACATATGAACAGCAAAAAAGGTTTCAGGAGTATGTTCAAGAGCTTGCAAATAATTTTCCTCAATTTCCTTTCTTTGAATTTCCTCTTCCAATAATTTTTGTGCTTCAATATCGAATGGATTGTTTTGTATTCTTCTTTCAAGTTCTTGTTGTCTGGTTAATTGAGGAGTATGATTAATACCACCGAATATGTCAAGCAATTGTTGTTCAGTGACAACATTATTAGTGCCGACTAGTTGTGGTTGATTTCTATTTACATTGGATTGATGAGATTGTGGAGTTGGATGGGATTGTCTTGGTGGAGCCTTCTTTTTTAAAACAATAATGTCAGACTCTGAAATGGCATACTTTTCCAATAAATTATCGTCTTTGAGAGGGAAATTCTGATAGAACATTTCCTGTTGCAAAATTGGTATTTTGGTTTCAATCTCGCAAAGTGCTTTCAAATTCTCAACATTATCCGACTTGGGATCCACATCAAAATTAAAAATATCACCACTATCTTCAAAGACAACTACTATTTGCATTTTTTTTGTTTGAATTGTATTGGTCTATTTTTAATATGATCTTTCCAGTACTAAAACAAGAAGAACTCAATAAATTTACATAAATTACAAAGTTTTTTACCTCCTTCGTTGTTGTTTGAGTTGATTGAGAACAGTTGTTGGTACTGGATATTCTGGTGCGTAATCTCCAAGATAAAAAGCACCTTCCTTAACAGTATTTGCACCTCCATTTGTATCAAATGGACATGGATCATGAAGTGGTTTAACTCTTGGATCATTGGCCATTTTGGTTGATTGACGTCTAAGCCAGAAAGCACGATCGTATGCCTTAAGAAGTTCTTCTTCTTTCTTGTGATCACCCAAATCAAAGTAAGTTGGTTCTATCCTCAAAACAGTTTCATAATATTCATCGAGAACACAATGAGAATCGAAAATAATTTCCTTTCCTTTGAGAGAAGTTTGTAAGAGTTGTTTGAGCTGTGAAGAAATTTCATCCTTACATTCCTTTAACATTCTTTGAGCTAAATGTTCAGGAATGATATAAGACATTTCACATGTACCATATTCCCTCAGTCTGTTCAAGTACTTTCCTAAGATTGTTGATTCAATATTCTTTTTAAATTGATTGTAAACACCAATAGCTTTAAGAAGTTCAACAACAAAATGTTGACAATTTGTATCTTTTTGTACGTAGAGACGATGGCCATTCCAAAACGTGCAAAAGTGAGCTAATTTGTCATAAACATCATTGAGATTTTCTTGACCTCTAATTTTACAAACATCAACAGCAAAAACAGCCTTTGAACTACTCTTCTCCTTTCTTGGAACAACAATAGAGTTATCTGTCCATTCTAATTGTACAGGTCCAATAATGAGTGAACTGTGGAAAAGACCGAACTCTGAACTCTTGATTTCATTGTGACCAACTAAAGAACCCAATCTACGGATTGTACGGTGAGTAAATCCTTCACCTAATTCTGTGATGATTAACTTGATTTTAAGATATGGACCTTCTTTTCTACGACTATTCATCATTAAAACTTCTTGAGGAATTGAACTTGGATTCAAATATTTAAATTTGAATCTTTGTGGAATAACAAGATCTTGACATAATCTTCTTCTAATACTTTCTGGTACAGGATCTTTCAAATTCATAATCTTTTTCATACAATAACTGTAACTTTCTTGTTCCTCCTTTGTTAATTCACTATCCAAGTTAAATTCAGGACAAATACGACCAGAAAAACTTTGACCAGTAGGTGTACTAATTGATGTAGTATCAGATCTTGAAGTTGTAGAACCAGTGACAACAGTTCCAATTAAATCCTGCTTCAAATCATCATCATCGTCATCGTCATAATCATCATTAGCTTGAGCAGTTGTTGTAGTTGTTGTTGTTGTCATGTATGATGGTGTACGATCATCTTCATAATCTTCATCTTCATCATTCATTTCGTCTCTCTTGTCAATTCTGTAGAGACCAGATTCTGTTTGTTGTTCTTTCACTCGCAAAATATTTTCTATAATAACACTTGCAAAAGCATCTGAAACAGCTGAATTCACCTGAGGAGTTGTTTGTACACTAATTCTAGTACCCATTTTGACAAAATCTCTTGTTGTTAAATAAATTAAAACGCTACCATCGATTGACTCAGTTTTTAAAACTTCTGTGAATTTGGATTGAATAATTGAATTATTACTGTTATATTGATGATTGAGAAGAAGGATCCAAGAAGCGACATCATCAACACTCCAATCATTGATAGCTTTTTCGTATTCCAAGTCGGAAGCACCTGATTTTCTAGGTCCAGAAGATCCTTCTTTCTTATTGTTGCTACTAGAAGGACTGGCTGCTGATTTATCAGATTCTCCAAGTACGTTTTGAATTAACTTTTCACTACTTTTACGAATGACTATGGATGTGTTCTGGTATGCCTCCTTTACAGGTGTTGGAGAGGAGAAGAATTGAAGAACAAAGAGAGGAATCATACCCGGTTTGAAAATATCATCTCTTCTTGTAAGAGTTTTAAAGTATTGATTGAGTAATGTTTGTCTCTCAGAGATCTTTTGTTCTTTAAAGTTTCCTTTCCAATACTGTATATAAAATCAATAATAACAATAATAATATTATTATTATAATCATAATAATGATGATAAAATGTCAGTTCATCAAATATCTAACAACAATAAACAAACCTTTGGTGGAAAATCTGGTAAATTTTGATAGTAATATGACAACTCTGTGTGTAGATCTCTCAATTGAGAGTAACGACGTTCCAAACTCCATTCAGCAATATCATCAACTTTTATAGCAATACAATATAGTACATAGGGTGTAGATGTTGTTACGAGTGTATGACTAGCAATAGCAATATCGAACATCTTGATCAGATATTAAAATCAACTCGTCAAAATCTCTTCGGGTTCAAATGGTATTATCAACAAAAAGCAAAAATCAGAAGAAGTGACTCTCTATTAAAATTGTTGGAACGCAACCCGTGGAATTTTTTTGTTTATCTTTTAGCTGTGAAGGGTTGTGGACTGAAGCAACCTGTGAAAATAAAAATTCAACGCCGTAAATATGTTTTTGCCAACGTCATACAAGTCACCTTGGAAAAGAGCTTTTGAGGTTTTTGTTGAGGAAATAATGCAATGTTACATTCACTTTGACTCAATGTTGATTGGCTTACAATTGTGAGGTGGTCCTTAAGGAAGAATCTGAATGTTACATCGATATTGTGCATGAATCATATGCATGCATATAAGGTCACTTTGGGATTAAGAATTGAATAATTAAAAAAAGTCATCTCCCATGGCAAACAAATGTTGTAACTTGTGATTTCAGTATTGAATCAAAGTTCAACTTTCCATGCAAATTACATCTAAAAATACCAATAGAAAAAATGTCTGAATTGTTTGGTGATATTTTTGCAGGTGCTGGAGGTATGGATGAGTTTGAACAACATGTTGCATCATCAAGTGAATCGGAAGGAGTTAATCAGTCCTACAGAGTTTCAACTTCTATGGATCAATTAAAAAGACAAGCTTCGAATTTTGTTGGGCTTAGAAATCAGTATGTACTATTACATTCATGATCAATATTTAATTTTGAGAAGAGGTGCTACATGCTACTTGAACTCTTTGATCCAGATATTGTATATGATCCCACATTTTAGATCAAATATTTTGAATTTAAATTTGGAAAAATATAAGAAAGTTAGTGGAAAACAATCTGATTCTGAATATGAGGATGTTACTATTGATTTTGCTGATTTTCCGTATTATGGCCAATTGATTGATATGGGTTTTGAAATCAGTCTAATTAATAGATGCTTTCATAAATTTGTAGAACCTACCTTTGGATCAACAGATGTGAACACCAGAACTCAGGAAAACATGATCATGTGGCTCTTTGAAGAACAAGAAAGACAATCAACAATGCAAGATTTCATACCACCTCGAGATGGTGTGATTGGATCATTGTTTGACAATACGTGCATTCCATGTTCAGTCGATGATGAAAAACTTTCAAGTAAGAGGATTGTCAAGAAAAAGAAAGCTCAAAAACAACCTAATTTACTCTTTGTAATGCAAAAATTATTTTCTTACATGATGGCTATTGAGAAACCTTCAATTGAAACTACAGAGCTAACGGATGCATTTGGATGGAGATCTAGGCAAGTTTCTGTACAACATGATATTCAAGAATTGAGTAGAGTATTTTTCAGTGCTTTGGAAACTAAATTGTCCAAAATGAAAATTGACAATTTTATTAAGAACACCTTTGCAGGAGTGTCTGTAAATAAGATTGTCTGCAATGAATGTGGAAATACAAGCTGTGTAAAAGAGGATTTCTACGATATTACTATCACTGTAGAAAATACTTTGAGAGAAAGTCTTGAAAAATTTGTTGAAGTTGAACGATTCGAAGGAAACAACAAATATTCATGTTCTAAATGTAACAAGCAGGTGGATCTTGCATTTAGAAACACATCTTTGAGAGCTATCCCACCAATAATATTCTTTAGCTTGACAAGATTTGATTATGACTTCAAAACCGAGTCCAGAATTAAAATTAAAAAGGAAATCAAATTTGAATCAGTACTAGACATGTCACCATATAAAGAGTACCCAGGTGAACCAGAGGAGTATGAATTAATAGGTATAATTATACACAGTGGTAGTCCATATAGTGGACACTACTATTCCTTAATTCATGATCATTTAATGGAGGGAAGAACTGGATTATTGGAAGAGGAGGACACTTCTAATGAAAAGAAAAAGAAGAAATTTGCAATGGAGTTCGAAGGACAAACTCATTGGTTCGAGTTTAATGATGAGAGAGTTTTTGAAATCGATCCAAAGGAGGAAATTCCAAAGTATTATGGTGGAAAGGGAGCCTCTGCATACATGTTGGTCTACAAACGAAAGGAAATGGATTTCGAAAATACCAAGTTTGATTTTCCAATACCATCTTATTTCAAAGATGATATTGATAGGGAGAATGAAGGAATTAAAGTAATGAGAGAATATCAGGAACAACAGGTTGACATGAAGAGGCAAACAGACTCTCTTAGAGAAAATACTGGAACAGCTGTAGTTTATCTTCCAAACTTTTTCTCCGTGGAGAAGAATCATCTAGCACCAATCAACTTATCAGACTTGAAGAATTTATATAGATCTTTCGAATTTCATTACGATTCTAACATAGATGAATTTTATCAAATCACTAGAGAAAAGTTTGGTGATAAGCTTGGCGATACATTCTCACTCCGAGTGCTCAACAAGGAAGGAAAAGTTTATTCCATTTCAGACCAAACGCTTCCTAAAAACTCTGACGATGATGATTTAGTGATCAGAAAATATTGCGATAAGGAGTCAAAATATTTGTATCTTTTGGTTCTGCCTAGTGAGGATCAATCAGATCACTCAGTATCAGATCCAAGATTCAACCTTAGCACACCTGAAAAATTGACTGTCACTTGTGCCATGTATGAAACACTTACGGATTCTAACATTTTCGATATTGAATACCGAGTAGATATGTCAATTGGAGATGTTATCAGACAGGCCAAAATAAGAATGGGTTATATTGATGACCTTCCTTTAAAGGCATACCTCAGATATAAGAACAAAAAGCCAATATTTGTAACAGATATGAACAAGAAAATGCTAAACTTTTTGGATGGCTTTGATTCCATAGGGCTAGAATTTGAATTCAATGAATTCTCTATAATAGAGGAATTATATCAGGAGTTGGAAAGACAAAAGCATAACGTCAAGGCAGCTCTAACCAACGAAGATTGTGAAGATATTGTAATTGTAAAGTTTGGAGATAGAGAAAAAATTGTACGAGTGGATTTGAATTTCACTCTGGAACAACTCAAGAAGAAAATTCTCGATGAAATGTTCTCTTCTCATTGTATTGTATCAGAATTGCATAAATATGGAGGTGAAAATTGGATTAAAGAATGTGTGATGTTAAGAAAGCAAAAGAAGCAATTCTTTAAAAACGAGGATTCTACAAAGAGTCTCTCTGATTTAGATATTGGTGATGGAGAAAGAATAGAGATTATTATCAAGCTTTCCATAGAAAAGGAGGTCGATATCAAGTTCATTGAAATTGAAGCCAAGAATACTGGCTATGATGAAACGACTGAACGCCCAATATTCAACTATCTTAACATGTTCGAGTTAAAGGTTGACCAAGAGGCATCTCTTAAAATAATGTAAGTGTACAAAATAATTTATCTGCTAATATTGGTAGCAAATCTAAACTATCCCAAAAGTTCAAAAAGGAAAATTGGCAGTATGACAATGTCTATAATTTCAGATTTAGGGGATGTCATAACCAAAGACCTCGAGAAATTATAAAGGATGAAGAAACTCTCCTCTCTACCTTATTGATCGAACAAACAAATGAAAAGACAATATATATTGAAATTGGAAAGCCTCCTTTGAATAACCAAATACATGTCAAAGTTAATTTGGTTCACAACTTCCCACCAAAAACTTGTTCCTCAAGAATATTGTACGTTTCAATTATTAACTTTTTTAACACTTTTCATATTTTAGGAATGAGAATGAAAACCAAATTTATCACCATACCAATATAACAGCTTCTGAAAGTTGGTCTTTGGAGTTCTTGAAAATTTATTTACTCAAAACTCTTGATGCTTTCAAGAGTGTAGAAAATATCAAATATCTTCAAATAAGAGATTGCACTTTCACTGGAGGTTTCAAGAGAATGACCAAGGTTTACTCTGATAAAATTCACTTGAACAAATCTCTTGGAAAGCTAAGATGGAGAGATACTAAGGTAATTGCCGTAAAGATACTAACGGATAATGATGTCGATGTTTATGAAAAGCTGTCCTCTGCTCCTGAGGTTATTGATCCAAAGGCAAAGAAGAAGAAACTTGTTATTCCTCCACCACTTCATATCATTGTAAGATTGAGAAAGATCGTTGAGAGAGGGTCAGAAAGTAATTTTGAATATATGGAAGCTAAGGAGTTGATTGTAAATATTTCTCAAATTTCATCATGGGATACTGTAGACACTTTCAAAGCAGGAATTCTCTCAATTTCTGATACTTCTGGATCAGTATCTGAATTCATAGTGTCCAAATTCAGCTTTGGTGACAGTAGAATCATTAGAATAGAAGAGGATAAACCAATAGAAAAAGTCGAAGAACATGGAGAAATCAAAAAACCAGTTCACTTAATGAGAAGAATCAATCTCAGTGATGGCGATGTAATTGTACTAACTTATTTATCAGATTTTGAAAAGGATGAAATCATGAAAGTCCATTCAACCTCTCTCCAAGATTATGAAATTGAGAGAAGTTCATCCAAAGTGAAACAAGATGATGATTTCTTTGGATTTATGAATTCAGGAAAGAATAGAGCCAAAGAAGAGGCCTTGCAAATCCTTTTGGAAGATAGCGATGATGAAGATAGTGATGATGTAGAATAAAATGTTGTAATCTATTTATTATTCAAAAAAAATGTCCCAACAAGCTCCTTCTTCCCTCCAACACAAACAATTAATTCTCCATTTTGATGTCAACAAAACAATGCTCATTGCTGATGCAGCTGCCGGAAAATCTATGGATGATATTTTAAATCAAATTATCATGTCCTCTGTGTGGGGTGTTGTTTCCGAAGATAAACAATTTAAACTTTTGGATCCAGAGTTGAAATCTAAATATAATGATGGAAATGATGAAAATATTAAGAGTTATTATGATTATTTGGAATATGATGTTCATCCGTATCCAGAATATGACGAGTCTGTTTCAATGATTGAACGTAAAAAGAATAATGCAATAATTAAACAAATGAGAACTGAAAAGATTAAAACATTTTTGGATTCCAAGTTGGGAAGTGAATTTAAGAGAGATTTTGAACAATTGAAGAAATTACTTTTGAGAAAGAGCTCTATGGATAGAGGAGTAACAATAGATAATGCAACTGAAAAGGATTTTGTAAATATTATACCTGCATTCTTCCAATTAATGCTTCATTTATGTGAAACAAGGAGAGATTTTCAATTAATTATTAGAACTTTTGGCTCCAAAGAGGATATCGATTCAGTGATTGAGGAATTTAACAGTTTTTGTGCTGGTAGCCATCCTGATTTTTCTCTTACAGATTTGCAAAAAGAATTTTTCCAAAATAAGCAAATCCTTGCTGACAAGGATGAAATGGTTGGTCATGTGTATAGAAATAGTCCTACGAATGCATATTTCATTCCAAATCATTTGGAATTTGTTGATGGAATGCTTTCATTTACTCCAGTGGAAAAATTGAATCTTGGTTCTAGAAAAGTAATTAGTGGTTTCAAAGATATTTACAATAATATCGTTGAAAAGTCAAAGACTGGTGAGAGTAGATTAATTCGTGACTTTTACTATTGGTGGTGTGCCAATAGTATGTATACTCATTCTGGTAAGATTTTCCTCATTGATGAAAATGATAATGATGTAATGCAGATCTTCTTTGATGACAATGTATCAGTTTATGCTGAATTTCCACTCAAAGGCATTGTAGATCTCAGAAGTGTAAATACAATGGAGCCTCTTGATCAAAGTGTGTACTTGGATTCATTCATAGTGAACGCTTATGCCTTGGATTTCATAAGAGATGACCAATATTATGTTAACAAGCTTATTCAAGCAGAAATTAAAAGAAGAGAATTGAAATAAATTATTTATTTCGCTCTTAATAAGAGATGTTTCAGATTATATCACAGTTTATATCGAAGACATTCCCGCTAATGCTCAAGGCCACTAACAGAAATGTCAACATATAAACATGTTTATAATTGCTTCCAAACAACAATACTAGCCTCTGGCTTGTGTCTTGAAGTTGATGGTTTTTTTTGTTCTCCTTCAACAAGATATTTTTCCAATTACAACCTACTATTTATAGCTCCAACCTTTACAATCGGGAAAGATTTCAAAACCTAGGTTGACTGTCCAAGGTTTGGAACATCATTACATTAACATTTTGCGAGGAATTATGAGCGCTATCAGAAAATTATTATTCATCATTAATATGCAAGAAACTTTGAAATGATAGGTCGGGTAGTTTCTATCAACATTTGAGTTTTGAATTGTTCCTACAAGTTTCAATTCTTGATACTTTCCAAATCTCCTTCTTTTCATACATTGTCTTAATTCTTTGAAACAACCTCGTGCAATGTTAAACCACCAATCCAATAACCTTCTCCTAAATCTCTCATCCTCACTAATTTCATCATAATCAAATTCTGTAATGCATTCTGAGACAAGAGCAATGTCTAATAATCTATAATTGAATTTTGATTCAATAAATTGGTTCATAAAGGACAATACAAAATCCTGATTGAATTCATTCAAATTTTCCCTAAATTCAAGTAAATCTTTCTTTTCTCTAGTTGTTACAAATCCACACGATAGACATCGCAAAAAGAATCCACAACTATAAATCTTTGATATCAATGTTTCAGTCAATCGAACCAAATAGCTCTCCACAAATGATTCCTGCAATATTAATTTCACAACTCTTCTCCAATCAATATCACTCCTAAAGTCATTAAACATCTCCATCAATTCTCCTCTATCATACTTCTTCTTAATCAAATTACCTTCCCTTCTACCTAATAAACATTCCTCCTCTATTGATTGCATCAATTGAAAGGAAGAAGAATAATTAATCCAAAATTCGGAAGCACATTCCATCATCAACCTTTTGGCAATCTGATAAAACACCACTTGCCAATTCACTTTTTCAGCAATTTCCGAACAAACTCGTTCCAAATTGACCACTTCCTTCACTCTCATCTTCCACTCTCTTTTCCTATCACCAATAGGAATGAAACTCAATATTTCCAACCACAAATCGGAGCACAAACAAGAAATCATTTGGCGCTATTTTTTTATTGACTCTAGTCAACTATTGCAGAATTAAATATTACCAAAACATTCTGTATTGTCATGTTTGTAACAATTTGGAAAATAAGATTGAAGTTTGTCATGTACTACAGTGCAGCTTTCAATCATCAACACACTTTCGCATCAATTCTCCTCAAATATTATTATCGTAGATCTTGTCTTTGGCTATTATTAGTTTTTCAACTAAAATAAAAAAAGACAACAACTCAAACCCTTTGTAAATGACCGAGAGTGTAGTAATGGTTGATAGTGATGATATTGTGGCTGCTGAAGAAGATGCTACTACAACAACAACGAATCATTCAACTACAACAATGGAAGAATCAAACAAAATAATGGATGGATCATCAGATGATAGTCAAACATTTGATGTGGTTCGGGATGATAATGAAGAAGAACAAATTGATAATGATCAACGACTATCCGAATTGAAAATTGAAAGTACAAATAATGTTGGGAGAAGTGATGATGAATCTCAACTCAGTAATGATAGAACAGCATCGCCACAACTTTTAAACGATGATGAATTGAAAATGTTTGAGCATTTGGCTCAATTAGACTATGAAACTGAAAAGAAAGAACAAGCAACAACATCATCGATTAATCATAATGAATCATTTGGGAATTCTTCTGCTAATTTGGATGAATCAGTTGAGCAACCATTGATTCATAGTCAAATTAGTGTTTCGAATACTGTAGAAAGTGAGGAATATACAATTACAACAAATTATACAATTACAACAACTCACCCATTCAGTTCAGTCAACATTAATACGTCAGTAATATCAGAGAGTAGCTCGACTGACGATTTGGAAATACAGGAAAACAAGGTTGAGATACCTGTAGAAGTATCACTTTCTCCAAGACAAATAGGAAAATCGATAATACCTGGACTAAGTGCATTGAGAGGGTCAACCATGTTACCCAATCCACCAATTGATGAACATCAACAAATACACGACGATGAATATGATGATTTCCATGAAATTTCTCTAGGAAATGATGGAACTCCTCAAAAAAAGGGAAAGAAAAAGCAAGACAGCTCAGATGTTAATGAATCATTCGATTATGAATGCAATGTTTGGTGCTTTGCTCAGCCACTTTCCTACCTATTCATTCAATTATTTTCTAACAATGATTCTAACTATTCAAATGATAATGAAGTTGAAATGAAAAATGTAAATAATACACAAATCGAAGCTTAATTGTATATAAACAGCAAATAATTCAAACCGTGATATCCCTATTTGTTGATTATTTATTATTGTTGAACAGAGGAAACTTTGCCAACATGTTTCTCAAATTCAGACAATCCCAAGGTAAAAATTCTGTAATGCCCAATCCTACAACTTTAGAATTTTCGGAGGCTTCTTCAATTAAACCTGAAACATCTTCTAATGAAAGAAGACCTTGAGCAATACCATCATAGTGGTTAAGAGGGACATTTGGATTTGAGAATAAAAGTGATTTAAAGTGCATTGTGCTTAATACATCCAAATCTATATGAATTGCCAAATATTTGATCTTTTCCTCAGCTATCCACTTTTTGATTAATCCCAATTTCGTTTTGATATCCTCTGGTCTATAAACTCTCAAAGAATTATCCTTAATGAATTGCTTTTCATACTCAGTTTCATTATTTAAACCAGCAATCATAACTCGATTGGATGCAATTGGTTTCTTGACATAGTCAACTAACCATTCGTCATTCTTTCCCATCAATGCAGATAATACCATGGCATGGGCGTGTTGAAACTCCTTTGATGTCATTACATCTGGATGGGTATCTATCCAAAGAATTCCTAATTCATCTCCATATTTCTCACATAAATGTGCAAATTCAACCAAATCAACTAAACAATCACCTCCAAGAGTGACAATCTTTTCTGGAGAATGTTGTTCAATAATATATCTGGCCTTACTGAGTTGTTGTTGAATCTCATGTTTACCAACTATACCTTCAACCTTTTCCAAAGATGAGCAATTAGTTTCGTCCAAAGGTTCAGTAACATTCACTGTTTCAATCACATCAGTGGTATTCTGGGGGGCTAGCCATGCCAATAAAGAAGCACCAAAGTAATAGGCAGGATTATTTCCACCTTGCCACAATGGAAAATGCAAACGAAGACAAGTTTCTCTTTCGGTCATTTTTTTGTAAACTCAAGCTGTTGGATAGAAAGGACTAACTTCTCTATAAAATCCTTAAAGATCAGTTCGTGATACTTATTTACAATATTCAAGTTTAATTCGACACTTTAATAACCAAGTCATTAAATCTGTCTGGATTGCTCAACGTGGATCGAATATAATTCCAGTAAACAAAATGCTTCTCAACAAAAAATAGAGAGAAATCCAATTTAACTCTGAATAATGAAGCACACTTTTCCTTATCTGTTACATAACCTCCATAAAATACTAAGCATTCAGCTTCTTCATCATATGTCATTGCAGAACAATTAAGTGGTGGTAAAATGGTCGAGTAGGATAAATCCCAATATTCTTCATTCTGTGAATTTTCCAAAGTATGCTTGGCACTCACTTCCACAGCTTTAAGCTTTACATTTAACTTTATCCACCTTCTCTCGAATAAGTCGAAAACTAAACATTGATTCTTTGGTTGGAATTCTCTGTTACAGCCTCCATATGAAATTATAAATCTATCATACACAATCGTAGTACAGTGACCAAATGTACAAATTGGAGAAGGGACATCGCCTCTAAATAATATATTATACCATCTCTTCTCTTCGAAATAGAATAAACACATATCCTTGATGATTTCCAGTCTTCCTGTTGTATTATCAAACACTTCACCACCAAACACTATCATACAATCTCTGTTTTTACAATAAATAGCATTATGATATGCCCTTGGAGCAACCTTATTAACTTGAGGGATGAGGGACCAAGTTTCAGTGTTACAATCAAACTCAAACATATTGGACGAAAGTTTAGATCCACCAAAATTACCTCCATAAACTATCAAACTGTTTTTACGACTTCTATAAACACATGAATGACCTCTCACTCCAACAATTTTAGTTACAGGTTCTTCATCCTCTGGTTTTACATAATCGGGTGGTGCTGTTTGAAAATAAAGAGATTCAAGTGGAATAAACCTCCATTTCCAATCTTCAGCAATGCTCACACAATAGAGTTTGTTTGAAACTAAGGTGTCAGCAGAAGAGCTATCATTAGAACTTCCTCCAAATATATAAATACACATATTGTTTGGATTCAATGTTGTTGTATGATAGAATAGGCTCGGATTTGGTCTATAAGGATTATTTGAATAAGTATGTCTAACACTTTCAGCATATCGCCACATATTTAAATCACAATCATAATAAGTTAATAAACTATCTTCTTTAACCGTTAAAGCTGTACTCATATTAGAAGTAATATCACGAACATTTTTCTTTCCTCCCCAAATGATTATTCTCTTTGAGGCTTGTAACTGATTTTTCTCATCATCAATTTTAGGAAGAAGAATGATAGAATGTGATGAACAAGGAAGAGGAGCATACTGAACAACAGAATCTGAATTAAATAATAAATTATCACTATTTTCCTTCTTACTCTTATCCTGTTTGACAATATATTTAACCAATCGATTATAAACACTATTACTTTCTGTTCCGAAAAGAAATACTATTGAATTAGGTGGACAATCCTCTATTAATTCATACTCTCGTTTCCTTTTAGATGCTTCTTGATCTTCAGGTGAATTTGCCTCTTGATCAGCAAGGATCTGAAGATTGGTTCGGGTCGTATCTTGCTTGGGTGTAACACCAATCATACTCAGCAAACGCCTAAACATTTTTTCTTCTTTTTAATTTGATGATGAAGTGAACGTTATGAATTGGAGAGAGAACGTGAAGGTGGATTTTTTCAATTTGAAAGGAAGTGTTGAGTGTCACACTATTTAACTTATTGTTGTTGTTGCTAGAGCATTTGTTGGCAAGATGTGAGATAAGAACATTGCTGGATCTGTTATGGATGATATGTACAAAATTGGACTTGTTGGCAAATGACTTTTCTGGAATTTTGTTTGAGTAATATTTACATGATGATAATTTATTCGTCTGACATTTGGTTTGTTGATTGAGGGTTTTCATTTTGTTGTCCTGCAAGTTTTCTTAATACTTCATCTCTTCCAATTACATCTCGGTAAAGAACAACTGCTGTTTGGTTATCATCCTCTTCTTCCTCATTGGTGGATTGAAGTTTCAAGTCAGTTTTTGGATCTGGAATGTACTTTCCATTTGGTTGAGCCATTATTGAGGAAAGTAATTTTTTACGAAGGAGATCATTCACAGTTTCATCTATGGTTGGTTGGTTCAATATCTTAGGTGTTTGAGTTGAAATATTTTCATTGTAGCACATTAATTGTGTGCATTTAGAATTAGGTTGAGGTTTATCCTCTTCGGAAACCTGTAAGTTTGCCAAAATAGAGCTAAGACTCTTTTTCACTCTTTTTGCATCTCTCGCAAATTCATTGTTTGCTACTGTTGGTGATTGATCTTCGTCATCTTCAAGGATTTCATCTTTTTCATCTATTGAATCGAATTTTCTCTTATGAATATTTTCCTCCAAACATCCTCTCAAAGAACTGTTACTATTTACAATTTCATTTTGGTTGACAAAATTCTGGGTCATGATGAGATTAGGTTGATTATTATTTACATTGTAATTTGCATTTTCATAAATATGTGGTTGTGTTTGGTGATAGACATACTCACAACCATTCTCAGGACCTGAATAGTTATCTCGATAGACATAAGTCCGCGATGCATTTTCTTGACTATCAGTTCTTTGATGATCATTATTCATCATGTTAGGTGCAGAAGAATAATCTGTTTGCACATTGTTTCTGCCTTGATAGTCCACCCAATAATTTCCATACTGTTGCTGAGGTTGCTGCTCTTGTTGCTGCATAAACATGATGATTTTCTTTTCCGAATCAAAACCGAAATCTTCGGAATTGTTTTTTGTTCACAAATTCTTAAGAATTAGAGGAAGGCTTGGCAGAAATGTTTAGCAATTTTTTTTTAGATTTTCCAATTTTGAACCAAACAGTTTTGTGCTTCAATTCGAACAAGGAAATTTTCTTGCTCATTTGCAGAGGCTCAATTTCATAGAGATTATTCGAATCCATCTCTATGAAAACCTAGAGTCACATATCTTCCTATTCACAGAAACACTAAAATGATTCGAATGTATTTTTTGCATTTTCAAATTCCATGCACTATGAACATTCTCAACACTTTACAATTAATACAAAATCACATTGAGAATTATCAGAAATGAAACATTCCTCCCTCTTTGAGCAACAAGTTGACAATTCCATTCTCTATGCCCTCGAACCAGTTGATACTTTGCGTGACTCTGATGTGTATTATGCCAATTAGGAAGTGCATAAAAGCGTCTGTATGTTGTAGTGTCACCCAATTGGGAATTTGAAAAAACAAAGGCTAATTTTAAATAAAAAATGTCATCCCACCAACATGAAGAAACAACACAACAATACTCAAGGAATGATACAACTACAATGAGGGAGACACACAAAGTCTATCAACCTTCTCTCGAGTTGAGTGTAGCACTAAAACAAAATACTTCATCATCTAATGATGAAGCTCGAGTTTCTAATAATTCAACATTCATTCGAAATGAACCTGTCGTGATGACCATGGAAAATATTACCATCTCGTCGCCTATTTATCCATCAAATAGTGGCAAATCTCTAACAACAAAATCATCAGAAGAAACATCAAGGAGTGGAACAAGCAGTAATAGCAGTAGTAATAGTAGTTTGGGTAATTCTCAAGTTAATTTATACCAATTTACATCATCGGAAAATGGAATGATGGATATTTCAGGACAGCTCTTGTATTCAGGAGCTCCCTCGCCAAGAATTACAGATAATGATCCAGTATTTGCCAATGTAAATATACCACTGGAGGATGATGAAAGATTGAGTGCTTCATCAATTGGAAAAAGGGATTTGAATGAATTATTGTCCAAATCAGCTCCTAATTTAACCAGTGCTTTATCTGCTGTAAATATTGCATTCGTGATGAGTGAAAACAACTTGGGTGATTATACATTTGGAACAAATGAAGAATCAATATTTGGCAACTCAACTATGCTCCTTTCAATGGGACAAAAAGTTTCATCACCAGCCATTTCTAAGCAAACTCCAAAAAAGCAAGAAGAAAATATTGATTTTTTACCACTTCATGGAACAACACAATCACCAAATTTAAACTCAAAAAGGAGAATGTCTCATCAACATGAATGCACTCCAACAAAATTACAACAGGAACAAACCACTCTTGTTGTAACTCCTGTCTATCCATCTCCATCGTCTGACGACAAGGTTATTGATGAATTTTTGGAAGGAAATAATCGAGGAAGAAAATCAAGAAGCAAGTCAACCATCAGTGCTGCTACTCCTATGAAAAATGAAGTTATGAATCAAATGAGTCCAATTACTCCAACCAAGCTTGCTATTTTGAGAAATGCCACAAACAGTTCTCTTAAGCATACATTACCTCCTCATTTGCAAACAAAATTTAGCAATACTCCTTCTGCATCACCAGGTGCTATGAGCGTAGAAACCACTGGAAGTGTAGATTCACCAGCCGCTCTTTCTACTAGTTTCCATCTCGATCCTCAAACAAAGGACTCAATCACTCAAAGCTTAAAGAGAAAATACTCCAAGGCTGGATCTCGAAGCAAGTTCTCAAAATCTGTTATAGATGATCACAGACTTTCTATGAGTTTGGAAACAATTGGAATAGTACTGGAACATAGGAGCAGTACTAATAATTTACTTGCAAAAACCTCTATGAAGGGTTCTGATTTATTGCAAGCTGTTTTACAGTTACAACAAGAGAGAAAAGACACCCCAATGCCTGAAAAAACCATTGAGCAAAAGGAGTCAGAGGAACTGGAACGAAAGAAGAATGTACTCAGAAAAGAGATGGCGGGATTTGACAAGATGCAGCTCAATCAAAGGTTATATGCTGCCTGTAAAGAAAATGATGCTATTACATCTACACTCATTTTGGATGAATTTAATGTAGATATTAATTGGAAAAATACTCAAGATATGGAGAAAGGCTTCCTCCATCTTTGCGCAAGGGAGAACAATACTGAGCTAATGGAATTATTGCTCGATCGTAATGCTGATCCCAATATGAAAGACAAAGTGTCAAGAACACCACTTCATGTTGCTTGTTCATCAGGATCCCACTTTTGTATGGTTTTACTGTTAGGTCATGATGCTAGTGTAAGTTTTTATATTTGTCAATTATTCTAAACCCTGTTTCATACTCCACCAATTAGCCAAATGTGAGAGATGAATATGGATTCTCACCACTTGGATTAGCTTTGAAACAACATCATTTTGACATGGCTAAGGATTTACTATTGTTTGGAGCAGATGTAAATCTCAAGCTCTATGATGGTAGCACAATTTTACACGACTTTTTCGGAAATGGAGATATGGAAGTTGTTAAATTTCTCATTAACGATCTTCCAGATTCACATACTCTGTTGACCATGGTAAGAAATGATCATGGTTGGTCAGCATTATTTTGTGCAATTCAGAACTCACAAATTGATGTCATTAGGTATCTCTTAACTTCCAAATATCAAACCCAAATCTTTAATTCACTTTCCAACTCTTCCAATAGTGGAGAGAACGTATTCCACATAGTAGCCAAGTCAGGCGATGTTGACATGTTGTCAGAGTTAATTAACATTTTCAATGAACGAGAATCGCAAGAGCATAAAATGTTATTGCAGCAAACAATGAGCAATGTACCAAACTATAAGAAGAATATGGTGAGTCAACGAGTCCAAACCTTACTGAACTATCAGGACAATATGAGAAAAATGACACCTCTCCACATTGCTGCCAAGACAAAGAAAGCAGTCATGGTAAGAGAATTACTGAGACTTACAACTTTGAGTCATTCTGGTGAACTAATTGACAAGAAGAAGAAACTTTACAGAGCCATAGATGTTAATATTGCAGACAAGAAAGGAAATACACCTCTCCACTATTGTTTCATTGATGTCAAAGATAGAGACCTCACAAACTCTGAGAAGGCAATGATAACCTTCATAACAAGTAGCAAAGCATGTAAAACTGATATCAAAAATGAGAAAGGACTTACAGTGAAAGCCATTTGTAAAAAATATGGTATTAATCTTAAGGACTATTCCATATAAAATATTAATTCAATTCTTTGAGCATGGTCCTAATATTCTTGCCAATGGAAAGTAAAAATTAAAATTTTAATTAAAAAATATTTTGTAATTTGCAAATAAAAAAATGAAGAAATTCTCTACCCTTTTGCGCTCCGCCTCATCAGCACCAGCCGGCGCTAGACCATATTCGACCTACAGGGTTAAAATTAAAAAGTCAACAAAGGCAACCAACGGAACTAAACAACATCATCAACAATCTTTCGTAAAAACCGAAAAGATTGAAGAAAGTACTCAACAATTTTTTGACCATCCAGACTTCCAAAAGGAAAATAGATACTTGCTCGCTAGAATTGATGTTTTGAATATGGGCAAGGCTCCATCAAACATGCCTGTAGTTAAGGAAGTATCGGGAAAGGAATGGCAAGAAAAGAAGAAACAACAGGTGAGTTTAATATTTGCGGAAGTGATGATAACAATGATTAATTTAATCGATGAAAATTATATAGACTGCTACTGCTTTTGAACAATTGGATCTTCATGTTGATCTTTTCCCAAAGCAAGTTGAAGAATCTACCTTCAAACAAGACTTGCTTTCTAATCTTTCTACTCCACTCAATGTTACCTTTGCTAAAGAAAACGAAACCAAGACTTTCTCAAATACTTCATTGCTTGGTAATTTCATTGAATCAAAGACAACTGAACAAGTACCAAAAGTTTCATTTGAAGGAGAAAAGGGAGCTTTTTATACATTGGTAATGTTGACACCTGATTATCCATTCAGACTCATTCCTGATAAGGGTAGTTTCATTCACTGGATGGTTGCCAATATTCCTGGTGAAAGTGCTGATGCTACAAAGGGTGAAACTGTTTGTTCATACATTCCACCATTGCCAACTGAATGTGCTGGTACATTCCGTTATATTTTCTTATTGTACAAACAAAATGGAAAGATTGAAAATGTTGAAAAAGTTAGAGAAACTTTGTTGACTACTGAATCATACAAACAACCACAACAATATGAAGTTTTGAAGCAAGATCAAGAACTTAACAAGAAAATGAAGGAAAAGATGAGAAGAAATGCTTACCAATACGAATATGAATATATTGACCAAATTATAGATAAGAAATTCAAAGCCCATAGTAACTTGGTCTCGATAGATGGAGAAACTGGTTATGAAATTAAGGGAAGTGATTACAGACCAATTCAAACACCAGAACAAACAGCAAAGACTTTTGAAATTAATCAAAGAAGATATTTCGATTTGAGCAAGTTGATCAGTGAAAGCAAGAAGCCATCAGGTATGAGTTTCTTCAGAACTGAATATGATATGAGTGTTTCTGAACTCTATCAAAAGAATCAATGGAAGGAACCTTTCTATGTTCCACCAGATGTTGTCCATAAGGAAATTGTCAAGAAGCATAAGGTCTATCAAGGCATTTCTTTCAAGAAACAAAAGTACATTAACTCTCTCAATTGGATTTAAATAAAAAAACAAAAGGATTAATTTATCTTGTTCCAATATTTGCAAGGCACACATACAACATTACTGATTTGATTGATAACAAAGCAGCTTGTAAAACAAACAGTTGTGCCAAAAACATTTAATAATACAACCAACACAACGAACAAAATTTTCAATAAACCTCAAATAAAAATGTCTGAATCTCCAACCTCACCAACCGGTGTGAATGGCGCCAATTCATCTACAGCTGGAGGTCAAAAACCAACAATGAGACCTTCAATGACTCAAAACAGACCTGGTTCTGCATCAAGAAGACCAGGATCATCAGTAGGAAGACCAACCAGTAGTGCTGTTACCCAAAGAAGAAGTGTTGTTGTAACCTCAGGTGGCTCTACTACATCATCCTCCGGAGGTCCACCATCATCAAATCCTACAGCCTCAAGAAACATTAAAACACTGTGGGATGTAATTCTAGAAACTAAAAAGGATGTAATTGCAAGTAATAGTGATCCAGTGGAGAGTAATGTTTTTGTACTCGGAGGAGAACGATCCGGAAAGAGTAGTATTGTACATAGAATTTTAAAGAGAGAGTATATTAAGGACCGCCCAGAGAGGAGTACTGCTCTGGAATTTACCTTCGGTAAGAAGGACGAAGGATTAAAAACCTATGTAGCAAACATTTGGGAATTAGCCGGAGGACGTTCTCTTGTAAAATTATTGAAAGAAACAGTGACAGCTGAAAATATTCATACAATGATTGCTGTTATTGTATTGGATTTGACAAAACCAATGCAATTATTTGAGGATTTTATTTATTTCCAATACATTCTTTCAAAGATTACTGAGGATTTATACAGTGTACTTAAACAAAAAGGTTCTGATATTCCTGATAAGATGATATCAAGAGCCAAGAAAAGATTCGGAGAACAACATGAAGACATGTAGGTATTTTGAATTGATTTTATGATTATTGATCTACTACTTTAAAAAGAGAGAAAATCAAATTCAATGGCATTCAAACAATCTTTGTGGGAACGTCTTTTGATAAGGCTTCTGAAAAGTACAATCCGTAAGTTGAAAAATCAATCCAGTCGTAAATAATAATATTTCAACAGTTTACAACTCAAGCAACTCAATCAAACATTTAGATTTTTGTGTCATACCTTCTCAACAAGTCCAATGTTTATGGGAATTTACAATGACATGAAAATTAACGAAAATAACGATTCCTCTTTCAGAAACTTTATCAATTATTTCATTCTGGGAGGCAAATTGTCAACGAGTGATTTTAATCTAAAAGATCCTGTAAAACCATTGAAAGTAATTTGTGGAAAGGATAGCTATAAGAATATTGGAAACCCTCCTGTACAATCTAAGAGTTTACAATTAAGTGAAAAGCCAAAGAGAATTAAGGAAAAAATCATGAAAATGTTTGGTGATAAGGATATTGAAAAATGGTTTGACTCTTATCAAGCAATGTTTGCTGAAGTGGATGAAGGAAACGAAGATGATTCAAACAAGGAAGTGATGGATCTCAATTTCTCAGAATATGCTGAAGAGGTTGTTGATGAAATGAAATCCAAGAAAGAGTAAGTAATAATCCAAAATATTTATTCCAATTATCCTCAAATAATCATAGTTTTGAATTTGATCAATATTTGAAAATGGTGGAGCGAGACAAGAAACAGAAAATGCTCGTTAAACAGCAACAGGAAGCAAAACAACAAAAAAAGTAAAATTATTCCTTCTTCTCAGGTGTTGTTGTTGTTGTGGATGAATTTGTAGTAGGTGACACATTTTCTTGTGGTTTAGGTGTCTCCGATGGATTTGTAAAAGTATAATTTGGTGGGAGAGTAGTTTGAGATGATGTTTCTCCGGTGGTTGGCTTATTGCTAAGTTCGGACAAGAAAACTTCCTTTGTTTCACGAATATGTTTGGCAGCATTTTGAACATTTCTAGCACTCAACAATTTCTTCCATCCACCAGCTGCACTAACAACAATAGCTGCGCCGACAACAACAGCAAGTAATTTGCTCATTTTTTAAATTGTTATTTTTCCATTTTTGATTTTAAATTTGATTGAATTAATTTTTTTAATTTATTGTTTTTTTATTTGGTTGGGAAGAACTTTATATTCTATAGTCTGGGCCCTTTTTATTATATTTTAAAATTCCCTTTACAAACTTTTGGAAACGTTTTCTTCGAGTTGCTTAATAGCAGCAGCATACTTGGATTGATCCTTCCAAGCCTTATTTTCAAGACTTTTGTGAGAAAGAGTGGAGAAGAGAGAGTTTGAAAGATCTTCCTTGAGGGAGGCAGCTTCACCGGATGAAATCAAAGAGAGAGCTTGTTGAATCTTGGTGGCATCATACGATCCATTGACAATGTATACATTAGCAGCCTTGTTAAGTTTAGCAAATGATTCAGCAACTTGTTTGGCATCAGCATAAGCTCTTTGAGCTCCGAAAGTAGTGAATGACTTGTTGAAAGTAGCGTCCTTACCAACAGAAACCAAACCAGATTGGAAGAATTGTTGAGCATTCTTCACCTTACCAAGGACTGGAACAATAAAGTTGGCATCTTCAACAACAAAAACAATATTCTTTGGAGTGTGTGCAATATTTGGTAAAACAGTAGAAGAAACTTTGGTGGAAATCTTGACAGTCTTTCCATCAGCAGATTCTTCAACCAAATCACCCTTCTTGAGAGACTTGGCCAATTCAGAGTTAACGTCAACTTCAACCAAAACACCACCAACACCTCTACTCAATCCTAATTCAGAGAGAACATTGTAGTGAGCTCCGTATAATGTAATATTACTAGCAGTCAAAGCTGTACGAGTAATATTATTAGAATTAATAATTAAAGTTGTTGATGACTTGTCACTATTGATGAAAGAATCAGATGGCAAAACAATAGCAGCTCCTCCACTCTTTGTGAAAATGGTTCTAGCACCAAAGAAGGCCAGATTATCCAACAATACATTTTGATTAAAAACACCACTGACTACTGATGAATTGGTTTGATCATTTTCAAAAACAAATTGTTCCTTTGTCAAACCCAAATCTTTTGGAAGTGGACCACCAAATTCTTGAACAACGTGAGTTGGAACAAATTGGAAACCTGGAGTGTGAAGAACGAGAGAATCATATTTGAAAACAGAGGAATCCAATTTTCTAGTTGGCAAGATCATATTCTTCAAAAACAAGCCAGAAACACTATTATCAGTAACAACTCTAACAAGACAAGTGTTTTGATTGGCAGAACCAAAACAACCATCTTGAGTGAAAGAGTTTGGAGCATATGACAAATACCAGCCAACTTCACGTTGTGAACGCTTGTGGAACTTTTCATCCTTGGCAGTATATGTAACAAGAGGTGTAGTTTTGTCGGCATGGGCAACATACTTATCATACTCGGTACTGGCAATTTCCTTGACTTTCAAGAATTGTTTTTCACTGTCGACTTGTCCAAAAGACTTTTTCAATAAAGTTTCATTATCAGCGTTACGATAAGCATCATATTGTGGGAAAATTAATCCTTTAGAAAGACTCCAGTTGTGTTTAGCTTCATCACCTTTTCTATCTTCATATAAATTAACAGCGTTATTAACAACTTTTTCATTGTAGGAGACTTTAGCTTTTTCCATTGATTGTTGTTGGTTCGAAAGATGTTGTCTAAGAGCATTCAATGAAAGATTACTATTTGTTGTGGAATAACAACATTTTCCATTGTTACCAACAACAGAGAGAAGAAGTTTTTGGGTATTTCTTGTCTTCATCTTATAAATATTTTCTTGAAGCGGAGCGGTAGAGTGAGAGAAGATGACGAGCCTCGCTGATATTTTTTTTTACAATACCATTTCTTCTAGCCTTCATTCCTGTCGGAGGCACACTGAAGGTAAATTGCAATAAAAGTATTAATTGCATTGAAAGTGATACTTAATGATGATGAAATTGTTTATGATATTAATTGTGTAATAATCAATTGTTGCATAATTTTGAAATTGAATAAAACTTTATTTTCCTTTCCGTTATTTTTTGCATAAAATTTTTCCAAGCAAGTCAATCATCAACCAAGTTAATATGATGAAACAAATTAATCAGATATATCTCCAAGAGAGTATTATTTATTAGAATGATGCTCATTCTAATGTGTTTTAATAATATTTAAAAGAACAAGAGAAATATTGCAACACCTTCAAACTTTAATTTAAAAAAAATGTCTCTCTTTGCTGTTCTTCCGCCACCAAAACATAAAGAATTAGGTTTGAACAACAATTCATCATCGGATCAGGACGATCAAAGACAAAAGGAAAAACGAGGAAAGGATAAAGTTAAAATTCCACTCTACGGAAAAAGAGAACACTCAAATTGGATACCACAAACTGAGGATGATTTTGCTGATGGAGGAGCCTATCCAGAAATATTTGTTTCTCAATTCCCTATGAATATGGGTAGAAAATCGGAATACAAAAATGCATCAGGAAATGTTGTTTCTGTTCAAGTGGATGCGGATGGAAATGTTAATTTTGATAAAATTATTACTCAAGGACAGAGAAAGGATGCTTTAACATTTACTAAATTTTCAGATATGATCGGCGCTGATGTGGAAGAGGATGAATTGGCAAAACCAACAATTGAAGAAACTTCGGATAATTTACTCGAAACTAAGAAAGCACTCGAACTAAGAGTTGGTGGTAAAATTACAGCTGCTCATATTGGAAATGCTGTTAGTCGTTCTGTTGCTGCATCAAAAGAAAATCAAATAGAAAAGAGACAATTCTTTAGATATAAACCTAGAGGAGGTACTGATGATGATATCAAGTATATACAAATTGAAGAGGCTCCTACCGATCCAGTAGAACCAGCTAAATTCCGAATGAAAAAGATGCCAACTGGGCCACCTTCTCCTCCTCCAACTGTAATGCATTCCCCACCTAGAAATCTTACAAAGACTGACCAGGATAATTGGGACATTCCACCTTGTATTTCTAATTACACAAACAGAAAAGGTCTTATTATTCCATTGGATAAAAGAATTCTTGCTGATGGTAGAAATTTACAACAATCAACAGTTAATCCTAAATTTGGTGACTTTACATCTTCATTATATTTGGCTGAACATAATGCTAGATTGGAAATTAAGGAAAGAGCTGAAATGCAAATGAGACTCAACGAAATGGAACAAGAAAGAGAATTACAAAGAACTAGAGAATTGGCAAATCGTGCCAAAAAGATGCACAAAGACATTAAAGATAAAGAGGACAGAGCTAGGGTAAGAAATCAAGACAGAAGAACTGGAGGTTTAACGGAGGGTAGATCCGTCTCTGAAAAGGTCAACTTTAACCAACCACAAAGATCGAGTGTCGCTTCAGGAGAGGTTCAAATTGATAGCAGATTGCTCAATCGTGCATCAGGACTCAAAGATTCATTTGATGACGATGACTACAATGTATATGATAAGGCATTATTCGGAGAATCAAACAATGGCAAACTCTATAATCCAAATATGGACAGAATCAAAATGTTCCAAGAATTGGATGAAAATGTAAATATGAGAGACAAGTTCGAGACTGAGGATGAGTCCTCTAAATCAAGAAGACAAGCAGGACCTGTGGTATTTGAAAGGGATGGTGCATCTTCTGTTTCAGCATCCAAAGCACCAGCTGCTAGAGAAGAACCTTCAGATGATGATCCTTTTGGTTTCTCCAAGTTTCTTAAAGATTCTAAAAAGAGATCAAATTTGGATCATATTGGACAAAGAGGATTCATGAAGGCAGCCGCTGGAAGTAGCTCTCTAAATGCTGAAGATTATCGTGATAGCAAAAAGAAGAAAATGGAATTCACCTCAAGTAAAGAATAATTTACTTTAATAGAGATTTTAAAGTTTGCTCTGATTTGTTCTTTTTCAATGTTTTCTGATTGTATCGTCTTATGATATCTAGAACAAGTTTGTTACTATCCTTAATTGCAATTTTCTTAATTGATGAAACACCTCGTGAAGAAACATACTCCCTCACCAAATTATGTACATCAAATAGTGTCTTCATATCTTGATTTTGATCAACATAGGCCTTATACATTTCCTCATCATACTTGAGATCATAGTTTGACGTTGATTTGTATTCCTCGTTCTGCAATCCAAAAGAGTAACTATCAAGTTTTACATAATCCGTGAGAGCCTCAATTTGTTTTTGTGTTTCTACAGCAATGGTAAACTTGTCAGCAAAAGAAACAGATCCATTCTCCTTTTTTGGAGACTGATTTGGGGTTGCTGAACGAAAGAGGTCCTTTTTTGAAGCGGCCTTTTTCCTGAATGTTACTCTCATATTGGTACGATCAATTGGTCCTAACACTCCCTTAGATTCTTTTGAGATTGTGCTCGTAACGTTATTATACTCACTAGTTATAATAACAGGGGGCATTGTTGAAGGAGTATGAGAGGCAGATCGTACCTTTCTATTGATACTAAATGATGATTGATCTTGTTGGGGCATTAAGGATTGATTGTGTACATTGTTTGTAGTATTGTTTGTCATAATACTATTAGTGATATATTGTTGATTCGAGTATTGATTGGTTGGGGAAATATTGGAAGTTGAAGAAGGAGTAGGGGAAGGAGAGGCAAAAACTTGTTGTCTTTTTGGCACTTGAACTGGAGAATGATCTCTCATAAGGACAATATGTGCTGAATTATTTCTCTTCAGCACTGAATGTTTGGTATTGGATTGGTTTGTTGTAGAGGGAGATTTTGGAGATGCTAGTGAAGGAAGTTTGGTACTGGACGATGGTTCCTGTATATTGAGGTGAGAGGAAGTTGTTGTGGAGGAGTGAAATGAAAATGTTCGAAGCTTTTGGGCATGATTTGGTGTTGTTTCATGACTAGGTGAAATGTTAAACGATGGAATTGGAACCTCAATTTTCTCTGAAAAGAGACCACTATTTCTTCTTCTTCCATTACTGGGTGAGAGACCTAGTGTTGGTTTGTTAGCATTGTTATTAGAAGGACTTTGTTGGTTGAATGAAGAAGGTGAAGATGGAATGGTCAAGCAATTTGTTGATTTTGAGTGCAAATGCTTGGGAGATGAGTTAGTGAATGAAGTTTGGTGAGTTAGTGAGGGTTTAATGTGTTTTGGGGAGGTTATCAGAACCGAATGATGATTCATTGTAGAATTGGTCATTTTGTGTGAATATAGTGGATTCGACGATGACGAGGAAGCTACGAGTGAAATATTTAATGTCATACGCACAGTGTAGCATTAGAGCTGTTTTTCTTTTGGTTCTTTTTTTGTGTTCTCGCAACAAGTTTGTGCTTGATGAAGAATTTTTGGTTATAGAGAAGAGAGAGAGTCTAATAGTGAGGTGGATAAAATAGAGTTAATTTTTCTTATTTCAGTACCTTCCTAATGTTAGAAACACAATTCGCTTTGAAAATTGTGTTTTACAAGGTTTAAGGAAATAAGAAGGAGAAGGAAATATGGGAAGCGAGATTATTCTCTTCTTTTTTTAAGAGCTGAATAGGTTTGTGTGCCCTAAGAAAAATCAATGTTAATTCGTTGATTCGTTATTTCCATTTTATTTCTTAATTCTGACACGGTAAGGTACATAAAAGTATGAGCAGTAAAAACAATGGGTTCGTTCAAATTATATTAAGCCGAGCAAAAAGACATTTTGGGACCTTTGAGTTTTCATTAAGGGCATAAAAAGGGCTTAATATGGAGGCGATTGGTAAGTTGACAAGACACTACAATGGATTTCTCTTAAATAGATCTTTGAAAAACCAGCCCTAAGAAGGAAATATGTGAAGAAGGAAGTCAAAACCAGTACGAGAGACATAGTAACAAGATTTTTTTTATTGCTTTGCCTTTTGAGGATAAGCACCACGTTCTAGCAGTGCTTCTTGATTTTTTGCTGAATTCTGTTTTAAATAAAACAGCAAAATTGAATTGGAACGGATCATGTACAGTGAACCTAGGTTGGTTTTAAAAAGGATAAGGCGTGAATAGATGATAAACTTCAGCTGCTTGTGGTAGTTGTGAAAAACGATCCTCTTTTATTTTCCTTAAAGATTCTTATGGATGATAGAAATGATACCTTCCTCATTAAGGGATTCTTAATTTAATTTGATATACTACTTCCTCCAATGATATTTCGCCCGAAAAAGAGGGAAAGGATAGGAAGAGCAAGAATCAGTTATGGTTTTACTTGACATTTCAAATTACGTTGCTGTTTAATACTGGTGGCATGTTATAGTGAAATACATACAATAATATTACCTCTCCTTAATCCACTTAGGAATACGAGATGAAAATTTCTTTTCGCATCTTTGGTCAGTTTTTGGTATGTTGTGTTTTTTTGTCACAAATGGTGAACAATACTGTTTCTTGAGGATCAAGAACTATTATTTTACTCAATTCACAGATCCAAACTCGCAACATAAAAAAAATAGAGAAAAAAAATGGGAGTATGCATGAGTATGGAACCATTGAACGAGAATCAAATAATGGCATGTTGTCCAGAACAACAAACTAGTGAGACAAAAGAAGAGGAGCAACATCATTCTGGAATAACAAGGAAAATCTCGAGAGGTGAGTCTACAATTGTTGAAACCATCCCAAGCACATGTGCTCAAGAAAATAAGATCGATCATTATGAGGCACACTGCATCGAATCGATAGTTTCATCTGAAAGTTCTGACTCGGTGTGTATAATAGATAACCATGTGGATCCTTCGGCATCATCAGAAGGCTCATCAGCAAAATCATCATCTAAGCCTTATGATGGTTGTAAAATAATCAAAAAAGGAGCAGTTATTCACAACAAATCAATTCCAACAATTTTCATTCAATTTGCCTCACATAAGAGATTATCGAATAGTTACTTCATGGATGGTGATGATGAGAATTACCTTAGTCCATCAGAGGTTTGCTGAGGAGTTATCTACTCGTTGCTTGTGATGTGCATCAAATAGAATAATGATACAATTGCATTGCTTATGCAACCAACGAATCAACGAACTCCACTTGAAAAAACAGAACTTATTACGAGTGAGGAAAGAGCGAAAAGTGTGTGAACTGCACAATTCAACCCAAAAATAAGGCATCAAAGATTCCAAATTTGAAACCAACAGTAACCATAAATAAATGTTTATTTGTTAGTAGCTGGAGCTCTTGGTTCAACTTTGAGAGATAAATCAAAGAGGGCCTTCTCATCTGTCTTGATATTTTGCACAATTTCTTCCTTGAGTACATAGTGAAGATAAGGAAGAGGTTGTAGAATGTATTTGGATTTGGTTTGAAGAGTCTTGATAGTATTGACAGTATTATAGTAGAGTCTTCTCTTTTGGAAGTTGATTAGCTTCTTGTTCTTGTTCAATTTGTGCTCAAAATAATCTAAATTACCATCTTCAATAAATACCAAATCAGTAAAGTAGATTGCTACAACAGGAACTGCTGGGGCACCATTAATGATAACTTCTCGTTCCAATTGTTCTCTCAATGCCTTGGAATTATTGTTCACCAAATTACTGCATTCTTCAACAAGTTCCAAATCTTGCTTGCTGAGTCCTTCTTTTGTCTTTTTCAGTCTGTGAATCTCGGCAGAATTAAATGCAGATGTGATTTGAATGATTGAGGTATAGTTTCGAAGTTCTTTCAACTCTCTAAGGATGTCCACAAATTTCTTCATAATTTTCTTTCTAATTTCCAAATTTGGCTCCAAAAGTATCTTGTTTCTAACCCAGAAACTAACATTGTTAGTTCTCTCAGTTATTGCACACAGTGTTGGTGCAAGTTCTTGCTTGTACTCTTTGTCAGTCCAAGCTGAGCCGAAAAATTCTTTTGGTTCAATCTTTTTGAAGAGTTTTGCCTCAATGATTGTCAATTGTCTAGCAATTTCTAAACTTGGCCAATCCAAAAGTTCAAACTTGACATCAAATGGATTATCTAATTGTTTGGTAAACTTTTTGGCCTCCTTCCACTTTCTGATATCCATTTGGGGTTCTTCCAATTTTTCTTTTGGAATATTCTTTGGAATGTGAGGATTTGGTGGTACTGCTGTAACATCTGTGTAAATATCCATCTTGACATTCAAGAAGTGTTTGATAATGTATTTCTTAATCTTCTTTTGAGTAACTCCAGAAATATTGGAAAGGAATGTAACAAGCTTGGCAATAACATTATTGTCAAAATCATGGAATCCGAATCTAACCCACTTGCTGATAAATTGTTCAACTCTGAGCTTGATGACTGTTTCTTCGGCTGTTTTAAATATTTCAATAAGTTGGGTGAGTAAATTAATTGGTTGAGTGAAAGAGGCGCAAGTGAGGAGGAAGATTTCTCCATACTTGTGACTCTCCTTGTCAATTTGATTTGTATCCACGTCAAGCAATCTTTCGACAAGTTTTTTGAATGTACCTGCTTTGATATTGTGCTCTTCATTGTTCAATAGCAAATCACCATCCTCAATATCGGTACTATCTAATTGCACATTGAACAGTTCATTATTGAAAGGTTCTAATAAAAGTTTTTGACATTCTTTGACAATTGGATAAGCATTTTGCTCTTCTTCAGATGTAAATCCTGAGTGAAGCATAACAGCACCCAATAACCATCTCCACTTTTGTTCGACTTGTCTCTTTTCAGCAATAGGAATTCTCTGTTTCTTTGGAATGTTTGGATCATAGAGCTCATTTACCACAAGTTTACTGGTACATTCTTTGATAAGAGGTAAAAGTGATTCTCTAAATACAATATATACCAAGTCTAATTCCTTTCTCAAGGTTAATTGAAGAACACTGTTCATCAAAACTCTACAAATCTGTCTAAAGAATAGACCAATAAGAGGAGCTTGTTGCTTTAAGCTTTTTGCCTCATAGTAGGATACAAGTTGTCTTTGTCTCAGTAAACTTGGATCAGCAAGTTGGATATTAGAGAGAAGATCAATATTGTCGCTTTGCATTTGCAGCTCATCAATAAATCCTCCGTCTGAGGTGACATTTGATACAATTACAGAAATCAAGTAATTAATAACAAGGGAAACTTCGGTACGAAGAGATCTATCATCTTCAACTCTAGATTTTGGATCATAATCGAGATTGTTAATAGCAATAGTTACATAGTCCAAAAAGTTCAAAATATTCAAAATCTTGAAGAATGGTAGAACCTTGAACCAAGAAATTAACCTTTGCTTTGATAAGCCTCTCATTATCCACAACAAAATGCATGAAAATACAACAAACAGCTCATCATCTTGGAAAATTGTGAGGTACTCATCTTTTTCAAAGAACAAATCAACAAAGATGAGATAAATTTCACAAACATTGGCTTTTGAGTTTTCATGAACATATCTAGAGTCAAAATCAAGTTTACAAAGGTGGTTGAGTAAGACCTTTGTCATCTTCTTAATTAATCTATCCTTCTTACTGTCCACAATTTGATAGAATAACGTGCTGAAATGTTTGACACCAAAGTTTCCTCCTTCCAATGATAAATTGTTGATAGGAATCCAATGCTCATAGTCACTGAGGATAGTAATGAATTCACTCTTCAAACGAAGTTGTTTCTCATCCGATCCATTAAAGAATTTAAAGTATTTCTTTACCAGTTTGAGCACATGTTCTCTTTTGAGAATAGGGATCAAATCTCTAATGAACAATGCCAAGTTTCTATTACCATTCAACCCAATGTTATTTCTTCCAGTACCATCACTCAACATTAACTTGTTGACACATGTATTAAAGTTGTCAATTAATTGTTTCAATGATATGAAGAATAGGTCTTCAGGTACTTCTGTAAAGTAATCCATAGTGTGGTGATCTTCTGAGCTAGGCACTCCTGAAAGAATTATACTCTTGATAGTAATATCGAAAAGGAACCAAGAAAATCTGATAGGATCATGAGGAGATACTTCATTCTTTTTCTTTTCGTATTCCTTTTTATCCTTTTCCAAACTGGTAGTTTTCTTTATGACTGACTTGCCATACTTTTTACTGAGCCTGTTCATTTCCTTAATATATTTGCCTTCTTCTGCTGGCTCAAGTTCCTTGCCTTCTGGAACATAAATAAATCTTGTTATTATTCTTGGTAAATTCAAGAAAAGTGGATTACCCTTGATGTTTTCAAACATGAATTTAACATAACTAGTAAAATACTTGTTACTTCTTGTGTGATGTTTGGTAAAGTGGTAGGATCCTCTTAGGCAAACAAGTAATGATTCAAAGACAGAGCTTTCCAAGCTTTCAATTTGTTGTTCATCAGTTGTAAGTTCAGAAACTCTGCACATCAATTCAAAAAGTAGGTTCATTAAAATTGGGAAGTGAGGTAACAACTCTGAGAATTCAATTTCGTTAAACTTTTGAAGAACAAAACCTTCCAAGAAATCCAATATTTCAATTGTTTTACCAGGAGCGGCTGTGTAGAGATCAGTCAGAGAAGCATAAAATAATGCAAGAGTTGGATCTCTAGGGTGTATAGTCGATACTAAATTGGTTTTAACTTTGATTTTTGAACTCTTTAGAGGTTTGAGACTATTCTCAGACAAATAATTACTCTTAAAAGAGTCCTTCTTGTAGATTGTAATATCATCATTACAATCAGGCAAGTAGATAAGGTTGTGTTTCAAAGTGTACTCACATTCATCTGGTTGAATACTCTTAGTGAGTGGGAGGAAAGCATATCCAATAATAGCTCTATCAGATGTTGAAAAGAATTCTTTTCTTGAATCGAAGGAACTATTTGCATATTCCAATTTCTTTGAATGCTTATTGTCAATATCAACATGGTAAAAGACAAATAATAAATGGTGCTTTTCCATAGGATACATTGGAAGTTCCAATCTAAATTCATCCAATAATATTTGCTGTCTCGAATCGACCGAAAGGGAAGTTATTAAAGAAGTTGTTCTCTCCTTCTTTAACCAAGCAATAAATCTTTTTTCAGCTTTTCCATCAATATCTTCAACTTTAGGAGGAGCTGTGTCTGTTTCTCTAAAATAAACTTCAGCAAAAATGTTCTTTGCTGAGGATGCACCTTCAATAATAAAACTTTGAGGATAAATAAACAAAGTATTTTGCATGGATAGATTAGGATAGTTAGAGGAGAGGAGTGGAAATTCTTGAACTTGATTGAGTTGTTCTTGATTTACAAGGCTCTCAGTTCCATCATGCTCATAACTAGATATTATACTTTCATTAACAGATCTTGGTGAGCTGAATGCTGTACTTGATCCGAGAATAGAGCTTGAGCTTGGGGACCCAAATGAGGAATCCAAATCAGATCTCGATCCTTGACTTGTTAAGAATCTTGATTTAGAATTTTGGATTTTTTGCTGAATTTCATAATTACTTTGAGAACTAGAATTTGAAAGAAGTTCAGCAGTGAACAGCATAGATCCTTGAACTTGATTATTCTTAATTTTCTTATCCTTGATTGAGTTTCTAATAATTGTCACAAAATCTACTGGATTTTTAAAATCGCCATCAACTTCATAGAATGGTTTGATGTCATATCTTGAACCTTCCAATTTGAAAGATTCAACCTGTTTCCCTTTAACATTGATCATTTCCTTAACAAATAAAGATGTAAATCCAAATAAAAATGGCTGTCTGAATCTAATTAGCTTGGCCTTAAGTTGATTGTATTGATCAGACCACTTATCAATATTCTTATTTTCTTTAGAATACATTTTAACAGCCTCATGGATAGATGATGTAGGAATTCTATAGATTGTTGCTACGAGATAGACCTCGTCATTTGGATAACTAACAGTGAATAACTTTTTTGGAGAAACTATTATTGAAGAATAAATATCTCTTGCATCTTCATAAATTTTGAGTTCATCTCTGAATAGAGGTGGAAGATCGCTTAATTGTTGATTAGGCAATAAATGGAAATGGTAGTCTTCTGATAATTTTCTACCATATTGAATATCGTATAAGGCAACTGATGAGAATAATAATTCTCTATCTTTCATTTGAATATTTTCAAATCTTAAACTTGTACATTGAAGGAAGAATTTGGTCTTTCTTTTAACTGGATAAGCTAAATCAGAAACTCTTTGGCACATTGAAGCTTCCAAAGGTTTGAACATGTAATCAGGTTTTAAACAACTCATCAAACGTGTTTTTGAAGTAATGGTCTCTGTCACAGCATCTAATCCTGGGTTTTTAACTACCATTACAGTTCCATTCTTTGGTTCAATATTTTCAATAATGTCAGTCTTCTTTTTACCAGCAGAATATTTGGCAAATTCGACAAGACTTTTCTTTGCTTCCAAAACTTGAATTTCATCAAAACCGTCAACTGCCTTCTTTTCCGTGTTTCCTCCTATCATACCAATAATTGTTTTACTTCTTATTGATGCTCTAGGTGTTACACTATTTCTAGGAGATTGCTGAATAGTGTGATGGTCTGAATCTTCTGTTTGACCAAGAGAAATTTTATCAATTTCTGACAATTTCAAAAAGTAACTCTTTCTATTTCTTGGTGTGGTAATACTTTCTTCTTCAGTATTAGTTGACGATTCATCATCACTGGAGTCGGAAGAAGATTGTTTTGGTGCTGAAGAAACAGAAGATTCTGAATTATCACAATAATTATGACTATGGTCAATTCCATCGTTTTCATCAAAAGTAGGCTGGAAAGGTGCTCGCATATATTTTACAGGTACTCGTTTCATAATATGGAATGGTGTGTTAAAAACTTTGTAGGCTTGAAGAAGATGAGGTTGAGAAACTCTTGAATTTGCCAATAATTCTTCTTCCTCAGCTGACAAGGTCTTATCTGTTTGTGACCAAGGTTTGTTTTTCGTTTCAATTTCCATTGCTTGTTCAATTCTTTCGGATGGTAAAATTGTTGTGCTGGTTGAATTACTACTACTTCCAAATTGATCGGAAGAGGTGTAAGCAGCAGTTGGTGAGTGATTATGTTGTTGTTGATATTCAACAAAGGAGGTGTTGTGTGATTTGTTTTGTGAAGAGTAGTGAAGGGTTCTAGATGTTTTTCTAGTCAATGAAGAAGAACGAGAAATGCCATTTAAAGAGAGTGTTTTCACTTTTGAGTTGACTCGTCTGAAGAGTGCCTCGTCTACTGAAAAATCGATTGGTTTGGCTGATTGACCATTTCCAGGTGATGACAGATCGTTTTCTGCCTCATATGAATTGCTTGGAAAACTAAACTCATCATTTCCTTCTGACTCCACATCTTGCATCAGAGAACCTTCGTCGCCTGTATCTAGGTAATCCATATTCAAATTTCCTCCCTGTTTGGAATGTAAATAACTGAGAATGTTGCACGAATCACTGAGAGATGAGCTGCAACTACTACTATTACTTCCAACACTATTTACACTGTTTGGTGAGTCGAGAAGTTTCTTATCGTTAACAATCTTTCTGATTGGCAAAGGTGGTGGAGTTGTTGTAACAGCACTATTACCAGTCAAACTTTGATCAATAGAAGAATAATTACTATTAGCAGCACCAGAATTAAATCCTCTAGAGTATGATGGAATGGATGGTGGTCGATTTTTCTTTGGTTTCGTATGGTTCTCATCAGTGCTATCACCCGAAAAGTTGATGTTGATGGAAGAGGACACAATATCTTGACGTTTGGGTAATACCTCCTCCTTTTGTTCATCATCCTTTAAACGAATGTCAGTGTCTATCCCTTTGAGGGATCCTGGAATTGGTGGGGGAGGATTTCTATTGAGGAATTTTGGAGAGGTTGGTGAGCTGTTTGAAGGAGAATCATGTTGGATGTGGTTAATAGATTTTTGAGGTATTGGTGGAGGAGGAGATTTGTTGAGCAGAGAGGGTGAATGGTATTTGGGTTTCCTTTGTGGAATGCTAGGTGGAGCATTTGTTTGGTTAGATGGATGATTTGTTTCAAATCTATTGAAAGAAGTACTATTTAGATCATCAACACCTGCATAACTTTGATAACTCTCATTATTAAAGGCAGATTGATTGTTGTTACTCTCGGTTGATGAATGGGGTTCGTATTTGTTTCTTGTAAGAATGTTACTAGAAAAATCACTTCTATTACCAAATTGAGAAACTAAAGTATTATTTGTTGATGAATTTCCGTTCGATATTTCAATCCCTTGCTGTCTTGTTGAAATTGTGGTTGCTCGTCTTGGTGGTAGGGGAGGAGGAAGTGTTCCTTGTTGTTGCTGTTGTTGATCAGGTGATCCATTACTATACGATGAAGAAGAGGAAGAGTGGTCCATTGGATGATTGGTTACTCGACGAGTCCAACCAGTGGATCCATTGTGGACATTATTGCGAGACATTTTTTCTTCTGTGTATTTAGTCTTGTGAATGTCATTGCCTTACTAACTACATGCAGCGAAATTCTTGCACATAGACTCGTTCCACTTTGTCACTAAACGTCATACATCGCAGACAAAATTGCCATCGTTGTGTAACCTTCCACAGAAACGGAATGAGTACCTACATAGTGCCATTAGTGATGTTTACAATTCACGAGCCATTAACAGTCAATTCTTCTATTGTATAAGGGAGCTTGGATTTCCAATAAAGTTTTCGACTGAATTTAATTGGTTAGAGATGACATCAGAATCATACATACCTTGCCAAAACTCGGTGATCATCCTTTTAAGCTCCTCTTCATTTTGGAATTCATCATTAAAGAGTCGTTTCCATCTTTTTCTAAGATTCAATGCTAGGTCAATAACAATTACAGTCTTGTTTGTACTTCTTCTGAGTGCTCTTCCTAGTTGTTGTAAGAAAACAATTTCAGATTCGGTTTGTCTTGCCAAAACCAAACAATCCACGTCTTTTACGTCATAACCTTCACTAACCATCATTACATTCACTAAAACATTCAACTTTCCTGTTTCAAAATCCTCAAGTATCTGCTTAGTTTGTTTAGTACCTTTCTTATAATGTACAGATGAGCATTTTAACGCAAGGACAGATGTTTTGGATTTCTTGTTGATGAGACCTTCTATTTGGTCTGCATTTTCACAACTATTAGCGAACTAACAGGGTTCTAGTTTGGAAATACATGAGATATTACGTACAATTATGATTTTTTTCTTGGCGGCAAGTCCTGCATTCACTTGTTCCTGCAAGAATTGAAAGAGAACGTTGGTTACACTTTCTGGTGTCAGTTTTTTCTTCACTTGCTCGTCAGTGTTCATTCCTAATTGAATGAGGGATTTCTCAAGTTTGTTAATAAAGTTTGGAAGTTGTCTCTTTGGATTGTTGTAAATATCAAAAGCTTCTTTAAATATTTGTTGGTAAGTTAAAATGTCCAAAGACGAGTTGATTGTTGATGGCAAATATTCTAGATATTCGACTGGTGGGAAAAATCCAAGATTATTAGCTAATCTCCAAGGCAAATCAACATAGACAATATCCTTAAATAATTTTTTCAAATTCTCACCAGTTGGATCATCTCTGTGAATGAGAGTTGCAGTCATGCTAGATGGCTGGATTAATTAAAAGGATAATTTCCATACTTACCCTAGCATATAACGATTAGATGGTAAATTGGATAGTTGTGTAAAGACCTTATTATATGTTTGGGCAACAACGTGGTGTACCTCATCAATTACACAATGGGTACATTTGATTGATGAAATCTTATCGAATGATTGAAATAAACAAAATATAAATTTTGCCCTTTTCATCTTTGAATCAATAGTCTTTTGTGTCTCATTCTCTGTGATATTTAGAAAATCAGAGTCAGTAAAATCCCATTCACTTTCTAAATCCGTACAAAATTGAGTTTTGAATTTTTGGTAGGTGCCATCTCTAATTACCTTTGAGTGTACAAGAAATAGTAATTTAAAGGATTTAAAGTCGTTAGTATCCTTCAACCTTGTGAGTTCTCGTTCAATATCTAAAATAACAAGAATAGTTTTACCTACTCAATGGATTAAATCAAATATTGAGAATAATTACCTAATCCTGTGGCTAAAACTATCAAACCAGTACTATGTTTGAGTATTCCTCTAACTTTATCGCAGTGGTCGAGAACCGCTTTTTGAAATTCACTTGCCTTGAAACCTTTAAAAGTTGAGCTTTGATGAGGATATTGGTGACTGTGTTGGGCCAAAATTGTTGGATCTATTGGTCCTACATCCTCAATTTGTGTAGGTTGAACAAGTATGGTTTCAACTTCTTCCACACTACTAATTTCCAAAGGCTCCTCCGAATGAACAGATGATGAAGTTAATATTTCCACAAGTGATGATGAGTTTGCATTCTGAATTTCTCCCGTCGAGTCATTAATCTTTTCTCCAGGTTCAATACTATTAATTACTTCTTGTTGTCCTGTTGGAGATGATGAACAATCAATCATAATTTGTTCATCTACGATATTATTTGCAGAGTTTCCATCCCACACAATCGGATCAATAGAAAGTGTTTTCAACCTTCCAAAAAATCTTTCCTTCACCTTTTGTTTGCCAATCCTATTTAAATTTTGAAACAACTCATGAAGGCCAATTGGTCGTTCATTCTTGTGATTGTTGGAAGAAGGCATTTTTTTTCATTTTACAATTTCTTTAATAACATTTGGCGCCAACCATTTAAAGCAATTTTCCAATAATAAAAAATAAACAGAAAAAGATGCAGCCACAATCACCTCAACCAATCCATCAACACAGACGGTCGATTAGCACACCAGACTTGATAAACTCTGCCCAGATTCATGAGAGTAATAATACCAATGTAATTGATAACAATACATTGGATAGTTACACTTTGAGGCCTTCCCCTTCATCGATTTTAAGAAAGGCCGAGGCAACGAGTGCAGAACCTGTTATTGGTTCTAAATCTTTGAGATGGAATGAAGAATCAAATGTTAGAATACCCTCTCCTCCACCAAATCAGATTAGTACTGATTATTCACAATCGGAGAATTTGAGTGATGCTGATAGTGTAAAGACAACTGATTTGATGGAAAAGTGGGATTTAGATAATGTAATTTCTGGTGGTGATGATTTATCTATACATACAGAGGATGAGGATGCAATTTCCCAAACAAGTTTTAAGGAAAGCGATATTATACCTATTTCAAATTTGGACAAAGAAATGAAAGGGTTTTACAATAGACCATCTATTGTAAACATTTTACAAGATGAAAAATCTAAAAGTACCCTCAATGAAATTATTTCCACTGATCCACTTTCGAGAATGTCTCAAACTCTGGAAAAGAGAAGAAGTTCTGTGGTTTCTCTACAACAAGAATCGATAACATCTCCTTCCAATCAAATTCCTCCTTCTTCCAGTACTGCTGCTATTTCACCAAATACCAAACCAAAAGAAGAGAAAAAGTATGGACTAATTGAGGGAGTTTATATTCCTTGCATTTCTTCAGTGCTTGGTACTATTCTTTTCTTGAAAGTACCTTGGATTTTGGCAAATGCTGGATTGGCATTCTCCCTCTTGTATATTTTCATATCAGTAATTTGTGCTATATTAACATGGTTAAGCTTAACAAGTGTAGTTACAAATGGATTGTTAAAATCTGGTGGAACGATAGCCATTATGTCAAGAGTGCTTGGAAATCAATTTGCTGGAAGTTTGGGTCTGATTTATTTTGTTGGTTTCATTTTCCTATTGTCCCTTCACTCATTTGCAGCTGCAGATTTATTAATGTCAACCATCAGAATATACTATCCGTATTTCAAAATGATAGATTCTGATTTACAACATCCTTACTGGGATTTAATTATTCTAGCCATTGGATTCCTATTTTTAATATTCCTACTTGTTTTCATTGGTTTCAGACATGTTGTAAGATTTGAATTGATCTTTATTATTGCAACATTCATTACAATTCTGTTATTTATCATTGGATGTTTTGTAACTGTCAAAACAGAATATCATATAACATCAGCAAAGTGGAATAATTTTGTTGCAAATTTTCCACCTCAATTCCAGCATGGACAAGATTTCTTTTCAGTGATGGCTGTCATATTTCCAAGTGTAGTTGGAATTTTGGCAGGAATCAATCGATCAGGGCATGTTAAACATATTCAAAGAAATATTCCTATTGGAACTATTGCCTCACTGCTTACCTCCACTTTTGTGTATGTACTAATTTTCATTCTGTTGAGCTTTGTTGGAAAGAGAGATGAGATGAGAGAGAATACAGCTTATTTTGCTCTGGTTGCCTTTCCAGATTTTGGTTTATCGATTGGAACCTATATTGTAAAAGTTGGCATGTTGATTGCAATATTGGGAGAAGGAATCCAAGCTCTTGTGGTTGCACCTCGAGTGGTACAAGCCATTGTTGACGAGAATATTATTTCATTCATTCCATTGCACTATTTAACAAGCAAGGGTTCAGTGAATATGAGGAAGGCTACTTTATTTTCTGCTCTCCTTGCTATCATCCCCCTTTTTCTAGGTAATTTGGAAAGTATCTCAACGTTTATTGCCATGCTCATTCTCTTCTCATTTGCTTTCCTCAATATTTCGACTTTTGTTGCCAGTATTAGCCCTAATTGGAGGCCTAGGTGGATGTATTATCATTGGTCGTTAGGGGTATTTGGATTCTTTGTATGTGCTATTTGCATGTTTTTAATTGGATGGTATTGGACTCTGTTATGTGCCATCATTGGCCTCTTGTTGTACATTCTTATTGAGGTCAGTAATGAAACCAATGCATTTGGCGATGCTATGAGTGGAGTTAAATTGCAAACTGCCCTCAATGCTCTCTATTCATGTGAAACAAACCCTAACTCCTCCACCAGTTCCTATCACGAGAAGTCGAATTGGAGACCTCAACTCTTGTGTCTCGTAAAGATTCTTCCAAACAATACCATTTCACATGCTGATATTCTCAATGTTGCAAACCAACTCAAGAAGGGACAAGGTCTGTGTGTAGTTGCAGCCATCATTGAAGGAAATTACAAGAAAAAGTTCAAGATTGCTCGAAAGGAACAACTTGCCCTTTCCCTGAAAATGAAAGAGAAGTCAATTACTGGATTTTCTCAAGTCATTGTGGCTAAGAATTTTCAGGAGGGTATCAATCATTTGATTCAGAATTGTGGATTGGGTCCTCTAACTCCCAATACAATTGTTTCTGGATTCCCAATGAGTGATGACAAGATCAGTGCTAGAAACTTTGTTGAAATGTTAAAATACGCAGAAATTAGTAGAAAAGCTGTTATTATAGCTAAGGGAGAATTTGGAGAGGAAGAACAATGTGGATTCATAGATCTCTATTGGATTATTTATGAAGGAGGACTCGAATTACTCATAACTTTCTTACTCCAAAAACACAAAGTTTGGAGAAAGTGCAAAATACGAATCTATACTGTTGTTGATGATACTTCTAGTTTAGAAATGATTAAGGAAGGAGTTCACGATATCCTATATCATTTAAGATTTGAAGCAGAGTGTCACGTTCTCTACATGAGACCACACGATGTTTCTCCATTCGTTGTGACACATGACCAAAGAGAAAGAGAACGAATGTTGAAACCCTCAAGCAAAATTAACAAGTCCATCTTTAGAGATGTGAGATCCATGTCGTATCATGAAGGATTAGATTCTCTGGTTTTCAATTTTCCATCGACACCGCAACAAAATGCAGATGAAGTTTCCATTAATATTGAAAATAATCCAACAACCCCAACTGACGAATTGAGTACTCAATATTCGAATGTTCCCAACCTGACCATTACTGACTATTTGAATACCTCATCAAGAATCAATACCATCATTCGACAACATTCCACTCCAAAAGATACACAACTTGTCATTGTAAACCTTCCCTCATTAACATCAAATCTTTCAAATTTGGATTATGTACTATGTTTGAAACATCTCACTCAAAATATTTCCTCCAAAATATTACTCATCAAGGGAAGTGGCAAGGAAGTAATCACTCATTTATTGTAATCTTTAAATAATAAAAATTTACAACATATATTTTCTAATATTTATTTAAAAAAAATGCAACACATTGGATTGGCTCCTCCAATCGCTGAAACTGGATTGATCAATGGAGCACCATCTCTAAAAGATTGGAAAGAGGAGGAATTAATAGAAATCGGAAAAAAGTATCGTCAAGTGATGATTTCTGTTGATTCCGTTCGGTTTGAAAGGAATTTTAAAGCAGCACATGATGAATTATTGAAGGCTATTGATTTATGCCCATTCCAACCAGGTTAGTTTTAGTTCGGAGTGATGATAGGAATTATATTGGTATTATTATTAATTTAATAGAGGCTTATTATAAGAGAGCACTACTGTATTTTCAGACAAGTAATCAAAAGGAAATGCTTCGGGCTGTCACGATCACAAAATTCGTTTGTAGAGGACATCCATTTTGGACTTTGTTATGTGATGGATATATAGAGGAGGTATGTATATAATATTACAACAGTTTTTAATTTACTTTCATATTGAAATTAAATAATAATAGGTTGCACAAAATTATAGAAAATCTAAAGATTTATATTTGAGTGCTTTTAAAATTGAAAAGGAAACAGTATTGGAATATTATCAATCATTTTATTCGATATCAAGAAATATGGCAGAAACAATGTATTCATTGTTTGATATTTTTACACCATTCTTTTCAATCTTCAACGCTGGTTGTGTTATGATGGATATTGATTTATATGCTGATGCAATCAAAGAATTTGAAAATGCAATCACAAGCTTGGAAAATGGTTGTAATGTTCCAAATTTTTACTATCCAGAGCATAAAGAAAGAATACTCAAGGTGGGAAGAGCACTATGCTATAACAATATTGGATGTTGTTATATTAACACGGAATCTGAAACAGCACTTAAATATTTAGGTAAAGCTGTTGAAAATTGCTCTAACTATATACTTGTTTACTCTAACAGAATGTCTACAAATGCTAGAACGGATAATTACGCTCAGATTGTGGAAGATAGTGAGACAGTATTGAAATTTGTCACAAACCCTGATCAGGTGGAAGTAATGGAAGTTGAACGAATCTCGGCTCTGGAAAAAATGCTAAGGAATAATCCTTATAAAGCCTATTCGAAACAAAAATTCAAGGAAGAATTAGAGGAATTAAGCAAGAAATACCCAAAAAATTATACAATTTACATTACACAAGCATGCTCTTCAAATTCACTTGAAGACGCTATTTCCATTGTTGATCAAGGAATTAAGAATATTGATGGATCTGCAGTTGAAAATGAATACAAACTCCTAACGTTAATTGAGTTTAGATCTCAATTGCTTAATGGAATTGGGAAAACAGCTGAAGCTGACAAGGATCTAAATTTTGTAACAATGGCTTTTCAATCAGAGTATTTACTGAGAATCGAATAATTTAAATTATCTTCCAAAATAAAGATAATGAGTAAATGTACAATTTATTGGTTTAACAGGGAAACAACTTGGAAAGCAGCAGCTGCTACTCTAGCTGTTGGATTGGCTGATTTTTGTGCAAATGTCTGAATGTGTTGTTTTCCAATAGCCTTTATAGATTCGCTAGCTCCTGTCAAAACTGTACCAGCAGCACACAACAAGTCATACAGGATATTGTGATCTGTTTCATCAGGAATACCTTGGATGATTAAGGCCAAGAGTTTCTCTTTCAATGCATCTGATTGAGTGTTTGTGTGAATACTGACAGCAGTATTAAGCAAAAAGTATGAATAGGCTGCTCTCATGTTGGCATTGGTCGTATCAACAGATTTAGCAGCATTGTCAATGACGATCTGGGCATGCTTGGAAATAATGAATTTAAGTTGTTGTGTATAGAACATGTTAGCTAAAGCTCTAAAAGCCAGCATCTTCAAAGCAGCGTATGTGGTTGTTGGGTTAAAGCACAAGGTTACCAATTTGATCAAAATATTGGTGCCATTCTTATATTGTTCAGAGTAATGATTAGCAACTGGGTTGGCTAAAATCAATAATCTGAATAAATCTACAGCTGGGAAAACTTTTTCAATTGGCCAGTTAAGCATCTTTTTCAACAACAGCAACATGTGCTAAAGTGACTTTTTCACCTTGACCGGCCTTGAGAATTGTACATAATTGTGTCAAAGTAGTGCATTCAGTTGGTAAGAGAGCAAGAGATGCATCAGATGTCTTTACATTTTCATTAAATTCATTGAGCTTTTTAAGGATACCATCATAGTTGGCTTGATCAAAGACCTTGGTGGTAGCTGGGAAATGTTTGACCTTCTTTTGTCTTTCTCTTTCTTCTAATTCCTTTTGATATTTATCTTGTTCTTGAGAGAATGGAGAGGAAGTAGTTGGGTTTGATTCAGTACCTGGACGCTTGGCAGCGAAAGTTTCTCTTTGGTGACCAGTATAAGGATCTCCAGCAACAAAGTCTGATGGTACAGTATCATGAGCATCAGCATTATCCATAACGAAACGAGCAATTTGTTCCAAATAGTTTTGTCCAAGATTATTATCCCAAATAAATTGTTGAGCAGCAAAATATGGGTTATCACCCTTATTATATGGAAGTTTGAAAGTCTTCATTCCACTTCCATGTTCAAGTTCTACATCGAAAACGTAATCATACATTTTACCATTGTAGAAAGTTCTTTGAGAGAATCCATCTCCTACACCTGGTCCATCTGTAATTTCACCAAGTTTATCCCACTTTTGTTGAGCAGCATTCCAAGAATAAGCTTCTGGAATACCACTATTATTGACAAGTTTGATTTCACCATCTGATGTACCCTTTGTATTTTGCAAGGCTAATTCTGTAGTCAATTTAGTTGGATCAACTCCACTCTTCTTTTTCTTTGAATTTGCAATATTATCATTAAAGCTTTGAATAATTAGTGGATTGGCAACCTTTTCTGGATTTTTAGTAAATACTCTGGCAACACAATCAGAACAAGCTGTAGCAATATCACCATTTGGAAGACAAACAACCTGCCAGACACATCCTGGGTGTTCAATGGTTTGTACCAAAGAATCACCTCTCCAAATTTTAACAGTTTTATCTTCACTGGCTGTCAAGATTTCTCCTGATGGTGCTACTTCAACAGAATAAACTAATGTATTGTGTGCTTGAATATGTCCAATACAATCTCCTTGTAAAGTCCAGGTTTTAACAGTACCATCATTTGATGCTGATAAAAATCCAATACCTGGTAATTCTTTGAGAGATCTAACACATGATGAATGAGCAGCAGCAATGTCACGAGTTTCCTTTCCATTTTCCCAGAATTTAATACTTCCATCGCCACTACCAGTGATAATAATACCATTTTGTAAGCCTAGAACACACAAAACGTTTTGTTCATGTCCCTTCAATTCGGAAATGGCTGCATCCTTATCAAAATGCCATGTCTTTGCAGATCTGTTAAGTGTGAATAAATCGATTTTTTAAAAACTAAAAGTACTTACTTATCCCAAGAACCTGAAATTATAGTGTTTGTATATTTGTCAACAGATAAACAACTGACTGCATTGCTATGAGCATTTGGATAACTCTTCACTGGAGTTCCATCAACAACATTCCAAACAATGAGTGATTTGTCGTGTGATCCGGAAACTACATAATGATCAGGAAGATAATCAATAGATGTGATGAATTTTTCGTGTCCAACCATTGTCAAAGAGCATTGATATTCACTTTGCTTTCTAGCATTGTTCAATTCCTCACCATCAAACATTGTATTTTCGATATTAGTTTGTTCCTCCTTATAATTTGGATTAGGAGCCCATGTTTTCACTGTACAATCCAATGATCCTGTGACAATACCTCCATCCACAAGTGGATTAGCACAAATCGTACGACACTGATCAATATGTCCCTTACACTCGGCTCTCAAAACATAATCAGGAAGTAATGTTGTTGCTTCTGTTGTCATTTGTGTGCTATTTTTTTGTGATCTAAAAATAAATTTCAAATCCTTTTGCTGTTTAGAGTTCATTCATCTCAAAAAAATTGTAAACACTTTGATTGGTAGTATTTGAGTAACAACAATTTTCTTAACATTTGTCTAGGAAAGATAATAAACTTACCTAGAAGGTATAAATAGTAGAAGATTTCAAGTTACAAAAAAAAATGACAAGAATTATTCTGGTGGATTTTGTGCAACAGAAGGAAAATTATTCAAATATTCCAAATCAAAAAGTTATTAATTCATCGTCATCATTAAAACAATGTAATCAACATTTATTTGATGATAGGGAATTATTTCAGTTACTCTGTTCGAGGATGAGATCACTTTCTGCAATTGGATTCCGATATGTTGGTACGATTGGAGATGGATTGATATCTTGTCCTTGGTGTGTTACAGTTTCTCATTCTTCACAATTGATACTTGTTGGTGATTATTACAATGGAAGAATATTGGGATTTAATTTATTGACAAGGATTTTGGAGGAGACTATCCAGTTGCTAAGTGGTCAACCATTGTCGTTGTGTGTAGAAAAAGGAGAGGAAAGGGATGCCTTGATTGTTGGAACTTCTATGAATCAAGTATTGAAACTAAAGATACGTAAGGGTACTAAATCTGGCCATACATATTGGAAATATATTAGTGTAGGATATCCAACTGGGTTGTGTGTTTCATATAGAAATAATTCGAATATAATTTTAGTTTGTGACACTTCCTCTGAGTCAGTAATAATGTTGAATTCTAAAGATGGAACAGAAGTGAACAGAATAGGAAATATACAATTAGAAAACAATAATCCATTCAGAAAACCATTTGCTATAGATTTTGATGATTCTACAAAATCTCTATATGTGAGCGATATGAATGGTCATTGTCTTAGAATTGTGAAATTTAAAAAATCTATCACATCAAATAATCTTGAATATTCCCAGAAATCATTTGGTAAGGGAGGCTCTTCATTTTGTAATTTAAAATTGCCAAGAGGAATTTCATTATCAAAAAAGAAAGGTTTGATATTTGTGGCAGATGAATCGAATCACAGAGTACAACTTTTCGATTGTAAGAGGGAGGAGTTTGTAAACAGTTTTGGAACTTTTGGAGTAACTAATTCTCAATTCAGAAAACCCTATGGAGTCTATTTTGATGATGCTAGTGAGACGTTACTAGTGGCTGACACTTACAACAATAGAGTGCAACTCTACAGATAAATAATTTAGAATACCGCTCAGCTTTGTTGAGAATTGTTTTGAGTTTTATTTCATCGCTCTGTAAAAAGCCTTTTCAAGCAAATACACAATTCAGAATGACTCATTTCAAAGGTATGAGAAAGGAATGGGTGAGAAAGTAATGAATGGACGTGTGGTCTCATTTCACAATCCCTGTTCATGCACAAAGTCAAAAAATGTTTCAATTCATTGCTCATTCTTCCAGATTCAACAAGAGGCATGCAATATTCCTCGATATCGAATGATACAATGTCTGCCAATGGGAATGAACTATCAGTGTTTGCTTGTTGATCAAATTCGAAAGGTAAATGACCAAGGAAGAGTTCCAAAAGAGTCATTCCCATACTATATAAATCGCTTTCAAAACTTTCCTTGCCAGTTAGTAATTTGTTAGGGCACATGAATGAGTAGGTACCTTTTGTGATAACTGACTCTGGTTCTGTAGAGGTAGAACTGGAATGAGGTGAAGTAACTCGGTTATTATTGACTTGGTCCAATTCGATGGCAAGTCCCAAGTCTATCAACTTGACACAACCATTCTTACAGAGCATAATATTCTCGCTTTTAATATCTCTGTGAAGTAATCCTTTCTCTTTAAGGAATACTAAAGCTCGTAATAATTGTTGAGCAATCAAGGCAAGTTCCTTCTCACAAATGGCATCTCTTCTTGATTCTATTAAATCTGCAATTGTACACCCATCAATGTATTCCAAGAAGAAACGGTGATGGTACTTGCTTGATCGAGTTGATTTGTACAAGTTGACAATGTAAGGTGAAGAAGTACACTTTAATAAGCAACGTTCTTCACGCTCAATGTCTGTCAGTGAGTGATTGGTATGTTCAGAATTGAGACTAATAACCTTTTCAGCGAAGAGAGTTGATTCTTCGTAGAGAGATTCCTGGGAGTCTTCGTTATCAGGGGAGAGGGATGAATTAGAGATTGGATATTGATCTGGTTTAGAGTAGGAACCAGACGAGGAGGTTGGAATTGAGGAAACAGCAGCTTCTCCACCACATTCTTGTTCAACAACTTCTTCTTCAGTGCAATTTGAAAATGGAGCAATTCTTCTCACCAAATTAACGGTACTTGTAATTCCTTTGGCTACCGAAGATTTTACCAGTTCAAAACCCATAGAGTTGTAGAATTCCTTCTCATGTTGATTGAGAAGCGTGGATGTTTGTACAAAAGGAGTTTGAGAAGGAGAGGAAACACTAGAAAGGCAACTCGAATGACAACTTTCACAAGGAGTCATTGAGGCATTACCGTGACTAGTGACAGAGCTATTGTTTGTTAAACAAGTCACCGTTACAACATGGTTTTCATCTATTACACTTGGAATTATGAGATTAGTTGGACGGTATCTGTTACCATTGGCTTTCCTCGAGGAGGAGGTTGGAGTGGATGGTGTGGATGGATTATTATCAAATAAGTTATTGTTTTGTGGATTCATTTCTATTGGAGAGAGTTATCGTTCGGAGTGTTTACAAAGTTGTGAGAGAGATTGGAAAAGAAGAGAATAACTATGAAGTATTTAGCATTGTTCAAAAAGTAACAATCAAGAGTGAGTTTGATGTTCAAACAATTCTCGTATTTTAATCCAAAAGGTTTTTCTAGTTAATTTGTGAATTTGCAGTTTGTTCAGGTTCAATTTAGTTCCTTGTTCCCGCTTGCAAAAAGGCAGGGAAGCTTTTGGGGGGTATGAAGTTTTGGTCTTTTTTTTCAAGATAGATTTGAGCGAGAAGAACATATGCGAACGACATTGCAAGCAACACTTGATGCTATTTTTAAATTGCATTTTAAAAACAACCAATAAATTACGTTATTTACCCTTCCTCAATGAGCTTTGCGATTTCACTAAAATAACAATTGTGTTTATTGGTGAGAAGATGAATATTTTAGAAACTTTGTATTATCACGGAAGATCTTCAAAATCATGCTGAGAATACAATAAATTCTCTCGAAGGGAATTCGTTTGAACTTGTGGAATCATAAAATATGTTGGCCCTAAATGTCACACAACTTTCGAATTGGATTTGTTGCTTTGTGTGGATGGTTCAATGTTCGTTGAATTGGATGAAGTAAGATTGATGATGAAAGAAGAGAAAATGTGATGTCATTGATTACGTAATTTCTACTCTTTACAATAGATCGTTGAGAATTGACCGCTGAAATTTTCACTCGGTACAAACGGTTCATATTTAATACTCAACACTACATTATTTCATTGGAATGTAAATTAAAACTAACTAGTTAGTTTTTGGATTTCTATTAAGGAAAAGAAATTTCCAAAAATATTTGTAAGTCCTCCTAGTAGCGTTGTTTAATAACAAATACCTCAACTCATCACTGTTAGTATTTCAATTAGCTCATCATCATTTTGGAATATTTCAATTTTAGTAACTGGGCGGAATAGTAATAATGGCAAAATTGAAAGATGGCTTCTTCTCGAAATTATGGTAGTTTTCGTCCTCTTCCACTTTCTTCCATTCAAATACAATCACTGGAATTTTCATACACACTTCATCATACTAAGCTTTTATCATCTGTAAGTTCAATCCCGATCATGTAGCTGTTGTCTTTTTGCTTTTTGCAAGGTTAAAAGATTGCTGTTGGACTTAAATCAAATTCACTTTAATTCACTAAAAATTAAGATGTACTTTCAATGTTAATGTAAAAACCACAACCCTTTTTAACTTTAGAAAAGATTAAAAAGTTAATACAATCAACGCTTCCATGATAACCAGAACAAAATGGATTTTCCAAAATTATGGAACAATTTTCATCAAGGAATGTTTTAAACTCTTCCATATTGGTTGGGAATGGAATTCCATATTGTTGAGGTGGAATCTCTTCCATTTCTCTTTCCATTCCATCAAAATCTCTTGGAATGATGAGTGCACTATCGAAAATACTCAAATTATCAACCTTTCCACTAAGGATGAGAAGATAGAGAGCTTTTCTCATTCTAAAGAAGTAGTAATCATCCCAAGTCTTGTGTCCTGTTTTCATATAATGGACAGCATATTCGAATCTCTCAATGAATTTTTCACCATTTGAAACAATGAAATCTCCAATTCTTGGGTTAGATTCTTTGGAGAGGAGATACTTTTTAAATGGTTGTGTAATTCTTTCTTCAACATCCTTAGCATATTGAACATCAAATTCAGTCAACTCTTGATTTGGAACTTCACGGTTGACCACTCTATTGGCAAAGAATTCAACCATTGTTTCAAGAATTTTACCATCCTTGATGAAAGTTTCGTAAGAACTTCTCAATACTCTTCTCATCACCAATTTGTGAATTTGCAAATTCTTCAACGAATTAGAGAGAAGATTGCAACTATTCAAAGATCCACTGTAGAACAATTGATGATTTCCTGATGGTCCATCAATAAAAGTTTGTTCATGATTTTCAAAATCTAAGGTTGGGATGGTATTCAACATGTACAATTCTCTATAATTGAATGTTTCATGTTTTTCAAATTCTGTTCTGGAATGTAAAGTTGAGAATAACAATTTCCAGAATGCTTCTTGTTCGTATTGCATGTCTTCAGCAACATCTTGATTAGATACAATTCTCTTCACATTGATAAAACATTGAGCCCAATGTGAACAAACTAAACTATAGTTTAGAATGTCCTTTCCAACACTAGCATCATCAAGGTCAACTGCGTAAGCAAAGATATTAGAAGCAAGAAGATCAATGGAAAGAGTGGTTGCCATCTTTTTTTCTCAAAGTTGATAAGTAATCTCTGCATGTATGCGAATCTAAAGTTGTTTTGAAGGTGACATGGCGGGATTTTTATAGAGCCAATCTTGGAATTATAATAATTGTATTATCAATTGTTACTTCTATGAATGCATGAGATTTGGATATTGTTTGTTTGATACACTCCGAGGACTTTCATTTAGAGTGATACAGGGTTCACTGATTCTTAATATTTATCGTGCTAGTTTGAATCAACAATTACAATGACAATTCTCCGACTTTTGAATAGGGTTTACAGTTTTATAATATTTAAATTCTTCTTTTTTATAGTTCACTAAAATATCGAATGGGTAGTTGAATTTGTTTTTCCCCAATCTGGTATAACATTAGGGACAACTCCAATGGTTGGAAACATGGCCATAGAACCCAACATGATTGCTGCAACACCAATGATATTTATCACACCACCATGTAATAAACCATCAAAAATAGAATAATGTTTAGCAGAAAATGCTAACAAATTTGGTCCGGTACCAATTGGAGTCATGAAAGCCATCGAACAAGCCAATGTTGCAGATGCCATGAAGAAAACTGGATTCTGACCCAGTTTTGGACCAAGAACAGCCAAAACAGGCATTGAAAGAACAGCAATACTTGTGTTGGTAGTCAACTCTGTTAACAAACTAATACCAAAAACAATAACGAACATTAATGTGTATGGAGCTACCTTATTGGCCAAATCAAGTTTAACGACCATAACATTGACAACGAATTCTGAGAATCCACAATCACTAAAAGCTTGAGCCAATGCAAAACCGCCACCCAATAGGATTAAGATATCCCACTGAAGCTTTTCTTGAACTTCTTTCCATTCCATAATTCTTCCAGTTGTGTTTCTCCATTTAAAAAGCTGTGCTTTAAAGCGTTGCATGCGAGTGAGAGATTTGTCACTTTCTTGTTCAACAATTGGTGCCTCAGCTCTATTGAAAGATGGAATGAAGAATAGTAAAATTCCAATAACTATAGCTACAGTTCCATCCGTTGGATAGGCCATTACTGTATCTTGTTTCTTGACTGGTTTACCACTCATGAAAAACACCAAGTATGACCAAGAAATTCGAGTTGTTCCAAATGAGAGATCTCTCAACAACCACAACAAGCACATTACCAAGAAAAGGAGGGAAATAACTATTTCTTCAAACTTGATTTTTCCTAATTTCTTATATTCCTTCTTGAAGACATTTGGAAGTTTCTTCTTTTTGTCTTTCTTCTTCTTTTTGGAAGTGTTTGAATCACTCTCGCTTGTGGCCACAGACAAGAGCTTATCATTGTTCTCAATTGGTTCTTGGTCTTCGTTGATATTTTCGACATAGTATTCAGATTCTTCAAGTAAATTCTCCTTCAAATTATTTTGACCCAATTCAATTTCTGTTAAAATAGGTTCTTCCTCTTTGAGATTAATAGTTCTTACCAATACAATCAAGAAGTAAAGGAATGTTATAATTAATAGTACAATCATTGGTGGGAAAGCATAAATGAACCAATTAAGAAAAGTTACTGGATTATTAGTGGAAGTGGCAAGCTTCTTGAATTGAGAATTCAATACTTGTCCAATAACTAAATTTGTTGTAGTGCCAATTAAGGTTGAACTACCCATTATTGAACTAGCAAATGGAATGATCATGAAAAGTGCTTTGGCAAATTTTTTAATCTTGATTTCCTCCCTTTCTCTTTCTTGCTTATTTGGATTCTCTTCATTTCTAACTCTAATACTGGTAATAACAGCATTGGCCATTGGAATAAACATTGCAGTGGTTGCACTATTCGAAATCCACATGGTAATGAATCCAACCAAACATGTGAAGGCAAATAAGAGTATTCTAGGTCTCAATCCAATAAAACTCAACACAAACAAGGCAAATCTCTTGTGAATATTCCACTTTTCAATTGCTGCTGCCACAATAAACGAACCAATGCAAAGAATTGAAGTGTCATTATAGTAAGCACTGGCCATATTCTTTCCACTTGTAGTTCCCAATAATGGAAACAAAATCAGAGGCATAAAACTTGTTACCTAATTATGTTCATTATTAAACAATTGATGATGAAGATTACTTACTGTTACATGAACAGGTTGAAGAATCCAATAGCAAGCCAACCAAGCGGTTATTCCAGCACATCTGTCAATATCGACTGTGGATCCCCAGCCAGATAATGCACCACAAAAGAATGGCAATGCCATTACTGGTCCAGATAATAACTTGAACCAGAACAATACCACAGCTGTTACTCGTTTAACATAGAGGTTATTCTTAAATTTGATGAATTTTGCCTTTTGAGCTTGAAATTTGCCTCTGAAGCCTGATTGTGCATTCCCTTCAATTATTTCCATGGATGATTGATCTCCTTCGACGAGTTGATATTGGGAAGCAGAGCCCTCTTCATCAATTATTTGATGATTTTGAGTATTGAGACTATTTTTCATCTCTCTTTTTTTCTTTTTGCTGATTTCAGCACTCGTAATCTCAATGCATTATCGCATCTGGTGCGCAGTTTTTTCACTAGTTCCTCAATCAGAGGGAAAATACTAGGTGTGGATATACATGTTCAGGGTTCCAAACACTCTTTTTAGCTATAGATATTGGTGACTTGAAAATTGATTTCTAAAGAACTGTGATAGAAATCAAACCGATATCAGACTCTCCTTAATATTTAGAATGTGTTAATATAGTATTTGATTAATGCTTGTCAATAATATTTATTGAAGAATTGTCTGCAGGGAGATATGATGTCTTAATACGAGCAAATATCGCTCCTTCCAAGATTCTGTTGTGAAGACTCAATTTCAAATAAGGCTAATGGAATAGCGAGTATGTCTTCCAACAAATCAGTTACTACAGGAGCATTTGCTGAAATTATTAGAGATGGTGGAGTAGTCAGAGTAACAAGTTGGTGATTGAGTGGCTTTTAACAGCCTATTTAATTTATTTTACCATTAGAACTCTTTTTACAATGAAAAATGATAAATTTCTCTCTTAAAATTCATTCCCCAATAGTTCTCAAATTTACACATTGGCTTTAACTCGAATTTGTAAAATCCAGTATCAACTATTCCTCCGTATGTGTAAAATTGGTGCCTGAAATCATAAAAATATTTTTTGGTCGATAGTTCTGTAATTATTCTGTGCTTTCCTGAGAGAAGAGCTTGTGGATCCAACATATCATGTAATATCATATGGATGAATGTTATTTCTCTTAACGTGCTTTCCTGCATCTGAATCCGTCATTGCACAAAAGAAATATCCAATTAATACTCTATAAATTCCAATATTCTTGCAATCATGGAATGTAGATGGTGTTCCTTTGTCATAAATTCGATTTTTGATATGGATTGGTGTGAAAAATCTGTAAATGCTGTCAATGGTTGAAAGGTTTGGATTTCTGTCCATGTAATAAGATAAATCGAGCATGAAACATGATTGACTACCATCAATTTTTCCCATCAAGTAGTAACTTGATACATTTGCTGTTGCATCAATGCCAAATGCCTTGAGTTTGATATACACTTGTTTCTTTTCTTGGTCAACATCAAGAATTTCAACTAATCTTGAAAGAATTTCATTTTCTAACATGAAATCCCCAATCCTACTTTCTGAAATATTCAGATATTTAACAATCTCCACAAAAGAATCAAATTTCAAATCAAATTCAATATGCATCACATTAGTATTCTTTCTCTCCGAATTAACAATCGAATAGAACATCTCCTTCTTTACCATTTCTGTAGATTTATCAGAAAAAAAATCATCTACCTTATCAAATAAACCTGAATGATCAAAATCACATTTAAATCGAATAAGTAATTTCGATTTCTTAATATTTACAAAAAACTGATTCTTACGATAACCAACTGAATATAAATTTCCATTAACAATTTGATGATTAATTTCCTCGAAATGATCTTCATTAGGTTCATCAAGTATCAATAAACTTTCATTCATGTAGTGTTCAGTAAATTGTTGTTCTAAACTTTGTACCTTTCTCCTATCGTGAAAATTTACTTTTGTCTTGACTATAATTCCGAAACTTTGCAGAATTTCTATTAGTGATGAAGGTTTATTCGTTGTTGGTGCTGATGGTGTCTTTTTACGTTTTGCCATTTTTTTGAGATCTTTCACAATTTCAACTTGGAAATTTAACTAAAAATTAAAAAGTAAATTAAATTACAAAAAATACAAAACAATTTTATATTTACACATTTTTCGAAAATGAAACCTTCCTTAACGAGTTTGCATTAAATTTCTAGCTCTATTAATATCATCAGAGAAACCAAATGCTGCAACAACAGCTTCCTCAGATTGATTTTGTTTTCTATCATAAATGGAATTGACAATTGCATCCAATGCTCTAATTCTTTCATTGTCAAAGTTGAAAGTTCTGATAATTGAGGCAGCTTCAGATCCTGTCATTAAGGCAATGTTGTTTGTTTGTTTCAATTGATTCAAAACCTTAACTTTATCATTATCCATTCCGAAAAAGTGCAAAATGCTAACCAAGTCATTGGCGCTAACAGGTGAACATAGAGAGGTGGAACAATTTTGAACAGCTTTGACTTTGTCACTGTCAAACGAAGAATTTCTACAGGCAGCAAGGATTTGTTGAGCTAATGAGCCACCAGAACTCATTTGAGGTTGATGAGAGATGCCACATGACACGGTTGATGAGTAATTACAAGTTGGTTGAACGTAGGTTTGTGGTTGTGGTTGAATGTACATTTGTGGTTGAGCAAAAGGCTGTGGATGAACATACATTCCATTTGTGGTTGAAATAGTAGCTCCAGGATGAGGTTGAGCGTTGAAACCATACAAGCCATGTTGTTGTGGTTGTTGTTGTTGAGGAGGTTGATTTGAGCTATAATTGAAATTCATCTTTATCAATGTATTATGCTATTATGTTGCTATTGATTTGTTGTTTTTTTATTGTTTTGTGTTTTGATCATTTGTTATCTTGCGCATTTTATATTTATCAAAGAGAGGTGTGTTTAAGGAGAGCTTGGAAAGATCAGTAACCTTCTTAATTTTTTCCTTCTCCCTGGAGTTAAGTCCTCTAGAGATTGTCCACCACCTTGCTTCTGTACTTTACAGTGTTAAATACATTTTACAATGAATAATAATAACCTTCCAATGTTGTAAAGCATCCCCACCAATTCATCCCCACCAATTCAACTTAACCTAATTGAACAAACAAAAAACACCAAGATCATCTGCACCCCTACTGTATGGACCTGTTTTTAACAACAGCTCCTTCTTGAAAGACAAGAGTTATTATTCTGACATGATAATATTTGAACTATCGAGAGAATCTACCCATTCTTCTTAGAGGAAGTGATTCTACCAAGTGTAATCATTATCTCTTGAATAATGTTCGGAATTTAAAAATACAGTTGTAAGTTAGGATTGGCGCCAAAATTTGTAAATAACTCAAATAAAAAACAAAAGAAATGTCTCGAATGCAAACTAGCTCGGCAGCAATTACTCCTCTTGGGTTGGAGACAAAGCCACTCCCTCAATCAACATCATCGTTAGGCTCGACAAGACAATCAGGAACTCAACAGTTAGACTCTGCCGAGATTCATAACTCTCAACTTTATCAAGCCCGAAAGGAAAAGGGAAATAATCCACTCTATCAAACCTCAAATGCAAGTTATGGTTCTAAACCATTAAAAGATGTACATAAACCAACAGAATATTTCGGAAGCTCACATTCATTCTCTAAGGAATTTGTGGGCGGAATGTTTAGAAATCAAAGTTTAAATACTAATAGGACAAGAAATATCGCCATGCCAGACCCATCATTTGGTGCCAACCATTTCCACGACCAATAAAAGTAAATAAAATTACAATCCAAAAATTAAATATTATTTTAAATTTTACAAATTTTTAACTGGTTTTTACTTTTTCAAGTAGCTTATGAGATCAGTTGTGTTGTTTTCCTTCTTCAAAACATACTTTGGTGAATAAGCACCAACAATTCCAGAATTATAAATATAACAACCAAGCTCGAGCATCAAGAACATTTCTTCCATCTTGGCTTGGTCTTCCTTCATCTTGGACATTCCTTGCCATCCAAATTGTTTCAATTCATCCATAACTGGAGTGAGATCCATAGATTCAATGTTCAAATTAGTTAACAACTTTTCAAGATCATCTTCACTGTTTGGTCGTTTAGAGTACTTAGCTAATGGTGCATTCATGTCAATTTCTGTCTTAGTATTCATAACATCGATAGAAGTTAAGAATTTAGACAAATCCGTTCTAATTTCCTTCAATCTAACAAAACGAGAGAATTTTTCTTTCAATAATTCGTATTTTTCTTTCAAAATGTCGTGAACCTTCTTGCCATCAATATAAGCCTTGTAAATTTCACGATCCTTGCCCCATTCTGCACTGGTAGCTCCAATCTTGTTAACATCAAAGGATTTGACATAAGCTCCAATAAAATCGAATGGTGAAATGTGTTCTCCTTCTGAGAGAGCAGCATTTTGTGGACCATATTGACGCTTCAATTCTCTAATTTCTATCACAATCTTTTCAATTTCAATGGCTTGAGCAATTTTACGTAAAACTGTTTGGTTAACACGATTTTCAATCTTGATAGCATTTCTTTGACTAACTTGTTTAACATCCAATAATTTGTCAAAAGAAACTTCAGCCTCATGTTCGGCTTCTCTCAATAAAGATTCTTCAATATCAAGTCCTAACAACTTTCTTCTTTCAATTTCAAGTTTAGCTACAATCTTTCTAAGTTTTCTACCTTGTCTAATATCGTGTTCCTTTTGTGTATCTCTTATTGTCTTCAAAATGTTGAGTGTATCTTGAACGGAAAGCACTTCATTATTTTTAAGAGCAGCTTCGGAGAGCAAATTACACTCTCTTTGTTGTATTTGAATTTCTCTGCTGAATTCTTCGTCCCAACGTTGAATAGCATCTTCTTCGGTCATTCCTTGTTCCATCAATTCACGAACTCTTGACACAGCATTGTCTCTCAATTTACGGGTGAACCAGAAAGGAAGAGGTGTGAAACCAGACTTCATCAGTTGCTTCTTGTGTTTAGATTTCTTTTCAATCTTTCCCTTCAAAGCGTCATCAGGGAAGCTGAGTTCCTTCAATTTACCAAATTCTGTAGGAATACCATACTTGACTGGTGGTGGAACCTTCAACATACATTTATAAATAAGTGGAGGAACGTAGGCACCTTTTCTACTAGCGAGACCTCTGAAGTGCTTCATGAGGTACCATCCGGCATTGTTTGTTGTGGTCATTTTTTTTCAAATTTTTTTTTAAAATTACAAAAATTGAATTGAAAATTTAATATTGATTTTTGGAATGTCATCAGACAATAAAGCAATTCAGCAGAATCAAACTCATATATAGATTCTTGTTTCAATATATAAATTGGTATTATGAATGATGATAGTATTCAGATTTTATTAAATACAGTTTCAAATTAAGGCGCCAAAAAGTCATCAACAACCGAAAAAAAATGCTCATGTCCTCACTCCCCTCAACAAGCAAAACTTCAAAGTTTGCTGTTATTGGAGGAGGTTCTTCATCATCGGGATCATCATCATTGAATAGGAGTGGTGAGAATAGTAGCTTGAATACATCTTTGAATAAGAATAATAATAGTAATACAAATGGTGGATTGAATGGTAGCCTCTTTTCAAAAAGTCAACCACCAGAAAAACTAACTCCTATCAATGCTCCATCAGCATCATCCTCTTCAAGTTATGCAGAATTGGAACGACATTTAGTTCAATACATGCACAGTTCTACAAAAGTTTTGGCAGCTCTACAAAAGTTTGTAAGGAACAATTTGGAATTAAAAAGATCATCCAACTATAAGTGTAAGAAAACTGACTCACCGAATATTATTCTTGACGTTTTGGATTTACATTGTGATGATGAGGATATTGTGACGCAATCATTAAAGACTTTGAGAATATTAGCAAGAAAGGTAAATAGTAATAGTTGTTATAAATTAGCTCATTGAAACAATGAAGAAACAAAACAGAGAAAATGTCTCTCTTAGACTAGTTCAATCAATTTCTAGAATATTACAGGAAAACAAGGACCAAAATGCAGAAATCGCATCCGAAGGATCAAATGGTATGTTTCTTTTCCTTCACTAATTGTTATTGAATCATTTCAGTATTGTTGAATATTTGTTTTGAGGGGAGAAATATTTCGTCTCTTTCGAATACAAATTGTGTTCCTGCACTTGTGGAATTACTTTTCGATTCTCAAAATAAGGAAGTGTTACTAGCTGCTGTTGGTGCACTTCAGAGTATTAGTTTTCAAGATATTGGAAGGAAAATGATTACTGAGGCGAATGGTATTCCAAAGCTTTGCAAACTTCTCAAATATAACAATAAGGATGTGCAAAAGAAAACAATTAGTACCATTCACAACTTGACATCTGATATTGTAGTGGTACAGATTATCCATGAATTGGGAGAAATACCCTCAATTATTGCTCTTCTTAAACAGAATAGTATTGCAATTGCTTCATCAGCTGCTGGATGCTTGCAAAACATTTCTAGAGTTGATAAGGCAAGAGACGCCATTCAGGAAAATAATGGAACAGCAGTTCTCACAACAGCAATATTCTCAACAGAAGACCCAACCCTTCAAGTCAATTCTATAGGTGCTCTTTTAAATGTAAGTGGAATAGTCTCACTGATTTCTTACCTATTATTGTTCATAGATTTTGGGTTCTAGTATGGATGAAAAAGATATACAACAAAGGAAGGCTTTGAAAAAGATTTTAAGCATGTGCTTACTTGTTGGCCAGTTAAAATCAATGACAGAAGATCTTGAAGACGATAGTGAATTCTTGGAAGTTGAAGACTAGGCGATTTGGAATAGTTCCATTTGTTTAAATGGAATAAGGCTTTGTGTGAACAATTCAAAAAATAGAATAGGCAAACAGCTTCAAATTACAAATTTCCAGGAAATAAGACAAACAGTAGATAACAACAAATAAATTACACTTGTTTATATATTCTTATATTTTTCTTTACAATTTTGTTTAGAAAAGAGTTATTTCTTTTCATCTTCCTTAGTCCTAGCACGTCTCTTTTCTCTTCTCTTTCTAATTTCAGCATAGAGTCTTTCACGATATTCATTTATGGAGTACTTCTTGTTATCATCGAAGAAGAGAGAAATTGGCTTGTCACAAGTTGGCTCTTCAGCAGGATTGTGGAAAAGAGCAACATATGGATGTTTGAGAGCAGTTTCAGCGTCAATTCTCTTTTCAGGATTGAATTGTAATAATTTTGATAATAAATCCAAAGCTTCTGGAGATGCCTTTGGGAACATTTCTTGTAAAGACTTTTGTTCAGTTTCTGGAATAGAATCAAGCATAGATGAAGCAAAAGCAGATTGAATAGCATCAATATCTTCTGCGCTTGGTGGACCTGTCACAGCAATAATTCTTTGCAATTGATTCATTGTTGATGTTCCAGGGAACATTGGTTTACCACAGATTAATTCACCTAATATACAACCAACAGACCAAAGATCAACACCCTTGGTATACTTTGTTGAACCCAACAACTGGAGAAAGTATTGATCATTAAAACTATTAAATATTCAAATAATAACTTACAATTTCAGGAGCACGATACCAACGAGTTGCAACATAGTCAGTCAAAACAGGTCCGTGATCCTTATCAACTTGGGTAACACTCCTCGCCAGACCAAAGTCAGCCAATTTCATATGACATTCAGAATTCAAAAGCAAGTTTGAAGGCTTGATGTCTCTGTGGAGCAAATTGGCACTATGGATATATTTCAATGTCTTCAACAATTGATAAATGTTGTATTGTTTGTGAATTTCTTCCAAAATATTGGCTCTAATAACAGCATGCAAGTCAGTATCCATAAATTCGAAAATCAAGTAAATGTCATTGTCATTATCAGCTTTGAGTACGTTCAACAAACGGACAATATTGTCATGGTGCAAATTTTGAAGAAGCATGATTTCACGATAGGTACGTTGGGCATCGGTAGCATTTTGGAAAGCATCAAAGATTTTCTTCAAAGCAACAGTTTGTCTAGTCTTTTTATCAACAGCCTTCCACACAATACCGTAGGCCTAATTATTCAAATTAATATGATGATGATATGCCAATACAAAATAGAAAAAGTAATAAAATTTTGTATCGTAATGTATTATTGTACGAGAGACGATGATGATGATATTGTTGTAGTGGTGATATTAATAATACCATTGGTAATGAACATAAAAAGCAGAGATCATTGTATTAGATCATTATTCCTACATTTAAAAATTACTTACTCCTTTACCTAACTTTGGTCCAATTTCGTACTTTCTGAGAACGTGTTTATCAATTTCTTCACTCATCTTGATGTTATTAAAATCTACAGCAAGTAAAAACCAGGCAAGCAGGAAGTGTCGACGTTGGCTCGAAACAAGTGACGATTATTTTTTAATTAAAAAAAAATTGATGAGTAAAAATATATTTCAAAACCAATCATACGCTAAAAACAAGACCATTTTGTATCAGCCTTTCCCAACTAGTCGATAATCAAACGTTTGATTACTCAAAGTGAATGATATTTCGATTTTTGTCAGTGATGAGTTTTGGATTGAGGTATTTCATCAATTGCAATTTAATTTATTGGAAAGGTATCAAACATATTGTTGAAGCACAGGATCATTTGAATCCAGTAAGGCAGTTGAGAAATTATTTTGACGGTTCATGTGTTTTGGATCGGAAGAGTTTGTTGTGGTTTTACGACAAATAAGGAAGAAGAATGACTTGTTTATTAAGAGAAAAATTGAAATCAAACACGTTACAAATTACTATCGTTAATGGTTGTATAAAAGTTTCTCTTCACCCTTATGCTTTTTCAAGACTTGAATCGTTGTGTAGGATATTTCACTCTCAACAAAATCAGAACAAGTCAAATTTTTGACAGAGGAATCATTTCCTAGAAAATGAATAGACACTGAAATGAGAAATCTTTCAAATTTCCTTCTGACATTTTGAACTACCAGACAATTTTGATTGATGACACTAAGTGTTCTTTTGAATGGTGGAATTGTACAGATGAGTCAAACGTTAAGACATGATAGGCTTCATTATTACTTGTAATTGAAGGATAGAATTTTTCAGTTGTGACCACGAAAACAAAACTCAGAGAATTGATCAACAACATCCGATTACTTTGGTGATAAGGAGTTTAGTAAGGCATCAATGTTTTTACTCTTGAGGAGCTAGATTGGAGTTGTGTTAGGAGTTTCAATGTCTTCAGCCCCGCTTGTTATTCAATAAATAATTAAATCATGATGAATGATATGTTTATTTGTACAGATATGTGAACATGTGTTTTACAAAAAATTATTGAGTGAAGAACTCAATTCTAATAATAATTGTAATGAATTTACAAATTCAATAATACTTACGATGATTGAGCCTTTTCCATTTCATGCAAAAAGTCATAAAATTGTTGGAGTGACATTTCAACAAAAACATCTCTTTTACCTCCATCATCAATAGTGAGTTTCAATTGTAAGAATGTTGAACCAACTTCATCCAATTCACTACTAGAGGCTGTTACACCGAATTTCCAATCCATATCCAATAATGGATGAATAGAAAGAGTTTGAGAGAAAATACCACGACTCAGGGCAACAAAATACTTTTTCATCAATTGACAAATTACTGCCGATTTTTCATCATCCAATCCAAGATTTTTAGCATCTTGTTCAATAAATTCTGGTTTTAAATTCTTTCCTAAAACACCTTGTAAGAAGAGAGTAATACTTCTAATTAAATTAGCTAATTTTTGTGTAGATAATCCTGATGGTTCCGAGAGTGGATCTAAAGCTTCATATAATTGGGACACTGACGATAATTCCAATTCTCCTGATATCAGTTTAACACTGGCAATTATTAATTGTGTGAAAGTATCCCGATCGATTTTTTGAATAGTTTGAAAATCAGCACATAATTGTGATGGTGGAGTGTCAGAGAAGTGAAATTTCATTTTTTAGATTTTTTTAATTCTAAATTAATTTATTTGATTTTTTGATCTTGTGATTTCTAAATGATATTAATTATTATTAAATAAATCAAATGTTCTCAAATTCTTTGAGATGTATGATACATTTATATTGATGAATTAAAATATTAATTAAATATTTTATATTAATACAAAACTAGTAAATTGATTTTTAATCAATCCAATGTGATTATTATAGTCTACTACATTTACAAAAAAACATTTAAGCATTAAGTTCGGCTTCCAATTCAGCAAGTTCATCATCCACTTCTTGAGCACTTTTAACTGGTTTAGCACCAACACCACTCTTGATTGGTCCGGATGGAACCTTTGTTTGCTTCATGCCCAACATTTGCTTGTCGAGTTCTTCTTGTTCTAACATATCTAATTCATCCTCTAATTCACCTTCATCAATGATTTGTCCTGAACCGAGATCTTGAGCAAGAGCTTGTCCTAATTCATTGGCAGTGGCCATTGTATCTTGCACCTCATCCATGATATCCTCCACTTTATCAATTCCACCAGTTTCTTTAAAGATTTGCTTCATAGCCTTCGATGCTTGTTGTTGTGATTTGAGTGTTTCAATGTCTGTTGCAGCATTTTCTAATGTAAGTTTCATTTGTTCATTATTCAAGATTTGTTGATCAAGTCGTTGTGCTTGCACTTCATATTGTTTTTTTCTTTTCAGACAAGCCATTGCGGAGGGTTTATCATTCTTTTTCATAAATTCTTTGGCTTTTTCTTGTTCTTGTTCCATTCTCTTTTCTAACAGCTTTTTCCTCTTTTCTAAAAGTGCAATTGTTTGATCCATCTTTTCAATTGATTTATTGGTAGCATCTTCTGTCTTTTGAGAAACGTTGATTTCCTTCTTTTTCTTTTTACCGAATAACCATGACATTTTTATATATATTTGTTGTTGTTGTTAGTAAAGTACAGAGTATGTCTTCTTCCTGATGATGAACCAAGCTGTCGGTCAAAGAGATGAAACGTATTTTTTAAATAATAAAAATAAAAATAAACTTGTTGTTTATCGTTGGGCATTTAGGATGTTACTCGCGTTCTAATTGCACATTAGAATCAAAGGAAATGCAATGGATTTTCAATGTTCTATGATGAGAAGTAACAATAGGCAATATTTTACATTGTAACCTTGTTCCTTGGTTTCACACAAGAAATGTCAACCGAGTCTTTCTGATTATCTTTAAGGAGAATATTAAGGCAATGTGCATAATCATTCGTCATCATTTTCTTCCTCTTTTTCAGATTTAACTTCAGTTTTTTCAATGTTTGGCAAGTCATCACTCTGCCAAGACTTTAGTCCTTTGATCCTAAACTCAGTATGTTTGTTAATGACTTTTTGACAGAATTTTGTCAATAGTTCCTCACTAGTAAAATTCTCTGTATCCATAGCACAATTCAATAACATGGTTTGGATACCATAACTATCAAGTGTGACATTTGGAGGAATGCTAGCCATTAAAGTTTCCAAAATTTTAGGTAATTGTGAAACTCTGACACAAGTAGGTACTCCTCCTTCATCATCATCAACATACATTGATTCCGAGTCTGAATTTTCCTGTTTAGCAATCTTTTTCTTTTTCCTTTTAGATCCTCTTTTTGGTTTTTCTACATCTTCTTCATCATCTGAGTTTTGTTCATTATAATTAACTTGTTTTCTAGAACTTCTCCTTGAGAGCTCTCTCTTTGTGCTTGTCTTTTCCTCCGGAATCACTACATCCACTTGAGCTGTTTGATTATTATTTGAACCAAAGCTATTTAAAATAATGTTGGTAAATTCATCAGGAATTGAATATGTATCCGAATCGTCATCATCTCTCTTATGAAATGGATTCAAAAATAAAGTCCTCCTTCCAACATCATTACTTGATGGTGTAACATTTGATGGTGAATAAATTTTGGTTGGTGATTGTTCAACTCCACTTTTAATGTTGATTGAAGGCGATGGAGACACATTCCGATTGGGTTTACTTCTTCTTTCTGCAGAAATAGCAGACGGAGGAGAAGAAGCTCGTTGTGCAGGCATTTTTTTGAGCTTGATAGAGTTTACAATGGATATCAAGTATTACTTGGTTTCCAAATAAATAACATATGTAGCCACTGAATTCTAAAACCTATTAGGAGGTCTTCTTACTGTGGTGGATCGAATTGGATTGGATGCAGGTGTATTCATATCAAAAGGTGTATGGTCATGAAAGCACGAATAAAAAACTTGCTCTAGTGAGACTCTACCTTGAATTTGGCCACACATTGGAATAGTAGAAAGTAGTGCATGATATTTGGCACATTCCTCTCTTGAGTAATCATATTTCTGTTGATTTTTTGCGTCATCACAAGTGCCAGTCATGTTGTAAGCTCTTATTTCAGAACATGCTCTAATGTTACAGTCTTCTAAATCTCCAAATCTAGCCAAATCATATACATGAACCATTTCATGAGCTATTGTCTCCTTTAATGCAGCAGGATTTGCCATTCTGTCACAACAAATGACAATATGCTGACTGGTTGGTGAATAATATCCTCCAATTTGAAATTTTTTGAATTCTTGTGGAAAGAGTTGATCCTTGGTACATATTTTAAAGTCCAACCCTCCATTGAGTTTTACTCTTGAATTTGGTGTTGTCAAAATTTGTAACAAGTTTTTAACTTTTGGCTATTAAAATATAATAATTATTGTAATAGTTTTTGATTATTAATATTCACTCCTATAATTTCCAAACCTACATCCATTAATGCTTTAATTCCGTCTCCTCTGCATTGTTCAATTGTTTTATAATAGGAAAATGTGTCATTGGCTCTACTAAAAATCATTTTTGACTTCAAAGGCCTATCCAAAAACGATAAATCCACAACACTACCATCCTCATCAACCAATGAATTATTAAAAGTTTCCGAAACTTGATTTTTGTGTGATAAATTGTTTTGCTCTTGTTGCATTTTTTAGAATTAAATAAAAATAATTGTAGCTCAAACATCTAAATTGTTACTAATGACAATATAGGAAAAGCACTTGACTGATGTGCTATGTTTTAAAACCAGAAATTAAAAAAAGAAAAAATATTAAGAGCATAAAATTGATGATGAATTCATTTCTATACTAGCAATGACGATGGAGAGTACAATTAAAAAGATAACAGAGGAATTAAATAATATTTTCAAGAAAATTAAATCAAAATATTGGACATTTGATGAAGAGGAAAATGAAGAAAATCGGAAAAGAAGAAGGAAACAATTTTTGTGGATGTTGATTGTTGGTGGTGGAGGTTTGAGTGCTATTGTGTGGTATTATATTATTCGGGGAAGGAAGGTTACTACAAATCCAAACAAAAAATCGAAAAGTAATTACATTTCAGATTTGGTTTCTAGACAAGTGGAAAAAACAAAGGAAACTGTATGGATGGAAAATTTGGAACCCTATTTGAATGATACTACTTCTTACTACCAATATTTAGTAAAATCAAAACAGGCCAGCAAGGATAGTATTAGATTCGAACCTCAGTGGAGAATTAGTCCAAGCTATACTATAGAAACTAAACCAACTAATACTAAAAAGAAAAAGTCTACTGCATCCACAACTCAATCAAATGGATTTGTACAATATAGAACTCAATCATTGACTGGAAGAGAAGCTGGTCTTCCAAGAATTTTCTCAAATGAGGATGATAACACTTTAACAAGATTCATTCCCCAACCATCTAGCTCTAATAATTGGATCTTTTATTTGGAAAAGATAAGATATATTATTTCACTATTCTTCTACCGATTACCAAGAGCTGTTGCAGAATGGGAATTATGGCTAGGTGCTTGCTCAGCTGCAATCTATTTTGTAGCTATGAATCAACCATTTGGTTTTAGACAAAGAAGTAATCAGAAAGATAGTACCTCTAAATCAAATTCCATTTTTATGGATGGTGTCATGCACAGAGTAGTGGAATCTAGTGAATCAAATAATAATACCTCCAATTCAAAAGTTGTAAAATTGATTGGAGAAGGTAATAATGTGGAGGTTTTAGAAAAGAGTTTTGATGAGGTAATCAATGGCTCAAGCCTTGGTGATAAATAGATGGGCTCCGAGCAATTTGGCTATCTTGCATGGATAGAATGTTCTATGATGAACCAAAATTCGTTGTAACATTTCAGAAGTGCACCTCACTTTAAAAAATGTCTCGAAATCAATTCGATTTATTGGACGATGATTCTTTGGTAGATGATTATGAAAAACAGAAAATAATCACTAGCAATTTTAGAAAACAATCCCTTCTCTTCCGATCGGGGGAAACTAAAACAAAAAAGATTAGAACCCGACGAGCACTTTTTGAAATTATTTATGATATTGAATACCTGTGGTTTATTGTATTGGAGTTACTTCCTTTGAGAGATTTATTGAGATGTTCTCTGGTGAATAAATTCACCTATGGTTTGGTTCATTCCTATAATTGTTATGGAGAAATATTGAAAAGAGATTTCTTTACAAAAAACGAGATTGACAAGAAAGTTGTGGGTGATATTGTGAAAAATATTGATAATACTGGAGTTTTTGTTTATTTGATACAGGAATACTTGACAAGCAAATTTACTTCTCAAAAATTGGAATCAATCAAACATACAATCACACAAGTGCCAGACTCTAAATATAAGAGAATGTATGGAAAGATTTATATGACAATTGAACAGCAAATTGAGGACAAAAAATCAGAATCAGACGCCATGAAGCAACATGTACGAAAGTTTTTAATTGAAAAGATTAGAGGTAAATCTACCCAAAATATGAGAACTAAAGTTAGGGAATGTGCACACAACCATTGTGAAATAAGTGAAATAAGTTCACATCCTTTTACATTCAGGCTCGAATGTTTGGATTGTAAAGTAGCTGTATTTACCAACTTTAGACCAGAGAATGTCTTCAAGAAAGAAACACTAATTAGATACAGAAGATATAGAAACGATCCGGCCTTCACAACCAGTTCTAATTTGGAAAAATATGTCTTGAATACCAATATTCACTTTTTTGAGTTTGATAGAGCTACTCTATATTATTGATTCAGTGGACTCATTTATTGGAAGAGGATAAAGAAAAGCTACAATTAAACTATTGGACAAATGGACAATGACATGAAATTCCTCTGCCATCTCCAGAAATAAAAGCTTGGCACCCACCACAAACAATAACCTCAGTAATGTCAGGATATTTCCATCCAACAAGAACCTTTCCCCATTGATTTTTGCTTCCAACGACGACAGTTTGTTCTTGTGGAACTGGCAATCCAACACTCACACATGATCCTTTTCCTAGTTGTGAATTTTGTTGATCTACTATAGTTTGTCCAAATCCATTTCTAGCACTGCAAAGTGCATTGAATTGGAACGTTTGATCACCATTTCTAACTAGATTGATACTTGCAGATGCAGGTAGTTCAGTTATTGTGGTTTGAAAGAAACATCTTGGTGCTGAAATAACAGCTTTTTGTCCTAGTCCTAAATTTACTGTTCCAATGTCAACAAGAATTCCATTTCTATTTCTTCCAAAAGACTTGAATTGAATTGCTTGTTGAGATTCTTGTTGTTGAAGAGTATTCATTCTATTGACCATGTCAGAAATAATTGAGGAACGACGTGCCATGAATTTATCATAGGCATATTTCATATTTTCTCTCTTGCTTCCTGCTGGAAATGCTTGCCAAATTGGTATGGTTGTGAAAAAGATAGGAACAGGATTGGCACTGAAAGTTGGAATACGTTGTCTAATGTCTGAAATTTCTGGATTACCTCCAACAATATCCATTTGAGAAACTTTGTGATATCTTGCATATGAGTCAGGCATGGATTCAGCAGCTTGTCCAACAATATCAGAAAGTTCAGATTGGACAAATTGTTGAATTCTTCCGTCAGAGAAACACGAACGAACTGAGCTAGTTAAATCAACTACTCCACCATAATCAACAGATGTCAATACAGAATCTCCAAAGTATGACAAGACCAAATTGTAAAGATCTGCATCATATTGCCCAGGAAGAAATTCAATAATCTTCTCAAATCCGCTTACAATACTTGTTCCCTCACTCTCAACATGATGAGAAACAAATTGTTTCTGAGAATTGTAAACAGTAAATTCTCCCTGAAAGTATTTTGAGAATATTAAATCAACACCCTCATTGTGAGAGTATAAACCATTATATACCTTTGAAGAACCATCATGATTAGGATAAATCATGCTATATAACTGTTGAGCATTGGAGAGAGTATTTACAGTGTTGGTTTCTCTAATTGGTTCCACTTTTTGGAAATTGGTTGATTTCAAAACTTGTGGTTTTATGGTATGTGTTGCGTGATCATATCCCAATCCAGCTAAAATCAACGACTCCATTTGTAGATCTGACGCCTTAACTATTGATCCATCAGAATTGGTGCAATCTACTCCTTTGAGACCAATCACACATGTATTGGCCATCTTGTTTAATTGTCTCTTTAACATGTCGGCTTGATTATCTGTTCGTTTTGATGCAAGATGAATTGAACAGCTTGCAGAACCAATAAATACCATCAACATGAGACAACTCACAACGAAAGAAATGAGCCCTTCTCTTGTTTGATGTATCGCCATTTTTATTGGTAATGTCTTGTGGCTACCACTGTAACCACTGTAATCACTGCACAGACAAGTGTATATACAGTGAGAAATCGTGATAGATAATATTTCGTGGGCTATTATCTTTTTCTTAGACTTCTCAGAGAGCAGAATAACATGCTATTAAACGTGGAAAGCTTTGTTGTTTATTTTAAATTAGTTTTTTTTGGAGGATTCACATACCTTACTATTTTTACGTGGAGAAAAAAATGAGTATCTTCTTGTCTCCCTTAATTTGTCATCATGTGATGAAGTTTGTCGATTTTAAAGAGTGGCTGATGGTAAGACCCTTCCTTATTTCAAGAACCTTTCTAAAAGTTTATCGATCAGAGGAATTTGCCAAGTTTTTTCTTCTTAATTATTTAAAAATAACAACCAAACAGTTTGAACACTTGGTTAACTTCGGGTTTAAATATTCTCAATTTATTAATGAATACAGGAGGAAGAATGGTATTGAAATACTGTCTTATCTTGATGAGGTTCCTAAATCCTTGAATGAGATTATGATAATGTATGTGAGGCTTTGGTTGGTGTATGGAACTGAAAAAACAAAGTCTAGCCTTAATAACCTGATTAATAATTCATTCAAAAGAGGAACAGATCAAGTAGATATTCTTAAAGAATGTCAAAAATTAGTGGTCAGATTAAGAGTGGACAATTTCCTTGTAGGAAAATTCCATCATTATTTGAAGAATGGAAGTAAATTTCTGACAAGTAGACTTGAGGAACTACTGTCAGTGAAACAGTCAGTCAATGGCAAAAGCACCAAATTTTTGGGAGACAGCATCAAGGATCTTTTCCTTATTTCAAGTGCTATTGACAAAAGTGGAGGCACTCCCGATTACATTAGAGTAGTTGTCTTTACACCATGTGGTTTTCCACTTGTTCTTCAAGTAATGTTTGAGTTTAAAAGACAAAGTTATCAGGTAATGTTCTCGTACAGAGTTCCATTATATCAACATTCCACAATTGATTATGGAAGTATTATATATAACAACCACCATGATCATTGGGCACTTGTAGAATCTTTATTGTTCTTGGAGAATCCTGATGAACACTTTATAAATCTTGGTTTTGAAGGGAACACTTTAGCTTTCATTAGAAGCCTTGTCATCTATGGATTTATGGAATGTGCATTTGCTATGAACCAATTTAAACTTGTAGGTCTTCATTATTATTCCTTGCCATTCTTTTATGCAGGCGAATACAAAGAGAAGGGGATTAAGGGTGAAGAAGAATTATTAACATGTTTTGAAAAACACAAGGAAACTATTAAGGTCATTCATCCTCTTGAAGATGTTGAATTACAATATCTATCCGATGCTAATTCTGAGAGTGAAGATGATGAATATGATTAATACCATTAGTACGTATTCCTTGACTTTTCTCACATCATTTCCCTTAATAAAAAAATACCCCTACCACTGAATGTTTTAAAAAAATGAGTATCTTTGATATTGTTATTTGTCATCATGTGATGGAATATTTGGATTTTTACGAGTGGCCAACAGTGAGACCTTACTTGATTTCTAAAACATTTAAGGAGGTTTTTAACTCTGAGAAATTTGCCAAGTTTTTTCTTATTAGAAATTTAAGGTTATCTGAAAAGGAGTTTAATTCTTTGGAGGAGATTGTAAAAGACCTATATTATATTAACGAATCGGAAATTGAAGAACAAGAAGAGGTTAAAAATTCACATGTTGAGGATGAATTCGATTCACTTGAAGAAGATGGAGAGAATGATACCGATGAATCATCAGATGAGGTGGAACACTATTTGCTTCCACCTAGATATAAGGAGAAACACTTTGCAATTCTTGAAAGAATACCAAAAACTGTGAATGAAATAATGATAATGTTTGCTATATTATCAATGTATTATGGTGTTGAAGGAGCGAAACACTCAATTTCAGAAGGGCTGAAATATGAGAGAGGAATGGAGCCAGATTTGAATTTTAAAAATTGGCTAAGGTTGTTAATGAAATTTGAAGTCGACAATATATTGCACAAAGAGTTCAATAATTATCTGAAGAGTGGTTGCCAATTTCTTTCAGAAAAATTACGAGAACTGGTACCAAATTCCATTCCTATAGATGGAAAGGTCACCAAATTTTTGGAAGGTTCTATCAAAGATTTCTTCATCCTTGAGGGAGATACACTTGATAGAAATGGTGAAATGTGTACAACACTCAAAATCATTATTTTTACTAGCTCAGGATTTCCACTCACTATTGAATCTTCTTACAAACATGATTACGAAACTAATGATCCTGTTGAAACTTTTTCATGCTTTGATGGTATTACTACTATCTCAAATAGTATTGATGATTTCAAAAAAGTGAATTGCATTTCAAATTATGGCAGTTTCGAAGCCCTTCAGTCTCTCCTTATGGATGATGAAAATTGTGATGAATACCTAATGGAACTTGGTTGTAAGAAGGAGCATTTAGAATCTTTCAAGAATTTGACTATTTATGGGTTTCTTCAATGTTCTTTTGGGACTAACAAGTTTAAATTTATGCAAAACAGTGACGAACGCTTCTTACCTTTCTTTTAAGTTTTAAGCCAATAAAACGTACAATGATTTAACTTAAAATTGTTGTCTATTTTTTTGAAGAAATATAATTTGTGTGTAGCCCGTCTAGCTCAGTCGGTAGAGCGCAAGGCTCTTAACCTTGTGGTCGTGGGTTCGACCCCCACGGTGGGCGTTTCCTTTTTATTTTCAAACATTTTACATTCTCTTTTTGATTCTACACTTAAACAAGCTTCACATCTGCTTCTCCAAATCCATATCTAGAGCTGAAATACATATAACATCTGATTACTATTAAGAGCATTAATAAATCTAAGAAGCGTCTATTAATCTTCTAATATCCATGTAATAACACAATTTAATCTGTTTCCAAAGACTTTCCATCTCGAATTTCCAGTACATTATTACACATAAAACTTGACATTTACACATCATATTAAAAAAAAATTTACCAGTACCACCATGCAGTTCACATGCTGCTACCTAAGCGGCAGCAACAACAACAGTGCTATCCATACCATTAATAGAAAAAGAATTGTTTCATCATCAATTTTAAATTGTTATCAAGTATTATTATTATGCATGATAATAATTATTGGACAACATCACATGATGAGTGGTGTGAATGGATTATTTAGAGGAGTTTCATTGAAGGATATTTGTGCCTACAGTTTCCGATCACAAAAATTGGGAACTAATTGGTGTCCAATTTCAAATGTATTCTCCACAAGTTATTCTCAGTTGGAATCGTCACCATCCATCGATTCTTTATTCAATTATGATGTTAATTATCAATGTAGAGGAAGTGAATGTGTTGCATTGATTGGTGTTAAAACATTTTCTGGATCCAAATCGAAAGTATTAACTATTGTTAAAGCATTTCAAGATGGTGGTTTAACTGTTACCTCGAATGATCAAACAACTGGTTCTGCAAGCATCTACACATTGTTAAAATCAATGAAAGATCCAAATATTACACATTTTGATGGATTAAATTCGTGGAATCAGGTTAAGAATGATAACATATTTGCAATTATAGATATTAATTACACTTTAAAGGTTTTTCTTGACAAGAATTTACTATTTATGGTTACCAGTAGAATTGATGGATTCGAATTGAAACAATTCAAATTATATAGAAATGTAAAGAATTTAAAGAATTACATTGTAACATTGCATAGAAATGTAAAGAATCCATCAGATTACATTTTAAAATTTAATGAAATTTCAAAATATCAAGCTTATGAATGGTTATTGAAATCTAATTCCGAATTGAAATTTGAATTATCAACCCAAATGATTGATATTAAAAATGATTCACCAATGAGAATAGATCAAGAATTATTCATAACTAATGGATATTCATCAGGAAGAATGTTAGTTACCTTATATTCCCCACATCAGGTGAGAGTTTATGAATTTAGTGAAAATAATTCTACTGAACCAATTGACTTTAATAAGGAAGATCGGTTGAATACATTCTATATGAGCTATTCAAAAACAATTTCATTTGCTACTTTAATACCAGAAACTATTAGAAAGCCATTTATTGATTTTCAAAATTATACGTTTCCAACTTCTCAAAATATTTATATTGCAATTGGATATGAGAATCAAAACATATTACTAGTTCATCATGTTGCTGAATTTGCTGATTATTCATCCAATAATTCAGTAATTACAAATACTGCTTCCAGAAATAATAATTTCCCTTGCACGGTAATTCAATATTACAAATATGGAAAATGTTACATTGCCAATGAGAAGGCCATTGATGTTTCAGGTCCAATTGAAAGTGTTTCTGTTAGATTTACTGATATTGGTCAGTCCGATTCAGCAAATAGTGAAAAATACTACGATGATAATGGTTACTTTATTTACAATGTAGAAACTGAAACTGAAATATTTACAAAAACAACAGAAAATGATGATCTTTATACATTCTTTCAAAATTATTGGCAAGAATCTCTATTCATCACTACAAAGAATACTAATATTGATATAATTTCATTAGCATTTGTACAAGATAATGGAGGAACGGGTTATTTCAATTTGAAAAAGATTAACAATTTGAAATTTCCAAGTCCAATACTATATTTGGACCATTCAGAGAACAACCAACATTTGTTAGTGACAACCAGTCGTAGTATTTTAGATATTTCCTCATATAATCGCTATGTAGAAGTGTGTAAAAAATTAGAAAAAGATCCTGATAATATTTTCCTTAAACCCTTCTCAGATATTTGTAAGGCAAATCCACCAACCTCATTTGATGATAACAAATTTATTTATTATGCCAACACTTGTAATCCTGGTACTAGTTGTTATAATATCAAAAAGAGAAGTATTACATCTGACATTAATGATGGACTGTATTCGAAAGGATTCTTAATGCAACGTTGTCCATCTGGGAGTTATTGCATTCATGGATTGAAAGTTCCATGTCCAAGTGGTTTAATATGTGATTATGGAGTTAAACCTAACCCCTGTTTCAGTTATTCGAAAACTGGAACTTATACTTGTTTTAATGAAGGACAGTCAAGAGTTCAGCAATGTCCAAACTCTGCTTATTGCAATACAACTCAAACTGAACCAATTTTAGCTCCGCCTAGTTATTATATGAATATTAAATATTATACCAGTGATAGAGATTTGAAGGAATGTAAAAATGGAGATTATTGTAATTTGGGCAGATTTGCATTTGAAGAAGGTATGTTTTTTTGAAATGATATGTATTCTAATTATGGATAATAGACAAGAGACATGAATATGCTGATATTAGATGTCCTGCTGATACTTATTGTCCAAATGCATCAGTGATTGAACCAATTCCATGTAAATTTTCAAACAAATCAATGGATTATTGTCCTATTGGAACAGTTGACAATAAGTAAGTATTTTTATACTACTGTAATAGAAAGGATGTTAACAATTCTATCAGACCATGTCCAGCTGGAAACTATTGTGAAACACCTCACACAGTAGCCAAATGTGATCCACAACAATTTTGTCCAAATGGATCCATGACTTATGAGCTATGTCCAAAAGGTCATTATTGTCCAGATCCATCTCGAAAGATAATATGCCCATCAGGTTATTATTGTACTCCTGGTTCTATAGTACCAAGATCATGTTCATGGTTTTTGTCTCAATGTCCAGAAGGATCAAGTGCTGATACAATGACAGCTGGAGGAATTGTTTTATTTGTGTTATTTATTATTTCACTATTTGCAATTGGAATTACGTACAAATTCCTTCATGCTTTATATTTGAAATCTTTAAAGAATAAGGTTTATCATTCAGGATATTTGCTTAAAAAGGCAAAGAAGAGAAATGACACACATATGGCCACTAGAAGTTTTATTAACGATGATTTTACTGTTGATATTGAATTTAAAGATTTGGGTTTAATTTTGAGAGGTTCTGGTAAGAAAGTACTTGATGGCGTGACTGGTAAAATTGAACATGGTCAACTGACTGCTGTAAGTTTCGAATATTTATTATTAGAAACTGATAACAACTTATTTTGGTATATTTATAGGTAATGGGCTTATCAGGTTGTGGTAAAAGTACATTCATTACAACACTCGCTAATAGAGCTTATTATGGAACTACTGTTGGTAGTATTTATATAAATGGTGTAGAAGAACCATTATCTAAATATAATAGAAGAATAGGTTTCGTGCCACAAGAAGATATCATGTTAACAACCATGGTAAGTTTATTTGATATAAAAATTGACAATTAACATTGGTAATTCACAAAGACTGTTGAAGAAACATTATACTTTTCGGCTAGAACTAGATTAGATAAAAGAAAGAGTAAAGCAGAAATAGAAGCCATTGTGAATGATGTTTTGAAAGTATTAAGATTGGAAGATATCAGACACTCCATTATTGGAGATCAGGAAAATCGTGGTATTTCAGGAGGTCAAAGAAAGAGGGTTAATGTTGGAATGGAGTTAGTTGCATCACCTGTAGTATTGTTGTTGGACGAACCTACATCTGGATTGGATAGTGCAAGCTCTAAGGAAGTTTGTGAAGTTTTACAAACCATTGCCTCAACTGGTATTAATGTTATCACTGTCATCCATCAACCTAGATATGAAATATTTAAAATGTTCGATAATTTATTACTTCTTGGAAAGGGAGGAAGAACAATATATTTAGGACCTGTGAATAGAGTTGAGGAATATTTCAAAGAGGAATTTAAATGTGAAAAATCTGAGGGAATTAATTTTGCTGATTATTTGATGGATATTTCAGCTGGGTTAGAGAATAATATTGATCCTAAAGAGTTACCTTCACATTGGGAAGAGCACAAGCAGAAATATGATAATAGTAAGAGACGGAGTACATCCATTTTAGATGGAGGTTTCGGATATCAAATTCCAAAGAGAAATAATAAGGCTGTCTATGAAGATCCTCAATTGAATTATATAATGCAATTCTTAATGTGTTTAAAGAGAAGTTTTGTTCAACAATTGAGAAGTTTACAAAGTATAGCTCTAGATTTTGGATTGATTTTCATTTGTGCTTCATTCCTTTCATTACTATTCCATAATAAGGTTTACATTGGACCATTACCAAAGAATGTCTATTCACAATGTCCAGGAGAATTAGCAGATGTATGTAAACAACCAATTGATGATCCAGTTGCTTCATTTGCTGGACTAATGTCACTGGCTATGGCTTTGATGGGAAGTATGGCTGCATTGAAAGTATTTGGAAAGGAATATTTGGTGTTCTATCGTGAAAGTCAATCTGGATTGGGAACTTTTGCTTATTATTGGGCAAAGGATATTTCTAATTTATTTATTAACTTGTTGGCTCCATTTGTATTCTTGACCATTTTCTACACAACTGTTGCACCAACTGCATCAGTATTGGATTATTATTATGCTTTATTATTGAATTATTGGGTTTCATTTGGTTTAGGATATTTAGTGAGTATTTTAGTGAATCCAAGTAATGCACAATTGACAACAGTAGTGATTGTTTTCATTATTAATATTTTCAGTGGTATGACTACACCATTACCAACATTGAGGGACATGTATTTCCCAATCAAATACTTCCCAGATGTTTCCTATTTGAAATATAGTCATGAAACAATCTATCTCAATGAAATTCTATCCTACAAACATTTATATGACTTGAATACAAGTTTGAAGAATATGGGATATAATTGGGATAATATTGATACTAATCCATTAGTCTTGTTGGCGTTTGGTTTCTTATTTAGAATTCTTGCATTCATTGCCATGGTTTGTGTTAAACCATCAAGTTTATTCAAATTGGTTTACTTTTCCTCTCAAAACTTTGTACTTGAAAAATTCAGATATCTTGCCAAAACTCTTGCCAAATGGAGAGAGAATAGAAGATTGGCTAGGAAATCATATGACAGTGGTAGTTTGAATCCTTCAGAATCTTCAGACTCTCTCACTACAAATTAATCTCAATAATAAAATCAAAAATAGATTAAATAGAAAAATTATAATATTCCTTTTAACCTAAAGTTATGCTTTTGGTTGTTTTGTATCAATTTCCTTTATTAACGATCCTATTCCTTAGTTATTTGAATTTATTTAGTAATGACTGATTAAAACAAGCTAGGATACTTGTCTTTACAAACAATGAAGGAAGAAATTGAGCACAGCAAATATTCTACACCCAACAATATAAATATCAAAGCATTCACTGATGGATTGAGGAAGGACATGATATCCCTCTCACTCACCGAGTATAATACCTCTTGGAAGAGTACAGAGAGAGCAAATTGATGGGTCCAAGTTATTAGAAAGGTGAACAGCACACCGAATACTCCAAAGATTGAGGCAAGGCAATGAAAGTATTGTAAGATTTTGAGTTTCGAATCAGACATGAAAGATGGTGAAATAAAAAGGAGCATGCCTACAAAGCCAACAGTTATTAGAAACATATCAGAAAAGAGAAGAAACAGATCCGAGATTGAGTATGTCCTCACATTATAGAGGCCAGAGTAACTGTTTGTCATAAACCAAGAAATCATCAATGCAAAGTGAGCACAGAAAGATGAAACACCCAACAGTATGAGAAAAACATTCGAAACAAAGAATAGAGGACGCAGATTGGCCATTTTTTTAGTGTTACTGTTTCTAATAAGCAGTTACAGGTGAATCATGTCGAAAAGGACTCAGTTGGGGACAATACTCACTAAGAAATACACCTGAAAGGCGAACTCTAAAAAAAACTTCTATTAGAACTGATTTCGAATTCTTTCGGCTTAAAAAACAACATTAGCGAACAACCATTGAGAACATCAAACCACTTTAATTTTCATTCCATTTTCCCGACCATGTGCTTCTCTTCAACCAGCACACTATCGAGTTTCCAATACTAAAAAAGAGAGTCGAAATGCTTGTCCTCAAAGTTTCGAGTATTTTCCAAATATTAATAGGGTTACTAATGATCGTCTACCATTTGGCCACACTCTATCCATGGTACGCATATGCAATGGCAGTTTATGCCACCCACAATGTATTTCTAGTACTCGCCGATATGTTTCTAATAATTTTAGGCACTTTCGGCTTGTTAGTTGGTTTTGAAATTGCCTCTCTCAAAGACAAGGCAAAGACAACTTCCTTTCTCCACTCTGGTTGCACACTCTTCCTAATTCCAACAATTTTATTCATTGTTTCCACTCAGGGCGCCATCGAATTTTCGTTATGGGAATTCTATCAGACAGTTCTGCCCTACAAGTTGAAATCCATCATGTCCAGCACAACGAGCGTGACCACAACAATGGTTAACACGTTCACCTATTTGGATCCAACCTTTGCATTTATATTTGCTTTGATTTTGGGTGTGGTTTGGATTATTTCATTGATTGGATCACTTTCATTTCTGAAGAGTGCTAATGGTGCACTGTTTGATGGCACAGGAGCACCTCTGAGGAATGTTAGTTCAACTATTGAATCGAATGCTTCTGCATCAACTGTTGTGGATACTGTGGATAAAACATCAACTGTTAGCTATGTGGCCTATACTGCTCCAAATCAATAAAACTCTCAATTGTTACACGGATTAAAACAGGACTGTCTATTCGATGATGATGATGATGATAGATATTTCCAATATCCAAGCCCAAATTTCCTGCTTAGGGAAATTAACAACAACAGTTTGAAATAACACTAACGATTTTCAAAATGTATGAAAATTATTGAACTTTGATTAGTAAATCTGAAAATTTCGTACTTCCTTTCAAATTATTAAAGAAATATTCAGTTTTCGATTTACCTCTCACTCTTAACAAGCACAATTCGTCAGGACCAAGCACAAACAATGATCGAAATTGCACCTTGTTTGTCAACCTTCTTAATGGTCTTCTCACTGGTTGTACTGTAATATAATGATCCATCCAGACCCAACACAACATATTGAGTTCAAACATAAATGTCCCCTCAAATGGTTTCTCAACAAGTCGTTTCGGGAGCTTATGAAGAATGAGTTTATCCTTCTCTCCATCAAACTCAACTATAACTTGTACAGTACCTTGCACAAATTTATCCTTTTTGCTATCAAAAATTCCAGATTCCTGAAATAGTGCAAAGACACTTTCTCCAACGTTGCTGGATTTTTGAGATTCTCTCCAGCACAAGCATATTGTATCTGAAGTAGGAAATTGTCTATATCTTTTGATAATCCACTGTCTAGTATTGAAACTAAATTTAAACATATTTGCTTGTAAAATATCCACTTTCAATACTGTGAGTACGTTATCTGAAATATACGAAAGTTCACTAATTGGTGTCATGATTGGAATTGTTTCTGAATAATTCACTTGTTTCCATTCTCTTGTCTTGAGATCCAGTTCAAAAAGGGCGTTCGTTCTTTCCTTATGATTATACCCTCCAAACACATAAAACATTCCATTCGAATAAAACTTGGCAACACCTCCACATCTTCCCACTGGAATTTCTCCAAATGTTTCAATCATTGACCATTTTTTACTTTTCAATTCAAATACCCACAAGTCATTCAAATAATTTCCATTCTCATATCCACCAAATAAGTAAACTAATTGATTAGATTTATCATAGGAAAGACATGGATGTTTTCTTCCAATTGGTTTTTTTTCACTATTTGGAATTATTTCCTCCCAAATTAATTCCACTCGATTAGTTTCATAATTTAATGATGAAATAGATAATTGATTGATCAGATTTGATAATTTCAAAATGTAAATATTCTCATTTTCAATTCTACTTGGAATATGCTCTCCTAGAATTTCCAATTAATTTCTCTTTTTGGAGAAAAATAATATTCGAAACTAACCTCCATACGTGAATAATATTGTCGAATGTGTCATGACATTCTCTGATCCCAACAGCAAGGAACCACTACGAGAAGTAGGTAAATTATGTTTAGTGTAGAACAATAGGGAAATTAATTCTTCGCTGTTAATGATTGTTTCTTCGCTATTATTAATTATTGTTTCTTCTTCTGCTTCTTCATTCATGAATGAATCATCAAAGAAAAAATCGTCATTGTATGATTCGTCTTCACTATCAGAAACCATTTTTTTTGATCAAAATTGTGGTCAACCACAACCTAGTTCATAACAGTTCTTTAATTTCAAATTTATTAATTGTTTTAAATATTAAAAATCTTATTCGATTCTATTAGGTTAATATTCAAATACAATTTTGCAGGCTCATTCAAATGTTTAGTACGAATCCTACATGTGATGGAATGTGGAACAGTCTCATTTCTTTTGGAAAGCGGAGTTTCTACAGAAACACCTGCTAATTTTGCAGTGTTATCATTTCTGCAACTTTCGAATAGTTTAAATTAAAAAAATCAAATTGACATGTATCTTTCACAAGTATTAGTTTGCTACTTTTTGTTAATCCTTTTCATTCTGCGTGTTAATATTGAATGTCATGAAACCATTGCAACAGTTGGTGGAAGTATTGGAAACTCTTTCCATTCCTTTGATTTTCCCTTGAAAGCTGGTTATGGAGGAATACATGTGGTGAAAACACATGCCAATGCTGAACCTATTATTTTCGTGTCTGATGTGAGTTTGTGTACTGTCAGAAGAATTCAAGGCAATTACAGTGAAGTGATTGCTGGCACTGGAATATGTGGACGAGATGTTGACAGTCCAGATGACTCATTAGCTATTGAAACTAGATTGATTAGACCACAAGGACTCTATTTTAATGCATCAACCAATTGTCTTTACATCTTGGATGAGTTTTGCATCAGAGTTTTGGACTTGACATCTGGTTATATTTCAAAGTTGACTTTGACATATAAAACCAAAGATGAAACGTATGGTTTGGGAGTCCAAATGACAAAGTTTAATGCAGATTATTATATTGCTGATGCATATGCCAATTTCATTTGGAAATTAGAATTGACACAAGTAAGAGATGTTGCAATTTGCTCAATTGTAATGGGAAATAATAAGGTTGTTAATATTGACCATTGTTTAGGAAATATTCCAACAGATTGTAAGCTAAATGATCCAAGAGGTGTCACTTTTTCTCCTAATGGGTTAATGACAGTGGCAGATACTGGAAATAGAAGAATATTACAAATAGATATGAATGGTTATGTAAAGAAACTGTCAATTAATGGTGCACCAGTTAATATGAGACCAACTCAAGTGGAATATATTGAAAATAACATGTTAATTGCCAACGATGACAGTTATTTGTTAATGTATACTGAACCTTATCCTGTTAAGAGATTACATTCAAGCAAGAATGGAGTGAGTTTCTTTTCTCTGATTTGCAATGAGAATTGTCAAGTGTATTATCTTACTGACTGTAGAAAACCCTACACAGAAATTGCACTATTATCTGTTCATGGAACCAGCTCAGTTACACAAGATCAGGTTATTGCTGGTCATCTTCCTTACCAATTACAACCAAAAATGGAAGCAACAAGTTATTATTTGGAAGAGGTTGGTGCCATATGGTTCTCTAATGATTATGAAGTATACTTTCCAGCATTTTCTTCAGTAGTATTGAAGGTTAATCTTACTTCTGGATTGATGAATATTGTTGCTGGAGTTTTCAAGCAGCTAGGGTACACTCATGACCACATCCCAGCTAATCAAAGTTTGTTATCAAATCCCAGTTCTGTAATTGTGTTGAAAGGAGGAGAGATTATCATTGCTGACACCAATAATAATAGAATTAGAATGGTTGACAGAAATGGAATTATCACCACCCTAGTAGGTACAGGAATTGTAAGTATTAATTATTGTAAACATTTAGGTAGAAACAATTATTAAGCAAGGGTTTGGTGGAGATGGTGGACCAGCTTCTCATTGTTTGTTGAATAGACCTATGGGTTTAGCTCTACCGCCTAAATGCATGGAAGGCGAGTTTCTATTTGATATTGCAGATACATGGAATAATAGAGTTAGAAGAGTTTACAATGACTTTACAATTCAAACAATTATCCAAGCACCAAATCAAGGTTTGTTTTCCTTTTTATTGACCGTTTTTAACATTTAAAGTACAATTTTTGCCACAACAATTGATTTATGGACCATCTTGCGATTTGTACATTGCTTGCACTCTTGAAAATCAAATTTTCAAGTACTCTTCTAGTGAGGGTTTTGTTTTAATTGCAGGTACGTTTTAAATTTCTTCAAAATTTCTAAAGATTTCAATAGGAAATGGAAAAGTTGGATATACTGGAGATTATGGACCAGCAATTTATGCACGACTTAATAATCCAAAGGCAATAGCAGTCAACAAATTTGGTGAAGTTTATATTGCAGATTCGTTTAATAAGGTTGTAAGGAAAATATTTAGTAATGAAACAATTGTAACACTCATTGGAAATGATGAGATGATGGGTGAACTCTCAGGAGTGGCAATTACATCCAATGGTAATCTTATTTACTCAGATTCATCAAGATTGAGAATTTTGTCAAATGGAAATCCTGGAACTTGTATTGACAGATTAAGGGAAACTTGTCATTTTCATGGTGATTGTATTCGAGGTGTTTGTGAATGTGACAGTGGATGGCAAGGAGATTCAATGTGTGGCACCTTTTCTTGTGAAAGAAACTGCTCTGGTCATGGCACTTGCATTTCGAATAGTACTTGTTCTTGTGAATCAGGTTGGAGAGGAACCAGCACTTGTTCTGCCATTTCATGTGATGGCCTCCATAATTGCAGTGGTCACGGAATGTGTTCCTCCAATAACTCATGCACATGTGACCCAGGTTGGAATGGTTCTTTAAATTGTTCTATATTTTCATGTGATGGCTTATTTGCAAATTGCAGTAATCATGGAATTTGTGTTCTCAACAATACTTGTGCTTGTGAAAATGGTTTTTCAGGAGCTCAATGTGGAACACCTTACGCTGCAATTGTTGGAGCTGTGAGTGGTGGAGTTGTGTTGTGCATCCTGTTAGTTATTTGTGTTGTCTTGTTGGTCATTGGAATTTTAAGATACAGGAGGAAGAAATCATACCATAGCATTCCTGAAATCAATTAGGAGACACAGCGAATAGAATTGATACTGCTAAATAAAACTTTCACAGGATTATTCGAAAGAAAAAAATGCTCAACTCAAAGAAGAGAAAAGATATCACTTTCATCACAAATAATAATACACCAAACAATTGCATCTCTAAAGAATCATCTCACTCCTCATCTTTCAATTTATTCAAAAAAAACAAATTTGAAAAGCCAATTCATGATCAATTTTCTAAACTTCCCTCCGAGATTTTCCATCAAATTTTGTGCTTCTTGACGATTGATGATTGTGTTGTGTGTTCCTTCTTGGAGATTGGAAGAGGAGTTTGTATGACCATGTTGGGAATATCAGATTTTGCTTATTTTGAATTGAAGAGGGAATTGATTGATCAGAGTGAATATTATAGAACTATGACATTTCTTTCTATTCGGAATGTGTTGGAGAGATTATCCGAGTTGGCTAGGAAAAAATTGGAAATTAAATTTCAAGAAGTGAGGGCGAGTGAATTGGATTATGAAATGATGGATATGGATTTTACAAAACTTGCTATTGGAGAATCATATTACAAGACTTCTAAATTATTTTATAGATTTGTTGGGGCAATTAGAGAGCTCAACAAATTGTTTCCATATTGGTTGACCTCACACAGCGAATTTTCTGATACAGCACTCATGGTTTCACATATCAAGTCAAGTATTAACCTTAGTAATATTTATAGGGCATTACTTGATATCAAGAGTTGTAATATCTCTCATACAGAAACAGAATACTATGAAATTTATTTGGATGAGAAGTTCAATTCGATTCTGTTCGACTCTAAACGATTTAAGAAATCCTCAAATAAGGAAAGAAATTGGAAGTTGGTATTCCAGAAACAGTTGGAAAAGACCAAACACCACGAGTTTGTTTCTCTAGTAAAAGAATTCAACAAACTCATCTCAAATAGGTCAAGAATTACCATTCATGAACGCATGTACCAATCACCCCTGAAAAGAATTATTGAACTTTTGAAAGGAATGAATGAGAGAACAAGAATATTCTTTCTATTTGAGAGAAATTATGCATGTGGAGAACTTGGTCCTTCTATGAAAAAAGAAGTTAATTTCAACAATCAATTTGTGAGTCTGCACCAACACGTCCTCTATTTTACTTCCAATCTTCACCCTGATAGACACAAACCGTCCCATGATGTAATAGATTATCAAAACTTACTGGTCGAGTTTACAGAGCTTGTCTATGAGAATTGGAAACTATTTTTCAAACTCAATAATTTTGATTTTTCTGAAAGAGAAATTTTAAATGATTTCCTATTGGATGGTCCAAGACCTCGAATGAGAAATATTTCCCTACTCATCAGCAACCTCGGATTTTCCTACATTTACAAACAATTCCCAACTGTCTTTGAGGATTGTTTTCCCACATCTGATGGCAATGAAAGAAGTTGGCATTTGGCAAGAAAAAAAATCAAGTACTATCCCAGATACAGATATAGATCTCAAATTCGAAAATGAAAATACACATAATATCAACTCTTCGGTATTCATTCCGTGAACTTGTTTACAAAAAACTTTAAAAAAAATGAGTCAACATGAGCTTGTCCCTGCTGCCACTTGTGGTGGAAGCACTTTTGCTATGCTTTCTCCCGATGTGATGCATGATATTTTGTGTCATTTATCGGTCGATGATTTGTGTATTAAAGGATTTTTAACAATTTGTAAGAATATTAGTTTGAACATGTTGGGAATATCTAGTATTGATGATTTGGAAAATAAGAGGGATATTGTGAATAGCAGTCAATTTTATACAACCATGGCATACCTTTCAATCAGAAACAATATTGAAAGACGAATTAAATATGTTCAGAAAAGAGGAAAATTCATCAAGCGTACAGGTGATTTTGATAAACTGGGAAATAGACTTAAAGGTTTATGGGATTCTTATTCAGAAGATAAAAAGAAGGATTTGTTGGTTGGTAAATGTACCAACAGATTTGAGTATGATTTCAAAAAACGAGTCCAAACCAAGATTGGTGAATTTAGTTCATCAAAGGTGTTTTATCGTTTGAATTGTGCAATCTCTGACCTTAACAAATTGTTTCCATACTGGTTGACACCAAAGACAGAATTTACTGACATGTCCCTAATGAAAACCTATATCGAGCAAAACAAGAGTCTCAACAGATTATACAGAACACTCTACACTTTGAAATCCATCAATAGCCCAGTTGTGTTCTTAGGAAACGATGAAGAACAATTTGAAAACAATATCAATACTAAATTGAATAAGATTCTCTTTGACAGTAAGAGGTTCTCCAAGTCTGTCAATAAGCACAGAGACTGGAAGTTGATATTTGAAAAGCAATTAGAAAAGGATACCCATTTTCGTATCACAGAAAGTATTCTCAAGATTCACAAGTATTGTAGACGTGAAAAACATGGAAGATATCATCCTTTGAAAATTGACTTACTCTCCTGTTTTGATGGGGAGATTACAAAGATCATGGCTATTTTGGATAAGTTTGATGAGCATACAAGATTGAACTATCTATTTGAAAGAAACTTTGCTCATGGAAATAATTCTAAAAGCAATGGCATTGGAGAAAAAAGAAATGATTTTATTGGATTGTTACAAGATATGATGTATCTGTTCGTTGGTGTGAGAAAAGAATTCAGAACCAGAAACAAGAAGGAAAACCAAAAGAAGAGTAGAGTACTCATCCAATTCATTCTCTACACCTTAAAGCATTGGAAGATTTACTGCAAATTACATCATCCAAATACGAGTAGTGCCACTGAGTCAGAAATAATTAGAGACTTTTTAATGGATGGTTCAAGAGATGGAATGAAAATCCTCACCCTATTGGATGAAAATAGATTAATCGATTGGGCAATTGGTGAATTTAAGGAAATTTTCGAACAATACTTTAGAAATGTAACTTTGGTAACTGGTAACACCAGATCCAATACCATTCGTACATTATTGAGGAAAACTGAACCTATCAGACATGCCTACACTGGATGTTTTGTATTTAATAATAATTATTAAATTATCATAATTAACATATTATTTACTATAATTATAATTTAAAAAAAAATGGGACAATCAGCATTCAATAACAATACCTCATCGACCAATGTGAAAGGAATTGGCGTTGTGATCGATAAGAAGTACAATCAACAATATGAATCAAATTTATATCATAGTCAACTCCAAAATGGTTCAGCTAATAAGGCTCTCTATGCCTTCGGAAACAATGCAAAAGGACAATTGGGTAAATATCTCAAGTTGATCAAAATATTTAAATATTTTAATTGATGATGAAAATTAACGATCATGAAAATAATAGGTTTATCAACAATGGATAATTCCTATAAACCACTTCCAGTTAGAAATAATAAGAATTCAGGTGAAATTCAAAAACCAATCAAGTTGGTAGCGTGTGGAGCTTATTTTGTTGTAATTGTAACAATTGATGATGAAATTTATGCATGTGGTGAAAATTCTTATGGGCAATTGACTATTCCATCGAGCACTTGTCCATATTCATCATTAATGACTCGGATTGAGATTCCTGTGGAATGCCCAAAGGCATTGAAAATTATGAATGTTAAATGTGGACATTCATTCACTTATTTCATTTGTGAATATATGGGAGATAATGTTTTATTCGCTTGTGGAAGAAATTATGATTGTCAATTGTCTCTTCCTCAAAATATTTCAGTTCCGAGACCTACAATGGTAACCTCAAAAGAAATTTTAAATAAGAAGATTAGACTTTTTGAATGTGGACATTCATTTGCAATTTGTGTTACCTCAGAAAATCAAATATTTGTAAGTGTGTTACCAATATTTAAAAACGTTCAATTTGACAAATTATTTAACAGGCTGTTGGAGAAAATAGATTTCAACAATGTGGACGTCCAATTGCAATGCCAGAATTTACTCATGTTGATTTAACTTCTGTTATTGGAAAGGGAGAAATTACTCATTTAGCATGTGGATATTTTCACACAACATTGGCTGTTGATGAAAAGAAGGTTTATGCTTTTGGAATGAATAGGTAATTATTTTATACTTGTTGGCAATCTAGTTACAATAATTTCAGAAATGGTCAATTTGGTAATAATCTAGAATCAGAGCGTGCTCATAGTTGCACATTGATATTCGAAAGTCCACCAGGTCAGAAAATTGCAAAATTGGCAAGTGGTGCCAGATTTATCACTATTGTAACATCAGGAGGTGAAATTTACACTGCTGGAAATGTACCACAAGGATTCCAAAGAATGGTTGAAATTGAGAAATTCATCAATGAAAGATCTAGTGTAGCCAGTATCACTCATCTCACTTGTGGAGAGTCTCATACAATTCTTGTTTGTGAAAAAAAGAGAGTATTTGTTTCAGGATCTAATAGATTTGGCCAATTAGGTATATCTGGACAAATTACCAACACAACAGTTTCTGAATTGGATTTAGATCAATCCTATATTCGTCTCACTAATGAAAATCACATTCAACACATTGATTGTGGCGATTACTTTACATTCTTCTGCCTTAGTTACAAGTCTTTTGGTTTGATGATGCACAAGATCTTGTTGAGAGAAGATAAACCACTTTCGGATGTTACTTTTTGTTTTTAAATAAATTACTCTTAATTAATACAAGGATCTTTCTCCTCATACATATTTCGTATTAGGTTTTATTTCATCTTTTTGCTCCTTAGAACTTGATGGAGATTACTTGTTGGCAATTCTTGCATGGGCAGCTCTTTGCGTGCAATCTTGCAGCAGAGGAAACAACACTTTTACTCTTTTGTTGAACCTTGAGGAGGGCTTGATTGGTGGATTGAATAAAGTTTCTTTTAGTCGTATAGAAGAGCATTGATGAGGTTTATTGTTGTTTTTTTAGGTTTGTTGTTGTGATTGCAAGGCACCTAAAAAGAAGAAAATGATTGGAAAGGATTCCGTGGCTGCAGTTGAAATATGGATGGAGTTGGAACCAACTGTTGTTTCGAATAAATGGAATCCGTGGTGCACTCTCTTAATGAATTCTTTCCTGTTTGTTTTTAATTCTATCTCCCCTAGCAGATAACCTTAATTTCTGAATGGATTTCATTAATTCTTGTTCTGCTTGTAGAGAAACAGAAGTTCTTGTTGGTGTTGGTCGTTGGTGTGGATTCATTTTTTTCCCTTAGTAAAAATTCGGTTTATTGGTTTGGAAATTATTGAGCAAGAGTTTGAGAAATTTTAATGATTTTATTATTTACTTGAGAGAAGGCTGTTTTAATGATACAGTTCAGTGAATCATCTGGTTAGACATTTGGAATAAATTAAAGGATTTGTTGAAGAGCTTGTTGTTCTTGAGATGAGAGAGTTGAAATCATTTGTTGGATTTGTTGTGGATATTGTTGAGAGAATTTTCTGATACTTTCAACAATGCCTTGCTTTTGCTTATCCTTGAGCTTTTCAACTGGTAAGGACAAACCTTCTACAAGTTTTTGGAAGACCTTTGGTAAAACTGAAGCAATTGGAGTTGGATTTTCGAGTAACATGGAGAGAGCAGTGTAACAAATTGGAGCTTCTTCGTGATCTTCTCTCAATGGCATGGCTTCTAAAAAGACTGGCAAAACTTGATCGAGTGGCATTTGAATTCCACAAGCAATAAATCTAGCAATAGCACCACAAGCATTATCAACAACAGCTGGATGATGCTTGCTCTTTTCAACAAAGATTGGATGCAAAGCACCCAAAACCTTCATCATGTGTGGTTGGACTTCATCCTTATTGAAGAAACCGACAACACCAACACCATAGATTGAGTTTCTCTTGACATTGTAGTTATCATCTCTGATAGTATTCAAAATAATTGGCAAGACATGTTGAACGTATGGCTTCATGTGTTCTTGGAGAGAGTTGAAACTTTCACAAATGGTACCCAAAGCCATAATTCTGTCACCAACAGGTCTAGTTGGTTGCAAGTACTTCATCAAATCTGGGAAAACCTTTTCAAAGAATGGAGCAAAGGATGGACCCAAGAGACCAGCAACAGTGTCAACAATGTCAGCAACAACGTCAATGAGGACAATGTCGTGATCACTTTCATCTTCCATTTCAGAACTGTTACATGGAGTGTTATTTCTGAGAAGTTGAATAACACCATCCATGATTTCAGTAATATGTCTACCCAAAACAAGGAGACCAAACTTGTGAGAAATTTCAATAATACTTTCACATGATCTGGCAACAGTTTCCTTATCTTCTTCAGTAGTCAAAATCTTGACCAAAACGTCCAAAACCTTGTTAACAACAATTAATTGATCTTCGTTGAGTTCTTGATTGTCAACTTGATTTTCAAGAGTTGGAACAGCAGCATAGATAAGATTTCTGATAGAAGTCATAGTTTGTCTTCTAATGGAATAGTGGAAGTGGTCAGCATAACCAACAACAGCGTCAACAGTTTGGTGGAGATATTTACCAAAGTGTGGACCAACAGCCTTAGCAATTTGACAAGCAGCAGAAATGGCAGCAGTTCTTTCATCCAAAGCAGAAGTTCTAACAGTGAGCTTATAGTTAGAACCATCGAAACCACCCATATCATCATCATCTTCTTCATCAATATCTTCAGAATCACCATCATCAGCCAAATTGGCACCATATGATTCAATAGAGTTTCCTTGAGTACCTTCAACATCGAAAATGTTATCATCAGCACAAACTTGTTCAATAACATAAGTGGCAACACTTTCGAGGTATGGAAGGAAATCTTGACCCAAAGTCATGGCCATACTTTCAAAGAACATGAAGGTATATTCCTTGAATTCAGAAGTATTATTCTTTTGAAGGTTAGCAAAGGCCAATTGCATGAATGGTTGAACATATGGAGCGAAAACTTGCTTACCAACAGCGAAAGCAATAATACCAACACATTCAGTAGCTCTGGATTTCATGACCAAAATGTCACTTCCTTCAGCTTCCATCAATTGCTTCATCATGACAATGAATTGATTAAAGTATGGTTCAAAGAATTTACCAGCAGCATTAGCAGCAGCGCTGATACCAGCAATAGCAACTTCTTGAGCCTTTCTATCATTACTATTCAAAATAGAGAAGAACTTTTGCAAAATCATTTCAAGGTATGGCTTGATCTTTTCACCTTCCATATGTTGAGTGAAAATGTCCAAACTGTAGGCAGACTTTTCCTTAATTTCGAATGACTTGTCATCAAGATTGTGAATAATGAAAGGAACAAGCTTGTCAGCATGTTCCAAAATTTCTGGTTGACAGAATTCAGCCAAGCTTGAAGTAGCCAAAATAGCAGCAGCTCTAACAACCTTACTTTGATCATTGAAACCACTACCAATCAAAGCAATAATTTGTTCCAAGTTGGCCTTAGCAGGTTCTTGACAACCTTCAGCAACAACACCCAAAGCAGTAATACCAGCTCTTCTTTCAAAGAGATTGGCGCTTTGACACAATGGAACAGCTCTTTCAATGATATCTCTGAAAATATACTTGCTAGGAATTTCAACAGCAGCATTATCAATCATTGAGGAACCAAGATCGTATGGAGTTAATTCATCATCATCAGCAATATAACTGTCTTCAAGTTCATCTTCATTGGTTTCACTCATCAATTTGAAAGCAACGTTCAACATGTGTGGAATAACTTCAATCTTGATCATCAACTTTGGTTTGTAAGAAATACACCATTCAACAAATGTAGTGGCCTTTCCTCTCAAATCTTCCTTCAAATCAGTGTTAAGGGCAATTTCAAACATGAAATTTAACAAGTTTGGAACAATGGTATCGAAAGCAGTTGATTTGTGTTCAACCAATTCGTCGAAAATTTCAAAGGAGTTGGCAGCTTCTTCATCCTTACCTTCAGCAATACAAGTCTTTAAAGCTTCAACAATTTGTGGAATAGTTTGAATAACACCATCGAGTTGTGCATTTGGTTGGGCTGGTCCTTCATCTTCATTTGGACTTTCAATTTCCAAAACCAAGTTACGAATACCCTTCAAAGCAGCAATTCTGACATTGGAATCAGTATCAACCAAACTCTTTTGTAAAACTCCCAACAATTGGTTAAAGTTTGAAAGCATTTCTTCTGGACTGTTTTCAACAAGGACGTTGAAAAGTGAAACACCAAGTTCTCTAAAAGCAGATTGTTCATGTTGTACACATTGCATCAAGAATTGTGGAAGTGCTGGCCACGACGAAATTTCATAACAAGACAAGACACCGATGAGTTCAATTAATGATGTTCTCACAAGGTGACTATTTTCCAATATCAATAGTGAGTAATTTGTCAAATACCAAGTCCGTATGATTATTGTCGTTATTATTTTGTTATTATTATAATGTTGTTGTTATTAATTGTTAAATTCACAAATATTGTAGAGTTTGTTATTTGTTTTTAGGAGGTTATTCAAAATCCAAATTTAACATTATATAGTTAATACAGTAGCATATGCAACAAGTTTTATAGAAAAAGGATAACAATATTGAATATCATTGTATCATAGTAATAATAATAGTATTAATAATAGTAAATAATAGTAAATAATAGTTAAATAGTAATAGTATTAATGTTATCATAGTATCACATTGGCATCACACCATAGTTATCATCATCATTATTATTATTATATCCACCTATAAACTATAATAAAAACCTACGTAGCTTCAGCCAACAAGGCTTCCAAAAGATTTTGTTTAATTTCTTCCTTTGTTTGTTGTTCAATTTTCTTCCAATGATTCTTCAACTTTAAACGCATCAAGACTGCGCTCAATTGTCTAACACCAATATGTGAAGATCCCTTAATCTGAGAAACAAATCCGACTAAACATTCCTTTTGTTTCATGAACAATTTAACAACACCTTCGGCTTGTTTAATAATATTGCTGTCTGGAACCATCAAACAGAGCAAAACTTGCTCCAATTCTTGAGCATTGGTAATTGATGCTGGAACGGTAGGATTCATCTCTTTGGCAAACACAATTAATTGATGATAATAAGTTGTGATGATCCGACAAGGAAAATTTGGTCCCGACTCGTGTGTTGGATTTTTTTTCTTCAAAAAAACTTCAAAAAATTGCTGAAGTCAATTTAGCACAGTACTAGTGGCAGTGAAAAAACTACTCGAGTGAGGGTGCGTTGATTATTGAGAGAGATTGATAAGGGATGTGCAAACTTTGTGACATGAAACAACAATTGACCATACGGGTTTATGATAGACAAAAGAAAATTTGGGTCATTGTAAAGTGGTTGTGTGAAAAATAGTATCCGAAAGTTGTTGCGTGAATGGCATTTCTACATTTCTTCTTTCAAGAAAATAGTGTTGTTATTGTTTAAATGTGAAATTACAACCGTTCATGTCACTCGTTGGAAATCACAACAGCCGCACCAGTCAACAATCAACCAGAAAAAAATAACACAAAAACTCACATTGAAAACACATCTCTGAATAGGAGATTTTTGACGTTTATCAATTTAATAACTAGTTCATCATAGAGAAGTATAATTTCCTCTCCGTTGCAAACATGTCATACATTCTTGTTAAAAACATTTCAATACTACTTGTTGTCTTGTTATTTGTTTGGAATTATTCACCTGTCATTTCACAAAATTCAACACTACTTTCAAAAAGACAATTTTATCTATCAGTGAATCAAACTTTAAATAATAATTCAATCTATTTCTCTCCAGATATATTTGTGGAACCATGTGAAAACAATACGACACCTTATCCTTGCTTTAATAAGGTCTATATCGATACTTTCTTATTCATTTCGGGAGATTATCATAATTTTGCCGATACTATCATGTATTTCACGAGTGGGAGTAGAGATATTTGTGAATATGTGAAAACTTTCTCATTTGGTGGTGGTTCAATTAGCATCGATCAAATGTGTGAATATTATTTCTGTCCTCGACCTTCTGATGATTATGCTGGCAGTTACTTGTTTTGGAGAGAGGATGCCACGAGAAATGGAGGATTTTCGGATATGTACTGCAAATATTGTGGATATAATAATGATACATTGAGAAGTCGTGTGTGGGATCCTCAAGCTTGTCCATTCATTAGGAGAGATGTTGAGGAAAAGTTGATGACCAGCTCACAAGTTAGTACCACCTCAATTTGTGGAACAGAGGCAGCAACACCATTATCATTCCCTTACCGATCGAATTTATATTTCGATATTCCTAATCTCATCATGTGCTATTGTGAAAAGCAACAGAGATTTGGTATTAATTGTAATATTTTCGAGAATGTTGATGCCAAGATTTATATTGACTATATCATTTTCACATTGGTTTACTTTTTAGAGAGCTGTTTTGCAGTTTTTGTTTTACTGATTCCATCCCTGTTGCAAATTAGATTCTTAAAACCAATTAGAACAATGTCAGTCAGATTTAATACATATATCAGAACTTTGTGGACAGGTAGTGAAGATGGAGCTCTAGGTTACTCTGATGAACAAGTTTATGTTCCATTCAAATGGTTTGCAATTAGACATTTGAGATTGGGTGTTACAATTATATTAGCTACTGCTCTGTGTGCCTATACTTTGGTGAGAATTATTGTTCACTCTGCTAGACCATCTTCCATCTTTACTGTTATTGATGTATTTTTCACATTAATGTTCTTTGCCATGTGTGTCAGTTTCTTCTTGATTGTTGTCTTGTGGAGTAATATTGCCTTTTCAAATAGAAGAAAGGGTTCAGCAGATGTCTTGTTGATGCCTTTGAGAGTTGTCCTATTTACTATTGGTGGATTTTTATTATTGATTGCTGTTGGTTGGATTATTGCTTCTCAAGTGGATGTGGAAGATACTTTCGCATCTGGTATTGTATTGATAGTTGTGATTGTTATTTTTATTGGAATTGCCCTATCTCTATTCGTTTTTGGTTCTAAATTGTACTATGATGTTACCAGAGTTAAGCAAGAGCAAAAGATTTCATTCACCTCACTCAAGTTTACCAAATTCATGTTTATGGCCAATGTAACTTTCCTTTTGACATGTATTTTCTTCTTACTGACTGCCATTCAAAAGATTACCTACACCACAATTATTTCACAAGGATTGGCTGTTTGGTTGATGCTCATTGTTGAGTTCTTCTTGCTGTGTAATGTGGGCTTATTACTCTACATTCTTTACGATAATAGAACTGTGATGGATGTTTATGAGTTTGTGTATTGGCCTATTACAACCCTCTGTTGTTGTTGTTGTAAGAAGAAGGAATAAATTTCCAATTAGTACAACTTCTCTTTACTTTTTAAAGAATAGAATGGAAACCTTATCATCTTTGGATGTATAGATAAAAACATTGGTCTTTCCATCATGTTCCTTGAGGAAGCGAGCAAGAAGCTCAGATTCTGGATTGCCACGAATTGAAACCTTTGGAGTGACTTCCTTAACTTCTTGTGATGTCATTGAGAGTGAAACTAGAAGGATACTGTCTTCAACCATTGAGTTGATGAGTAAATTACACTTTTTCATTGCAATTGTAGCAGTGCTTTGGTGTTTAGGTTTGTTCTTTGGTTGTAGGAATCGAACATCTAGTCTATTCTCCATAGATGCACTACCTGGCAGTATACTATCTGATGAGCTGGAAAGTGTTTGAAGATTACCAGTAGAAGAAGTTGTTGGCATAGTTGGCTTCTTCACTTTACCGTCACTAGTAATGTATTGTACAAGGGTTCTCTTATCAATTTCGTATACTTTGGCTTTCTTTACACCATTTTCTGCTTTCTGATCACTCAATCTAATTCTTACCAAATTCTTTGAAATCAAGTTTGATTTTGTCACAACTATATATTTGACCTTGTGTTGCTTGCAATAATTCTTTACAAATTCATAATCACAATTATCGTCATAGGTCAAATCGGCACGAATACCAGCTTCCCACAATAAATCAGCAACTTTCATTCTTTCTTCTTTGATATCTCTATTCTCAGAGAAAACTAAAACCTGAGGTACACCACTATCAAATGGAGGAATGGTTGAATTCTCTTCTCCTTCCTCGGTAGGGGACTCTAATTTTGGAGGATGCTCAACCATAGTTGTGTATTTGAAAAGTTTATCCAATTTGATATTTGCTCCAACTACGTTATGAGGCAATTTATCAAAGAGTGTGAAATTACTAACGAGCTTGTCGTATCTACCACCATTAATTATTGGTATGTACATCGTTCCTTTTTGAATACCAAATTGGAATATTAAACCACTATATCTTTGGTAGTTATTGGTCAAGCTTGTATCGAATTCAACTTTAAAGTTCGACTTATCAATTCCCCATATTCTAAAGTTGTCCAAAAGTGTGGATATATCATTTAGTGCCTCTCTAGCTCCAATATTAGTGAAAATGTTTGCCAACTTTTGTCTGGTAACATCTACTGCTTCATGAAGACGGAATAAATCTTTGATAATTGGTTTACCTCTATCTAATATGAATTTCTCCTTGTCCCAAGAATAGTTATGTTTCTTAAGTTTGGAGGCAAATGCACAGACGTAATCACGCTCACTCTTTGGAATATCACAATAGTCCAATATAGAATAAATGATTCCTGAGTGATTGATTCTCAGCACCCAGTAACCAGCATTTGGTGTAAAGAAAGAGACAACCCTGGACATCATCTTGATGATTTCAGCATCTGTTATCATTCCAAAGCGAGAACCAACAATGTCTACAGAACAAATTTGTCTGGTTTCTATTCCCATACCTTCTTTAGTAGAAGGTTTTGCAATAGTAAGGAATGAATATCTCTTCAGGAACTTGATGTAGCCATCTTTTGGAAGTCTGGCAAGGTATCTAGCAAGTGATATGGAACCATCTCTTGCAATATTCATTAATTTACCAGATTCAAACATGACTGGACAAAGATTTTTCTTTTCAAGTACACCCTCGATTTGGTCAGTATTTGGGAAATAGGACTCGACATCAAATTCAACAGCAGCATGTAATTGGAAAACAGATTGTAACCTCAATATGGCTCTTTCTCTAGCATAGACTCTGGAAAGATTGAAAGTTGTACTTATAGAAAAATCCTTCTCTTTTCTGTTGAATAATATTGCCAACTTTTCCTCAGTTGTAGATATTGGCATATATTCGGAGGTTAAGAGTTGTTCAGCTGTTGGTCGTTTTTCGGGGTCTGAGTTAAGCATCCACTCTATCAATTCCTTTTCCTTCTCGTAAATGGCTGGGAAAGTATTTGGAACTTTTCCAGATTCTCTAAGTTTGCTGAGAACAGCCAATCTTTCTGAGCCTGTTGAAAATCTTGGATGAAGCATTTCGAAAAATATTATTCCTAGTGAATAAATGTCAACTTTGGATGTGTAATGAGGTGAAGTTAAAACTTCTGGGGCAGCATACATGATAGTACCTACACCAGTTGACAAATCTGACGAATTGGAAAGAGAAAATGAATGTTCTGAAGCTCCCCTGCTTAATTGCCTAGATTGCTGGTAGCTCTTTCCTCTTACAGCCACAGACAAACCAAAGTCACCAACTTTGATAGTCTTATCAACACTGATGAAAAGATTCGAAGGTTTCAAATCTCTGTGAATAATATCATTTTTGTGAAGGTAATCTAAAGCTTCCACAGTTTGTCTGAAATATCTCCAAGCCTCTTCCTTGGAAAGTTCGGCATTGTTGATCAGATCGGAAAGAATTTGCTGACAGTACTCCATCTGAATGTAAAGTATACGAGTAGGCAAATTCTTATTAAAAGTGTTGGCTGATTTCATCTCGGAATATGTTTTGGTTCTCAATTCTGAATGAACAGAGGAAGAGAATGAATAATCGTAGAAAGCTTCACTGTCTTCAGGTGTGCTCAGGAAATCAGATTCACTATCAATAGTCTCATTGTTTTCTTCTCTCCATGCATTAAAATATCTGACAATGTAACTGTGATTCAGCCTTGACAGAAGATTAACTTCTCTGAGAATTGTCTTTTCCTCTTTTTCGTCCCTTTGTGTATGGAACTTGATTTTCTTAATGGCATAAATTCTTTGATCGAGCATATTCTTAACCTTTGTCACTGAACCAAAACCTCCCTCTCCAAGCTTTTCCAATTCTTCGAAATCAGATTTGTATCTGGAAGCATGGTTTGATGAAGAGTCAATTTGATCAGTTGGTTCCTTCCAAAAGAAAGAGAATGGCTCTGATGGATTTTCACTCGAAGATTTGATTTGCTCGTTAAATAATAATTTGAATTGGTCCTTTAGATCTGCAAAGTTTTCTGTGTACCTTCTCATACCAGAGTTCAGTACTCCTATTTTCATTAGCTGATCAGAAAGATCTGTAAAGGCAGTTTGTTGATTTTTAGAGAGCCTATTGCAAAACATTCTAAGCATGTGTATAAGAAGAATTTGAGTTCTGTCACCATTTGTGGATTCTTCAACATCTTCCTCATCTTGTTTTTTCTTCTTTGAATTAAGGTAGTAGTGCATAAAGTTTTTAGAAGGACTTGAGGAGGCAACTCCTACACTTGGACTCGAGTTGTTACTAGATGAGCTATTATCATAGGCAGATGAAATATTGATTGGAGAGGATGAGGATTTGGCATGGCTCTTCTTGGTAGCCTTCTTTTTAGAAGTGGAAGATCTTTCATCCTCATCATCTTCTGTTACAATGATTTCTTCTTCTTCCTCCTCCTCTTCTTGATCGCTTTCCTCCTCCTCACTTGTGTCAACAAGTCCAGAACGCTTGAAAAACTTTGATGGTTTTCCATCTTCCTCATCAGATGTTTCCTCTTCTTCTTCCTCATCTTCCTCATCTTCTTCATCTTCCTCCTCTTCATCTTCTCCATTATCAAAGTAATCTTCGTCTTCCTCTTCATCTTCCTCTTCTTCCTCACTATCAGTTTGCTGCTCTTCATGAACAAAGAAGCTTGATTTCCCTACTTTTGTTGGTGTTCCACTAACACTTTTTTGATAATTGAAAATATCCTCAGTCACTTTAGTAATAGGTGTTGGTGAATTATCATTCAAGTATTTCATTCTCTGTTCAATTTTTCTAGTTTTTTCCTCTTTGATCAACTTTTTTCTTTTGGCACCCATTTCATTAATTTCCTTTTCCATTTGTTTATCCAATTGCTGTCTCCTTTCCTTCTCTTCTCTTAGTCTATCTATTTCCTTTAAATAACTTTCCTCTAATCTATCAGCATACTCTTTAAGTGAGTCTGTACAGGTGGTAATAATGTCGTGAAGTAGTTGGAAACCTTTGCCTTCTTCACATTTCGTCTATTGCGTTAATAGTAAAATACAAATAATTGAGGTCAACTTACCATTACTTTCTGATAAACATAATTGATAGCTTCTTTGGAAATAGTAGACATATTTTCTATTGAAACTTCTGGTGGAAGAATTGGATATCCAACTGGAATACTATTTGAAATTGTATTTCAATTTCTGAAATTAATTACTTACGTAACTATTAATTTTACAGATGATTGCTTATTTTCTGGCCTCTTAATTTCCTCCGAAAAGTGATCAACATATTGTTTATACATTGGTGAATTTTCGTCCGTATAATTTACTGTACAAATATAAATCATTTGTATTTTCCTAGTACAATCAATTTTCTCGGGGTCATCGATTGTAAATTCTTCCAATCTGGGAATTTTCTTCTCGGGTTCTTTGGTAGTGTTAGGTTTGTTCACAACATCCAAATATGATAATTGTTGTGTTGGTTTTTTAACAGGTTCATTCACATAATAAAAAGATATCGAATCCGGAAAAACCATAGCTTCCGCAAATAATTCATTTCTCAATTCTTCATGAATATTCCTCGAATTATTACTAGTCGGATCATCTTTTTTCACCTCTGTTTCCTTTTTTATTACAGGTGCTGTTGTTGTAGCTGTTGTTGTACTTCCACGACGTGCTGTTGATGCTGTTGTACTCGATTGTTTAGTAATATTATTATTATTGTTTGGTTGTTGTTGAGAAGTAGTCGTTGTTGATGTGGTGGTATGCGTGGGATGATTTTTATGTTTGGGCATTTTTTAATGAAGGTAGTAATAACACGTGGCATATCAAAGTAAGGGTATGAGGATTTAGTGCTTTATTTGATATACTGAAATTTAATCTGTTGATTCTTATGATTCTATTAATGAATACATCCCAACCATGGTTTCAATTATTTACAAATAATGTTAACCTCTTAATTTACGTTTTTCTCTTCTATTGATTTTTCTTCAGTAACTTCGGAGTCATTTAGCTTACTATTTTTATGAAGCTTTGAATTATGTAGTAATACAGAATTGAATCTCTTGTTTTCTTAGCATTGTTTCTTCTTTTCATTCTCAACCGAATTCGAATAATTGTAAGTGAACTCATTCGAACAAAAAAAATGGAACACTCTGATTCTCCCATATTTTCAATGTGCAAAACAGGTGATTTGCATGGTGTTAAAAACCTCCTAACCAATGACCAAACCAGACAACTTTTACATGCCAAAGATGCACATGGAAATTCTCTCCTCTATTATGCTTCACTGTGTGGGAGAATTTCATTGGTAAAGTATCTCTCCGAGTTGGGTTTACGTGACGATGAGTATAGAAGATGTTGGTGGAATGCCCTTTCATTACAAACAAGATCGGTTTTGAAATTATTCAATGATTACAAGAATATTCCATCGACCAGTTCTGGAATGAATACGGAAAGCAATGTACTTTCAGTGATGCATAAATTATTAATGAAATGTCTACACAATGATTTAAATAATTCAAGTAGTGATCAATTATTGAGAGAATCAAATAGTGGAGAGGATATGATATTGAGATTTAAATTTAAGGATCAAAATCAGCCAACAGAGTTCAAATGTCAAAGTTGGATAATTCTCTCGAGATGGCCTCAAATTGTATTATTTGCTTTGAAGAAAGTTCAACTAGAAAAAGTGATTAATTTACCAACTCTTGATAAGCATGAAATGAATTTATGTAAATTGAGTGCTCAAGATTTTGAAAATTATGTGAAAAGAAATAATACTAATGTTATTCAGCAGAGACTAACAAGGATTATTACTCAGGAAAAAAACAAATTGAAAGAATTGAAATCTAGGTATAGTATGATACTTGGAATACCTAATTTAGATATGTGCAATCAAGCATTAGCAAAGGAAAATTTCGAAATGGCGCAGACAAATCTTAAGTGTATTGATTTTGGATCTATTAACGCCAATAAGGAACATTTTGAGTTGGCTCTTACCTATCTCTACACTACCAAAATACCACCAATTAGTGATAAGTATGATATTTACTGTTTGATGGAACTTGGAGTTATGCTCAATATGAAAAGTATGGTTGACCACATATTCAATATGCTAAGAGAGGCAAATGATAACCAACAAGAGGATGTTCTATTGAATGATTTGGATCCTATTAATTATCTCTTTAAAGATTGCAAGTCAAAGATTGATTCCTTGAAAAAAACGAGTTGCAACATGGGACTAAAGATGGTCAACTCTACTGATGGAAAGATTTTGCTATGCCACAAGAGTATTGCAATGTCTAGATGTGCTTTCTTTGATGTACTTGGAAATTGTGATTTTGAAGATGGTTTGAAATTCAAACAGCAAGAAGCCACACATGAGTTACCAGTTATGGAACTACAACAATTCTCTTTAGAATCCACACTTCAAACTCTATTAAGATATATATATTGTGAAAAGGCAGAGATTACAAAGTCAAATGCAGTTGAACTGATGCACATTTCAGATTTATACGGATTGTCATCTCTTTCTGACAAATGCGAACAGTTTTTATGTGAAAATACCACATCAAGGGATGGAAACTTGTTCGAATTGTACAAACTCTCCATTGAAATGGAACGAAAGAAGTGGCAACGATCCTTAGAACCTAAAGCCCTCGAATTTATAGAAGAACAAACGAGAAGGCAAAAAATTAACCAAGCTGAAATTGTGAGAGATTTGGAAGACCTTGATTTGAATCCTGATACTATCAAAAAGTTTAAGAATGCCTCCAATTCTGCCAATTAACACTAAACAAACTGTAGTCTTCCAAATAGTCAACTCTACACAAAATAAACTGTAGATTTGCAATTAATAAAACACATAAATAGTATTTTTACTGTTTAATATTTCAATCTCTCGTTAAATTGATCTCATTAAATTTTCCAAGAAACGTGTTTCCACGTAAATCATTTATTCGATTTTCCTAATTCTCAAAATAAGGAAACGGAAAAATCTACAAGCGAGCGCGGAATTATGGAGTGAATGCAGTGTTGGGACCTTTAAAGTCACCACGAAGAAATTCTCCCTTCATTTCAAATTAATCACATCTAAAAAAAACAAACATCACGTTTTAAACGCTAAGACTAGTCCGTATCAAAGAAGAAGAAAATGGAGCAATTTAATCAAGTGCTGAACAAGATTGAGAATAGTGAGTTGTACGGAAAGGTAAAGAAGAATGAATATTATAACAAGGTTGTAGAATCGACTCTTGCCTCTCTCATTTACAAGTACAGTTTGCTAGTTATTGTGCAATTAAAGTCACTCTATGGTCAATTGTTAGAACCTGTTATTTCCGGTTCAAAGACTTACAAGGAACAGTTGCAATATGTATGGGGTTTAGTGCAACAATTGTTATTACATTATATTTTGGTAGTGATCAGACAATTCCAACATGGTAGACAAGGATTGTCAAGTCTCGCTTACGAAAAGGTTGTCCAATCCAAAGGTGCATCCAAATTGTTTTGGCTCGATCTTGGAGCTCAAGCTGACTTGAAGGAAATGGCTTCTCAATGTAAAGATGGAGAATTGAAGAATAACTTCAAGAAGATTTATCTTGTCAATACCAAGGCTTGTCAATCTACACTCAAATCTGTTGAAGAATTGGGTGATTTAGTTGAAGTTATTACTGTTGAAGAACTTCAACAAGTTGCTTTGCAATCAAAGGTTGACCTTGTCACAATTAGTTATTCCTTGACAAGTGTTCCAAATTGGATTGAATTGTTGGAAAAGATCAAGAATGAACTTTTGAGTAAGAATGGTGTTTTGGCCGTTACTGACTATTATGTTTCCAGAAAGAGTACTAAGGGAGCCAAACAACACAACATTATCACTCGTGTCTTTTGGCAAACCCTTTTGAATTTGGTCTTTGGATTGAATGTTTCTGCCGATCACTTGCCATACCTTGAAGGTCATTTCGATTCTGTTCATGTTGAAGAAAACATGGGTAAGATTCCACTTGTTTCAAAACTCACTTTGGGTAGAGTTAAAATCCCATACTATGTCTACATTGCTCAATTGAGTAAATAAATAACCTAGTTTCATTCAAACAATCATTTAGCGTCTCATACCATTTTAAATACGTAGAGAAAGTTAAATTATTCATTCAGCTTTATTTACACAAACGTTGGTGGTGAAGAGGACGGAGAAGACTTAGTGAGAGAGTACTTTCGATTATATGTTTTAACAGGTGAGCTTTGTTTAGCTTTGAATAGTGATGCAGCTCTATTAATTTGTCGTGGCTTTTTCTCTGTCAAACTGTCACCCTTACTGCTCTTACTATCTGTACTCGACCGACCACCAGCTGTATATTGCATACTGTGTGACCTAGCCCTTGTACTGAGTGGAACTGCTGTGTTTTCATTTGGTTCCTCTGGAATTGTTTTCCCTTCCGCCATAGCAGCCTCTTTCAACAAGTAATCAATTAATCTCACCTGTACACACCTAGATCCAACTGCAATCACCAAGGCAATTGCCTTTCCTTGTAATACTTTACATCCTGAGAAGATTAAATTTTGAGTTTTCAATGGGAGAGAATCAGTTGCAAAGAGAGAGGCATGTACAGGAGGAAACTGCTTTCCCTTAATTGAAGTAATGTCAACAAGGAGCTCCTTCTCCTTATCAATCCACAAAAATCGGCAATCGGCTGGGCATATGTTTCCTTCCTCCAACATGATAATATCACCATAGACAATGTCCCTTGTGGGAATGATTTCCAACTTTCCATCTCTAATAACTGGATGTTCCTGAGGGAGGGCATCGAGGAAGGTTTTTAAAAACTTATCCCTCGGATTAAGCTTGTTCTTAAAGCAGAGAAACGACGATTCCACAGGAGGTTCTATATAATTGTTTCCTCCATATTGTTTTAACATTTCAACTTGTCGTTTCTTGACTCCATAACTCTGATGAATATTCCTCACGTTAATATTGCTGTGAGGAAAGTATGTACTTGCTAAAACTTTTAAATCATAATTATGTTCCTGAATATCTACAAAATAATACAATTGTTGTTTAGCTTGCATACTGCTCTATATGTTTTTTCGTTGTTAATATAATACAATTTATGATGATGATATGATAACGCTTATTCCTCCTCAATTAAAATCCTCAATGAGAACCCTTCGGCGCAAGACAATTTTCCTTGATAACAAACTTCCTTCTGCTACAACTCTGTGTTGGATAAGCAGTGTGTTTTTTCAGTTTTTTTCGAATTGTTTGAACAGTTTGTTCAATAAGGAGGATCCGTAAAGCCAGCTAAATGGAGCTTCATTATCTTTAACATATCCGTATCGGCTTACTGCAGCTGTAATGAGCCACTGGTATTATTTCTATCAAGGCGTCTACTAAGTAACTAAGGTATCTACACTCTCACAAGAAAATAGGGCTTTCAAATCTGAATTAATAATTATGAATGAATGATTACATTGCATTTATTTTTAATAAATTTAAAAAATGGTTAAAAGTGCATTGGACTTAATCAAGGATATTTGGAGGTTTGTTTTATTGTGGAAAATAATTTAATGATCATCGGAATAGACATCCTGGAAAGAGAGTGGCCACATTATCAACTTTGGCTCTTGCTGTCATGGTTGCTGGTGTTGCAACACCTGTTTAGTAAGTGTGGATGAGAATAATATATTTAATAATTATTTTGTAAATTAGTCTTCCAAAGAGAGATGTCAGACAAGAATTACAACAATTGCAAAAGAGAGAACAACTTAGAACTACTGAAGCTTTTAAACGTGCCGAAAAATAATTTAATGATGATAATATTATTTTGATTTGATATCGGAGTTTATTGATGATTTGAATAATTATGTGAAAAGAAATTGTATCTATTTATTCGGAATAAATTAATGTTTTTTAATATTAAATTTAAAGGAAGGAGTGGTGGATTGGTATTTAAAAATCTGAACTTGATAACTATCCAAAACCACAAACAAACCACTTTGTCTTACTTGTTGAGCATTTCTGGAATATTGAGTTCCAGAGAAGAGCTCAACAAAAATAATATCAGTATTAGTATTTGGTACATCATCGAGAATGATTGCACCATTTCCTTGATTAGCACTATAATTAACAGTAACCAAATAGCTGTAGCCAGTGGATGGAACTCTCCAATGGAAAGCGAATACACGATAGGCAATATTGCTTTGACCAACAGTCTTGTATGAGAATACTGATCCAGGAACTGTAAAGTTGGCAACAATTGGAATGAAAGCAGTATAGAAATTAATAGCATCTGGTTGAACTGGTTCAGTGGTACTTCTTCTCAATTGAACAACGAGTGGATTCTTCTTACCAACCCATTGGCCGAAATAACTAAATTTCATACCAGGTACAGAGAAGGAAATGGCACAGGCTATTTTGGTCAATTATAACTCGTGTTAAAATGCAAAAAATTTGAACATACCAGCATTAGCTCTATCAACAGAACCAAAGTTAGCAACAGCTCTTGATTGATCGTGGTTTTCTACAAAGTGAGCAGAGTGAGCCAAATAAGACAAAGGTTGGTTGAGGAAATAAGTATGAATATTAGCAGTATTACTGTTAGCTGTCAAGGCATCATATAAATCCTTATCGTAGGTAAAATCAAATCCAAGTTGTTGTAATTCTCCATTCAAACCCCAATAAACCTCAGCTAAAAGGATAGTATTTGGGAATTTGGACTTAACAGTTGAAATTGCCCATTGCCAAAATTCAGTCGATGGTTGAGTGTATCCTCTTTGATTGAGTTGTTGTCCCCAGATTCTGGTAATTTGAGAATTGAGTGGCAACATAGCCATGTCACATCTGATTGCATCAGCCATGCTGGCAACTTTCATTAGATTTCCTAATTGGTAATTTCTAGTCTGTTGATTCCAATAATTGCTATTGAATTATTTCAAGTTAATATTGACCAATATATTTCAACACTTACAATTGAGCAGTATCAGTCCAAGCAGGAAAATAACCATCCTTTCCGTATGCAACTCCATTTGGAAGATAGGAATAAGCATCATAAGGTGGTGAAAGATTTGGTGGAGCCAAAATAAACATGGATGAATTTGTTTCAACGAGTGGATTATCAACTGCACTGTGATTTGGAACAAAATCGAGCATTAATTTTAATCCCATAGCATTCAATTGTTGTCTCAAATTAATCAAATCATTATCAGTTCCTATTTCTTGTTGATTGACAGTATATTCCAAAACTTGATATGGAGATGCAATAATATCACTCATTTGATAATCAGGTAAATTAACTGCATAATCAGTAGCTCTCATAGCAAGATCAGTAGCTCTACATCTACCATAGTTTCCAATAGTCCACATTCCCATCATCCAAATATATTGAACTCCTTGATTTTTCAATGCTTGAAATTCCTTCATTGGAATATTGTTCAAACGAATTTGATAACCATACTTTTGTGATAATTCATATAACCATGGACGAGTTGAAACTTCATATAAAATTGGATTTGGTGCATATTGTGCACTAGTAAAAGATATCATCACATTAAAAATCATCAACAACACCAATACAATAACCATCATCCATGAAGATGGTGATGAATAACTCGTGATGATCCGAGAAGATTTTCCTGACCACAAATCGGAACGAGAGTGGTTGAGCATTTTTTTTGTAGGAGTTTTTTGATCGATGAAACAGACGAAGGGTGATGTTAAAAGTCTTGGATTGTCTCAATGTGATAGGATCCAGTTAAGGAAATTTATCCACATGAGTTAATTGTGAAGGTTTAAGAGTGAACTGGTTGAGCCCAATTGTCGAATCACAATCTTTGAGTAACATTATAATGTTAGCTAGAGTTTACAATAGATTTTTTAATGTTTTCTTGAAAAATCTTTAAAAACTTATCGTCCAAACTAATTCAAACTAAAATGTTTGCTAAATAGTTATAAATGTACAAATAATATAATTTTAATGAGTTTTCAGTTAAGACAGAATTGGCGCCCAAATTTAAACTGTAAAAATTAAAATAAAAAATGTCTGTTGTATCAGAGGAAGCCCCAGTTTCAGTATTACCTGAAGAATCAACAACAATGTTGCAATCATCATCGGCAACAACATCCATTGTTACTGAGGAAGTACCATCCACTACTACTTGCGAAATATCAGATTCTACCACTGTTTCCATTGATAATATTCCAACAAGAACAACAGAAACAACATCTTCTGATTCCAATATAGTTGTGATTAATGTTGAAGGGGAAGGACCAGCCAATTTTTTGCAAAGAGCAATTGCAGTCGCTAATAAGGTTTACATTTATGGAGGGGAAAATTCTAGTGGATTTTGGACGAACAGCCTTACAATACTTGAAGGAGAATCAAATAAGCGTATCTCATGGAAGAAGCCAAGATGTTTTGATTTCCCTCCTAAAACAGACAGTCATTCCTTAGTAGTATTTGAAAATAATATGATCATCTTTGGAGGAACTGATAATCAATGGATTAATGGTGGAAATAATTGTATCTATTGTTTAGACTTGGAAAAATTAGAGTGGGCTGTTGCTCCAGAAAATGCTGATCAAGACACAACTCTAGTCCCACAAGGAAGGAAGCAACACTCAACAGCAGCTGTTGCCAACAAGATGTACATCTTTGGAGGCATTTCTTCTCAAGTTGGATCAGAGAGTGTTTTCAACGATGTATTTGTTTTTGACAATGAAACCAAGTTGTGGAGTAAGGTAATGGTGAATGGTGATTCTCCTACCCCTCGATCTGGTCACACAATGGTTTACAATCAGCAAACTGATAGTTTAGTAATTTTTGGAGGTAAAGTTGGTGGTTCATATTCCAATGAAGTTTGGTCGCTTTCTCTTTCCGAATTGAGTTGGACCTCAATGAGCACCACTGGAAATATACCATGCGGAAGAGAAAATCATAGTTCTGTTGTTTGTAATGATAGCATGATTATTTATGGTGGATGGAACATTGGAGGCCCAAAGAATGATTTATACTCCCTCAATTTAGCAACATTTGAATGGAAGAAGTATTCACATAATCTCGAGACTGAAAAAGATTCAAAGAGATTTGGGCATGCTAGTGTTTATCTGGATGGGTCAGTCTTAATATTTGGAGGAAAAAACCATTTATTCAATAACCAAGAAGCCATTCTCAAAATCAACATGAATAATTGCGCTGAAGTACCTGTTGAAACTGAAAAACCAAAAGAAAAGAAGGACATAGAGGAAATTATTTTAGATTTAGATGAGAAGGTTAGTTTCTAACTTTTATTGTAAATAACCTGACATCTTATAGCAACTCTCTGAGGAAATGTTTAACAAACCAAATTTTGATTTAAAGGATGTTGTGCTTTACAAGAACATCTTTGATCAGCTGACAGAAGAAAACATCAAGCAATATGAAGAATTGAACACAATGTTGTTAAAGCAAAAGCTCTTCTCTGCCCAAGTTGAAAGCCTAATTGAAAGCAATAGGACCTTAATGGCCAAGGAATTTACTACTCCACCATCCTATACTGAGAGTTCAGTTCCAATAATTTATTCGGAAGTTGTTGAAACTCCTCAAAGTTATAAGGATTTGATGGGACAAGTGTTCCAACCAGTTGTTGAACAAAAGCAAACTGAACTAAAAGAAGAAGGAAACAATACTGATTCAAATAATGAAGAAATCAAGGAAGTTGAGCAAAAACCAAAATTGCCTGAAGATATTCCTGTTATTGTGGATTTGCCTTCAATTCCTGAATCTCCTCATATTTTAGAAGTCGCTGAAGAACCTATGGTCGAAGAAAAGTTGGAGAATACAAATAACATTGAGGATAACAAGATTGAGAATAAGGAAGAAACCACCGAAACGGCAACCGAATCAAATAACCAACGAGATGAATAACTCTTCAACCTCTTCATAAACTTACAATTTGAATTTCCATACATCTCTCTCAATGCACGAATGATAATGAAATTCTCCTCAACTGGTGCATTGCTCATTTTGACCATTCTTTCCGAAATTCTTACACACCTTCAACATCATAGACATCTATTGTATAAATCCAAAAATAAAACGAATTAAAAATGAATAACACTTTCAAAAAAAATAAAAAACAAAAATGATCAACAACTCATCAGCTGAGGCCTCCCAAAGCAAGGCTAGAGGAAAGACTTCTACTCAAGAAGCATATGAAGAAATTGGAAGAAAACTCCAAGAAAAGAAAGTTCAAATGGGTTTATTAAAGGACGAAATTACTAATTTGAAGAATTCAGCAGGTGATAAGGAACTCATCAAACAAAAGGGTAAAGAAATTGATACCATGAAGAAGGAAATTAATCAAATCACCAAGGAATGGAACAGAGCAAACCCTGATAAACTTCACATCAACCCAGAAGAATTCAACGAATTGCTCACAAGAAGATTCTTTGTCATTCCTTCCTTTGAAATTTATGGTGGTGTTGCTGGTTTGTATGACTATGGTCCTCCAGCTTGTGCTATCAAGGCTAATATTTTGGATTTGTGGAGAAGACACTTTGTTAATGAAGAAAATATGCTCGAAGTTGATTGTTCTTCCTTGACCCCTGAAACTGTTTTTGTTGCCTCTGGTCACGTTCAAAGATTTGCCGATTGGATGGTTAAAGATGTTGTTACCAATGACTGTTTCCGTGCCGATAAATTGGTTGGTGAATTTATTGATACCGAGTTGGAAGAAAACTCTGAATTGACACAAGAAAAGACTGAAGAATATGCTTTGGTTAAGAAGAAGATTGATGACTATGATGGAAAGGGTCTTGATGAACTCATCCAAAAATATGGTATTAAGAGTCCAACTACTGGTAATGAATTGTCTGCCTCATATCCATTCAATTTGATGTTCTCCACTCCAATTGGTCCAACTGGTAAATTGAAGGGTTACCTCCGTCCAGAAACTGCCCAAGGTATTTTTGTCAACTTTAAGCGTTTGTTGGAATATAATGGTAAGCAAATGCCATTTGCCTCTGCACAAATTGGTCAAGCTTTCAGAAATGAAATTTCACCAAGATCTGGTTTGCTCAGAGTTAGAGAATTCACTCTCGCCGAAATTGAACACTTCCTCAATCCAGATGTTGATGAACATCCAAAGTTGGACACTATCTCATCTATTAGAGTTCCATTCTTCTCTCGTGAAAATCAAACTCAAGGTTTGAACCCAGTTGACTTGACTATTGCTGAAGCTATGGAAAAAGGATGGCTTACAAACAAGACTCATGCCTACTATATTGCTAGAGTTAAATTGTTTATGGATGAATGTGGTGTTTTGCCAACTGCTATCAGATTCCGTCAACATTTGGCTAACGAAATGGCTCACTATGCTCGTGATTGTTGGGATTGTGAATTGTTGACTTCATATGGTTGGATTGAAGTTGTTGGTATTGCCAACAGATCATGCTTCGATTTGGAAAACCACTCTAAATACTCAAAGAACGAACTCGTTGCTTATGAATCATTCGAAACTCCAACTGTTGAAGAATTCGTTGCTGTCGAACCAGTCAAACAAAAGATTGGTAAGATTTTGAAGGGTGATGTCGAACCAGTTATGACTTATTTGAATTCCCTCACTGACCAAGAAAGACTTGATTTACAAAAACAATTAGACGAAACTGGTAAGATTTCTTTCAGAGTTGAATCTATCGATAAGACCATTGAACTCACCAAAGATCTCATTGCTTTCCCTAAGCGTGAAAAGAAGATCCTTGGTCGTAATTATACTCCTGGTGTTATTGAACCATCATTCGGTATTGGTCGTATTATTTATTGTCTCCTTGAACATTCTTACTGGGTCAGACCAAAGCAAGAACATGAAAAGGAAGAAGATAAGATTCAAAGAGCTGTTTTGTCTCTCCCACCAGCAATTGCTCCATACAAGGTTGCCCTTTTACCAATCAAGGCTGACCAAGATCAAATTGTCAAGAAGTTGCAACAATCTTTGGCTAGATATGGTATCAGCCATCGTGTTGATGCTGGTAACCAAAACATTGGTAAGAAGTATGCTCGTGCTGATGATATTGGTATTCCATTTGCCATCACTATTGATGACAACAGTGTGACAGCTGGTACTGTTACCATCAGAGAACGTGACTCATGTGAACAAGTTATTGTTCCAATTTCTGATCTCATCACTGTCCTTAATGATTTGATTGACCGTATTAAGTTATGGGAAGATATTAAACAAGCTTATCCAGAACAAAAGCAAACAGCCTCTGATAAGGTTGGTAAGAAGCAAGTTAAATAAACAGTAACAACAACCATTAAATTATTTATCATGAAGGTTTCATCTATTCATCACTTTTTATTAATCGGTTTATCAATAGTACTGCCTTGAAACAATCTATCATCATAGGTGCTGTGAATATAATAACAATTAGGTCAAACATTGGATAATTCTTTGGAGAAAACCCATTGTTTCCATTCAACATTGTTTTATACAATTAAGGAAATGCTGTGTTGAAAAAATATCTCCCTTATATTCTTGTTGTTATCAAATTTAAAACCCACCAGAAAATCTACGCTTACAGTTGTTGTTTGATGTTGTCAACGAAAAAAAAAGACGTTACACTATTGAAAAAAAATAGAACAATCATTGGACATTAATACCTTACCATCGTCATTTTGTGTCGGTTGGTGTGATTGAAAATAACTAATCATTAAAGTATTATCATCATCATCATATAATATTGATCAAAGAATATTGTAGCAGAGAGAATGGTAAATCAAACGGGAGATGCCTCCCTGCTACTAGAAAACCTTATTAATGTTCATACGAACATTAATATGAGTAATTTGATTCTAGTGCTGAAGGAAATTCTCAACACGGCGGAAAACAATTCCGTTCGTATTGCAGCACTAGAACAAACATTTGTTACACAGGCAGAATTAAGGAAACAACTAAATCAGGTCAAGGAAGACGTTAAAATACAGTTTGGAGACTCTCTGAAAGAAAGTCACGAAGCTCTTGTTGATAGTGTCAGAAGAGATATTCATACAAGTGTAAAAACATCAGTCGATAGAGAAGTGTCTTCCATAACGGCTGATATTATAGATTTTAAAACTAGGTATGCAGACAAAATGAAAGAAGTGGATAGTGCCATAACCGACAACTTAAAAACAACGATAGAATTGTCTAATAAGGCTGACAGAAAAACATCATCACTCCAACAATTGGTTGACAGATTGGAATACAGAACTATTAGGATGGAAGATTCTATTCGTGAATATTCTGAAAACTTTAAAAAGTTACAATCAAGACTTTCCAGAATTAATCAGTCTCTCAATAAGAATAATGGAACAAACATTACACTAGATGCAGAAATAGAAATTGATGACATACTGGAGGACGATAAAAAATCCAAAGGAGAATCAACTCCACTTGTAGACAAGAAGAAATCTAAGAGAAAGCTTTCTAGGGAAGAAAATGTATATACTACGCCAGATAATTTTGACTTGAGGAAACTTTCAGAACCAAATACAGCTAAAGAAAGTGGATCACCACTTGAAAGACATTACCCATTAGAATCTCAAGAAAGTTCTCAAAGTGTGAACAGTCTTTCAGATCTTTCAGCTCCACTCAGACTAAATATGGGCGATTTAACATTAACTAAAATCCAAACAAAGGTTAATGAGCTCAAGGATTATGTAGACACTCTTAAGGATACTCTTCAACATAGAATTGCTGCTGTAAAGCAAGATTTGAGGGAAGATTTCAACTTGAATATTCATGCCACAAAGAAGGATTTGGAGGATAAAATTAATACCAAAATGGAAAAGAAGGATGTCTATCACTTGCTAGGATTCAAATCAAATGTTAAGGAATTGGAAAAGATTAAGGCAGACTATGAATTCATCATGTCAATGTATGCCAAATTGGATAAGGAAGTTCTGCAACTTAAGGAAAATCCACCAACAGCCAATTTTTCATTTGCTTCCTCTAATGGTAGCCCTTCGAGGCGTCAAAGCATTCCTCTCTCAAATAGCCAAAACATGGCCAATTCAATTGTTCGTGAAGAAGCTCGTCCATCGGCCAAGAAGATCAAATCTACGCAGGATGATCCACTGAATATTGTTAATAGAAGCACTACCTCTCCACCAAAGGAAAGAATGCCTCATATTTTCGGTAACAGTGCATACCACAAGATGCAAAAGGGTAACGTTCCAAATAAGAAGAGTGCAACAGATGTCAGTAATGCAGGTAGTAGACCACTTTCAAATCAAACTCTAAGTGCCCTCAGTATAATTGATAAGATTGCCAATCAAAGATCAGTGAGTGCTATGGAATTCAGAGAAGACGAAGATGGTGAAGTCAATCTTGTTGGTTCTGATGCAAAGATTTACAGATTTGGTAATGCTGATAAGAAGACTCTTAGATCAGCATCTCCGGCTCAATTGTCCGATTCAGAGGATGAATGGAATATTAGAGCCTCAATTGTTGGTAGATCTCTGCCTACTAAAAAAGCCTCCCCAGCCTATAGCCTCTCAAGATTGAGACAGGATAAGGAAATATCTGATATGGCATAAAATTATTTTCTTTTAATTACCAGCTTGGAAAAGTTAGATCCATTATTTTGTGTTGGGTGAATGTTAAACTTTGTAATACTGTTCTTAATAATATTTTGATTGATGACAGAGGTTAGAATAAATTCGTTGGTAAAGAAATGATTTTCCAAATTTTCCACTCCAAAATCAGAAAATATTGGAAATAGGCTCTTGGTACAATAAGCTCTCTTTTAAAATTTAGTAAAAAAAGAAATTTTCGAACACTTACATCATTTTCAGTAGTGATTACAAAAACTCTGTTATGGATTCCAAGTTCAGATTTGAGACCGTTCAGAGTTGGTATAGTTGTTCCACCATTGCATTCAATAATTAATTTCATTTCTTCCACTCGTGGTTGAATATTGCTAGTGAGGAAGAAACTCATTTTGTGAAAAAGCTTACGGGAAAGTCTATCCCTTCTGTTCATTACCTCAATGAGTGACATGTTGAATTTTTGTTCACCTTCCAAGTCTTGTAAATAGTATCCTTCTTCATCAATAAAGTATTTCGATCTGGCACTCTTTTCCAACCATTCCACTGTCACAATATTTGGACAACTGCCCAAAGCACACAAGAATTTTACAGTTCTTATTTTGAAATGTTTTCGTATAATTAAAAGCAAAATACAAACCTTCTGATCTTGTCTGTTATGAGGTGAGTCAATCTTGAAGCTAACAACTCTGCCTCTGGTTCTTCGACTAGAACGCCTCCTAACCTTTCTATAGCTTTAATATTTTCCTCTGTTGGTGAAATTCCAGTAAATAAAATATGTGGACTTTGATGATCGCTCTTCTTTGTCTTTAGCTTCTTTTTCTTTGGAGCAATAAAAGATTCCTCTTCATCCTCAAACGATCTTTTCCTTTCATTTTCTTCTTCATCGTCATAATCGGTTAAAACTATTTCATCCTCCAACATTTCATCCTCTAAGGTTGATTCCTGTTTCTTTTCCTCATGTTCTTCAATGTCCTCAAATAATTCATCAGGTAAGCTTAAAGAAGAAAGATCAATGTCTGTAAGGTTGAGATGATCACTCTGATCACTAGCTTGGGGAGAGTCTTTCTTATCATTTGATGAACCATTGCTTGGAGTTTCTACTATTACAACATTGGATGGTGTTACAAAACCACTCGATGTGCTCGAGGATGGCTTAGATATGGATGGAGGGGTTTGTTCAATGGAGAGGATTGGATTTTCTGATTGTTGAGTTTTCAAACACTCTTGAATACGTTTTGGTGTTTCGAATGCCAATGCCGATGTTTTGGATGTTCTGTCAGCATAAACTGTTGGTGGTACAATTTTATCCCTTATTGAAGGAAGTTTTGAAGGTCTGTTAAATTCAGGAGTCTCAGGTATTGTTGACATTCTCTGTCTCTGAGATCCATCTCTAGAAGCGGTAAGCTGTGGAGTTTTCTTTGGTTTTTGTGGTGTCTTGGTTGCATTACAAGATTTGTAATAAACCTGCATAGCTTCAGATACTGATTGTTCACTCAATTCTGAATTTTCTCTATACTGACATAATAACTTTCCAAAAAGAATATAATTACAATCCCTCAATTGGTATAACTTGTTAGATTCAATATTTACATTAATCTTCCTCTTTTCAGTTTTTTCCACAATGTGAGTACTATTTGAGGATGAGAGATCCTCTACAAATACAAACTCTCCATTCGATACCTCTACTAGAGCATGTACTCTTGAAATATAAGTCCTATCTATACAAATCCAATGATCAAAGGATGGTAATTTCTTATTTCTAATTACTTCATCAGCCCCCTTTCTTGATATCAAACTTTTACCTTTCCTTAATGGCACAACCTGACAATAAGTTGCTTGTTTCAAACTTTCATGACTTTCGTATAAAAAGAAGAAACCAACTACTTGATCCATGGGAATATTTTCAACAACTGGTTGTGATGGGCATGGTGATTCGACTGCTGTGGATGATCTGTGGTAATCAGATGATGAACAAGAGTCTGCTACTCTCGTGCTGTAAATGGTGAGGGGTGTTTTGGTATTGTCGTGATGTTTTGCTGCTGGTGTTGTTGTTCCTGAACTACTACTAGTACTATTCTTAGGGGAAGATTTAACTCGAAGTGTGATTTTCTTCCTTGGTGATGGCATTAACTTTCTATCTAATTCGTCACTAACAGGGAATAAAGGTGGTGTAAGGTGAGTCTCTTGATTTCTGTTACTAATCTGGTTATTATCAGCATTACTAATTGATGTGGTGATTCTTGTACAATTATTTGAAGAAGCCACAACATGATCTTCATTACTATCATACAATCCAGAAATATTGTTGTTGGTATTGATTGGTTTAATCGGAGAGCAATGCAGACTGGACATCAAAGATTTCAGAGATATCATCTTTCTCTTTGGAGTTCTACATTGTTGAGGATTATTACTATTATTACTCTCTGAAACATTTTGCTTGGGAGGTGTTGATGAACAGCTTTCTGTTGTTGTTCTAGCGTTTGTTGGAGGTGAAGATGAAGAAGATGAAGAAGCTAAACTCCTCTTCATTTTTTTTCCAATTTGTTCATGAATCTCTTAGCGCGGGAACCGTTACATAATTCTTATGGTAATCTTGTTCCATTGTGTTTAAACCAATAGGTATCATCATGATAACAATATCCAATATCTTGCTTTGATTCAATAAATATAATAATATTATTAGAACACAACGATACACATTCAAATATCAATAAATCCAAAATAAAAATTAATAAAAAAAATGATCACAGCAACTAGAAACTTTTCCGCCTTGTTGGACGAATTGATGGGCGTAAATAGGAATGGAGATCGACAGGATTTAATCATTGAACATTTTACCGATCCAAGAGTTTGTAAATATGATCTACTAGGCTTGTGTCCATATAAATTATTTCCAAATACAAAATTCGACTTGGGACCTTGTCCATTTCTTTGTTGTCCTGTTCCTCCGAAATTTAAAAAACAATTCGAAGAGGAAAAGAAAACTCTCAACTTTGATTATGAACATAAATTGGAACAAATATTAGCACAAATACAAGATAATTGCGATGAAAAAATTGCTAAAGCACAATCGAGATTGGATGTACAACATAAAAAGGATTTAAATAAGAATAACGAACCATTGGAATTACAAAATATCAAGAAGGAAATTGATAAAGTAACAAAACAAATTGAAGAATTAACAACGGAAGGAGAATATGAAGAAGCACACAAACTCATGGAAAGATTGGATAGTTTAAAGAAGGAAAAGGAAACTGTGGAAGCTAAAGCCCCAACACAAAAAATCGGAGATACACAAGAACTTATTGTCTGTGAAATTTGTGGTGCCTTATTGAGTGTAAATGAAAGTGACCAGAGATTGGCTGATCACTTTGCTGGTAAGGCTCACTTGGGTTTCCAAAAAGTTAGAGAAAAATTGAAAGAATTAAGAGAAAATAGAACTTTTAATGACAAGAGACAATTAATTGCTGACAGAGATCACTATAAACAAATGAAAGGAAATGATTACAATGACTACTATGAACTGAAAAGAAAGAGGCCAGAAAATGAACCAGTTCCACAACCTTCAGAACCAGCTAGCTACGCTCCAAGCAGTAGTAGCTCATCTTCATACTATTCACACGATAATAGAAGTTCCTCACATGACAATAGAAGGGATAATAGAGGAGGTCATGATGATAGATATTCATCTGGAGGTGGTGGACGATCATCATCTTACAATGGTGGAGGTGGAGGATACAGAGACAGAGGAGATAGAAGAGACTTTGACAATCATCATTCTTCGTCATCCTCTTCCTATCATCGTGATGATTACCGTGATAGACATCACTCTGATTCCTATAGTAGATCTCAACATGATTATAGAAGAAGATAAGCAAGTAGGTATTCGAATATAATATTTAGGTATTCTTTTACTCTTTAGCAATTAGACTAGAAAATAATAAAATTAAATTTTTATTCTTTTACAAATTCAAAAAAATGAAAAGCTTCATCTCATCATCATGCGGCGTCGTCCGAAATATTACCAAAACACAAAACATTAATTGCTCACTCTTAAACTCACTCTCAACAACACCTCGTCTCTTCTCCACTTCTGCTTGCAATTTTGAACAACAACAACAAGCATCCGAGGAAGTTGCTCGAGGCAGATTGTTCTTTATTACTTTGGTAAAAAGTCCATTCCATCAAACCGAAGATGTTCAAGACTCGATAAAGGTACTCAAATTAAAGAAAGTTCATCAAATTCAAGTACATAAGGACTCTCCACAAATTAGAGGTTTAATTTATAAATGTAGACTTTTACTTTCAGTCAAATCAGTCTCCACCGCTGAATTGTTCCCTGAAGGTACTCAACATTTACCACAACACGTTCGTCTCACAATGAAGGAAAAGCACGAATTAAAGTTGAAGGCTATGAGAGAAAAGAAGAGTATGAAGTCATTAATCGAGGAATATATTGCTGCCAAGTCAGCACAACAATAAATAACAATAAGGAATTATTGGCTTTTGGATTAAATAGATGTATTGTTTATTGTGGAATTATACTCGCAGTGCTAAATGATGATATCATGTCAATTACTATTTACCTAATGTGCCTCTTCCTTTCTTCAACAAGTTCCTATTCATTGAAAATGTAAACAAATCTCGAAATATGAAAATAGACAACTTACCTTTTTTCTCCTCGAATAGGCTTCCTCAGCCAATTGAATTTCATATCGTAGCATGTTCATTTGTTGTTGTAATTCTTGTTTGGCTTGTTTTTGCTGTTGTTGCAATTTTTCACTAGTTTGTGATGAGCTAGGTGAGGGAGTGGTTTGATTTACAGAGGCAGTCAAATTGGACTTGATAGAATTGTTGGTAGTATTATTATTGGAAAGGATAGAGTTGTTTTTGGATGGTGGAATTTCTTGGCTCTGTTTCAATCTAGTTGTACTGAAATCGTTTGAAACATTTTGTTTTGATTGAATTGGTTGTTGAGGCATGAATGGCTCCTTTGATTTGGTTGGTGCCTGGGTTGAAATGGTGCTATCTGATGATTTCTTCATTTCTGAGAAATCAAAACTTTTAAGCATGTCCAAATTAGACATCATTATGGCACTTTCATCTAACATGTCTGACAAATCTTCTTGTGATTGAACTGATGAAGTATCTTCGAGAGGTATTTCAATAGATAAATCTTGAGTTTTTTGTTCTTGAATTTTTGGAATTCCATCAAATGCAATACTGGTGTTTGTGGAAACTGTCACAAGTCTTCTATTTTGAGGAGTTATTGCTTGCAGAGGTTCTTTAGATATTATTGAGGTTCTGAGTGTTTCTGTTTGAATTTCCTGTTCTTTTGTAATTTTAGGAATGTTCATTACGGATGTATTCATACCAGTATTTAGAGTTTGAGGTTCTGGGGTTTGAACCGAGGGTTCCTGAAATGCTTCTTTCAGTTTTTCCTCGAATAATTTCTGAGCATTCTTCATGAATATTGGTTGATTAGATGGTTCATTTGATGACGATGAAGGTGAAGCATCATTCCTATTTACAAAGTTTGATAGAATCCTATCCAAATCATTTTCATCCTCACTACATTATTTGATTATCAATTTCCGATTTTTAATTCAAATATTTAAATTCTTTGAAAATTACCTCAATTTTGTATTTGAAACAGATGGCATTGGTAAGGAATGCAACTTCGATGAATTCCAAGATATTTCCGAATCCTTTCCTTCGATCTCCATCACAATATTTTCAAATTCCTTCATTGCCCAATCTGTGATCTGTTTCCTTGTTTTATGACCTCTCCATTGGCTCTAATTCATTATAACAATAAGAAAATTACACAACAACATACCTGTATCTGTGTTGCCGATCGATGGAGGTGCTTGTATTGTTGTTTATTTGTGGATGATTGCCATGTTGTTGTATTTGTGCTCATTTTTTCCCGCCTAATTCCTTAAATTCTTGAACAATTAATTTAAAAAAAGCAAGTATTCGAGATAAGATAGGCATGTTTATAATTTAGTAATTAAGAGAATACGTGCTTATTATTATCAAACTAGTTTACTCTATTTGATGAAAGTTTCAGAAGGAAAAATTCTGAAACACTTTCTTTAGATTTTGAAAAAAATCTAAATGAATGTTTAAATCTTGGATGGTCTTTTAGTACGGTAAAGAATACGGGCTTGCCTTATTAATGTTTCTCGACACTTTTCAATGTAAAATCATATGAATAAACATTTGTGTATTGCACTTCCAATTTTTAATGGAACAATTTCAAACGTTAATAAATAAACATTCTCAGGAATTGGTAAAGATGTTAAAGAATTGAAATCAAGACTTGTATCTATGTTTATGGATAAAGATGACATCTTACTTTTGCAAATAAGTACTCGTGTGATGTTGCAAGAGCTAGAAGATTTGACAAACAAAAACAATTACAACTTTGCTCAGAAACAAGTCAATTATCTTCCAAATACTTTCTCAATTTAATGAATCAGAAGATATTAATTTAAATGATGAACTGACAATATTGAAACAAGGTGATTATTTTTTACAATTTGACAAAAAGGCACTAGACTGATATGTCAAATTAGGCAAATTAAAAGAATCAAAGAGAGGAAATTAAAGAAGAACAAGAAACAATTGGATGGATGGACAGGTTCTGATTATTTATATTCCATAAAATGGGAGTATGTCAATGCACTAAGCCGCAGCAATAAGCTTGCAGAGTATCGAGTTTTGCTTAGAACTTTTGCTGTCAACGAAGAAACTTACCAATTATCAGACATTACAAGAAATTTCACAATTAATTACGAAGAACTAGATTGTTTTCCAGTTAAAGCAAGTGTAAACAACAATGTATTACTTCAAAAGAATTTAGAAGTAAAGGTTATCCTTTACTACTAGCCCAATCTCACATTATTGTACAAGTTTGTAAAAGATTGAGAAATGGTACTCTTTTGATTTAGTTGAATGGCTTCAAGCTATTGAATTCATCCAGAATATTGCTGACTTAAATTATATTGCCATTAAATTGGGTGCCGGTTCTGGTGGTTTTGAAGCGATTCAGATTCCAGCCAATGGAAAAACTACCACCAGAGGAGTTCTCTCAGAAAGAGAAAGCATGGATAAGGAGAGAGATTGACTCCATGTTACAAAACCAAATTATAACCTATTCTTTAAATCCAGTTCTAAATCCTATCAACGTTGTCCCAAAGAAAGGTTCAGCCGAATAGAGGTTTATCTTGGACCTAAGAAAGATAAACGATGGCAAAAGCACAGACTCACTCAAGATGGAATCCATTCAAAAAGTTATGAAATTCATAAGAAAAGGGATGTGGGCATGCAAGTTGGATTTAAAGAAAGGTTGTTTTCAAGTTCCAGTAAGGAAACAACAAAGTCCTATTAGGATTCATCTTCGAAGGCAAAACATACCACTTTCAATGCCTTCCGTTCGGTTTAAGCACAAACAAGATTCATAGCCAAGTTTATTGGAAAGATGGAATTTCTATCTCTGGCAGATCCGGCGATCAGACCATTTCTGGATAGTTTAAGAAAGCAAATGACAATAAGAGTAGATTCAAAAGGAAGTATGCTAGTGAATCGAGGCCCTGCCAAAGATTTGAGGGTATTACGAAAAATTATCCAATCATCCAAAGGCTCTTGGTTAATACTCGACGCTCCAGAGTCAATAATAATCAATTCAGATGCATCTCTGGAAGGATTTGCAATCCACTCCTCAAAAACTATCGTCGTAGGCAAGTTCGAAATAGATTCATCATTCAACGTGAAAGAATTGATAGCGATATTTCAATTCTTCAAAGAAGCAAGCTGATTGAGATTGTTTCCCAAAGATACTCACATTGAAATAAGAGGGGACAACTCTACAGCTCTATCTTATGTAGCAAAAGGTTACGGCTATCTCAGTCATTTATCCGAAATTGCAAGAGACATTTGGATAATCTTAATCAAAGAAGATTGGCACATCAGCAAAGTAGTCAACATCCCATCAAGAGAAAACAAGATTGCAGACAGACTAAGCAGATTAGGAGATTGGAAATCTTCGCAAGAATTGATAGATTTGGTAGAAGAATTCGGTCACCATACAGTAGACCCATTCGCCGTGACAATAACATACAACAGTTGGATGGAAACCGATGCATTCGGTCAACCCTGGGAGAAAGACTAACTGAATTATTGCGTGCCTCCTTTAGGTCTGATTCCCCAAGCACTTTTCCATCTAATCAAATTAGAGAGCGAAGGGAACTTTTGTAGTGCCGGAGTGGCCAACTTCTCATTGGTTCCCAATACTATTAAGGATATCCTTAAAAGTAAGAAAGGTTCCAAGAAGAATGCTTATCGTGGATCCGTACACCGAATTATTCAACAACTTCGAAGATCAAACATTCCTGGTAGCTCAAGTGAACGGTCAACTATATTACTGATGAGAAATTACCTATCAATTTCTCTAGCCAATTCAACCATTCAGAAATATTCCAAAGTTTATGGAGCTTTCCAATGGTTCTTAGTGATTCACAATATTCCAAGATCTAATCCTTATGCAATAGAATGCTTTGCAGCTTACCTTTCAGTTAATAAGAAAGGGTATGATTTAAACAATTTGAAGCCAGCTCTTCAATTCTTTCTCGTTCTTCAACGTTGAAGGTTGGAAACTTAATGTTCCCAATAGTTTTGCTAGACTAAAGAAAGGACTTAAGGTATACTTACATTGTTGATAGAAAGAAACTAAAAAGAAATGGAGTTTCAGCTTATGATATTAAGAATTATATTGATTCCGTGGCTTCCCACGATGAATTCACATTTAATTTAACTACAGCCATTTTAATTATTGGTTTCAGATTATTAGCAAGACCTGGAGACCTCTATAATTTATCGTAATCTAGTATCAAAGTAGATTATCCAAGAAAGATTGCCCTTCATTATACTCTATGAAGGACAATCTTTTTCAATACTTGAAGGAGGGAACTTTGTAAACAAACCACCTCCTGAATCAACAGCATCAACAAGTGCTTTCACGATTGAGTTATAAACACTTGCTGCATTGGGAGGACTGCATTCCCTATCGAAGAGGCGAGTGAAAGTATAGCATTAGCAATTGATAAACCAGTGTCTACAGCAAAAGCAGTAGAATCTAGGATAATAGAATTACCCTGAAAGGCACAAAAATCAACAACACCAAGCAAAACAGTAAATAAGATTGGTAGTAAGGAATTGATTAATCTTTGCCCATAATCTCGTTGTTGTTTCCTACAATATAAGTAACAGAACGTAACACATTTGTTTTTAATAGTTTTAAATTTCTCTAGGCAGTTCTCAATACCTTAACGTAAACATTTGCGTAAAGAAGTGATTGTTGTGTTCCAAGAAAAGAAATTATCCTTGTCATTTTGAACAAACCATTTCACAGCTTCAGTATCAGTCCCGAAAAAGATATGTAAAGAGTTTTTCCATAGGTTTGTGAATGCCTGATCCAACAAATCTCCTTGTTTTGTTATTTTTTCAACTTGAAAACCAATACATATCAGGTTTTAATCCCAATAAATAATTATGTTCACAACTCAAGTTTTCAGATATGGATAAATGTAGATGAAGGGCTAATAGAGCGTATGGGGATTGCATAGTCAAATATTTCCAATAATGGAAAGGTAATTCGAACATTTTTAGTATCTCAATTATATCTATCCACTCTCGTAAAGTAAAACTAAATGGAAATGTGGTATTCTTTGATAACATTCCAGTAAGCACTTTGACCCAATCACCGTATGGAATTGAACAAAATACTCTGTTGGTGGAGTCTTGTATGTTGCCTAATTTCAAAAAATTGATTAAACCCACAGCGAATTCCCTTCTTCAGTTCTTTGATTTTTTGCATTTTCAGCCATTATCGACATTGCAAACTTGGAGTCTTGGCAACCAATAATTTTAGACTTAAAAAAAAATACATTATGATTCTCACCAGATCCCTATCACAAAGCTCTTTTGCCTCCTGTCCAACTAATTCAGCCTCCAACTCTGATATGGCTCTTTTCACGTTAGCATCAGCACTGAGTAGTATTGACGGAATGGAAAACACAACTTTATTTTCAACTATAGAGGAACTTACGCCCAAAATACAAAAATGCAATCTACTATGGGCAAAAAATATTTTTAATCTATTTAAAAAATCTGATGGTGACCTCTACTCTGCAATTATGAGTGCCGAGTTAAAGGACATTATAGAACAATTACCAGGTGACATTCAAAAACCTTGGATCTCTTAAGGAATTGGTGGATTTTTTGGATGGGATATAGTTAAGAAAGAGAGTGAGTTCAGAAGTTTGAAGGCCCTTGGGGTTTTTTCAGCAAATACTTGAACGTTTTGAGGAATTATTTGAAAACAGTTTGAAAGTTGCTCAAGATTTTCTTGAACAAACTTTGGATGTGTTTCAAGTAGTTTTTAGTAAAAAAGGCACCTTTTAGGCGCCTTTTTGCAAATTAGCGTGAAAGTACCTTAAAAAAGTCGACTTTTAGCAAAACTTTTTCCGGAAGTCTATTAATCTATATCTAATTCTAGAATGTCTTCTGTTTCAAAATAGTAAACAATCATTCCAAAGAAAACCCCAAAAGAGATGATGAATAAAGATAAAAAGATAAAACCAATAAACAGAATCAATCTTTTAATTAATACTAGACCTCCACAACATAATGCACAACAAGTATTCCCTACACCTAGGGGATGGAAAATCCTTGATCCAAATCCCACACGGATCAGTTGGATCCAAGATTCCAATAAAAACGTGAATCCTGGATCCGGATTATCCGATAGATTCAACACAAGGATTTTTTAAAAATAAATTTATTAATAATTAAGTAATACATTGTTGCTTTAACAGAAAACAATCTAGTTCTTCGTAATTAATTGTGAAATTTCTTGTAATGTCTGATAATTGGTAAGTTTTTTAGTTAACAGCAAAAGTTCTAAGCAATACTCGATACTCTGCAAGCTTATTGCTGCGGCTTAGTGCATTGACATACTCCCATTTTATGGAATATAAATAATCAGAACCTGTCCATCCATCCAATTGTTTCTTGATCTATGAATTCTAAAGCTGTAATCTTTTTGTCTTCTGGAATTTTTACCAAACCTTGATGGAAGTCTAACAAAACTCCTAGGTATTCCATTTATCACAGTAAACTTCGATAATGGTTAAACATTTCAAGTCTGGAGATTCTCCATTATTCTCTTTGTTCGACGACCTGTATTTAGAAACAACTGATCTATCATATATTATTAAGAATGCAATGTCCGTAGGAACTAATCATGTCTCTGGACATAGCTTTCGTATAGGTACAGCCACCGAGTTGGCTTCTAAGGGAGTTTCTGAGGTGATTATTGCTACAGCGGGTAATTGGGTGCTTAATTCTAAATCCAAGAAACGATATTTAAGACGTGTTGGATTAGCAGCCACTGGTGTCTAATTCTGAGCGAAGTGAAGAATTAACTTGTTTTCATTGTAAACTTAATAAAATATAAGTTGAGTATTTTTCCATGCTCAAAAATTATCACCACAATAACCTAATTCATCTGATAGTTCTGTTATGCCTTCACCTCCTGTTCAAGACACGAAGAAGAACAAGAAGAACAATTAGCAAAAGATATCACCTGGCAAAGACTCAAACAACGCCAAGGTTGGTTCACAAGGTGCTTCTGCTCTCGCTTCTTCGATTCGAAACAGCCAATGCTAATAAAGATTTATATCCATTAAAGCAGGTCTCAAGGCTGAATCACCTTAAAGATGAAACAGTCCCTAAGCTTTAATACCCATTAGTATAATTACTTGTTCTCAATCTTGTTTTTATTAATTTGCAATGTAACAACTACTCATCTGAACCATATTCTTCTAATTCTATTCCATCTTCATCTCAATCTGAAAAACCAGAAACTAACTGAACCAATAGAAACAACAGAACACCTAAAATTAATGAAATTCCAAAAGAAGAAAGAAAATCACAGATTAAAGGAATTCCTTTACCTAAGCACTCAAGAAGGAATTTGAATCCAGCCAAGAAAAAATAAATGATTTAATTTGTAAAAAACTAATTAGAGGGGATTCCGCCAAACAGGATCCACAACATCTCACAGTATTTTGACTTTGCGGATGTATTTGGATCCAAATATCCATCTGAAAAGCGTGAGGATTTTCCACTAATTGATAAATTGAATGAATTCTCTGGAGTTGATGAATTTGTGAAATATACTAAAGATAGTGGTACTAATTTGTTGAACATAATAATTGTTGTAAATTAACATCAAAGGAATATTCTTGTTTCTGAAGGAGATGATTCTAATTCAACATTTTCAAATTTCAAAACTAAAGATGCTCCTTATGTTTCTGTCAATACTGCAATCTGGAATTAATGATTCAATTAGAAGAAAAATAATGAAGTTTGAAAATGATCATTCAACATACAAATACTTAATTCCAATGAATGATAATATTGATCTAACAACTGATGAAAGACTTATAATTGAAGATTGGAATGAATATATTAACTATCAATTTGAAGAATTGAGAAACTTTTATCATGAATCTATTACTTTGAAATCATTATACAAATTAGTAATGAACTCAGTTGAATTCATTAAAAGACATGGTGATTTGTACAGAGGTTATCTCCATGAAGATTCATATCACTAAGGGAACAACAATATATGGCCATTATGAAACAGTCATCCACTTCAGCAACAAAGTACCAAATTTTTTTTCTTGAAGATTACAATATTTTGGTAACAGAAGGAACTAACTTGCTGGTGGTACTAACCGCTCATTCAATATGCTCTTTCACTCTATTCACCAAGCAGTCATGTGAGATGAAAGCTTCTGCTGCTCTCGCTCTCCTCTATTTGTTTTCAAAACGGCTGATTGAGGTGTAAAAACATTTAGTTAAAAAATGACGGAAGGGTGGAAGTCATTGAGAGCGCGATTTGAAAAACTCAATGAAAATCATCAACAAGACGGCAAGAATGAATTAAAATCCCTTCAATCACAAAATCCATCCAAGCTTGGTGTATTTCTCTATAGAAATAGGAACCAGGATATATTTTCGAATGAGGAAGAGTTAAATAGCTTGGAAAGGAATTATCAAGCAATTTTAAAAGAGACTAGTAATGATATGCAAAAGAACAAATCACCGATACAAGCATTGGATAGAATTTCCAAAAGGTACTCAAAACTTCGCTCTCAAGTTGAGTCGAAAATTACCACTTCTACTCCACAGATTCATTTTAAGAGGTTTAAGGCTGATCATAGCTCCTTCTTTTTCTCTTACACTCCTATTCATCCTATAATTGAGGAAAATAATGAGAAAGTGGTAGATGAAGAACAAGAAGAACTTGCTGAGCCTTCAACAACTTTTGTCGAAGTCCATGAAAAACAACTTACAACCGAAGAGTTAACTCCAGAAGAGATTGACGATGATGAATTTTACGAGGAATATGAAGAGTATGAAGAACATCCAGTAGTCTCTACTTCACCAATAGATGTAACTAAAACAATAATATCAGATAATAGTAATATTGAGGCACTTCCAGAATCATCCCTTATTGACACTGTAGAAGAATATAAAAGCTCCGAACTTCCCATCATTACTTCCAAAGAAGAGCAGATCATTGATACTACTCCAAATAGTGTTGAAATAACAACCACAACACTGCCAACAAGTTCAGAGCCTGAGGACCATGTTGTTGAGTTTGAAGAAGAGGATTATTTGGAAACCTTTGAAGAATATGATATTGAGGAATCACATGTTGTGGACCATACCCCATTATCACCAACAATTGTAACTGATGAGGTGTTCCAAACTTCAAATACCATCGAATCAATTCAAGAGACTACATCATCACCAAGTCTTGAACCTGCATATAACGAGGAAAATGCCACAACACCATGTAGTGAGGAGGTCAAAACAAATTCAACACCCACTATAGTAGAAAAAGAAATTGTTTCTCCTTCGATTGAGGATAAAACTCCTCTTCAACAACAACCTGTATTTGTAGAACAACCAATTGACGTAAATTCTTTGGAAATTGTGGAAAAGGAAATCACCACCATTACCTTAAAGTCATCACGTATTGATGAAAAAGCACCATCTTCTCCCAAATTAGAAGAGAAAACTTCTCCCAAAACTACTAAAACCATTGAGAAATCTCCTGAAAAACAATCAATTGTCTCAACTCCTAATGTACATGAAAGCAAAGAAACAACCCTGATTTCTTTAAAACCAGTTGTGGTAAAAGAGGAAAAATTGCTAGATCCATCAGTTCCAATCAAAGTTGAAGAACCAAAACAAACAACTGTGAAACCTCTTCCAATTGTTACCAAAGATAAACTAGCAGAGATTCCAAAAGTTGTTGAGAGTTCTGAGCCAAAAGCTCTTCCTGTTCCAGTTGAGCCAAAACAAGTGGTTGTGGAAACTCCAAAGGTTGAAACAAATTCTCAAACAAGTACGTCATTTACAATTTTGAATACTCAAAAAGAAACTACAACCACAGTGGAAGTTAAGCTGATAACAGAACCAGAGAAACAGATTGAAAAGGAAACCGTTCAACCAATCAAACCAATCGTCGAAATTAAACCTCTGCCTATCTTGAAAGCATTGCCTCAACAGCCAAGTCTGCCTGTTGTTGATTCTCCAACAAAACCTCTGCCTCTTGTTCCAAAGAAGCCAGTGAAGGCTCTACCAGTGGTATCACCAAAACCAATAGAAGTTGCAAAGGATGTGTTTGAAGTTCAAGCGTCCACTTCACCTGTCGATTCAGAACCAATAACACCAGTAGAACCAGAGTCAACACCAACTACAGTTGTAGAAACAAAACCAGATCCAGTTTTTGAGAAAAAGGCATCTGAGCCAACCATCTCCAGAACTGCATCAATAAGATCATATTTTTCCTCATTTCTTTCCAAGACTCCAAAAAAACCAGATCCAAAAGTGTCACCACTCGAGATAAAAGAAATAGAAACACCAATCGCCAAACCTCTTCCAGCCATTGCAAAAATGGTGAAAGAAGAATCAATTAAGGAAGGCGAAGAAAGTGATGATGAAACAACAGAACATTCTGTTGTAAACATTGATGATTTTTTATCAGAAGGTGAGCCAGAATCAAATATTGACCCACAATCAGTTCCAAAATCAGAAAAGGAAGATATAATTGAAGAGGAAAAGATATCTGACATCATTTCTACCCATGAAGAGGAGCCGTCCAGCAGCGTTGATGTTTTAGTTTCTGTATTAGAGAAGCAGGCTATGGAAAAAGGCAGTGAAGGAAGAAAAGTATCAATAACATCAACAACAGATAGCCATTCCAGTAGTGGAGAAAGATCTGATTCAAGAAAGTCAAAAAGAGCCAATAGAAAGAAAACAGGTTCTTCTCCTCATCAACAAGAAGCAGGAGCTTTGCTACTTCAAGAGTTTCTTGATTCTAATCCTTCCTCAAGATCAAGTAGCACAAAGAAAGAAGCCACACAAGAATTGGCTCAGGAGGTAACTGTTGAGCATGCAGTTCTTGAAGATTTCATTGGAGAAGATTGCGCCCTTTTGTCAACAATTTCTGAAACAAATACTACAACATCAAATACTCTCACTCATCCAAGTCCTTCCAGATCAGACAGTGCTCACAACGAAACAACGCCTCTTTCTTGCACTCCCAAGAGTCTGTACGACCTTTACTCTCCAATTACACCAAAAAGAAAAGAAAAAATGTTTGAGAACTTTGTGGATCCTTCCACTTTTCCAAAGGGATGGGAAAAACCATACACTTTTCTCTATACAGAAAAACCTCTCATGGAACATCCTCTTCTTGATAAGTTGAGAAGAAACATTATTGATTTGTTGACTAGTTCAATGACTGAGGAAACAAGAGTGTCTGGAATTGTAAATATTAACAGAACCTCTCCTTTATTGGCACCTTTAGTTCACTCGATTTACTCTATACTTACTAACAGAACCAAACCGACAATATTCAAATCTGATAGGGATTTATGTACCATTTTTTCAAAACTTGATATTGTAAAAAAGGAAAAGATTGTTCAAGATTTTCTTGCTTTTAAGGAAGTGAGAATTCTTGACCCTAAGAAATTGAAAGAGAGGGACTTACTCTTTATTCAATACCTTTTACAAAGCAAGTTATTAGCAGTTTGTACATATGAGCTCGCTCTCAATCAAAAATACACAGCAATGTGTTTCGAAGAAACATCCATAATGAATTTGGAAGAATACTCACCAACCATTTTTGCTGTTTTGAATTTATTGAAGAAACATTTCAATTTTGAACTCAAGTTTGAATTTGAATTGTCTCAACAAGCAGGCGGTTCAAAAGAGGAAGGTACTCTAATCGCAACCTTGCAAGGTAACATTAAGACGCTTTTACAATACATTATTGAAATTGGAAAGAATGAAAAAATTCCAATCAATGCAATTACAGACGAGTCAAAAAATCATAACATTGGAAAAGTTGTCAGAAGTTTAATAATGTACATTTTAAAGTCAATCTTAATGGACAAGTTAATTTCTGAGTCAAAATGGAAGAATTTTGCTGGTACTCTTATTTCTCATCCATGGCATTTAATTACTGCCTGTGCTAAGGGTGAGTTATCCAAAGTTGGTATGAATGTAAAGACAGGTTATTCATTCGACAGCATAGTATTAACGATAGATTCTACTGTAAAAAAGAAGAATCAAACAACCAAACAACAATTACTTGATGACAAATTCTTTAGTTTTGTGGTGTATTGTCTCAATTATCAAATTTTGACAGATGCTTTGAAGTTCATTTTCAAAAACATTATGATCCTGGAAAAGAATTATAGACCAGACTCTATTATGTGTGATCCTGTGCAACAGGATCATATTTTGACCATCCTTACTCCACTCTCAAAGCTCAGATTCACTCTCAATTTTTATTAATAAAAAGACTTAATCAGTGTCATGTAATTCTCTTTTGATAGTAGTAAGGAATTAACAAATGGAAGGATTGAGAAATGTGTGAAATTAATCCTTGTCACCTTCGAAAAGGGATCCTTTGACTTTCATTTACAGTTGAACTCTCGCGAACTCTCGAACAATCCAAAGTGAAAAAAATGAAACTCTGTGCAGTAGTAACATCATCAAAGAGTTTTTTGTCGTCATCATTTAAAAGTTCAAACTTGAACATGGTGGGAGAATTTGGCCTCTCCCGATCCTTTCACACATGTACTGTCGCCACTGCTTCTCTACATCATCACGCATACAGAAATCAAGTAATGACAGCAACAAGTGATGAAGAGCTGATTCGCATGAGACAATTGAAATCATCACTCTATGAACCTAAATTAATGACACCTCTATCATCAGAGATATTTAATTGGCAAGGATCGGATGCATCTGAAAAAAACAAAATTTTACACGTTAGAAATGGGTTGACTTTCACACCGTATGCTTTTGCAAGGATTTGCAATGCCAACTGTCATTTCTGCAGTGAAAATTTAGAAAGAATGCAAGATGAGAATCCTAGTTCTAAAAAGAAGATGAATTCATATCCTACTAAAAGAATCAAAGATTATGATCAGTATTTTAAAGGGCTTGAAAAATCCTTCCAAATTCTTGATAACATTCAAAAAGAAAAGGGAAAGTTAAATATGGGATTGTCACTTTCTGGATTGGAAGCAACAAGTGAACCTAATTGGTTTCAGAGATTTTGTGAATTATTGGAAAGATATCCAGATTTATTTGATGAAAAGGTTTTGTATTCGAATGGAAGTGGATTTGCTCTTTATGCTCAAGAGGTTGTTGACAGTTTGAAAAATCTTAATTTTGATAGAATTGAATTGAGTAGACAACATTTTGATGAACAAGTTAATCAGAAGATTATGAGATTTGAAAAGGTACAACCAATTCGATTGAATGATATTTATGAAAATGTCACCAAGAATGTACTTCCTCCATTATTCAAAGTTGTGAAGAATTCATGCATTCTCACTAAGGCAGGTATCTCTAATATTGAACAAGTGGAACAATATTTGGAATGGGCCATTAATTTGGGTGTAAAAAGAGTTGTCTTTAGAGAATTGTCAGTGATTGGAGAGGAAGGATATGATAATCAAAATAAGACCAAACGTTGGATTGATGAGAATAGAGTTACTATTTCATCAGTGCTCTCTCAAGTAGCTCCTACATTCTCAAATGTGAGAAAGAATTTCAATTACATGTTCACAACAATTGGATATTATTACATGAATGAGAGTTACAGATATAAGGATTCCATTGATGTGATTTTTGAGACTAGTTCCTATGATGCACTAGCTAGTTCATTTGATAAGTATCCTAATGTTGTTAATAAGCTAATTTTCCATCCGAATGGTAATTTGTCATCTGATTGGGAACAAGATTCAAACATTGTTGGTAAATTCTTTTAAATAAAATATTATTTGGAACTAGTAAGAGATAATTACATAAGGAAACACTTTTTCTTTTGTCTGCCAAGAGGGACAAACTTTGTGTGGAGATGGTTCAATAGTTGTGAAAAGAAACTCTTGGAAATTCTGCTTAGTAAACTGAGCATGACAGCTTTTGGCTCTATCGTTAATAAATTACAATACATGAGTCGAGAAACTGTCATTCCTCTCCTCTTAATATATCCATTCAATAAATAAACAATCTTTTCAAATGTTTCTCTATCAAAATGTTTCGCAACCAGGCAAATAAAGAATGGCTTTTCAGGTTCATCAATCTTGACCTTTCCTTCATAAAAGTCATTAATGATCAAGCACCTCCTTTCAATTTCAGTCCAATCTGTCAATTCCCACAAGCTTGTCAACCAAATAAAACCATCAAAAATATTGTTTGGAAACTCGTCACCAATGTAGAGATAACCACTGTCAAAGTTACAACATATTTTATGGTTGACTGCAAAATTGACCAATCCACTATATTCAAACCGTCCTTTTCTATAAATGTACTCGTGGTTATAAAATCCATCTTGAAACCAAGTCCCAAATCCAGCTCCCGTGTAGAACTTGTCACAATCATTTCCAATTGTTGAGATTGATAATTGTTTTTTTTCAAAGTTTTCAATTTTCACAAGATCTTCCACTGGAAGTTTGGAATCATTAATACAGAAATATTCCAAATTAAAGTAAGCTGTCATGAGTTTGTTTTCATTTTCCAAATCTTTCAATTGTTTGATGGAAATTGTGTCAAAACACGAAGGAATGAAGGCTCTATGAATTTTATCATTCCAAAAATTATTAATTTTAGATATCTCTGAATAGAGAGTTTTGCAAACCAAGCATAAATTTATGATATTCCTATCGTAGCCCAACAAATTATCCAGCAACAACAAAATTTCATTCAGCAAATCGGAAGACAGATCACACAGCTTTAACGACATTTTTTAGCCTAATTTGTGGGAACTTGCATGCTATGGTTCTGTGTTCAAAGAACTGTTTTCGTTTTACACTAGATTGTGTACGAAAAATCTTTGAAGAAAGCCTTCCTAGCTCAGTTGGCAGTAGCGCTGTCCTAGTAAGACAGAGGTCTTGGGTTCGATTCCCAAGGGAGGCATCTTTTATCTTTTTTAACATCCCAAATTAAATTTGGAAATAAGTATTATTAAAAAAAAATGTTTCATGATCTCTTCTTTCAAACTTCATCATTAACCAAGTATTGGCAGAAATTTCAACAAGTAGACCGTAGAAAGAAGAGAAATTTGCTGATAGGATCGAGTATTGTTACAGGAGTGGCTGTGTCATGTTATGGAATTTACAAATACTTTTACTCTAATCGGAATGAACATAAATCATCATCCGATGACGATGAACAAAATCATGAAATAGTAATATTGGATAACAGCTGTGATGAAGATGAAAATAATGGAGGAGGAGAATTGTCATCAGTCGGAGAGGCTATAGAATTTATTAATGAAATTAAATTAGAATTATCGAGTGTTGTAAATAGTATGATTTTGGATGAGAATGATTCAACCAACGCCAGAGTGATAGTTTGTGTAATTTACACATTTTCAATAGCAAATATTTTGAGTAGAGTATCATCGTCGGATTTGGAAATTATCAAGGAAATTAGAAATATATTTTCAGAAGAAGTAACTTCAGAAATTTTCGATTTTTTCATGTATGTTTATATTGAATTTTGGAATTTAATGATGAAATTCAGTGGAGCTAATTCAATTAAGGACCAGAATAATGTGTCAACGACAGATTATAGAATATTTTTCAATCGAGATTTTCCACAAGATGTAGGACTATTGAGAGAGGAGTTTGAGAATGATTTTCCATTTTACAGTGTTCTATCTAAGGTTGCTTTTAGTGTGAGCCCAAAACAATTGGAAGAATTGTGGCATCAGTATTCAAATGCTATATTCTCTCAATTTCTTTCCAATACCAAATATTCGACCTCTCCCATACTAATACCAAGTGAATTGAAAAGAGAATTGAATTCTAATATGTTTATAACAAGGAAACTTTCTGAATATGAAACGCTGCTAGATGATTTACCTTACTTTTCAGAGTTGGATTTGCAATTAGATATTTGATTATTTCATAAACTAATTTTTTTTAATAATAATACGATAATCCATCCAGCTTAAACGAAATAATTCAAATTAATCTCTAATAACAATTAAGGACTAATAAATTAATTTATTTTTGTCTTTTTGGAGTACCAAAGATTGAAAGAAGAACAACTTCAAGAAGAAGTGGCAAAGCAACATCAGGTCTCAAGAACCAAGACCAACTCTTCACACCTGAAGAAACCATAGCAAATTCAGCCAAGAATTTACCACCCTTTTTCTTGACAGCTGAAGCAACAGCATCAAGGAGGAGTGGATACTTAGCAACGAGAACAGCAGCTTCGTTAGAGAAATGGAAGTCATTAGCAAATTGGTATTCCCACATATCTTGATAGAGTTTGAGCTTATTCTTTGAAAGATCACCACCCTTAATGGCATCACCTAAAACTTCAGCAGCCATTTTACCACTATTTGAAATAGGTCAGTAAATAATTTTTAAAAAAAATAAAACATACCTATCCATAGCGTAGTGAATACCTTCACCAGTCATTGGATTAATCAAACCGCAAGCATCACCAATAACGAGAATATTATCACCGTATGAGTTAGAAATACCTCCCAATCTCAAATAAGCAGCCTTCATTTGTTGCCATTGAGGATTTGGGCCAAGAGCCTTTGTAATCAATGGATCTTCAGTTGTACAATATTCATGGAGTTTACCCAAATCATCCTTAGTTGGTTTACCACCTGGAACAATATAAGTACACAAAGAAACATCACCATCAGAGTGACAAAACATTGAACAATAACCTGGCAAAACTGGCTTAGGATAGAAGATAATGCAATTAGTTTCCATCTTGTGGTTCGAAACGTAAACTCTTGAAGAAATACCTTGTGGTTCTTCATTGACCATCTTGAGTGAGGTAGCAAGCTTAGATGGAGCACCATCAGCACAAACGAGAACTGAAGCCAAAAATTTAACTTGCTTGGTTTCACCATCTTCCTTTGGAGTGTGATTAGCAACAATAGACCACCCCTTCAATCCGACAAAGTTACGACTAACCTTGGTGACATCCATACCTTCCTTAAGATCGGCACCCATCTTTTGACAAGCACGAGCAACCTTTTCGTCCATGTGAATTCTCTTGATTGCTTTTGGTGTCCAATTATTGTCACCACTGATCTTTTCAATAGTAGCACCAGAATTTTCAATGAAACTCAAACCATTAGGACCAACAATACCTCCACTTCCCATACTGGCGACCTTTCCTTCCTTTTCTAATTCTTGTAAAACACCCATTTCCTTCAGGTATGCAAGAGTTTTGGCAGTACAACCATCTCCACAAGTCTTTTCACGTGGGAAATACTTTTGCTCCAAAACCAAAACTTTGTATCCAAACTTGGCAAGATAATAGGCACAAGTAGCTCCTGATGGACCAGCACCAACAATACAAACATCATATTCGTTTTCTTTAAGAGTTGATTGTTTAGAACGGTGAGTAGAGTTGATATTTGGATCACGGATTGCTCTAGGCTTCTTACGGAAGAGTTTTCCAATTCCACTAGCCTTGTATACATAAATCAAAATCAAGATACCACCACTGAATAAGAGCCATTTAATCAGAGCTTGTTTAGAAGGCTTTTGTTGAACCAACAACATAAGTTCATCGAATTTAGTCTTTAATAATTCACTCATCGTTATTGTTGTACAGTTATATATAATTGTTGTTGTTGTTGTTAATATTCGTTAATATTCTTTTGTGTGTGATGATAAATAGATGACGATATGATCAAACGTTTTCTCTCCGACTCGTGGTTGTACGATTTTTAGATCTTTGTCGCGAGAGGTGTGTGTTGTGAATTTTTTTCAAAGGTTGTTAACTTGCTTGGCGCTCTCTGCAAAGATTCGAACAACGAAGAACTAAAAAACCTGAGGTGTTATCTTGAAGAGTTGGAACAAGCTCACTTGGTAAGATTCATTCAATAGATTGATCATGTGTATTAGTTGTGGATAATTGAAGGTTAATTTGTGTCAATGTTAGTTTAGGAAGAGAATGTGTTCAAATGAAATCAACATTTTCATGTGGAGAAATTGAGAAATTACAGTAAAAAGCATCTCAGGAAGGATTCAATACTGGCCATGGAAATTGAACCAATAACAAGTCTTGATTGTTGTTCAACTTCTTTATTGAGAGGATACTGTAAATCGAGGGAGTTGAAAAAAGATCCTCGTTCGTGTGTGTGAAAATTTAACACATGCTAGGTAGTTGAAATTTTGCGTCTTGATTCCAGTCACACTCATCACCATCATCAAATTTTGGAATCGGACTGGCTACAATTCGCTCTAGAGAAAGCTTCCAAATAGGAGAATCGGCTTGCTAATAAGCCAGCAATTTCTATTGGTTTTTCCTACCACACACCACAGCAGAACAAACCAGAACCAATGAGTGTGTTGCAATTACAAAATCTTCAACACACCACAACAAGATTCAAACTTTGAAAAACCATCAAGGTTAAGAATCAGTTCAACAAGCCTTGAAAAAAAACCAGATTAATCGCCACGTCTCATCTGGAAGGTAAAAATTCAAAACACATGACAAGAAACAACTACCCACCTCCTCCTAGTTATGCTCGTCATAGTAGTAGTGGTTCATCGATGATCAATAATAATAACCAACTCTTGTTGGATACTTTGATGTATCTTACAAGTGTGTTTGGTAAGACATCATCACAAGGGAGAAATATCATCAATCAATTTAATAGTTCAAATAATCAGCAAATTTCATCAATTATTTCTCATAATTTAACGAGAGCAGTCACTAACAAGGTATCAACAAAGAACAAATCATCCAAATGGTCCTATTTATACAAGATTGTACTTCCAGCTGTTGCAATTGTTGGCTTATCAACACTTGGTTATAAATTGTACAAACAAATTCAGTCGACAAGAGAATTTCTCGAAGGTTTGGATGAATCCGAGGCTGAAGAACAAACACAAATCAAAAAGGCACCAGTTAAAAAACTAGTTTGGACACCAAAGAGTGTCAGCAGTGATATTATTTCGTCACTTGATAAGCAAAAGAAGGTGATTAATATTTTGGTCTTGTATGGTACAGAATTCGGGTTTTCAAAACAAGTTGGTATGAAAATTTGTGAGGAAATTGTGGAAAAGTTGAATAACAAGGATGACTTTGTCTTTGTTCCTAGATTATTAGATTTGAAACACTACAATGTGATAGATTGGAGTCAAGAAAGCTGTGTCATTTCAGTTTGTTCAACGTATGGAGAAGGAGTGCCTCCAAATGCAGCCCTATCATTCTTTGAATCGATGCAAGAAAAGAAAGACAAATCAATTGAAACCACCTCTAATATTTATTACTCTGTACTTGCATTAGGTGATAAGAGTTATACACACTTTTGTAGATCAGGGAAAACACTTGATTCTTTGTTTGAGAGCAAGTTTATACAATCGGAGAGGATTCATGATAGAGTTGACATTGATAGAGACGATTGGAGATCTATTAATAAGTGGCTTAACGGAGTTGTTCAACAAATCACTGAGAGAAGAGCCAATTTTACAGTTAATTCACCTCTTTTGGACTATTTACAAAGTGATTCTGCCAATGCATTGTCAACAACAACTCAGTACGACAGAACAAATCCATTCTTTGCTAAGGTGACAGAAAATAGAAGAATATGCATTGATGAATCCAATCCAAAAGACATTAGAGAATGTGTTCACTTTTGTTTTGATTTGTTGGATGATAAGAGCTTGAAATATGAATGTGGTGACGCTCTGGGAGTCCTTCCTGAGAATGATTCTCAAGTTACAGAGACACTCTTCAAGTATTTGAGTGATTTCTTTACTTGTGAGCATGGATCTAGTGCTTCCCCACTCGTTAATGCACCAAGCAACTATTTCTCACCTGCAGAAAGCTCTCCATTCAAGAATGCTGATAGTGGTATGCCAGAATATATTACCCTCAAGGAAGCCATTACAAGATTCTACGATCTTAAGCAAGTCAGTGCCTCACTGCTGCAATTACTTCACGATAAGCAAGATTTCACTGGCATGGAAGATTTGAAAACCAAATTGGACAATATTTTGCATGACGAAAGTACTCTTAATTCCTACATTGAGGATAGATGGGTAGAGGATGTTTTGGAAGATTTCCTCATCCCTCTCGTTCACAAATCGAACAAGAATACTTACACCAAGTCTAAAATAACTATTCAAAACATTGTCGATCAATTCAAAGTGCTTGTACCAAGATATTACTCAATCAGTTCATCAGCTGTTGAAACTAAGAATGAAAAGGCAACAATAACTGTTTCCATTGTAACTTATAATACCCTTAATAAGAATAGAAAGGGTGTAGCCACTAACTTCCTCAAACATCAATCCATAGTACCAATATTTATTTCGAAGAATAGAGATTTCAAGCTGCCATCAGACACTAGCACACCAATTATTATGATTGGCCCAGGAACAGGTATTGCACCATTCATGGGATTCATCCAAGAACGATTAAATTTGCAGGCAAAGGGAAGAAATATTCTCTTCTTTGGTTGCAGAGATAGAAATAAGGACTTTTTATATAGAACCGAGTTGGAAAATTGGTCAAAGAATAATTCCATTGAATTACATACTGCCTTTTCTAGAGAAGACCCAAAGAAGAAGGTCTATGTGCAAGATTTAATTCTTGAAAATTCAGAATCACTTTACAATTTGATTGTTAAAGAAAATGCCCACATTTACATTTGTGGTGATGGATCTTCAATGTGCCCTGCTGTGATTGAGACTTTCAAGAATATTTTCATCAAACATGAATCACTTTCCAATGACCAAGCCACTCTCAAGATGGAAGAATTGGAACATGAAAAGAGATTATGTAGAGATGTTTGGTAAATAAATGAGATTTTTACAATGAGGGTCGAATCATTTGGAAAAATCGTAATTACGAGAAGGAGAAAAAGGATCAATTGCTTGTTGTGAGATGTTGCGAATCATTTAAACATGTTCAAGGATTAATAATGGTCAACACATTTTTGAAGAGTCACCAAGGTAAGTCATATCACCGACCTGTCTGTCACTTGTTAGTTTTAAAAAAATGTCTGTCATCGCCACAACAGCACAGACCTCTAAAAACTACAAACAAGAAATCATCAGCATAAAAAACAAATCAGAAAACAAATATTGTGCTGATTGTTTAGCAACAGAAACAGCATGGGCTTCAACTAATCTTGGTGTTTTTGTTTGTATCAATTGTTCGGGTGTTCACCGATCAATGGGAACACACATTTCCAAAGTGAAATCAGTTGAATTGGATGAATGGAATGATGAAGAACAATATGAAGTAATGAATAGAGTAGGAAATGTAGAAGCTAATGCATATTGGGAATGTAATTTATTTCCTTTTGAAAAACCATCTGCTCACGACAAGTAGTATGTATTGTTTATATAATAATTATGAATGTTTATTATATTGATGTGTTACCTGTGTGATGATTGATGATGAATTGTTGAAAATGATCACTTTCGAATAATATCGGATAATGATTGATGAATTTTGAATTTTTTGACAATTGATTAATAACGTAACACTGTGTTGAATTGATATAACATTCTTGTTGTTGTGTGTGTATTGCATCATTGATTATTAAACAGTTCATTTAGAAAAAAGTTTATTACAGATAAATATGTAAAAAAGTTGTACATTCCAACTCTGGAAAATGGTGATTACAGACTCGAGAGAGAATTTGATATTTCATTAACAAGTAAAAAGGGAAATGTTACCAAACAAGGGGCAAAGAGAAAGAACTGGAAGAAGAGATGGTTCGTTCTTCATGATGACACACTTTCCTATTATAAGAGTCAAAATGATTCGTATCCGGCTGGAAGTGTTAAAATTGAAGTTGACAGTCTTGTCATGTTTGTTGATGAATTTCAAATTGGAAAAAAGAACTGTTTTGCTATTGTAACAAAGAATAGAAATTATTATATGGTTTGTGATTTGGAGGAAGAAGTTAGTGAATGGGTTTATGCTCTTCGTGCAAGTGTTTATTATGCAAATTTGAAAAAAGTTTACAATGATCCAAGAAATTTCCTTCGTGGGGATCAAGCAAAGAGAGTTGAAAAGAAGGGTGTTTTAAAGAAACAGGGAGGTAGTTTTAAGAGTATCAAGACTAGATTCTTTGTTTTGAAAGACAGTGCATTGTCCTATTATAAGAGTGAAAAGGAAATGGAACCAATTGATTCGATTGATTTGAAGGGAACTCGTGTGGAAGCAACTAAAAATACCAAATGTGGAATTACTTTACACACTGTTGGGAGACAATATTTCTTCTTGGCCGAGTCTGAACGTGATAGAGAGGAGTGGATTGATGCCATTAATAATGTTACAAAAATGTTGAATGAAGGTGAATTGATTCAGAAAAAATCGATTGCCATTCATCAACTTATTCTTAACAGAATTAAGGAAGCCAAGAAGGAAAAGGCAAATGACATTTTGAGTGAACAAGTTTCTCCTCACTCTCCAATGATGTGGAAGAGTTTGTCTTTCCACAGATGTAGAAATCAATTCTTGGAAAAGACTGAAAATGTTGAAAAGATCAACAATGAAGGAATTGCCAATCCAGTTGACCGTTTGAGGAAACTCTACCAAGAAGGAAAACTCTCAAAGCTCTCTTCTGTACACGACGATTCAGGAGATATGAGTGCTTCCAACCGTGTTTCATTAATGTTTCCAGAGGGAATGAAAAACCTCACAAGCCATGCCCAAGATATGGATCTCACCTCTCAAAACATGAGAGTTTCCCTCTTTGCACATGCTTCTCCAATGCAAATTTCAACTTCACCAGGTTCTGCAATCATCTCTCCACCAAATTCTCAATCACCAAATGGTGGTACAACCACTCCAGGTAGCAGCAACAGTTTGTCATCTTATATGGGAAGCAGTTCTGATGTCAAGATTCAAGATATCAAATTATCTGACAAGGAGAAAAAGACAAAAAAGATAAAGAAGGACAAGTTAATGATTGAACACGAAGCATCCAATGACGACGATCATGCAATGGAAATTATGATTAAGGACTCATTCTCAGTTTCTAGAACTACCAATCAAGTACGTGAATCTGATGATTTGGACGATTTGGATGATTTAATTAATCGTACTGAAAATATCAAACTAAACTATGAAACTGAATCAGGTACAGACGATGAAACTGATTCATCTTCTGATGGAAAGGGAGAATTTACCTCAGTTTCACTCAATACACCTTCAGATAATAGAAAATCCAACAGTTCCAGAAGAATAATCGAATCAGATTCCGATAATTCTGACGAGGAAATTTCACTCAACACCACAACAGTGAAACCAAATTCTTCCAACAACTCAACGGTCAACTCTGGAAAGATTATCCTCAAAGATCACCACTCTGATTCAGATTCAGATTCTGAACAAGATGATGAGGAAGAACTTGTTGGAGCAACCTTCTCAGTCAAACCAACAATTTCACTCCAGCAGTCAACCAACTCTGTTTCACTCAATTCACCAGGATCTAATTTATCAACACCATCCACCAAAATCAAAACAAGAATAAGCAAAACATCAGACAAGACCAAACGTGTTAAGAAGAATCAATCTACATTCAGAAGAATGCATCGACTTGTTGAAGGTCAATTAGAAACTTTGGGCATTGAAATTGAATAAAGAATTAAACTTTGTACTATATTCCCGCTAAAATATACTGAACTAAACGTATCTCCAATTCGAATACTATTTGTTTTTACTGCTTTACAATATTTTGTATTAAAATTTCACATCCAATCATGAGCATGACATCCACTGACATATTCGAATAATTAGCCTCTTTCTCATTGTAAGCACTTCAGTCGCACCATAATTGGATTATCCTTCCCAATTCTAACAAGAATGCGAACTATTCCAGCATGAGTTTTGTCGTTCTTCAACAACAAGCACTCTATTTCGTTCCTTTCTGTGTATTGTTCAGTTTGCAAAATAGCAAAAAATATGACTACATCACTTACTGAACCACTTTCTGGTTCTGCTGGAAGAGAGTTGTCTTCGTGGGAGAAGACCAAGAAGGTTCTCAGAACAATCTCTCGTAATACAATTGGTAATAGAAGATTGAGAATGTATTTGCTGTCTGTTTTCAAGGTTTGTTTTTAAATTTCTTTCGAATTGTTTATTAGAATGTTCAATACTTTGTATCCATGTTTAATGGCCTTGTTGATTGTTGTTATGATGACAATGTTCGCTTTGATCGTTTTTGGTGATTTTCTCACTTTTTGCAACACTCTATTCGAAATATTTCTCATTGAAACATTTAATTCCATCACCATTTACAGATTGTAGTCATTTCCTTCGTTCAAGCAAACGATTTATTGGGCATCACAACTGGCCATCTCGTCGATGGTGAAACCGATGTCCAATTCGGATTGAAAATTACTTCCTACATTGCCATGATTTGTATTCCAATCCTATTCACATTCCGTTACATTCGTGAATTGATTGCTGTGAAGAGAAAGAAACCACTCACCATCTGGATCAATTGGATCGAAAGCATTATTTATTTCATCTTTTGCATTTATTCATTTGCCACTGGTATTATTCACTTTGTTTATTTAGGTCGTGAGTATGATTACAATTACAATAAGAGAAAGAAGGATCCTGCCTACTTTGCCAACAAATCAGCAAGTTTGGAGGAACATTTGGCTGTTGAAATTTTGGAAGTTTTGGTGCAGTGGTATGTGATTTTTGAAAAGGCCACTCACTACACTCATGCCAGTAAGTATTATTCACTTGTTTAAATTGTTAAATTTGACTCAATGTGTGAAAATTGTGTGTTAATTGCCATTTATTGAAATTCTTTTAATACTTGTTCATTGAATTACTTGAATGGAAATTATTAATAATGAATAATAATAATAACTTTAGGTCACAGTGTTTCAATCTTCTTGGCTAGACCTGTTCATGTTGGTCATCATGACGATCACAGTAGTGAATATAAATTGGTTTCTCAACACGAGGATGACGATGGAGGTGATGATGATCATCATGAATAAGTCATATATTTACATAATAAACCATTTGTATTTATTGGATATTTCATTAGGGAATTTAAAACTCCAGGTTGTTTCTCTAGAAGAAGGCAAATATTTTGAACAATAAGCCTTGTTATCTTATTTGTTATGGTTTTATTAATAAACAAAAATGCAAAGCATAAATTGGTGTTCAACACTAATAGCTACACTTCCTTCCAGTGACTTGAAGCAATTTTCTCTATTTTCATATTGAGTAACCAATTATAAATAATAAGAAGGCGTCGATGGTTTAGTGGTAGAATACGGCGTTGCCATCGCCGTGACCCGGGTTCAATTCCCGGTCGACGCAGAAATTATTTTGTATTTTTATGATTATTCAATGTCGTGAACTAAATTTTGCACCTCATAATATAGACATATTTTTCTATGATATTCTCTTTTTTCATGAGATTTTATAAGGTATTCATTGAAATTTAAAGCCCTGGGTCAATACAAAAAATTACCTCTAAATAATATTAAAACAAATAATAATTTAAAAAAATTGAAAACAAATGGCTAGGCGCAAACAAAACAAGAGGAAATTAGAAGAAATAGTTGCGAGTGATGACGATTCATCGGAAGATGAAGTTGAAAACATTGATGAGGAAAAAGATGAAGAAATAACAACAGAAACCAACAATCAAGATATAGGCGACAATGATAGGAATAATGAAGACCAATCACTGCACAATTCCATATTATTCGATTTTAGAAATTCAAAGAACGTCATTCAATGTTCTAAAGAAATTGATGCCATTCGGAAATTAAAGAATGATCATACAATTCGCATGTTGAAGGAAAAATTAATTGCAACAATTTTAATTCAAGTCAAGGAATTGATGAAGGACAATTTTAATGAAAAGTTGATGAAAAAGTTTGAAGGATATTTGAAAGATAATCTTAAACATAGAAAAATTCATGGAAATACTCAATTTTTCATTCAGAAAGATTCATCCAAAGAGATGAATTTATTGTTTTTTGAGAGTTTGGAAGAGATTGCTCAAGGTTGGATAAAAACTGGATTGGAGGGTGTTGTCAATGAACCAGTGCAATGTCTAATGACTGGTAGCAATGGAAAAACAATGAAATTTGAATCTTCCTTCATTATTATCTATGCAAAGAATAGTCTTGGAAAGAAATTTGCATTCAAATACTTGATTTGTAAAAATACTGATTCAAGTGCATGGAGTTTTGTTGGAGGAAAGAAATCACGACCTTCCGAGTCGGGTATGGAATGCTGTCTAAGAGAAATGAGAGAAGAATTGTATGGATATTCAATCAATGCAGAGAAAAGTGTAATGAATGGACCATTTACAAAGTTTGAAACAAATTTCATATATGCACATGAAGTAGAATGGGACAGGACAGATGCTATTGTAGAGAATTTAATGAAAAATTACAAAAAGTTGAAGGAAAATAATGAGCTCATGACATTTAATGCAGTTGAAATATCTCGAACAATTTCACAACAAGATAATTTTCTGGATAGCTTGTTGAATTTACTGAAAAAGTACGAATTCACAGAAGAGATTTGTGATTACAAATTCATTGATTCAATAGATTTGTGTAAGGAGAAGGGAGGAAGAAGTTCCTTTCTGAAAAAGCTCCATACTAAATTTGTAACCAAAATTTCCAAAACTCTCAAACAAAAGAAGACAAAGAAAAAGAAGGTTAAGAAAAATGTTAAAAAGAAGAAGAAATAAAAAGGATACAAAGCGAAATTCAGTAGAACCCTCTCTCATGGAGGCAGTCCTTAATTTCAACCATTTCAAAACTCTTGTAAACAACACATTCAATTTTCCATAGATGAATAATAAATTGTAAACAACACATTCAATTATTTCCTATTTCAAAAAAAAAATGGCAGAACGTAAAGCAACAAACAAGTACATTCCACCAGATTTTGATCCGAAAAAACACAAATCAATTAATGGATATCATCACTCTCATCCATTGAGACAACGTGCAAGTAAATTGAAAGCCTCTTCATCTTCCGATATTGATGATGAACGAATAGGATCTTTGGTCATTCGTTTCGAGATGCCATACAATGCTATCTGTACTCATTGCTCAAAAGGCATTGCAAAAGGAACACGATTCAATGCTCGGAAGAAACAAGTTGGATTGTTTGGAGGAAATAATAATAATTTAAATAATTCCGAAAATTTAAATAATGATTCAGAAAATTCAGGAACAAATACTCTAGATCATGTTAAAGTAAAATTGGAAGAAACAGATGATAGTAATAATAATATTAATTCTGATACATTTAACATGAACAATGAAAAGAAGGAAAAAACTCTAACAATGCCAATTTATTCATTTGTTATGAAATGTTATGATTGTTCGGGAAGATTGGAGATTAGAACCAATCCTGAACAATTAACCTATGATTGTGTGAGTGGAATAAAGTGGAAGAGTCAAGGACTGAACATTAGCAATGATGCCGATGTATCTAATTTGGATGTTAATGATACCCGTTCGGAAATGATTGTGATTGGACAAGATTTGGAAAGTATGGATTCAATGCAGAGAATTAATCATGAAAAAGAGGATTTAGTGAAAGCAGAAAGTGCCATCCCTCAACTGGAATCAATTATTAAACTCAATAAGAGACAAGAGAACGATTTCGAGTCAAATTTTCAGCTAAGAGCTTCTCACAGACAATTAAGAAAGAGTGAGAAGGAAGCTTGCAAGAATTTGGGACAAAGATTGGGAGCTAACTTTGTTAATTCCTATACACTACGTTCATTGTTACCTGAAGAAACACTTGAGGATGGAATTATTGCCAAACAAGAATTGTCAACTCGTGTGAAAAAGAGAAACATTGAAGGAACATCATCCGCCTCAATATTTAACGCTTCCAAATCCTCACAACCATTGAAACCAAATGAAATAACCAAGATGGCCAAAGAGTTAAAAAAAAGAAAGTTGACCAACTCTACACAACAGGAAATAACATCTCCCAAAAGCTCGGCGACGTGTGAAAATTCAAAGTGGACTCTACAGAGAGCCAAATTTACTAATACGAAATCATCAATTTCAGGTTGTTCTGCATTGCTGCAAGGATTGAATCAATACAAAGATGAGGAAGATGATTGAATATGTTGACTGATCGCCAAAAGATGACCAATATTTAAAAACTATTCAATGTAGCTCACTGTGATGAGACTTAACACGTGGTAATTCGGTGTAATTAGACTAAATTGTTAACCTGTCACCAACACCATTCCAAATATTTCAATACGAAAGTTCCCAATGTATTCTAAAGGAAACCAGGTACAGTAACAAAGAATCCATCTTGTCGTGTGGTTGAAAGAAACACAACCCGTCTGCACGACATGTCTTTATTAAAAGAATAATCAATTGTAAATAAGTCAAAAGTGGCAAGCACCTCAATTTGCGGTTTAAATTCACTACATTCAGAGTATTTATCTTTCAATAATTGAAAAGCTTTTCCTAATAATTGCTTACCTAAGCAGTACAACCAAGCCCCCATTTGTTATCTGACAGATTGAGTAGTGTTTTCACGAAGGTAATGCATTTCAATTTTCGCACAACTGCGCAATTTACCTCACGTGTCAAACACTTCTTTGTGTGAATAGAGTTTAAAAAACAACTCTCATTCCAGCACGTTTTTTCAACAAGAAACCTTTCCACAGCACAAAAAAAAACAGAGATTCTGCCACTTTGAAAGGATCTGCCACTGTCATTCACTCTCTCTAAGAATCAACCAAACCACACTCACACAGAGAGACAGTTTCTGTAACTAATTTTAAATCAGATTTAGAACGTTTGTTGACAGTATGATGATGTCTCAAACAGCAGCAGCAACACTTAATACTATTTATTCGACAGCTGATAATTTAATGATGAACGTTAGCCCATCAACAACAGCTGCCACTACTCAATCACAACAACAACCACTATCTCCCAATCTCAACAATACTGCCAATAATACAGTAGTGAATGCTGGCATGTCCTCAAGTAGCAATTCACTTGTTTCCTCCTCAACTTCACCCTATCATCATCAACTTCATAACATGTCCTCCAATAATAACAATAATACAATGGTGGATCCAAGTGTTTCTTCTTCCTCACAACAGCAACAGTTAGCTCACAACAATTCAATCTCATCAAGTAATCAACAACAACAACACATGATGGGTAATGGAGGTGGTTCTATTGGTAGTTCAAATATTGTTGGTGGCATGGGAACGAATACAGGAAATACTCAAGTTTTACAAGAATTATTTAGACAACAACAACATTTACAAACACAATCAATGAATTATCCACAATTGAATAATTCTGCACTGCATCAACATTCCTCCTTCTCAAATAATGGTCTAGATCCAAATTCAAATAATTTGAATTCACATTCAACGAATAACGATTACAGTAATTTAATTTTGAATATGGCAATGAGAGGAAGTGCTGGAAATGAAGCAAATTCTCCAGTTGATCATCAGGATTTTGTTATGCAACAAATGTTACTTCAACAACAATCACAACACATGATGCAACCACACCATCATCATTACTCAACCATGCCAAATGCAGCTGCTTTGGGTCTTTCACAACCAGTTGTTCATCATTCAACTGCCAATCATCATCATTTGACGCAACCTAATCAAATGATGCATTCTTCATTACAACACCATTCAATGAATTCTGCTACTTTACAACAACAAGTTGGACTTTCGAATTATACAAATGGTATTCAAGATAATATTTTGAATTTCTTAGGAAATCAACAAGAAAATGATACAAATCTTGTAGATCAATCAAATCATGATAATTTAATGATGAATAATTCAACTCAATTACAACTTTCACAAAATAACAATGATTGGAGAGGTGACAAGGTAAATTTCACATACTTTGACAGTGTTGCTCCTTATGTGGAACATACACAAAGTACTTCAGTTGTTGATAATTCACAACATTTACACACAAATGGCACAAATCTAGATGATGTTGTCATGAGAAATAATCAAAATGTAATGCAACATCAACACGATCAAAATCAGTCAACTAATGGATTAATGATTCACACTTATGAACAAATGAATGGAAACTTGTATTCACGACCTATGAATCAACAGCAAAATCAAATTTCCACACAACAAAACATTATGGGAACTCCAAATATGACTAAGAAAACTAAATTAGTGAATGAATCACCAAAACTTAACACAACCGAAGATCCCAATAGAGAAGTAACCAATTGTCATTGTTGTGGTCGTTCAGATGCTGAAGTTAGTTTCAAGAAGAATTATTCAATTCATGAGGGAAATATTGAATCGTATAGAAATACATTCCCACAAAATATTGATCAAATCACATCTGGACCTGTATGTGCCACATGTTATAACAAACAGTGGAGGTTCCAACGTGGACTCTACGATCCTTCAAAAATCAGAAGAAACAATCCAAGGGAAGGAATCAAACAAAGATCTATGAGAGATGGAGACAGTACTGGAAGTCCACTCACTCCAACATTGGCATTCCCTTTGAATAATCGTGTGTCAGCAATTCAAACTGATTATTCACCAACAAATGGTTCTCCTCGAACACATAAGAGAAAGGCACTTACTGTTTCTACATTTAGTGCAACAACTCCAGTTCACAGTATTAATAATAATAATAATAATGGAGCCAATAATAGTGATCATGTTCCATCTGATAGTAGTACTGATAAGTATGATCGTGACAGTAAGAGAACTAAATTTTCATCAGAAATAGAAACTCTTTGTAAAAGAAACAAGAATCCAGATGAAATATCAATCATTGTCCAATTTTATCAAGTGGATGATGATATTGCAAGTGATAGTTCAAAACTTTTAGACCAAATTAACGAATTTAATCAAACTCAATTAAGAATTCAGAAACAACAAATGTTTGGAATTTATCCAAACGAAAAGGATTCTGAAATTTCTAAACATTTCCATCAATTTTACACAACCGCTCTCAAGGTCAATAAGAAACATTTTGAAGTTTCTCAAACAAATAATATTCAAATTATTCAAGGTAAACTTGCACTGGAGAATATCAAACAATTACTGACAGACAGAGCAAAAGACTTTAAACAATCCAAGTTGGAAGATCCAAAAACTTCTACTTCAACTTCTGATGCCAGTTCATTGTTGTCCAACGATTCTACCTCGGCCTGTAGTAGCAATAGTGGAGAGACAAAAGTTTTGAGTTTAAAGATCAGCTCACAAGATAGATTTAAGAATACTATTCTTGCTGATGTTGATGAATTCTTTTTTGTTGATAAGAATTTGAGTGAAGGAGATTCAATTCATGTATTTTTACAATAACAAATTATTATTGAGGAAACAAAAACAATGTACATTAAAAACACCAAAACACATTTTTGCAATAGAAAATAAATAATTTTTGAATATCAATTGGTTTATCTTCTTTCATTTTGTTGAACATGTTTATCAATCATATCATGAATTGTTGCACTATTAAGTTGGGAAATTGATTGGAGTGGATCACCCAAATTGTTACTTGAAACAGTTTGGTTGACTGATAAATTATTGACCTGTTGTTGTTGTTCCTTATTTTGAATTGAGAAGATTAAATCCAAATCTTCCTCAGTTAAGAATGGATCAAACACACCTCCCATTCCAAAACCACCAAAACCACCACCAAATGATTCCATACCATTATTATTATTATTATTTGTGTTTGTATTTGCTGAGCTAGAGGAAGATAGTGATGGATTACTGATGAGAGGATTCTGTTGCATCATTAAAAGATTTCCAAATGCAGAGGTTGTGTCAAAACCACTCATTGGTGGACCACCGGCCATCTGGTGTGAACTCATTAAATTAGCAAAATATGAAGCAGATTGCAATTCCATATGGAGTGGAAGTGAATTATTTGGTATGATTTGTGAGAATAGACCAGGATTTTGCATGGTTGTTGAGGAAGATGCTGATGGTTGAGGGACTTGTGGTGGATTAAAATTGAAATTCGTGGCTTGTTGCATATTATTGGATTGAATTTGTGATGGAGGATGCAACATGTGTGCTCGCTGATTGTGTGGATTATGTCGATAGGTCAGGAATTGTTGTGGAAGAGAAGTTTCATATTCTGTAATTGTTGGTTTTGTGGATCGTTTCAGATTTTCTAAATTTTCAAATGTGTCCTCGATTTCTTTCATTAATTTGCTATAGTTAAGACTGACTAGCTTGAATCTTTTAGCCATAATTTGCATAGCTCTCAAGTCCTTTTTCAAAATATCCTCATAATACATTAAAGTTGACCAATTGTTGGCTCTATGTTGTGAAACAATTGTTGAAGTGCTCGAACTATAGGATTGAATATTCATCTTTAACACTCTCAAATGTACAAGTGTTGCTGCTGAAATATATGGAACTAGATATGGAAGGAAGAGTGGAAACAGTTCGTGTTGAGTTGCCATTGTAATATTCAATGCTGCTTGTTCAATTGTTTCTCTCTCACGATCTCTACCACTACATCCCAATTTGGTGAGAATTCTAATCTTTAATCCATTCAATACGACATCTAGCATTCTCTCATACAAGGCAATATATTGATAATCTCCTTGAAAGATGCACGATGGAGAATTGTTATCCAGATCTAGTGTTGGATTGGTCTTTGAGGCGATTAGCTCAATATTTGATCTTTCTCTCATGTTTCTCGTCGTAAATGCAAAGATTGAATCTAACAATTGTAAATAATCAAAGCAATTACTAACTGTAACTTCTTGATTTAGAGAGGAAATCCATTCAGTTGGAAATTTCAAACCAGTGAAAATTGTAAAGTATCTAGGAATTTCGCTAATAAATCCTCCATCTGCATAGGAAACATCAAAAAATGTTCTCTTGGTATTATTTCCATTATTTGAACTTAGTGAATGGGTACATCTTTCCACCCAATTAATATTGTTTTCCAAATTCTTTTCGTATTTGGTCATGATTGACATACATTTTGTACATTGACCAACTTCGTGTTCGCCTGAAGTTGGTGAAATATCACATCCTGGTTTTTGAAGATACTTATTTCTGAGATAAAAAGCTGGGAATTGAAGGTAAAACTTGGCATTGGTAATTCTCGAGTTCCAAATTTCAAATTGAGCTAAGAGAGCATAGGTAGTAGCAACGAAAAAGCTTTCATGACTATCAAAATATCTACTAACTGCTGCTCGGGCAAGTTTGGCTGTTTTTTCACTAACCTCCATCATTCCACATCTCACTTCACAAACAGCTTTAGTTCCCAAAAACAATGCCACCAGTTCCTTATTTACTTTTTCATTATCTACTGTTTCATCTTCCTTGATAATCATTCTCTCCTCATCAATATCTTTGAGATAGACTGAATACAGAGATGGACACTTTTCCAGATCATCCTTATTCATTAGAGGAAATCCATCACTTGCAAAACTAAAGTAAAAATCAATAACTTGTCTCTTTGATAATCCTTCCTCTTCAATTGATATCTCATTATCATTTTTTTCATCCTTTCCATTTGTTGATTCCAATACAAATGAATGAGATTTTGATTTTTTCTTTTTCCTCGTTGATTTTTCTTGTGGTTGACTAGTTTCAATTGGTTGACCAGGTTGACCATTTGGTGTTCTTTTCGATTCTTTATATTCACATTTAATTCCTTTCTGAATACATCGGTCACAACTTGGCATTTTACGATCCTATTAAAATTGTAAACATTCTCCAAATGTATTTAATATTACTTACACACTTTACAAATAACAATATTATTTAATAAAAGGTATTAAAGATTTAAATACTAACCTTCTTGTGTTGCTTTCTACAATGGGTACAAGCCACTGTATAGAGTGTTACTGGTGAATTATAAACAATTGCATTCGGAGGCATATTTCCATCATTGGATGAAGTGGCAGCATTTAAATTATTACTATTTGGTGCCGATTCTGTTGTAATTGTCGTAGTATTATTGGTATTATTACTTGTCGGAGGATTTGATGAAGTGATGTGATGATTTGTGTTGTTGTTGTTGTTGACGAGGAAGATGAAGGAGAAGGATTGGAAAGTAAAACTCCACCAATGAGGATGGGAAATGTATTATTATTATTGGTGGAGGAGGAATTTGGAGTGGTCGTTGTTGATGATTGAATACTAGAGGGTGTACTATTTGTCGTTGTTGTTGATGTGGAGGAGGTTATTGGTGTGGTGGTGGTATTGTGATGTTGTTGGGAAGTAACAGCACCATTGCTGGTGGAAGAAAGGTGTGGAGAATTGGATGATTGATTCAACATCTGTTGGTGGTGGTTGTTATTGTGATGATGACTCATCGGAAAATGTTATTGGCAATAAATAAGAACTGATTATGAGAAAGGTGTCGTGGTTTTTGTTTTGTTGATTTATTTGGAGGAAATACTCCTAATGACAATAACAAGAGGAAGATTCTTTTCTAGCATGTTGTAAAGTGACAAAGCAAAGAAATGATTTCTATTATTGTTGGATTTCTTATTACAAATAGTTTGATTAAGTTCAAACATTCATGTTGTGTAATTTTCATTTTGACAGTATGTTCTTTCTCTCTTTTGATTAAATTTAAATCAGTTCGAAACAGATCTACCTATTCTTCTTTGTTTGCTTTGGTTTCAGAATGTTCTCCTTCACCTCTGTTTGCCTGTCCTTGTACATTAATTTCAAAATTTCCTTTCTTCTTTCCTCAGGATTGGAAGAGGTAATCTTGGAAGGTTTCAAATTGAGTGGTTTTCTATTTTCAACATTTACATCTCCTAGTGAAGGTCCAATACCAATCCAAGAATTGATAAGAGTTTGCATGATTACCTTCTTTGCATCAACTTGACAAGATGTTGGAAGTCCCTTATCAAGTTCTAAACTAGCTTGATAGGTTAGTCCCAAATCTTCTGGTGTTAATTTCTTCCTCTTTGGAGCTTGGGGAATTTTATACAGTGGAGCTCTATTCATTGGCTCCTTAACTGTACTGGTTGTTGTGGTATTGTTTGATTTGTGTGGAGGAGCAAGAGATTGGGATGGTTGAGAGTTGGAGATGGGAAGTGGTAGAGAGGAAGAACTGGAAGAATTGTTTTGTAAAGCTTTTTCCTTATCAGCTTTTTTCTCCTTATATTGATTTCTATTTGCAATAACTACTATTGGATTTTTCGAAACTGCAAAGTGTTCCTTGTATTTGGACTGTATTCGTGATGAAGTTGTTGCAATGTGATGCCCCAAATAATCATCAGGAATAGGATCCTTCTGTAAACAGTTCAAGTTTACATTGGTTGAGGAGACTGAACGACTTGTTTTAGTTCCATCAGCACTGCTGGTTAAATTCTTCTTTCGATGACCTGCCTTCATTGAGGAGGGTCTTTCTTTGCTTGGAACAAAGGTGGAGAGGTTGTGATGATTCTGTTGCGATATTGAGGTGGCTGAGGATGATTGGTGAGGTATTTGTACAAGGAGGGATTCGATTGAGGAGAGGAGAGGATCTGGCTTTTTCTTGTGAAAACTATTTTGATGGAAAATATCCAGTGGAGGACAAGGGCTCTTTCTGAAAGGAGGAGGTGTTTGTGAATTGATAGAGAAGAGTGTTGGACTTGTTCTACCCATTTCTAGCTCTTGTTTAACTCTCTGAAGTTTTTCCTTTCTCTTATTGTAGGCAACTTGTAATGCTTTTGTTCGGCCTTTCTTTTTCAAATCAGGTGGAGAATCCACAAGGAAAGGGAAAACCTTAACTTTTTTTTTACCAAGGAGATGATTTTGACCCTCGAAATCATCCTCATCTTGATAGTCCTCATCATCACTGTGGAGCATAATGTCACTCTCTCTATCAACACCCTCAATAGCTATATTCTCGTCATCTTCGTCATAATAGTTTTGCTCTTCGGTTGTGGTGGTAATGAGCGAGGCAGCCGATTCAAAATAGTTACTGGCTCTATATGATTCATTCCTAGATTCATTTAGACGTCTAAGGTGATGATGTTTCAATTCTTCCAAAGAAAATTCTTTCATACTATCCTGATAAGTAAAAACATCATTGGCCAAAGAATCTTCCCTATTCAACGGAGGTGGTGTTGGTTGAATAGGGAGTAATCCACTATTTTGATTCTTTTCCAAAAATACTGTCAAATCCTCCATAGATTCTCTCCTATTCATACTTTTCCTCAAACTATTTGTTATTTGCAAATCATTAAGTGATGATTTTAGATCCACATTAAATTTATCTTTACTATTCATAAGAAAATCATCCCGACCTAATCCTCCATTATTGTTGCTAGAATGATGAAAGTGATTATATACGGGAGGCCTAGAATGCCTCATTTCTTGTTGATGTGTTTGTTGTCAACGTATTTTTTTTAAGGTTATTCTTATTCTCCAGGGCTTCCGTTAGTTGTAGCGATATTTTATAACGTATTTTTTCTTCAAGTTCTTTCCACTATATTGAAATGCGAGTGGCTAGGTTTGTTTTGAACCTATTTAATTATCTGTATTGGATTTTGGCGCCACTTTTTGAATTTAATATTTTAAAAAAATTAAAAACCATAAATACTTGTTTTGTGTCACGGGTTGATAAGCCGAAGAGTGATATGGCAAGGATAGTTCGATTGTTAATCTGATGATAACACAAATTTTTCACCTTTCGGGACTGAACGTCTAGTACTTGAAGCATAACAGCATACTGATTAATATTTACATCCTCTCTAAGGTTCTAAACCAATTTTACATCCTATGAATTTTGAATTGAAAACTATTTGAAAAACAAAAGAATGGAAAAGTTTATAAATTATAATGTACAATTTATACAGAAGTACCAAGCATTTTGACATAGTAAGACAATTCAATAACTGGTACTATTGTGAGGATAATTTCTGAATCAGAATCTTGAACCATTTGATAATCATTCACTGGTTGATTTTTTTCAAACATGGTGATTGTATTTTCACCAAAACCAGAGATGGCACTTTCTTGAGGTGTTGGAGACATTGTTCCTTTAGATGTTCCAACAGATTGCAATTTAACATGAGATGGTGTAGAAACGGTACCTAGTGGAGAATTTGAATTTCCAAAATTTTCAATGTATGATTCAATCTTTAGGGAAGGAGAAGTAGCACCAGAATTTTTCATTAAAGTTTTAAGAGTTATTGGGAATTCCATTGTATGATGTGAAATGATATTCTCCTGTAGGAGTAAATCGTCATAGTCATAGAGATGAGACTTGACTCTCAAAATTCCTATGACATTCTCTCCATATGGTTTGGTTACTTGATCCAATAGAGACGATTCACTATTCTTTTTGTAAAATTCCAAAACATTTCTATGCAAATATCCATCCACAGTTATAGAAAAATCCAAAACTTCATTCCAAGAAACTTCCTTTCTTCCCACTTCCAAACAGGTTACTGTTGTCTTTTTGCTTTGTTTCCATGTATTTGTATCAGTGTTAGGAGTTGGTTTCAGCATTGGAACCATCTTGTTTTTCAAAGAACCTTGTGTATTGAAAAACTCGACAAACCACTCAATTTTCACAAATGGAGTGATACAATCCTTGAATGCAGTCAAATCGGAAATAGTTTCCAAATTATGGCACTGTTTGACTTCAAATTGTCCTTCAAAATGAAATTGAACTTTTTGTGAATAGTCACTATTCAAAATTACTTCCTCAGCTCTCTCTTCTGGAATAGCCCCAGCAAATATCTTATTTCTTAGTGAGTAGTTACTCGAACCTCCACTTGGTGTTGTATGATGATGATGAGATGAAGATGGTGATTGATTCGCTGCGATTAACATCATGGTTGGGCTTTCAACGCTTCTCCTTTTCATTTCAGCGTCATGACGAGCAGGTGACAGATTTGCACTAGTTCTAGGTGATGATTTACCTCTGGGACTAACCAATGCCATTACGTGAGCAGAATTATGATGAGCATCATCTACCAAAGTTTCTGATGTTTCTTTAAATAATTGATCATCAGGTAAATACAATGATGATCGACTAATCATTTTCTTCTCCTGTTCAACTTCTTCATCCCCTCTTACATTTCTACAACCAAAAAGCAATTTACGGAAAGAAGACGAAAGTGATTTTTTCGAATTGTTTCTACTAATCGGTTTCCAATTATTCAAGTCATCATCAATGTGATTATTACCACCAACATAACTTGAATCAACAGTTATTGTGTGATTATATGAAGAAGAAGTACTGACTCCAGAAGCAACACCTATGGTTGCTGCTGGTGTTCGAGGTGTTGTTGCCGAGGAAGGAGTTGTATTATTATTAATTTGATAGGATTGATGACTGTGAATGCTATTTCTATTGTTACCATTAGTCGTTTGGCTTCGATCGGTTGCAATATCTAAATGATGATGAATTTGTTGTTGATCTGATGGGAGGGTTGGAGTGGAGGCACTGTTATTTCTACTATTGCCACCGTTTTGTGTAGTACTGATAGTTGGGGTTGAAGATGAATTTGTGGTTGCTTTTAGGGCTTTTAATGAAAATCTTGAAGATGTCATCTTGTGTTAATGGAGTGGAATACAAGTGTTGTTTGTTGCTCTGTCCTGTTCTTGGATGAGAGCTGTGGGGAGTTTTGAATTTGTTTTTTTTGTGGTGACTGAAGAAAGTTGACACAATATTAGAGAGTTGATGTCAAATGTTATGGCTGAAATGGTATGTGTAAAATGAATTTTAAAAAATGGGCAATAGAATGAAACCTATTTAAGATCATACTGAGAATCTTAAATTGAAACACCTTTCTTAATAACTGCAGAATAAAAAGATTGGATTATAAAATTATTTGCTGACGGACGGGATCGAACGGGCGACCAATGGCTTATTAGACCAACGCTCTACCGACTGAGCTACGCCAGCTTCTGAAAGATCTTAATCATTAATAAAGTCCGCAAATACCAACACAATTCAATTTCAGAAAAAACCAAAGAAAAGTGTTTTCTGTTTGGCTCTTTTGATACCTGAACTGAAAAATTGGTGAAAATCAAGTTGGTGATGAAAGAGCCAAATCAATAAGTGAAATGAAACAATTAACAGCAATCTTTTTTGTTAAGCACTTACTGAATTTCCTTAAAAAAGCCAATTGAAGTGTGTAAAAGGATGAAATCATTCTTTTATTGATACCGTATTTGAGAAAATCGCCTTCAAAAAAAACTACCTTAATACATTCCTCGCTCCCTCCTCCATCACACCTCTACACTCATAAACATATCATTAAAAAAGCGTAAAATTGAAAATGGATAGTGAATTAAAGCCTCCTCCTATCTATGATACAACCTCTACTCCATCAACAGCCAATATTAACAACTCCTCTGATGCAATCAGCACAAATAGTAGTAATAGCAGCACATCGACTACAACATTGGAAGCTGAGAAGTCAAACTACTTGGAACAATTTTCATGTCCATCCAAGCTAATAGAGCCACCACCACTTGAATCCTTAAAGTACAGCTTTGAAAAGGAGGACACAAACACTTCTTCCACTCTTGCAAAATCAGCATCTGATGGAGCCTTATCCACAACGAGTAGCAGCAATATTTCCACGAATAATAATCAAACTCTTCAACAACCAGAACATCAAGATCTTGCCTCCACCACAATACCACAAGAAAAATCATCATCAGCCTCTCACATTCGAACAAGTTCAATTACATCCTCATCTCAAGTGAGTTTGTCCAAAGTTACGAACAATACAGATCATGTGCAATACTTGTTCAATCCAAAGGATTTTAAGGTTGTTGGAAATAGAATTGAAAAGATTGTTGACAAATCCTACTCGAGCACATTCCTTGATACTCCAATAGGAACAACATTCACAGGAAAGATTAAATTGAAAGTAAGGATTTTAGCTTTCCAAACTTGGTTAGCTGTTGGTGTTACCTCATCAGAGATTGTGGAAAAGCAAATTTTCAACCTCTCTCCATACCATAGGAATGGTAGTTATCTATACTCTCCGAATGGATATGTGTGGAATTATCAAAAAGAGGACAAGACGAAATATGATCAAGTTAAACATAAATGTGATGTTGGGGATACTATAATTATGGAAATATGTACAGAACAAAAGGAGCTTACCTTTTACAAGAATGAATTGAAAATAATGACAATTCCCAATATTAGTCTTCCTGTCTATCCAGCCTTTGTAGCATACGGTTTGGAACAAATGGAAATGTTGAATTTCCACCACCAACCCATTGAACTTCCAAAATTCATTATCCCTGGTGCTGGATTCTTTGTGGATAAGCAAAAAGTCTCAAAAACAACCGATGCCAACTATGCAAGTGTATTTATATCAAAATTATTGGATGGAAGTGAAAAAGTTTACAAGTGGAAGATTAAAATTGTAAATCTTAATACTTGGCTTGGATTTGGAGTGGTAATGAATTCAATACCAGAAAAACATATTCACAGCTTGTCACCATACGATGACCATTGCATGTACATGATGTCCGCTAATGGGTTTATATGGAATCCTTCTCAGAGTGGATCTAAAAAGTACAAACACGTGTACAGTAAGAATATTGAGCCAGGAGATGTAATTACTATTAAGCTGAATGCTGCCAAGAAAAAATTGCAGTTTTATAAGGGAAACTCCAAGATTGCTTCGATCCGTGATATCAAATTACCTGTGTACCCTGCGATAATGATGTATGGGCACGAATCAATTGAATTTTCTTGGACCTCTTAAATAAATTCAATCTCTTCGTAATATTGGGAATCTTCATCTTTGAAAGGAATAATAGCCAATAGTAAATCCACTAATAAATCATCTGAAATATCCTTCTGCAATCCAACTTGATCTCTAAAGGTGTGCAATAATGATTGATTCGCTTCCAAATATTTCATTTCGAATTTTAGAACTGACTTGTTATTCATACTAAGGCCATAACAAGTTTCTTCTCCTTTCATGAAATATTCTGAGCCACTAAAATCAAAGGTACACAATCCAACATGTATCAAACAGCTCACATTACAAATATACTTGGTTTCGTACTGAATCGACACCTTTTCATATCTAACCTTATCGAATACCAGTTCTGAAATAGAAGATGCCACTCCATTTCCATATTCCTCCTTGATTTCACTCAAAAACTGTGGCCAATTCTCTTGCACTGAAACAGTTTCAACAGTGCACCCCAAAGTTTCCTTCAACTTCTTACAAGAACTCTCCAATGTGCTAATCACATCCTCAGCATTGCTAATTTCACCTCTGAGTCTTTTCAATTTCTTTGAATCGATTTGTTTCTTATCAAAACAAGTAGCAAATCCAACCTCTGAATGTGCTTTCTGTACAGATCGAGCAATACTATTGGATAATCTGCCAATTTCCTGTTCAATCTTTACAAGTAAAAGTGTTGAGTGATTTTCCATCAGATAATCCCGAACACTTTTATTGATCATGGCATAGTTGGAGGAATCCTTTCTAGTACCGATGAAATCAACAATGAGGTGATGAATTTCATTCGGCAGTTGGCGAAGCATTTTTCTTTCCGTTATTACTATTAAAATACCAAATAGTATTAAATATTAATTTAAAATTTGATTTAAAAAAAATGAAACGAAACAGACAACAGTCAGGAGATGATGACTATGAAAATTCTCTCTTTGAAATGATCAATATGATGACCAACAATGGCAAATCACGAATTAATAATGATTTCCTTCTATTTTCCGAAGGCTTTAAACAAGAAAACAATCAAACCTTTGAAGAATTGAAGAGTAAAATTCTCAAAACTGGTGCTACAATTATGGAACATCCCGAAGCCTTTTTAAAAGTCTTAATTCATACAAAATTAGTGAGAAGTATTTCATCCAATACAGAAAAGACTTTGAATTCATTATTAAAGCTTGGTGAAGTTAAGAGTGAAGAGGAATGGAAAGAAATTCTCACTCCTCACGAATTGAAACTCTTAAAATCTCATTCTCCAAAGCCTCCCTTGTTTGAAATGTTGAATCCGACTGTTATTCTTGTATGTACAGAGGCGGAGGCAAGGATTGGCATTCCACTATTTAGAATAATTCTCAAATTGAGTGAGGGTAGTATGAATGGAATTGTTATTAGACCTTCAGATTTAGATTCATATTTTGAGAATTCTGAAGAGCTATTATACAATTTGAATAAGCAATTGATCAATCCTGTTATGAACTTTAGAGATTACATTTTACTCTCTGATAATCAGCAGGAAAAGGAAGAAATGACTCGTTACTTGTTAGAGAATGGTGCCTCTAAAGTGATCCAAAATTTAATGAATCCTCATGAGGTTATCGAAGACTTTGGACAGTGTGCAGTTGTAGTGAGTGATTCAATACTATCTGCAGAACAAGGAAAAATTTATTTTGAAATGAAACTTGTTGGAAAAACTGAATTTTACCTGTACTCAGAATTGGTTGCATCGGTTAATGAATTTAAACATTTGAAACCATTAGATATAAATCGTCTCAAACATCACTGCATCTCCTCTGAATTATTAATAGAGGCAAGAACGAAGAGCAGGCATATGTTGAATATGGATTATGAAAACACTCTTCTCAATATGAGCATCAATTCTGAGCAACAATTGAGTAATATGTTTCCAAATGAGGTTTTCTTTAATGCTCTCAAATTTTTGCCAGTTCAAGATATTTTGAATAATTTTTCACTTGTGAACAAGTTGGCTAGAAATATGTGCTTCCAAGATCACTTGTGGAAGGATATTTGTATTGCATACGCATCAAATTATGAATTTCTTTCTCCATTCAGAAATGAACAAGTATTGGCCAAAACAAACATGCCTCACTATATTATTTTTAGGAATATCATTAATCCAATTATTATTGATTACAAGGTGGTTCTAGAACATATTTATTCCAAAACCAAAGAAGGTGAAAGTAAGGCAAGCTTTGACTTGATCAAGTTTAATAGTGTCCTTACAACAGCGTTATTTTTCGAACAAACTACATGCCAAGATGATACTGTTGCAATTGGTAGTACTAAGCTTTTTGGTAATTTTGATTTCCCTTCAAGTTTACATCAACATCCCATTTGTCAACGATCTCTGATTTTACAATTGAATATTAATGATTTGAAAGAGAAGGGAGTTGGTATATTATCTATTGAAAATTCTCCTGTGAAGCATCTTTTACCTGAATCAGGTATTCTCTATTTCTTCGATAATGGAATAATTTTGCATTATGATGGAAGTTTGAGTGAATTGACAAGAGTTAATAATCCAAAAAAGACGGTGTGTGCAAAAGTTCAATTCTATGAGGCACTTTTTATTCCTAAACTGTCTGAAATATTATTTTCTGATCCGTTTTTGTTACGCCACTTACTATTGCCTAGTTGTGAAGGTTTCGAATATGAAACCTTGCGTTTGGATGAAGTATTTTCACAATTAATTCATCCAAAATTCTCTAATGAAGGTGCTAGATTATTTGGAGCTTATTCATGCTTTAGTGAGGCCCAATGGTACAGAGCGGCAGATGAGGATGAGGATAGATTCATTGATATGGATAGTTATGTAGAGGTGGGATCAATAATAAGCCCACTTTATCAATTCCCTTCTAAGAATGGACTCTATGGTTTCGGCTTAATAGTACAGGATGGAAATCAAACTGTTTGGAAGAATGTGGAAAACATGCCAAATATTCGAACACTGCAACCATCTTACTTTGGTAACTTTGGCAGAGAGATTCCATCTAAGTTCAAGAAGGATTTCAAGTATCTCACAGAGCAATTCAAAACTGCAAATTAAGATTAATTTATTTGACAAATGGGCAATTGCAAGTAAGTTCTTTTCCAGTATTTGAAATAAATGGCATACATCCAGAACAGGCCCACAGATAAAATGAAGAATAACGAGTTTGTGCAGTGTATGGGAATTTCAACTTGACACATTCACCTTTTCCAGTTGGAGAAATGTGTTGGGCTGGAGTTTGAGGTCTATTGGCCAACTCTGGGTATTTGCACTTTTCAATTTCATAATTATCACAAATTCCTTTCAAGAAATCGAAAAAGAAAGATCCGTCGTTGTTTCTGTGTACGTAAGGTCTCAATCCGAAAATAATTGTTGGCTCATCATATGGGAAATTAGGTTGGAAAACAAGTTTGATTGATTCATTACTCAATCCACTTGCTCCAGGAGCCAATTCCATTCTTTGGCCGTGATCAACAATGAGACCGTATGGATTGTCTCTGAAGAGGTAAACTGTTTGAGCTTCTTGAAGTCTCTTGTCTTCCAATTGAGTGAATAAGCCTGAAATTTCCTTTCCCTTTTGATTTACATATTCATTGTAGACAGTTTTCATATTTTCTTGTTTTGGTCCAGCTGGGAATGCTCTCCAAATTGGAATGGACAAGAATTTAACTGGAACAGGATTTTGTTCAAAAGTTTTAACTCTTTCCTTTACGTTGAAAATTTGAGGATTACCTCCAACGATATCCAATTGAGCTACCTTATTGTATCTAATATATCCTGTTGGAAGAGAGGATGTATCAGTATTATTATCAACAGACAGTTGTAATTGAATATCCAAATAACTCTTCATATTTGCATCACTGAAACAGGATCTAACAGAGACAACCATATCGACAACTCCACCATAATTAACACTAGTGAGAATGGAATCACCAAAAGATGTAATGACCAAATTGTACAAATCTCTATCCATAGCATTTGGTAAAATATCAATAATTCTTTGGAAATCCTCAGTAACTTGAATGGTATTTGTTTCTACTTGGTGAGTAATGTATTGTTGTTGGGCATCCATGACAACCATATCTCCTTTGAAATAGTTTTGATAAATATTTTCAGCTCCTGAGTTGTGTGAATACAATCCATTATAAATTGGCTTTCCATCAGCAGGATAGACAAGCTCAAAGAATTCATTTGCATTTCTCATAACATTCAACAATTTAGTGCTTGTTACAGGCACCTTCTTAGCTGTTGGAGATTTCAATATTTGTGGCTTGATGGTATGATCCACTCTACTATAACCAACACCAGCAATAATAACAGATTCATCAACAATTGCATTTGCACCTCTAAGTTGTGCATTTTGAACAGACATTGGTATGCCTCCTCCACATTTCAATCCCTTCAAGCCAATCAAACATTTAGATTCCATCTTGGAAATTTGTCCATTCAATTCAATTTTAGGACTTGGTGGATTTGCTGCCAAAACCACCACAACTCCCATCATCAAAACCATCCAAACCTCCAACAAGAGTACTACGTCTGTCCTTCTCATCTCAACAACCTTAATATCTTCCGAAGTCAGAGAGAAAAATAACCTTACTTATGGTGGCGCTTTTTTTTTTCTGATTGCTGCGTGCGATATTGTTGTTGAGACCAATTGTGGATTGATACTTGTGCTCAACACGCAAGCTGTTGGTTGCATGTTGGTTTGTGCTGCTGTTGTGTTGGAAGATTGCATGTTTATGTATTTATTGTAATGGATTGTTTACGGTAAACAATTGAATAGTCCTATATTATTGAGTGTGAAAGAAGCCCTTATTACAAGAATTGAACAATACACCTGTGAATAAACTTCATCCTCCATCTTGAAAACTATTTTTATCAACTCTGAGAAACAAGATGAACTTGTTCAACTTTTAATTCAATTTCAAAAACAAAAAAAATATTCAACACACAACTAGGAAAAATGGCAGGTAATAAGAAAAGACACAGTGAAGTTAGAAAGGAATCTCAAAAAGAAGCACCTATAAATTATGATTATCTGGAGGATGATTATGATTTATCAGGAGATTTGACCTTGCCAATGAATGAATATTTATCCGATAGTGATTTGAAGAGGTTTCTATTGGATGGTTATTTGATTATTAAACCAAGTGAATTATCAGTGAATCCACAATGGCATTCAAATCTATTTCAATACGTTTCTGAAATTTATAAGGAGGAAGGAAATTTGGGAAATAACGTCTTGGCAAGATTTCCACAGTTGAATGAAATTTTCCAAGATAAGAAAGTGAGAGGAGTTTTGACAAGAGTTTTGGGAAGAGAATATGTGATGCAAGCTCATAGATTTATGCATTTTACAGAACCTGGTACTTTGACTCAACAGTGGCATAAGGATTCGTATTTTGGACATGGTAGACCTTTGAGATCTAATCAATTGAGAAATGTCATGTTAATGTACTATCCTCAAAAGACTGTTCTTGAAATGGGTCCAACTGCATTGAGAAAGGGAACCCAATATACTTGTATGGATCCAAAGAGATATAAGGGAGATTTGCCAAATGAATTCGAAAAGGGATGGAGAGAAGATTGTGATTTGTATATGGAATGTGAAGCTGGTAGTATCTTGCTGATTCACTATGATCTTATCCATAAGGGATCTAAGAATGATTTGAGAGATAGAGCCATGTTCAAATTCCAATTCAGTAGAGTTGTTGAACCACAAGTAGATCCAGATATTGTAGGAAATATTAATGGATTTACTGAATTTGATCAAGTAGATTCTGAAAAATTGGAAGAATTCGAAAAGAATACTCAATATCCAATTGCTAAACACATTTGGAACTGGATGCATCAAATTCCATTCAAGCAAGAGCCAATAGATTCGAAAACACTTACCGAAGAATCCCTCAATGAAAAGGGAGAACAATTGAGAATGGGAAATCATTACCGTTTTGCTCTCTCTGGGCAATATAACACACTTCTGAAGAGAATGGACTCTGAAGATGAACAATTCAGTCTCAATTCAGCTCAAGCCATGGTTGCCTGTAGAATGCCAAGTGCCGTTCAAGCAGTTGCCTCCAAAATCATGAATGGAAAATTTGCACATTTGAATGGATTGATTGGATGCATGTATGTTTTAAGTGAATGGGGACCTTTTGTCAAATCTTCATTGGATGACAAATCACTTTCTGATTTAATTAATCACATTTGCAGTTCTAAATCCAAATATCCAACAGTTGTGAAAATCTATGTTGCCGAAACTTTGGGAACCATTTTCTGCAATTATCAATTACAAACTCAAAACGAAACTTTCAACACAGCACTCGATAAGTTAATGGATTTCATGACAAGTGCAAACTTTGATGAACAAACCAGATATGTCAGTGTTTTCTCTACATTGAGAATTGGAAACCAAGCCGAAAGATCCACTCGAGCATTGAACAGAGTTTTGAAAACAGATCAATGTAGATATGTTGTTGGATTTGCATTGGATGCATTGGAAAGAATTGGAACAAGAGATTCAATGAGAATAGTTTTGGAATATCTGAAAGCTAGTAGATGGTGTTATATGACCACTAAATCTTCACAATTTTAGAATTATTAGAAACTTTAAACAATTCACTTTCCAATAAAGAATAATTTTGACAAGTAGATTACCTTACTTTAATTTTAAACGAAACAAAGGTTTTGTGATTACAGAAACAAAGGACTCTAGCTTCCACTTTTAGTAAGAAGAATCCTCATTCGAAGCAAGGCGAAATATATCTTTTGGTATCGAATAACGGTTTTAAAATTAACATGAGGGTGACATGACTAGCATACTTAAAAAAAGCACAAAACATCTTCCTTGCTATTCATCATCTGAAACTATTTCGTCCAGTTTCTAATATTAATTTTTTGTTGTTTTTTGCAAAGCAATGGGACAACCAATATCGAATGAATTTCCAGCGAATGGAGATTCGTCCACTACGTTACATGGTTTAACTACGAGCACGACGAGTCATCCAGGACCATACGATGATATGATTTATTCGCTGCCACTATCCGAAGTTTCGAATAATCCAATGATGACAACAGATACTTCTCAACCTCCTCCTTCTTCCTCATCATCATCCACTACAGCAACAACATCATTAACTACCACTTCTACAATAACTATTGGAAATGAACAAACTGAACATCATAAACTTTCGAATAATGAAAAAGCACTTAAACGAAAGTCAGCTAATTTTACAGAAGCCATTTCCATGATGCACAACCACCATCAACAAAATCAACAACCTTCCTCTGGTGCTTCAACATCTTCATTAACCATAGTTTCGTCTAATGGTTCCATGTATCATCACCACAGAAGTACTTCGAATAATTCACAAGAAAGTCCTACAAATTCTACTCCCAATTCTCCACCAACCATTTCTGCACAACACTCACAAAAACACCTCTCCATTGATTCACGATTATTTGCTTTATTGAATAATAAGAATAGTTCAGATTCGAATAATAGAAATAGTCGTACTTTTCAGCAACGTCCATTTTCCATCAGTAGTTTAGATAGTTTAGGATTTGATGGAATAAACAAGGTGCTAAAAGATAAACTTCTCCTTTCACAATTCAGAAATTATACCAAGATGGAATATTCAGAAGAAAATTTGGATATTTTTCTTGTCAGTAATCAATTATTGGAAGAATGTAAAAAGAATTTGGACAATGTTGTAGATAATTCGAATAGTTCTGAAAATTCAAAGAGAAATTCAGTAAGAATGCAAACGAAATCCAAACTATTCAAAATTGCACAATCTCAATTTTCATTCGAAGAGAAAATTATCAAGAAATTGGAAAAATCTTTGGAACAAGTTATTGAAAAGATGCAGAAAATGAATTTGGAAAAGAGAAAATCTCTCATGAAGGGCAGAAGAAAAAACACTGAATTTCTAGGAATTGACAGAAATATGTTTAAACAAGCATTTACTAGTGAGAGAGGAACGACAAGTGCAGTAAATGGAGGAGGCAACTTAACATCAGAAGGTGCCAATTCATCATTCGATGAAGATTTATTTGCTAAATTTTCTGCTCCTTCATTTGGTGCTGTGAGTGCGGTGGTGGTGGTGGTGGTGGTTTGGAAGAAATCAACGTTGGAAAGAAATTGAAAAGTCAAATTGAAAAGATTAAGGAAAATAATCAAGCACAGCAACAGTGGTTGGCCAATAAGAGAAGTTCGAAGAGAATGAGCATGAAATTCTTTTCATCTTCTGCAATTTTGAATCAGGGATCATCCACTCAGAGTGGACAGCAGCAACAATTGAGTAATTCACATCCATCAAATTTGGAAGGAACTAATTCTCTATCACCCATGTCATTGGAAGATCATGATTTTGAGGAAATTCCACAAATCAAAATTGTACAATTTTTAGAGGATTTGAGATTTGAATGTTTAATGAATTTGAAAGATACTTTTATTCGATTTTGCCAACAAAATAAACTTTCTGTTCGATAACAAAGTCCACCTGTATCCATTTTCGATTCTTCCACATGCAAGTTTTTTTTACAAGTGTTACTGTTTGGAGAGTTCACACAACCACAAGCAACGAATAAAAAAGTATTTAAAATTCGACAAACTCCTAATTTCACTTAAACAAGAAGAAAAAAATGATTTATGAAGTGATTAGCTTTCTGCTCTATGTTTGGCCATTCCCAATATTTGGTTCTCTGGTCATCTATTGGATATTGTTCAATGTGCTATTTATTAATCAATATCGTGGCTATCAGAGAGCTGAGATTATTCAAAGCGTCTTGACATTAGTTTTTGCTTTCTTTTTGGTTTCGGAATTGGCACAAGCTGATTTCAGCTGGTTTGATTGGCATTTCTGGTGGAGCTTTCATTCAAAGAGTTGTTTCTACTTGTTGGAAATTACAACCTCCTATTCAGTGATGCAAATTTGTTTTGCCATTCCTTACTTTGATAATTATTATCCTCTACAAATTTATCCATTGCACACTGCTGTGCTTTCATTATTTTGTAATTGGATTGGTGGTCAAATGATTTTGAGTTTCATATTATTTATTATGGCAGCAGTCAAGTTGGCCAAGGAAAGTCGTTTAGAATTGTAAATATTAAGAATGTCTATTGATCTTTGACATAGGTCACCCAACTAATGTCATAATCATTCCAATTTGATTGATTGTTATCAGGTTTAATTAATCTTCCATAAGCTCTATCCCAAATATCCCACAAAATTCTCAATTGATCTGTTTCCAATTTATCATATCCCATCTCCGCAATAAATTTAGTAAATTCAGAACTTTTCACTCTATAATATTTTGGTTTGAGTCCTAATTTAAATAGGATGTATCTGGAAAGTTTCATTTCACCAATGGCTGTGCACAATTTACATGGCGACTTGATCACATTGGCCAAATGCAATTTCAATGTCATTTCCTTAATGGATTTTTTAGTCTGTTCATTCATTCGTTGCTGGAAAAGCTTGGCAAACTTTATATCACTCTCACAGTATGGTTTGATAAAGTTTGCCAATTCAGTTGGGGTTTGAAAATCATGGAAATTAATGAAACTATCCTTTTTGAATCCATAATCTCCAACATTGAAAGCTCCTCTATAGATGGAAATTGTTTTTCCTCCCAAACCAAGTGGCATGAAACCCTCAAAGAATTTCTCAGTAATGTAATCATCCCTCAAGGTATTCTCAAAGGCCATGTAGAATTTGCAATTGTCAGCTAATTCTTGGATTTTACCTCCCTTTCCTTCTTGTGCATTTCTTTCACATGCTTTTTTGAGAAAAGATGAGTTATAATTCATTAGTACTTAAATACTTACTGCCATATTGAGTGACAGGAGTGATTGCATTAATTTCTCTCACAACTTTCAATCTCTCCTCAACACAATTACTAATAAATGAACAGATACAATGTTTTGGTATTTTTCCTGAATCATTTTCTTGAAATTCCAAATTCATCTTGGTATAGAAATAGGTTGTCCAAATGGAGCACTTTCTACTCCAACACATTGACATATCCATATGTCCCTTCTCATTATTATCACTCTTTTCCACTTCACTCAATGCATTTGCTTCATTATTCAACAGAATATTCAATGGCCTCATTGCCAACCACATTTTCAATGCAAATTCCTCATCAAACTTTTCAGATAGATTCTCCTCATCATGTAGTGATTGATTCTCACTCATAAATTTATCCATTTTTCTTCTAACCTTTTCCTCTCCCTTAGCCATTGCTAATCCCAATCCTCTATCTTTATATTCGTAATGTTCAATATTTGCATCCAAATAAATTCCCAAACTTTGATTCTTTGAGAAGAAAGTTCTGGAATCTTCCAATGGAAATGATTCACAATTCGATTGTCTACAATGCGTATTATTAAATTTCCTGAAAAATCCAAACCAATTCGGATGAGTTGTTAATTTCTCTCCAAATCCGAATTGAATTAGTTTTCTCTTCTTTTTTGAAGGGAATTGCTGATTTCCAATGGAATGTTTAGTTAGTAATTTATGTAAATACCATCCGTAGGTTCCTTTTTTACGAAAGTCATACGAAAGGATTAGTTTGGCAAATTTAGGATAGATTGGAGCAAGTCCTGTTGGAATTTCAGTGGTTTCTTCGTCAGCTTCTCCAAATCCTATTTCGTCTGATGAAGATTGAATGGGTTTTTCTTCTTCCGAAACTCCTTGTTTATCTGTTCTTGTTGGAACATTGTTGGTTAGAGGTGTTTCGGCTGCTTTCTCATCACTTTCGTATAGTTGTGAATGGTTGCTTGTTCCCTTGAATAATAAGAAAATTAAAGAATAGACAATGACTATCAATGCAATTGTGAAGAATAGTTTAGCAGGTGATTTGATCATTTTTTATTCTAAAATTTATATTAGAAATAATAAAAAATATTAAAATTTCACCATTTATTAAAGATATAAAATTCCATCCATTATATTTTCAAAGATGACAATCAAGTTCACCATCTCATCCCAATTAATCAACTCTAAAAAAATGCCACTTGTCAAAATTAAAATTGTTGAAGCAACAAACTTGATGATTTCCGATATCTTGTCGAGTGATCCGTACGTGGAAATCATCACACCCACCAAAATATTCACCACTCAAGTTATAAAACGAACTTTAAATCCAGTTTGGAATGAAGAATTTTACATTTCCATTTCTAATCCAAAAATGGATTCGGTAACTTTCGTCGTGAAAGATCATGACCATTTATCAGAGGATGATCCTTTAGGAAAAGCTAAAATTCTAAGCTTTGCATCGTTTGTTTTGGGAGAGGATAAGGATTTGTGGTTGAATCTTATGGAAAGTAAGACAGAAGCCAAATTGCATTTAATTGTTACTCCACAAGATTTTGGAAAGAATTTGGAACCGTAATTTGGATTTGATGGATTTGGATATGGATATGGACATGGATACGGACATGACACAGTAAAAATAAAGTATAATATTTTATTAGAAACAAGTTTTGAAGTTGAAAGTTTAGAACTCACATGAAAAATCTTGAATGGAATAGTTGGAACATGCAAAGAGGATAAATTCTTTATCCATTAAAAAGTGATTTCTAATGAATAATAGACAATTCTTATTGTTTCGAATACAATCTCTTATGAAAGATCGATTCAAATCAAGGGAATTCTCAACACTCTTCAAATAAGATTCATTCCATTTGATGGATTCTAACATTTTCTCTCGATAGTAAATTAGATTAAAATCTTGTGGAATTATTTCATCATTTAAAATATTCGAAACTGATTCATTTCCATAAAGATCATTATCAACCTCATGATTATCTGATTTGGAAACTGTTTCATTTCCATATAAATCATTGTCTAATTGAGATTGATATTCAATTTCTTCTCTCAATCTCTTCGATGCAAATTGAATTGCATCTTTATTCATGGAAAGGGCCAATTCGACAATTTCTCTATCATTTTGAAAATAGTTTGCAAATCTGATAGCCATTGGGTTGTTTCGAATAGCTAGCTGAACTATGTCTCTATCTTGAATGAGTGGTTCTTCTACATATTCCAACAGGAGTTGGCCATCTATTTGAACTACATATTCAACGATTTCTCTGTCGTTTCCTTTGAGTTCATAACTTGCATATTTAAACTCTGATGGATTTTTCTTAATAATTTCCCAAACAATATTTCGATTATTTCGTATGTCCCAATCAACAAATTTCAGTATTGTTGGTATTTGACTTTTCTCAATATATTTCAAAATAAAATCTGGATTAGTTGAATGGATACCAAATATTACATGAGGTTGTAATAAAACAGCTTCCATCACCACTTCTTCATCATTTCGTATTTGTGGAGAAGCATATTGAATAGAATTTGCATTAACCTTGACAGCTTTCATCATAAATTCCTTGTTTCCAACCAATGACCGATCAGCAAATCTCAACAAATCAGCACTGAACTGCAAATTATGCAATAAAACATCTTCATGCAAACCAAATCCTGGAAATTTTGTAAAAATCAATTCCAGTGTATTGAACCCAGTTCCAAAATTAGCATTCAACAAGGTTTCCATGCAAATTTCTTCATCATCCTGCAAATCTCTCGAAATAAACGTGTAGGCATTCGAGTTACTCTTAACAGCAATCAATGCCAATTCTCTATCATTTCGGAATTTATCTTCCAATAATTTGATAAAAGTTCCACATTTATGCAAACAAAGTTTGATCAATTCTCGATTTTCTAAAGTTCTGACTCGACTGCTGCTATGGTTGTAATTAGTATTCTTGTAATTGTTGGAATAGACAAAGGCGAGAATGTGTAAATATTTTAATTCTTGTTGATTAATTAAATAATTTCCAAAGATTGATTTCAACGAATCGCTTTTAAAATTCGAATCAAGAATGATTGAAACAAGTTCTTGGTTGTTTGTTAGCATTTTTTTTGTTGTTTGAAAAGAAATTGGTTATGAATAGTGATTAGGTGATATCTTATATATTTGGATATACAACAGATATAAGATAAACTGGCTTAGTTTCGGTATAGCTTTTATACATCGGGATATTAAGGTAGTATACCTTTTATTTAAATATCACATATTAAGGTGATGAATGGCTACGGCCATATCACGATGAATTCACCTCATCCCGTCCGATTTGAGAAGTTAAGCATCGTCGAGCCACATCAGTACTGAGGTTGGAGACAACTTGGGAACCTGTGGTGCTGTAGTCTTTTTAATTTATTAAACAATTTTGGCTGATGGCTCGTGCTAGTAGTTTGGTTTCACATATTCAATTTTTGCATTCTCAAACTTTCTTAAGATTAAATCCTCTCTTGAAATGTAAATAGAAAAAGTATCTTCTGATTCCTCCAAGGTGTCTGATAGCAGTACTATATTATCATCGTCATCCTCTCTGAGGTAGGATTGAATCATTGTTTCAGGTCTGTCTTCATTATTGTTAAATAGAACGCTTGGGGCTAGATTGCAACCTGAACGATGACCTTGTGCTTGCTGCAAGTAAAAGAATGGACAACATGAAGGTTGATTGACAACAATTTGTTCATGGTAGACTTGGTATGGATTAATTGGTTGAGGAAATTTAAAGGTTTTGTCTTTGATTTCAAATTCAATTAATTGTTCAGATTCAAGAGAATAATTCTCAAAGAATAGAAAATCTGCTTGATTGATTTTGTGATAAAAGCAATATAATAATCCATTTTTTGGGAACAAACGACATGAAATGAAGGAGGAGAATTTTGAAAAGTCAATCACACCAACTAGTGAATAATTATTTCCAAATTTCAAAAATTCTGAAAGAGCATCTTTAGGAATGTAAACCTTAGACGAAACACGTGATGATAGGTGTTTTGTAAAGTTGAAATATGCAAATAAACCCTTTGTAATTCCAATTTGCAGTTTCTTTTTCGAGTTATCATATGATTCTACAGAAGAATCTAATTGAAATACATCGAAAAATTCTCTTGATTTCATCAAATCCAAATCACGTATAAATGTCAAATGTCTTCGTACGAGAATAAAGTATAGGGACTTCCAATCATTCTTCTCATAGAAATGATTAATTACTTGTTGGCCAAAATGGAGAGGTTTTAGATCTTTTCCTCTACTCAAAATAGTTTCCAACTCATCAACAGTAAAAGTTGAATCACAGAACCTGAATAAATCTTCTGAAATCATATTGTTACAAATTAAACTCTTCCAAATATCATTATCATTCATGATGAAATAGTTCCATTGTTTGCAAACCAATCTCATTTCCAAAAGTTCTTCCAACGAAGAAACATTTTTGAGTATGGTATGATGTAATTCAGTTGGTAGTTGAGTAAAATTAAATTCCTCTCCACTATTGGCTTTCTCATTCACATCAATAGGAGGTAATACTGTTTGATTGGCTCCATAAAAATAATTGAAATCAACGAGAGGCAAATGGTTCATGTGAAATAGTACAGTCCTTTCCAATTCTGCATCTCCTGAAGTGGCTATTTCAAAACAAGAAGGTGTAATATATTCCTGACGGGCATCTCTAGCGGCATTTCCACCCAATTCAATCATGTCAGCTGCCAAATATTCCAGTAAGGCTGTCATTCCAATAAAATATAATTTAACATCCTGATCTTCCAATGGAAGCATTGAAGGAGTATATTCGAAATATTTCAATACCATATCTCTGAGCTCCTCAATTTTAAATGTAAGTGCAATCTTATTTTGCTTTGTGATAAATTTGTAAATCTCTACAGTGCCATGTTTCGCCAACTCTCCAAATATGTATTTTTTAACAATAGTAGCAAAATAATTCGAAAGTGTATAAACTTTTGACAGAGATTCAGCATCTAATTTAATTCTCTTTTCTCCTTCGTATTCCCGTGTCTCATTTTCTTCACTTTCTCTCATGGAAGCCCACACCTGCATATCATCAAACACTTCCACACTCGAATCTTCAAACAAATGATGATTCGAACAAACCTCCCTAAACTCTTCGTGTCTCTGGCAACAAAATTTCTCCAACAATTTGACTTGTTCTTTCGCTTCATCTCTCACTCGGAATAACATGGGACTTTTTAATATTAACCTCCACATGATGATCAATAGGTAGTGTCCTAATTTTCTTGAACCTTCGATTGTTAAATCCAATCCGACGTGAATTGGTTGTGTGAATCTGTTTAAATCGAATAGATCGTCACGACATTCATATTCCGAATCGGATTCATAGTGATCGGTGCATGAGCTAGCATGAGGGAAACAGTGCGTGAGGAATAGCGACATTTTTTTTAAATTGGTGTGGCAAAGTGCAATATTTACTTTAGACTATTCTATAGTCATAATGATTAAGGAAATAAATCCTCTCAAATATTGAACCTATTCAATGTTAAACCTTAAAAGCAAGTGAAGAATATCTTGAGGGAATAAAGAAATCTTCACTGTAAAAAGCCTTCAAACGTTGATTCAATAATTCCTTGAAAATCTTGTAAATTATTTTAGCATCATGATATTGATATAGTAATGAAGATTCAAACCAGCCCCAAGATTTCAAAGCTTCCATAGCTAATTCTTCATCTTCATCCTCTTCCATAGTCATTTCTCGAATCATTTGGTAAGTAAAGCCATTTCTCCTGACAAGGTTGACTAAGAAATCTCTGTCCAACAAGACTTGTTCTGGAATAAGATCAGCCAAATGACCTCCAAAAGGAGAACCAGCACACATTAAAATCACATCACGATCTGCTTGTACCTCCTCACATAGCCTCGCATAATCGTCACAATTTTGGGCTAGTGCTTTCAATAGGTCTGGTTTGTGTTGTTTGAGTAATCCTATTTGGACATCATCAGGTAATTTTGTCAACACGTTAGGATCTTTCTGAATGGCCTGAGCGACTAAATCCAAGTGTTCCAGTTGCACTGGTTCACGAGCAAATGCAATAGCCATAACGTTACTATCTGTAATGAATTGTACATCGTCTGAATAAAATTCTGGGCATAGAGTAAAAGCTTGTGGCCATTTCTTCACAAATTCAGATGTAATGGGTGTTACTTTTACAACTTCAGGCATATGCTCAATAATACGATAGTCAATGTTATAATTGATTAATAGTTTGATGAATTCAGAATCAAGAAATTGTGGTAGGCTTTCAAAGTCTTCAAAATATGGAGCTTGGTTGACCTGGTTTGTAATATGTGCTGCTAGAATTTCTGTGTCATTCTTGAGTTCAGTAGGTATTCTGTCAAAGTTCGAGTCATCCATTTGAACTACTTTTAACAAAATGTCTTTTTGAAGAGCAGGAATCACCTCCTCGGAAACATGCTCCAATATCGGCCAGTCACTAAATTCTTGTCTCACTTCCCAACATCTCTCCACAATCTTTTCTATCAGATCAAGATCTGAACCTAAATCAGGAAAATATTCACAAGAGAATTGAATAAAATCATCAAAGCAATAAAATCCAATTAATTTCAACATTTCATCAATATCAGCTGTATGATATGGAACAAGGTCGATACCGTTTTTCAGATTTTCTATTATAAAATCAAAATTACTTCTGAGAGAATCTGAGGCATATTTGAAGTTTTCTGCTGAATCTTTACATGCAAGATTAACTATTTCTCGATCCATTTTAAAATTTGGGGCAGCAAATCGGAGAGAGGATCCCCTATTCTTTACAGCTATTATTACAAGTGTCCTGTCATTTTGAAGTTCTTCAGTACAAAACTCCAAAAGTGAACCATCACACCTCAACAGCTGCTTCATTGAATCCCTATCGTGACAAATTCCCTTAACATGTTCAATGAGGTCAGACCTACTCATATCCACTAATGTTTCAAATAATTGTACAATTTCTTCTCCAGCACGATCCAAATCATTGAACAATGATCTCGACAATTCTCCCAAACAACCAATAGCTAGTGAGTTTTCAATCATTACAGAGGTTATAAATTCCTCATTTCTTTCCAACTCTTCACCAATAAATCTAAAGCAATAGAGGTGTCTTCTAGCAACCTTTCTCATAAAATCTGGATCATTTCTCAATGCAGAATCAGCATACTTTAAAATATCAGCATCTATTTCAATGGCATCCAGTAGAAATTGTTGATTACTCCTCAAACTCTTGGAAGCAAATTTAAAGCTTCCCTTCTTTAAATTTCCATCTGTTTCAATAGCTTTAAGAACCAATTCTGGGTCTGATTTCAATTCATCACTTGCCATTACAAGGATTCCACGATAATGCAATGCTTCTTTTATAACTTGCTTATTTGTAATGCAAAATATTTCACCAGGAACCCAAGCCATAATCTCCTCAAACGAAACTCTATTAAATGTTTCAAAAACATTCAAATGTACCGTACAATCACAAATCAATTCTATAGGAACACCCGTAGGAATGATCCCATTGTTTTTCAAACGTTTTCCATACTCGAGAAATTGTTTTCTGTTATTCAAGAATTTGATCAAATTTCTAGCTTGATTTACAAATTTGTTTTTCAAGAGAGAAAGCAATTCATCAGATCCAAATGATTGAAAAGCATAATAGGATGAATAATAAACGGAATTGTCTTCCTCTTCAGCAAGGAATTGGAAAGTCAAATCAGCATACATGTTGTTCTTTTTTTTGTTGTTTGATGACTGCTTGGTGATAGATGGATATATTCTTCTATTGTATGGATTAGAATCAAATTTTGTCATTCTCCAAAAGGTTATTAATTGTTCATCATGAAAATATTATTTTTAATTATTTTAAATTAAAATAATAAAACACCTGTTGGAATATAGCAATTTAAGGAAGAAGACATTTTTTAATAATAATCTTCTTGTAAGCGACTAACAAATTCAATCCTCAACCGTAATGCAGTTATTCGTTGGCTCCGTGCCTGTTTTGGAGATGGAATGGATTGTTAGTTGAGTTTTCATTAAGACAATATACAAAATTTCATCACAGTGGCAAACAACAAATTCGAGTTGAACACTTCAACTTTGGGTCATTATCATGTCATTAGAAAATGGTATTGAGTTCGGAATAGACAAGGGCTTCATTGTCTAAAGTTGAGTAATGAAAAGCTACATGGCGCCAAACACAAAAAAAATGTCTGAAAATACTCTGCAAGCCGCTTCAACTGATTTGTCATCAGCAAATACAGGAGCTTCTACAACAAATACCACTATTACCACAGAGGAATCAGCCCTCAAGACTAATGAAAAGGTGATACAACAACAAGATATCGCCGCTGATAGTAAAAAGAAGAAGGAAAGAAAACCAAAGAAGGCTGTCGAAGGTGATGAAAACAACAACAAAAAGGAAGAAAATGAAGATAAGAAGGAAAAGAAAAAGAGACAAAAGAATTACAAGAAGGAAGAAAAAACCGGAGAGGATGATAACAAGGAGGAATCAAACAACAAGGAAGAAAATAAAAAGAAATTCCTCACCTCCGAAGAGTTGAGTAAAAAGATTTCGGAAATCAAGGCCAAGTTAGCTGAACATCCAAAAGAGCAAGAAGTGCAAGACAAGTTGAAGAAGATTCAAAAAACTATTGAAGATAAACAAGATCAAGTCGAAAAGATTAATCAAAAGCTTTCAAAGGCTAACGAGAAGGTTAAACAATTGAATGAAGCTAGAAAGGTTTTATTTGATGAAATTGGTAAATATAAGGACGTAACAAATGAAACCCGTAATGAAAAGGATCGTATTCTTGTACAAATTAATCAAATCGAACAAGAAATTGTCGATCTCAATGAAAGTATTGAAGAATTTGGTGAGGAAGTCAAGAAATCCAAGTTTAGAAGTGCCGACGAAATTGGCAGAGAGATTTATTACCTCAGTGAAAAACAACAAACAGAAACCCTTTCAATGAAGGAAGAAGAAGTAATTTTAAGAAAAATCAAAACTCTCAACACTTTGAAAAATAACTTTGAAAAGCATTCAGCCTTGAAGAAACAAGTTAGAGACAAGCTCGATGCCAAGAAGGAGCTCAAGCTCAAGATTCAAGGCCTCAACTTGGCCTCTAAGGATAAGGTTGATGAACGTCAAAAGTATTTTGACATGCTTGACGAAAATACCACAAAAAAGAAGGCTGCCCTCGAAGAAAAGAAGAAACTTGAAGATCAACTCAAGGGTATCAAGAAGGAAATTAAGAATCTCTTCGATGACAATTATCAAAGTCAATCTACATTAAGAAAAGTTTCATCTTCTCAACAAAGACAAAAGGAAAGTTTGGAAAAATTGGAAGATAGATTGCAAACACAAAAGCAATTTGAACACAAGAAGGCTATCAGAGAAAAGAGAATGCAAGAAAAGAAGGCTCGTGAAAATTTCCTTAAAGAAACTACACAACAATGGGCTGAAGCCGTGCCAGAACAAACAAAGAACATCTATGAGGAAGAAATCAAGATTTGTGATAATTTACTGGATTATCTTCAAAAGCTCCGATCGAATAAGAAACTTCGTACTCAAAAACTTGATCTTTCCTCATTACAAGGAAACAAAAAGCCTAACATGTCCCTCCCTACCTTGCAACACCCAGTTGATAAATTTAATCAACTCAGCTCATTACGTATTGCTGTGCCAAAGACTATAGATGACGTTCCAAGTACTATTGAAGCTGTTGAAAAGTTACGTCGTTCATATAGAACTAAAGCTGGTCATTCTGAAGCCATCGAACCAGCCAATATTTTGGCCTCATTTGCACCTATCACCACAGTCTCAACAAGCGTTACTGCTCAAATTGTGGATATTGACATGGAATAAAATTGATTTGATTACTACTAGGTGTTTGATATTCCACTTTTTTAGAAGCCTTAATTCGTTCAAATTCTTATATTTATGATAATTCATATATTTTATCTACTTTTACAATTAGTTTCTTTTAATTTCATCTGGATAATATTGAGAGCTGAATTGAACTCAAATAGAAACTTGTCTGAATTAGCAAGAAGAAATTTCGCGTTAATCCGATTCTCCTCAATTAGGAAAGGGAATTTTTTTTTTTGAAGAATCGTTTCTTTCACTAATTGTCCATTGAAAAATCTTACTCTCTTCTTTCAAAATTGACAATAGCTATCCGTTCTCACCCTCAAACAGTTTATCGTTGTGGAAAAATATCCAACATTAATACATTGAGGTTGCAACCAAGGCACCACCACAAAACCCTTCGAAATCTTCCTCTCATTCTCTTCGTACATTTATCTACCTCTCGAGAGAATATCCAAAATATTGCTATTGATCATCTCGGGTTTTTTGAAAAACCAACTTTAAAAAAAACAACTCAAAACCTTGTTGGCAACTTCTCCTCCATTCATAATAAGAGAATTTGTTTTTTCGCTCGGGCACTATATTTTCCATACCACCTACCTACCTCACTTCTTTCTCACTACAGTAGTGATTCTTTCATCATCACTTTTTGTATTATATTTATCATCATCATACTTTTGTACTCACCATTAAATTGTAATATAGAAAATGACTAGCTATCCTAAACACCTCATCAAGGTTTTGCTTTTGGAGAATATTTCTCAAACAGCTGTTGATTTATTTAAAAAGGAAGGTTTCCAGGTTGAGAGTGTTTCCAAATCTCTCAGTGAAGAAGAATTAACTGTTAAAATTGAAGATGTTCACTTGGTCGGAATTCGTTCAAAAACTAAATTAACAGAAAAAGTTCTTTCTAATGCTAAAAAATTGAAAGCTGTGGGATGTTACTGTATTGGAACTGATCAAGTTGATTTGGAATGTTGTGAAAAGAAGGGTATTCCTGTATTTAACTCACCTTATGCAAATACTAGATCTGTTGCCGAGTTGGCCATGTCAGAAATTGTCATGTTGTCACGTAAGGTTTCCGAACACGTAAAGAGTTTGCATCAAGGCCATTGGTACAAGATTGCTAAGGATTGTTATGAAATTAGAGGTAAAATTTTGGGTATTGTTGGTTATGGACACGTAGGAAGTCAATTGGGTTTATTGGCTGAAGGATTTGGTATGAGTGTTATCTATTATGATATCGAACACAAGTTACCATTGGGAAATGCTAAACCTGTCGATAGTATGGAACAAGTTCTCTCAACTGCTCACTTTGTCTCCCTCCATGTTCCAAAAACTGAACAAACCAATAACTTGATTGGGGAAGCACAAATTGCCCAAATGCAAAAGGGGTCCTACCTTTTGAATCTTTCTCGTGGAAGTGTTGTTGATGTTAATGCACTTGCTAGTGCCCTTAAGAGTGGTCATTTGCATGGTTGTGCTGTCGATGTCTTCCCAACTGAACCTGAAAAGGATGGTGATAATGTATTTTCATCACCACTTCAAAATTGTCCAAACACAATTTTAACACCACACATTGGTGGTTCAACCATTGAGGCACAAGATGCTATTGGTAAGGAAGTGGCTCAAAAGTTGATTTCCTACATGAATGAAGGTATCACTCTTGGTAGTGTCAACTTCCCACAAATTAATCCAGTTCACTATGCTGGTTGTCACAGATTGCTTCACATTCACGTCAACAGACATGGTGTGTTGAAATCTATCAACGCTCTCTTGCAAGATTACAATGTTGTTAGTCAATTGTTGGGCACAACAAAACATATTGGTTATATGGTCATTGAATTGGATAAATCAGTTGCTGAGGAAGTTTTCAAACAAATTAAGGAATTGGAATCAACCATTAAAGCAAGAGTATTGTTCTAAAAGGATTGCTCTCCCAATTTTGAAGAGTGTGTACATAGTAATAATAATAATAATTTAATAATTTTAAAGTTTCAAAATTTCAATAATTTATTTAGTGGAATAATGCCTTTCCCATTGAAAAGACTTACCACTTCCTGTTTCCAAATATTTTACAACTTCCTGATTGGCACCAACCAGTTTTGATCTAGATTTTTCAATTTCTCGTTCAATTTCTGAATCAGTAGATTCCTCTTCGAAAGGATGCTCCAATCCTTCACGTTTCGACTTTTTCAAAGCCTTTCTCACAGTTCTGTTAGTTTTTCCAGCAGACCATTCTTCAAACTTTTCACTCAATTTTTCCAGCTTCAGTTGCTCCTTCTTTTCGTCCAATTCTTCCACTTTCTCTCTATATCTTTTGACATTGTCGTGTCTGTATTCTGTTGTTTCAGAGTTATAAACAGTATCCAATGAATATCGTTGTGTAAAAGTTCTCGTTGGCATGCTATCGATGCTCTGTAACCCTCCTTGTCCAAAACTTGCTGTTGCGTCTCTCATCTTCTTTCTCTTTATTTTATTAACGCTTCCACGTGATGATCCGTGTCTATTCTTTGAATGTTTGTATTCATCACTCCAATATCCAGATCCATTCTTCTCCGACCTTGCCATTTTGTAATTTTGTATTGTTTTTGTTGTTCTTTAAGTTCAGCAGAGAAAGTGGCTGAATTTTTTTTGAAAATAAAAATAGATGATGGAAGTTCGTTTTTAAGTGAAAATCATAAACTATTTTTAAATTCTAGTCAACTTCGGTAATTTCATTGTAATTAAAGGCTGTTGGATATTGGTTTATTATTTAATTGTTTGAAATATTCGTATTACTCTTATGAACACAAGAAACACAGGATGTGCAACTGCATTCACAAACAGGTTGCTCTGCTCTTTGTTTCATTTCCAAATGATATTTCTCTTGAATTTCAACGATGAACCCTTCCAATTCTTCGATTTGTTTACTTTTTCTTGCACATTCCTTTTGTGAACTGTCTTGTTGTGAAAGAAGAGAGAATATTGTTTGAGTGAGTGCTTCAATTTGTGAGGCTAACTTTTGCAGTTCTCTATTTTTGGGGTTAATCATAATATTATTCATCAATGCTAATTCAGTTTCTACTTCAAATAATTTCTCTCTTGCAACTCTTAACTCTTCTTCTTGTGATTGTAACTTCTCTTTGGTAAGTCGTAATTCTTCTTCTAACTTCTCTCTGGTAAGTCTTAACTCTTCCTCAGTCCCTGCCAATTTTATACTAATTAATTGAACCTCTTCTCTTGTTATCAAATTCTTTCTTGACTCTTTCTCTAGGTTTTCGGAAAGTGTAGATATTTGCATAGTTAATTCCTCTAGTTTTGTTTGGTCCATTTTTTCATGTAAAGCAATCCCTAGCTTAATAAAAAGCTTGGTCAGAATGACTGTATCGGTGCTATTCATCAAGTCAGAAAAATTGTTGAATGGATTATTATCAATAATAAACTTCAAGATAAATTTAAACTTTTCAGATGGAATCATCTCAAAGTTTTTGCAATAACACATTAGCAATAAAAACTTGTCAAAGAAACTTGGTAATTGAGGAAGAATTCCAACTTGCAAAACTAAATCTTTTCTGGAAGGGGTAATACTAAAGTAAAACATCATTGAATAAATCAACCCATCAATCAAAAGCTTGTTTGATGCATTTGGGAACCACCTATTAACAAGTTGTTCGAAAACATCAAACTGTTCGTTATCCCTTACAACGGTTTCTATTGATGAAGGATTGAAAGGCAAATTTCTTTTAACAAAAGCTTTCATCGATTCTTCATAATCGCTTACAATCATATCGTATTCAGCCCATTGATGCTCTAGATCATCTAAAAACAATAACTCCAACAGGTTGTACTTGTTTCCAATTGTTGTTAGAAATTTAAAGAAATCTTCAACGTTTGTGATGGAATGTTTTGATCTAATAATTAACGAGTGGGTATAAATTATATTATTTACATCACCAATTTCATCAATTAAAAAGGAATGAAGTATTCTTTCCATCTCTTCGTTTTCCTCTTCCTTTCCGATAAGTGAATCAAAATTATTCTTAATCTTCATTCTAATCACAGAGAGAAAGGTTTTCAAAACCTTTGATTCTGTGATCTTTCTGTTGAAATGCCCTTCTGCGACCTTATTCAAAAGGCTATTGAAATGGTTTGCGTTCATTACTGAAGAAGAAAGTTAGAGTTTCAATTTGAGAGTTTTTTTTAAAATTTTAAAAATTTAAGGCTTTGGAAAGTGGCGCCAATTTATCATTGATAAGCAAGGAAAAACGTTTGAATTGTTCCATCATGAAGGTGGTGGAAAACATCAAAGAGGTGAAGAAAAAGGTTCAAGTTGATTGAAAAGGAAATTAAATCTGATACTCCAGCTTTTAATTGTGATTTACACTATGCTTAATCATCCCTTAATCATCCTTCAAACTGTAGTTCTTCAAAGCTTTGTCCCTGAAAGGAGTGCCTTAAGGCGGATACTATGATCTTAGGTTAGATGTAAGAGAATGTAAACCCACTAAAATATTATTGGAATGTTTTTAAATTCTAGTCAACCAGCACCAAACAATACCTCCCCAACATATGATATTAATAATTCAATAACCTATCTATTCCTTGCATCAGAACAGTTTTTTGTGTATGATTTCAATAGCATTCTGTTATGGAGCCAAAGATTCAATTAATGTATCACTACCAATTTTAATGACCACTGCATACCCACTTCCAGCTACAATGGTTGTCTCCTTGAAAAGAATATTGGACGTCTCGAAAGGATTTTCGTGTGTCTTATCAACAGTACAATTCAATATCGTCTTCTCTCCGCTTATTATGCAATTATCCACCTTCAAACCATTAATACTCAAAATTCTCAAATCTGCTGGAACAATATCTCCACTATTGACCATCACAATATCACCCACCACCAACTCTTCACTATCAATATTTTTCTTAATACCATCCCTAAATACAATGACTGTTCTCCTCTTTCTACTTAACTGTGCCGATCGTTTATTAACCACTTGACTCTTCAAGCCTAATGATTCATCCGGATTATAGTTATTAAATTGAGTATCGAACTTTTTGCAAACATCATCAATGCTCAAAGTATGTTCATCAATCGTCCATTTAGAGATACTTTGCTTTTGACCCATTTTTTTTGATTTTGTGATGAACGTTTCTTGGTTCATAGTTCGTTCTATGTTCGAGAAAGCTCATCTTAATAGATTAAATATCGTAAATTAAGGATATCAATGGCTACGGCCATATCACGATGAATGAACCCATCCCGTCCGATTTGAGAAGTTAAGCATCGTCGAGCCACATCAGTACTGAGGTTGGAGACAACTTGGGAACCTGTGGTGCTGTAGTCTTTTATAATATTGCTTTTGAGGTGGACGCTTGTTTAAATTACAAAAAATTTGAAATCATTAATCAACTTTTTAGCTTCAGAATCAACACCATTAACCCTGTAAGAAGTGAATGAAAAAAGAAAATAAAGATCATCTGCTGAACATTGAATTTAAGATTGTAGTCAACTCCGAGTAGTTGTAAATTTCACAAATTGTTCCGTTATTAGACTCGAAATGGATGAGAAGAACATGTTCTTGGAATCATACTAGAAAGTTACGCCACATTTAAATATCAAATCAAAATCCCAACAAAAAAATGTCTCATCACAACGCATTGATCATCACTGCTTGTTTATTTGCAATCTTGTTGATTGTCAATTATTCTACTGCCATACATCCTCGTTCTATACTGCCAGCAATGGTCAACCAAAAGGATTACCCAACTTCTTGCTGTTTACCAAGAAAAATCTCCTTGAAGGGAAGTACAATGCAAGTAGGCTTTGCTGGTAATGAAACCAACACATACTTTGCTACATGGACCATCAATGATGATTTAGATAATGGAAAGGCAAGAACAGATGTGACCAATAGCAATATTGCACCAAATACTACTATAATTTCATACAGAAATGGCCAACTTACTTATTCCTATACTATTATTTGGGGACAAACATGTTTCTGTGTGAAAACTGCTCAGAACAATTGGTCCAATAACTATTGTACTATTGGAAAACTATTGGAAGAATCAAATATTGGCTTTAATAAGGCACAAAAATATGGAACTGAGACAATTATGCAAAGAGGAGTCGATAGATATATCAGCACCGAATATTATTGGACACTTCCTATTGATCAACAAAGTTGCGTTTTTGCAAGTTATGTTCAAGCAATTACTCAACCTGAGGGAAGTTTCTCAAAGAATGTACAATTTTCTGGAGCAAGTTATCAATTAGATCCAAAACTTTTCACAATTCCAGATAGTTGTCCTCCAGAAAGTCAATGTCGTACTTACTAATTCATTTAAATTTGAATAAAGTTGAAAGATTACTTTATCTGAAATAAACAACTGCTAAATTTATTCTTTCTTCAAATTTCTAGAAGTTTGACTTCCAAAAGCAAGTGGAAATTTCTTTCTAATAATAAAAAAAGGTCAATTTAGAAATAATACTAATTAAAAAAAAATGGTTGTTTGTTGGTATTGGTTAGCAGGTTGTTGTCGATTTGGCGATTCTTGCTGGTATGATCATTTCAAAACAGATGGTGCACCATTAAGGGAAGAAAGCAAATTACAAAATTTATTGGAAAAGGAATTGGAAGAGCAAGAAAATAGTGTAGATGATTATTCGGATTTCGAAAACTATGATTCCGAAAACTATGGCTATGATTCCGAAAGCTATGACTATGATCGTGGTGATGTTCAAAAAATTAGAAATACATTATTATTTGGAAAAGAATTGTATTGTGATTGTGATGAGGAAGAGGAGGAAGAAGTGGAGGAAGAAGACGAGGAAGAGGAAGATGAGGATGAAGAGGATGAGGAAGAAGACGAGGAAGAGGAAAATGAGGATAAAAAGAAAGCTCGTAAATGTAATAATTCTGATGATGAGGAAGATGAGGATTCCGATGAAGAGGAAAGTTCTGATGATGAAGATTTGAAAAGGAAAATTCGTCATCGTAGGAAAAAGAGAAAATTGAATAATTCTAAACATGTAACACAATCTATCAATACTAATGTAACTCCTTCACTAATTATTATTCGACATCCTAATTATCATTTTACAAATTGGTTGAATACTATTGTATTACACAATATTTTCATGTATTTACCAAATAGTGATCAATTACCATTTAGACTTGTTCATGCAGCTTTTACCAATGAACTCTACATTGGATATAATAGTCATTTACAGTATCGTAAATATCAATTTCAAATATATCTTTTATTTAAAAACATAATTAACAGTTATTTAGATAAAAAATCTACAATTGCATCTACTATGCAATTTATTAATGGATGTATACTCCATTTAAATGCACATATATTAAACAATCAATTAGTGTCAAATGATTCCACTCATTCAATTGATATGAATGATTATTTATCATCCAATGATGAAAATTTAAAAATATTGAACAATTATAAACAATTATTTAAGGATGGAAATGTTAAATTTACAAGTTGGGCATCTGTTAAATTGGATCATTCACAAGGAAGTGTTTGTAAATTATCTATAAAAAGAAAAGATGGAAATGGATTTATGGAATTCTTTCAACATCATGTCAAGACAATATGTAGTGGAGATGATACATGCCATGTTTATTATTATTTGGCAGCTAGAAAAGAAAAAAGAATGGAAACTTTGTTATTAACTGACACATATGAACAAGATAAAGTAATTCATGATAAGGAGGCATTGAATGATGTATTTTCATTGTTGGATATTCCTCTAAATTGGAATTTGGAAGATTTTGTTAAATTTTTAATGATTTGTTCATGCTCGTTCAAAATTCACATTACCAATTTTTCTGAAAAGGAATATGCAATAGTTGATATTTTACAATTTTTACAATTACACGATTTAAATTTTAATTTATTATCCAAAAATAATTCTAATAATAGTAATTCCGATAGCAATTCTAATGATAGTAATTCTAATGATACCATCCGTAGAAATTGTCATACATGTTATGAATTGGATGGAATTACATATATGGAAAAGCTTGTGAATGAAATTTCATTACAATCATATCATTTCAATAGTAGTCAACATTTGAAAAGTTTAATTGATTTAAGAAATTTCTGTTTGAAATATTCTGGAAAATTAGTAAAATTTGAAAATAGTGATTACAATATTAAATCTAAAGCAGAAAAACATTTGAAAAAGAAACAATTAAATGATGATAGGAAGGGTTTTTCAGTTTCCATATCAAGTCCAGTTTTAGATGAAATGAAAATTTATTCAGAATGCAATTTTAAAACAACAAGTAATGAAATATTGAATGTAATACTTGAAGTTACATCTTTTAATGGATATGATGATTATAGTTCAACTAGTTTTAAAATATTTAAAAACAAGACTGAGAAAATTGAATGGAAAGGTATGTAGCTGTATTTAATTATTTAATATTTAATATATTTATCCAATAATAGAATATATGCCAACATCAGAACTTATTACGGATTTGAAGAATAAGTTGTTGAGCGATATGAATGATAGTGTGAGCAATACGAAGTTTGTAAAAGCTCTCATTATTTTCATGTCAAAACATCATTTTCACAAATTTTCAGATTCAAAAGCTTATACTGCAACACGCAAGAACACCATTGTTGAGGAGATTGCATAAATTGGTTAAGCTCTGTACCTTTTCCAAAAAGAGCTGGCTTACCAGGTTGAGACATAGGTTTTGCATTTGGGTCAGATAACAGTCAATAAATCAATTGAATGGCTGCGGCCATTTCAGTACTTTTTACTTTAAATATCAAGGTTTCAAAATTAAGTCATAGTATTTGCTCTTTCCAAATCAAGAAAATTACTTAAAAATTGGTTGGTTGGAAAACCGTAACTATGTCCTGCACTGAGAGCAAATCATTTGGAATTTTCAAACTTCTCCTAATACCCTTAAAATCCTGTCCATTCAAAATACTCCTTACAGTTTCCTTTACATTGTTATAAATAATCCACTCTGTGTCACCATTTTGAGACTTTTTAACTTCGATTATTATTCCAAAAATTGGTGAGCCCTTCATTTGATTGATAATCTTTTGACCTCCCTTTTGTCTGGCTGAATCATCAGAGACTGTAACATCACCAACTCCTCCCAATAAATCGCGTAACACTGGGTTGACCAGAAGTTTTTCCAAAGTTCCATGAGCTGAGGCACACAAACGGACTCCCCTTTGAGAAATAGTTCTACATGTTTGCACCTCCTTAGAATCACTAATCTCATCAATGACAATTACTTGTGGAGAATGATTTTGGACAGCTCTCAACATGTCAACTCTTTGATTTTTTGGATCTTTGACAGGAATTCTTCTCGAATCTCCTGTTGCAGAATGAGGCACATCTCCCAAACCTGCAATTTCACAAGATGTATCTACTATCACTACTCGATTCTGTTCTGAAAGAACTCTACTCAAATCTCTAATCAATGTACTTTTACCAGAATTAGGAATACCCACCAGTAGGATATTTTCATTCGAATTAGTGACATCTTTGAAAAGTTCTCCAATTCCTACAACTGCTCTGCCTATTCGAATAGTTAAGCCAATCACGTTTCCAATTCTGGATGTAATTCTACTGACACGATGTAGTGTTCCACTAATGCCAGCCCTGTCATCCTGTCCAAAAATTAGATTTTGACAAATTGAGTTTAAAATTTGATAGTCGATTGTACAAGTTTCGTCCTTTTCGTCTTGTTGATAATAGTAGAGTCTCAAGGGTTTCTTAATATCCATTACAATTTCAACCAATTGATCCAAATTTTCACCACATTTGGCTTTCACTCTCTCTGCAAATTCTATTGGAAATATTTCGAATAATTCATCAAGTTGATTCTCAATCACAACCAATTTCTTTTTACTTTCCTCTTCATCCAATTTAGTAAATAATACCTTCTTCTTCTTATTGGTTACTATTTGCTCAATATTTAGCTTGGCAAACATCAAGTCAAAAAACTCTTTAGGTTTCTTATAATCAATTTTCAAAGAAAGTGCAGCCAACTGATAAACCTCAAGAGAAAACAATCTATCCAATGGTTTAGTCAATTCAAAGAACTTTTTTGGATACAATTCTTCATCCACTTGATTCAAATCTCTAATCAATTCAAATTCCTCACTTTCATTGAATTTCAAATCATTTTCTGATAATTTTTGAATAATTTGAAAGATCGTTCTCTTTCCATTCATGCCAAGTATAATTGATTCGCATTGCTTGTAGAGTGGATCCTTTTCAATGTAGGCAGTGATGGCATCCTTGTGAATACTATTCGAATGTTTGGCTAATTGTCGGAGTGTAATGACTTGTAGAAGAATTTCCTGTCGTTCCTCTGAGGCACTGACCATGATGATGATTATGAAAATCTGATGTTGTAGTTGTAGTGGTAATGTTTTTTGTGTTGTGTAAATGATGGAAAATGAAGGAAATTTAAAGTTGCTGTTGTTTGTGAATTCCCAACGTAAAAATAGAGTTTTTAAAATTGGCGACCTGGAATATTGCTGTTGTGTGTAGATTCAGCACTTGGTGATGATTTTACTGAAAATTTAAATGATGAATAAGTCAATTAGTGTTATGATTATGGTGATGATGTAAAATTCTAAGTTTCACCATGTGAAATCACTCCGAGATTCATCCCACCAACATTGAAATATTGTGAAATATATTTCCATTCCACAACCACACAACCATGCACTGAATCTGTGGTTGTGTGGTTGTGGATATCTGAAAGTTCAAATTCATCTTTGATTCTTCTTAAAAAAAAAATAGAGAGAAAACACATCGAACAACCATGATGATGAATCCATCAACACACCAAGAAGATCTTGAAAATTCCTCGCCAGTAATCATCACATTGGACAATATTCCACAACATTCCACCATCGAAGTGCAATTACAACAAAAATTGGGGAAACAAGCTCCGAAGGAGGAAATTCCATTTTCCTACAAATTTAATTTGAAACAAGTTATAAAATTGGATAGAAAGGGATTGGAAATTCCTAATGATGATGATGATGATGATGAAGAGGCACAAGAAGAAGAAGACGAAGAAGAAGAAGAAGAATTTGATGAAAGACAAGTTGATTTAGATGAAGAAGCAATGTATGAAAGGCATTATAGTGGACCAATTGAAGGAGGAATGCCAAATTGTGTTACAATTTCACATCAATTTCAATGTATTATTGTGGGAGCTGATGGTCAATTGTTGTTTTTGGATTTTAATACTAAAAAATTCATCAAGGGAATTAGATTGCATAGCTCATTTAGTGATATTGCAATTGAAAAGGATGGATATAGAGGTGGTGAAGCCCTCATTGTCTCATTTACCAGACACACAGTTGAGAAATATGATTTGGAGAGCTTGTTTAAGAGTAACGAAACTAAACCAAATATCCAACCATTGTGGATAAGTGGCACTAAAAAAACTGGAGATAGTGGAAGAGGATTTACTGATGAGTTTAACTATAATTGGCCTGAAATGATAGCCATTTGCTATTCCAATAAGTATGATTCTTTCAGAAATGAACATGATGATAAGAAACTTGGAAATATTCTATTCGTATGTGATAAGTGGAATAATCGAATCAAGATTTTGAATACGTTTGATGGGAAACAATTGAAAATATTTGGAGAGAAGGGAAATTCTCGTGAATTAGGATCTAATATTGAGTTTAGAGAACCTTGGGGTATTTCATTGGATAACCAAGATCGTATTTGGGTTAGTCAATTTGCAGGACATTGTGTTAAGAGATTGGAAAATCAAGTTGGACAAATGGTAGTGGATCAATGTTTAGGTGATTCAATGATCATGTATAATCCACTGGGAATTTTCTATGACAAACTGGGGAATAGATTATTGATTGCTGATAGTGGAGAATGCACAATTTCTATTCTCGATTTGGAAAGTGGAAATTTTATGGATTCAATTACTAATAGTTCATTTAGATGTGTTTCAGATGTTTGTATCAATTATGAAACTGGAGAATTATATGTTACTGATCAATACTCTGAACAATTATTCATTTATGAATAAATTTGAACAGAGGATATCAAAGTTACAATCTCAATATTGATTTGGCAGGAACCACATCAGTTACAGTGGCTAAAGTTGAAATATTGAGAGAGTACTAAGTCCCCAATCATATTATGTAAATTCCAATTCTTTCTTTTAAGGATTCAGAAATTAAAACTCACTATCAATTTGTTTTCCTTGAGTGATATAAGGAATATTTTCATCATGAATGTAAGGGGATGATAATGTACAAGACAATTATCTTTTAATAGTCGGACGTATCTGTAAATCACCAATTGAATAATCATGGAATATTTTCAACATGAGCTCTCTATTCATCAATTTTTTAGTGTGTGTAATTCTCAAATCTCCTCTTTTGAAAATGAATTCGAGTTGATCTTCCCCAATATAATCGTCATAATGTTCTATTGGAACATAGGACAAGTAGAGAAGAATCTCAGGATACTTTGAAAAAAAGGGTGCAACTTCATAAGATGAATAAAATCTACTCACTGAAACATCATACTGTAAAGTAAATTCCAAATATTTAAATCTCTCTCTTCCATGAACATCTGCATGAATACAGTGAAAACACTGGGGTACAATTGAAAGAATTTGAGGAAGGAATGGATCTTGTTCCTTGACAAATCGAAATGTTGCGGGATCTCTTTTCGCACAATTCATTACAAGTTCGTGATAATTTTCAATGGAAGGATCGACATATTGTAGAGTGAGAGGATCTAGCTCAAGTACTGGTAATATAATTTCAGGATTCTTTTTGAAAGCTGTAGTCATAAATTGAAGATTGTTTGGCAGTTTTCTGATGGCCAATAGAGCTATTTCTAAATCAGATTTGAATTCAAAATAAATGTATCTGAATATGTGTGGATTAATTTCTAGAGCCATCTTGGTTAATTCTCTATCTTTTCTCAATTCCAATTTGATAAATGAAAAGGAAACTGGAAATCTCATATAAATCAATGATTCTTTTACAATTTGCATATCTTGAAGAGATTCGTCAAACTTTTCATATGAAACTCCACATTTGAGCATTTCAATCATTAATTCTCTATCATTTCTATAAGAATGATTCGTTGGAAAATGATATGCATCCCTCTTTGCAATAATTTTCAACATTTCCTTATCCAATTTCAGAATTTTCACAAGATATTCAATCGATGAATCATGGGTCAAGGCATAAATTGCAAATTCTCTCACTTTTAGCAATGATTCATCCAAATGTTTTGCAATTTTTTGTGGAATTCCTTTTTCACTTTGAATTATTTGCATCATGAGTTCTTTATCTTTTCTAAAAGATTTTGAAATTAGCTCAAGACATTCTGGATCAATTTCAAAAGCCATTAATATTGATTCTCTTGTTTCTTTCCAATTATCTGGTAAATATGAAAAATTTGAATGGATTCGTTGTCCACTTTTTGCAGCCATCACACCTAATTCAAAATCCTTTTCCAAATTATTGACATGTGGCACATATCCATATTTACTAGCCAGTAACTCAAGAATTTCTCTGTCCATACACCAATTAGAATCTTTAAATAATGAATAGAAACACTGATATCTATTCGAAGAGAGTTTCGCATTCTTTAGAATAGCTATTAGAAACTCTCTATCTCTTAAAAAATCTTGACGACAACACGAAAGTACATCATGAATTTCCATTTTCTTAGAACATTCAAGCATTGTTTCTTTATCAACACTGCGCAACCAACCAACTTGTTTCAAATAATCACAATTTTCAATAATTTGTTTCTTTTCGTATTGAAAATCGTTTGGTTTCTCCAAATTTGATGGTTTACATTCCAAGAATTTTCTCATCATGAATAAATCAAATTTCCATTTCTTATCCATTGACATATAAATATTGCGTTCTGATTGTGAGTTTCGAATAGCTTTTGCAAGAATTGACATGTATTTCACATCCAAAAATCTTTCTCGATATCGAGAGAGAAGAAGCGAGCTTTTTGGTGTTTGATCAAGATGAACAATCACAACAGCAAAATCGTCTTCCATTGTTGTGTGAATATTTTTTTATGGTTTGACTAAACTGGAACAATGGAGTTTTAGTCTTTGCATAGTTCCCTAACATTGTTGGAAACTAATAAAACATAATTAGGTTTCACTATGAATGTAAGGGGATGTAGCTCACATAGAGCGCTTCTTTAGCATGGAAGAGGTACGGGGATCGATACCCCGCATCTCCACTCATTTTTTATCAAATTTGACTCTTGTCTACTTAAAGTTCAGAATTGCAGTCTACCATTGCAATTTCTATTTGTAAGACAGACTCCATTTATTACAACATCGGAATCATAATAATATTACAAAATTTTAAATATCTTACAATTAAAAAAAAATGTCAACATCAAATGCGCTTCAAACAGCTCTCGAATTCAAAGAAGAAGGAAATCAACTCTTGAAAATCGGCACCAATCTCCCACAAGTCATTTCCCTCTACACCAAAGGTTTAAAAACACTCAAGAAAGCAACACAAGTTGATTCAGATCAAAAGAATAAGATTCTAGTTGATCTGTATAATAATCGATCACATGTTTATTATTTGATGGGTAGTTTTTATAATGCTGTTCCAGATGCACAAAATTCATTGGAAATTGATAAAGAAAATGTCAAGTCACTATTGAGATTAGTTAGAGCAGCTATCAGAGTTAACGAGTACTCAAAAGTGATTGAAAATTGTGAAAAGGCAGAATTGTTGTTAATGGGCAACTCGACAGATTCTTCAATTCTTACAAAGAATGTTGAAATATTTAGAGAATTTAAAGAAAAAGCACAAATTGGTAAAGAAAATCATGAGAAATTTATGAAAGTTTTTCAATTACTGGAAGAAAAGGATAATGCCCAAGTGAGGGAAATTCTCGATACATTCAATGAGGATATCAGTTTAGTTTGTGATCATCATGGAGAATCCTTCTTACATTATGCATCCAGAAGTGGAAATTTTGAAATGGTCAAGTATCTATTGGAAGAAAAGAAGATTTTCATTGATATGCAAAATTACAGAAGTGCCTCTCCATTGTACTATGCTGCCTATTCAGGATTTCCTGAGATTGTTGAATATTTGATGGAAATGAGAGCCGACCCAACTCATGCTTCATCATTCTCAGGTAGGAAACCTCATGAGGTCTGCAGTTCTGGTGAGATGAAGGGAAAACTCACTCAATACTTTACAAAATTTGAAAGTATTAAGAAGGATCCATTCTATAATTTCAAATATAGAATGGGAGAGTATTGGAGACAGAATTTATTCTATTTCCGTCATCCTAATGCTGAAGGTTATTTTCAAGGACTTCAAGTTTTTCCAAAAGCAAGAGAAATTGTTGTCAATTCAGACATTCAAGAATTATTGAAAGTTGTCATTGAAAAAAGGAGTGAATATGACAGTTTCTTTACTGATGATAGAAAGAATCAAGCTCATGATGAATGTCTCTTGTGTAATGAAATTGTTGAAAATTGTGCTAAATGTAAATTTTGCAGAATGGTCAATTTGTGCACCAAGTGTGAAAATAGCTCAGATCAATCGATTACCGTGATGAAGACTATTCATCAGAATAATTGCAAATCAGGAATGTATTTCTAGAAATAAAAGATTTACTGAAATTCATTTTCTTTTAAAAAGAGTTAAGGTAATTGTTTTGATTAGTGATTGGTGGTGGCATTACATTCGACAATGACATCACTAAAATGAGCTTCTGTCAACTTGTTATTGAATGCATAGGTCGGAACAATGTTATCCAATTTCAAAATTAAGAGAATATCATTATTAATAATGTGAACTACTTGATTTTCACCTCTTCTTGTTTTGAAATATGCCAAATATGGAACAAACAACTTGTGGTAATTCATTTCAATAGCTGATTTGGAATATCTCAATGATTTTGGTGTTCTCTTATCCACATTAAAGTTGAAATACTTATCTCCACTCGAAATGAGAACACACTTTGAGTTTGAATCATTCATCAACTCAGTAGCACATGGATATACTGGTTCACCAATATAAGGGCAGTTAGATATAATTTTCTCCGAGTTAAAATCCAAAATCAACCAAAAATAACTGTCTTGTTTTCATTTGACAATGGAGCTGTCATTCTTGCTTGAAAATTGCCATTCAAAGTGAAACAGGATCTATCTCCTAATAGTAATTCCTCCTTCTCCTGCTTTGAGAAAATCCTTTCCAGCTCACTAAACTTGAACATGGATAATTTTGGTGGATTATTGTAATAATCACCTTCCATACATAATAAAAAGTTTTCACTGTCTTGGGAAACTGCATATTTCACAGATGGAAAGACATGATTAATTGAGACATCTTTCTTTTTCCATTTGAGTGTTTTCAAGCTCAATTCAGCGATCCATGGTTTAGACCATCCTCTCCCAAATACATAAATTGCTTGATTACGTTTCGAATAGATTATATTCCCAAACATGCAAGTAAAATTACTTTCATCAAACACTTGATTATTCTCTGTTTGAATTGGTTTCCAATCAAATTCAAAACTAGTGTCTAATCCTCCATCTTGTGAATACTTTGTGGCAGGATCCAAATCAAGCATTAACAAAGTCTTTTGATATCCCAATTCGAAACTTGATCCACCAAACGAAACTAAAGTTGGACTAGTAAAACATTATTGGCACAACTATGCAATGGAGGTTTAGGAATGGAAGGATTAGAAAGTGGCACCTGATTATCACTAGGTGGAACTAATTTAAATCTCTTCTTTTTCTTTCGTTGATCAGCAATGGATGAAGAAGGAAGTTGAGGAGGAGGTGGTGGCGGAAGAGGTGTTGTGGTGGTTGAGGAAGAAGTAGTGCTGGGTGAAATGTTAATTGGTGGAGGTGGCACTTGGAAAGGAGGTGGAGGAATGATCATTTTTTTTTAATTTGAATCAAATCTAGTGGTTGACTTGGATGATTGGTAGATGTTAATGTTCAAAGTTCAAAGATGACAAAATTTCAAAGTTACAGAAATTGAATATATATAAGGGTCTCTACAGCAAGTGGTAGAAACATATCCCTTAAATGGAAACAGATTACACAACCAAACTACAGGCAACAATTTTCAATATGATTGATTTTCATGTAAGGGACCATGGTCTAGTGGTATGATTCTCGCTTTGGGTGCGAGAGGCCGTGGGTTCGATTCCCACTGGTCCCCTTCTTTTAATTCTTTGTTATTCTTTTCATATTAAGGCTCTTTACCTCTTTACATGCCTAAGGAACCTCTTTTTTTTCCTGAACAACCCATTGGAAATTACATATAATTATCAATAAAAAACAATTTATATTTGAACCACTTACCACTACATTTTCCTCAACACCCCAATAAGTCCAAAACCACAACAACTCAAAAGAAAGAACACCACACATTTACCCTTCCAGTTCTTGTGGTTGTGTACAACGACAACGACCGCCTCAACAAACAACTCTCCAACAACACCCTCACAAAAAACCCAAGCCCGAATAAATTCATTTCATCATCACACAAAAAAATATCAACAAACCACCAACCATCACCAACATTCGCGTGTACGACGACACTCTTGGTCCTGCTGTACAACACCATCATCATCATCACCGCCGCTGCTTGCTGCTGAAACATTTTTGTTGTTCGTAGAAACGCGCTTCTAGATTGTTGCTGCTGTTTTTGTTTCATATTGTTGTTGTTGTTGGTTGTCGTTTGTTCGTCATTGTTTATCACTCATAATACTAGTAGAGTAGTAATAGTAACAAGTGCGAATTAATCATCTGTAATAACCTACTTGTAGTGTAGATTATTGAATAATCATCAAAGGACTATTCATCATCAGCTTAATAGTAATTTTTGTAAAATCATATATTGAATCTTGACTTGTGTAAACAACGTTATTTTCCTCCATTTTCTCTTTCTATTGATTAGATACGCCTCTTTCCACTCACCATTCACCTCTTGCTAGATAGCTGCTAAATTATATATTTGCACTACTATAATCCAACCTCCACTACTGTGAAATTTCACATTGATAGATTTTTATATTGCTCTCAACACTTTCCTTTTAACACATTTACCACCACCACAATGAAAAAACTCTCCTCCCACTATTCTCTCATTCACAATTGTACAAAACCAAATAATACCACTACCAATACACCTCCTCTAGGCCATTCCCAACCATCAACTGTTGTTGCTCATGATGCTGCTACATTCACACATTCCAATTCTTCCTCCTCTCTCCACTCACCAACTAGTTCTGCGCTCTCAACAGTCGCTACTACTACAAACTCCACCTCTGTTTCCTCCTCCAACAATGATAACTCACCAACAGTTATCGACAAGTCAATACTTGTGAACGACCCTCTTCACTTTTACCATCAATTCAAGAGGATGAACGCTAAACATTCAAATGATATTTCTCCAACCCACTTGAGTGCAGCAACTACCACCTCTTGTGCTACTTCTTCCCAACAACAAGTAGCTTTCAAGAAGGACGATCAACAAACACCACCACCAGGTGCAACAGACTCTTTCAGAAATATTCTCTCTGTTGTAACTACTTCAACGTCCAATATTCGTTCGTCCACTATTGTTGCCAATACATCTTCTACTGCACAGCCTTTGTCTTCTGGTAATAGCTCATCTGTTTCCAATGTCCAACAATCTACCCGTTCCTCTTCTTCTTCCACACCATCGCACCACCAAACAGTAAATAACAGTAAACATCATGGCGAGGTCAATACTTCCAATGGAAAGAAGGGTAGCTCTTCCCCAACAGAACTTTCAACTGACTCTGTTAAGCAAATTACCTCCAACACTGTTTTGCCTCGTCTTCCAAGAATTCGCATACCAAGCAACACCTCAAGCAATGGTGGTGGTAGCAATAGTAACACACCAACCAATCTAATGACACCATCCTCCCTTTCTAATTCTTCCTCATCCTCCTCCAATATGATGCAAGACTTTGCTGACAGCCCAAGTAGTGGTTGTAATCTTTTGTCTCGTGATGCTCCAGATAATCCTTCGTTTATTAACAGAAGAATTTTCGTTGGAGGGCTGAAGGAAACTACATCAGAACAAGAGCTCATTGATTTCTTCTCTCGTTCACCAAATAACTATGGACCAATTTCACACTGTGTCATTATGAAAAAGTGGGATGGCAGATCGAGAGGATTTGGCTTTGTTACCTTCTCTGATGAAAGTATTGCCAAGAAGGTTCTATCATACCATAAAGAACATCCATTCATGATTGGAAACCACAGAATTGATTGCCAAGTTGCCCAATCTCAAGGATGTAAAATTGATAGTGTTGATATACCAACACACGCCTCAACCATTTCTTCTTCCTCAAGAATGGTTGATGATGAAAGATTATTCACTAACAATATTCACAACTCAGATACACAATCTGACATGATTTATGGAGCCAGCTCCACAGACTTATCAAGGTCTGGTAATAGCTCATCAGCCTCTTCCAACAATTCACCAACTATTAAGAAGGATACCATTTCTTCTTTTGATAAGAAGCGCAGAATTTTTGTTGGTGGTTTACAACCTCAAGTTACTAAACAGGCTGTTCATGACTACTTCTCCAAACATGGTACTATTGAGGACTTGCAATTAATTCTCAATAGAAGAACACCATTTGCTTTTATTACCTATACAAGTGAAGATAGTGCCACCAAAGTTTTGGATGATTTCCATTCTGGAGTTTTATGTAAGGAATTTGCTGCTCATGATGTTAGAAGAGCCATGCCAAAAGGAAGTTTCAGTTTCACAAAACAAAGAGAACGTGAAATGGACATGACAAGAAGAGTTCCTCCTCATAGAGGTATGCCTCCAACAGAAACATCAACCAGACAAGCACCAATTCCTAATAGCCAACCAATAGTTCCATCCAACAACGGTTCTAGAAAGTCTGGTCATACGCCACCAAGTTACAGATATACTCCGTATGATAAATCAGGAACATCAAGAAGAGGAATGCAACCATACTATGATCATTCTCCAACTAATGGACCAATGCAACCTAATGGTTTCTTTGGTCCTGTTGATGTTCCTTCTTCACACATTTCTATGTATCCTACTGGTCATCCTTTACATCACCATCACCAACCACATATTGATGAAAGATATATGCAACCATTACCTGGTCAACCAATGCCATCAACATCATCTTTCTATCCACCTCCAATACCTCCCTATTATGATCAACCTTACATGATGATGCATCACCACCACCATCAAGGAATGCTCAATGGAAGAGATCCGTATATGCCAAGAGAAGCAGGTGCTTATAGACATTCTGACAATATTTCTAACAGTAGCGGAGAAATGGACGATATTAGAAGATAGGTTTGTTTCTATATATTATTTAGATGTAAGGATAATAAAATTATTTTTTATTTCCATGTAGTTCACAATATTTTTTTCTATACTTGGCTATTGGATTGGTGCAACCAGCGTGTTGACATTTTACAAAGTCCACACTCATACTTTCCTTTTTTAATGGTTTAGCACCATGTTCAGCACAGTATTTCTTTCTACTCTTTTCAATTTCATTTGTACAGCCAGGATATTGGCATTGCTTTGAAGTTGTGGATTGTGTAGAACTCTCAGCTTCACTTTTAACATCCAAAGTGTGTAAGCTTGTATTTGAAGTGAAAGTTCTTTCATTTGTTTCTTGCTTTACACTTTGAAAAGGTGAGGTATTGGATTGAATTATTTGCACAAACTGAGGAGGGGATTGTGGATTAATGGCTTGTTGGTGTGGAATATTAGGTTGTTGACTGATCATTGTTGGCACTTGTACTGAACTATTTGGTACTGAAACATTGATTGCCTGTTGTGGTGGTTGATAATTGAGAAAACCTCGAGGTGGTATCTCACCATTATTCTTCATTTTCACAACTTTGGCTTTTGCTTCAGGAAAATTCCATTTAAATTCCAATAGACACTGATAGGAAAATTCATAATTCAATCCAGTTTCATGCATTAATTTTAACAATAAATCCACTCTCCCTTGACAAACAATCAAGTTCAACGAGGCATCCTCAAGAATTCTCTTTGCCAAATAAAATTTCATTCCTGTTTTTGTGGCAATTTCGGAAGGATAAGTCACTAGGAATAGATAGGCAGTATCACAATTGTTTTGGAAAAATTTTAAATACTCTCCACATGATTCGATGGTTATTAGTGGTGCACATTCCCGATCAAGATTTTTAATGCAATGTTGGTAAAGTTGGTGTTGCAGTGATGATTCAGTCATTTTTTTTTTTAATTCTTCTTTTGTGATTGGAATTCAGTTTTTGATTGATGACGTATTGTTTGTTTATTGAATGTGCTTGTGGTGTGTTTGTGTGCCAAATATACATTTGGTAATTAACAAAGTGAGAGCAATTATTCTTCAGTTAGTCCAAGTTAGATTTTCTTTCAAAGAATTCTTATTTTCCAATTAATTATTCAAATTTTGTTTGGAATTGGCTCTTTCCATTGTCTTGCTTCTTTCCAGGTAGGCATTATACTCGTCGAACCATGATCTTTGTGGATAGGCTTTCATATTCTTTTCTAAGCATTCCTGCAGACAGAAAACATCATCAACACTCTCATTCCATGAGTGATTTCCGTAACTGGTTCTTTCGGCTAGTATCTTGGAGAATCCCTTGCTCAATGCTTTGGCTCTATCCTTGATAAATCGTTTGAAAAACATATCTGTATCCAGTGAGAGTTTTAAATCTCCAAAATAAATATAGGTCAGAGTGCACTTGTTTGGTCCACTATGCTTAAACATGTAGGCATAGAGTAAGTCAACTGGTATCTTATCTTTGGACTTTTTCTTTTCCTCAAATTCAGCCGTCTTGGCAATATTGATATAGCAATTGGTTTTTCTATCAAAAACAAGAGTCTGAACAAAGGTTGCCTCTCTTGTCTTGTACAATTTTCCAATGTTATAACTTTCACTAGAGAAGGCAATAGATAGTGGTCGTTTCACATCCAAATCATCAACCTTGTATGTATCAAAATCACCAAGAGTGATTGGGTCACATTTCAATTTAGCTCTATTGGGGATTAATGAAATAATTTCAGGGAAAACTTACTTTCTATCCAGTGCCACTTTGTATGCTTCATCGACAGGAAATGGTAATTGAATGTCAATCTTGGCCAATTTCATATTGGAATTTGAATTTTCCTCACCAAGTAAAAACTTTTGATTGGAAATGTATGCCTGATAGGAAGTTTTCAGATATTTTTCTTCAATTACCTTTTCACCTAATAATTGCCATTCACTCTTATAGGCATCTGTGCAGAGCATGATTGTAAAGTAAATATCCTTATCGGTAATCAATGGATTTACGAAATCCTTTGCCTTATATCTGATATCTAGTTCATAACCTAGTTTCATGTTGATTGAGATTTTCTTTGTGAATTCTTCTCCTTTCTGAAGAAGAAAATTTTTCACTTCCTTACTCTTTTTAAACTTTGGAAAGTGCTCCAAAGCTAGATCATTATATACATAAAATTCTACACTGTCAAACAATTGACATAATTTCAATACAGTTTCTTGAATTTGATTCGGGAGTGCATGTGCCAAACACTTGACAAAAAACCCAGAATCTTCATCTAAATTGGGCGTGCTCATACTGTGTACAGAGGAGGATCTCTCCATTTTATCTGTCACTGTTTCGTCCAAAATCGTATCCATATCAAGTGAACCGGCAACGATGGTGTTTGTAAGTGGATTGTTATTACTTGATGTGTATGAAGTTCCAACCGAACTTGCCATTGTAGTAGTTGTTGTACTAGGAAGTTTAATGGTATCCAGATCAATTGAAAACATGTCACTTTCATTGCTTTCACTATTAAAAAACGATTTTGCACTCTTGGCAAATGATGACTGTTTAACTTCCACTGTATTCTTAATATGATTGATAGCTCCCCATCTTTTCAATAACAAGGATGACACCTCTGATGAAATATTAAGTTGAAGACGAGCATCATTTTCAATATACAATCCAATCATATCTTGAGCTAATTTGTGTAATTCAGTAACTGTTTTTCTCTGTAATGAAAACGTTGATGCAAAACTACTTTGTAAATTTTCTACACTTGTTGAATGTTCAATTTTCATAGTTGTTCCATTGTAAATATTCTTCCTCTTTTCTTTATATTTCCACATATCCTTTAGGAATGAAATAACTTCAGGAATTGAAAAAGATTGTAAATGGGTGAGAAATAAATCTCTACTCTCTGGAACTTCCATCATTTCCACAAATTGTAATTCATAATCATCCACTTCAAACATTCGAATAGGTTCTCCATTTTCATTTTGTTGTAGAATGGTACCTCGTCTTGGCGTTTTGGGCGAAACATCAGTGGCTGGACTTGCCATTCCTCGAGGTGATAGAAATCCAGGTGATTTGGCATCTTTCTCTATTCGGGCACCCAGATCCTTCAATCCTATTATTATTATTATTATTATGATCATCATTATAGTATTATTATAAATTAATATCATATTTCGAATAGTATGCAAAAATAATAATAATTATTGATGATGAAAACAATGATGATGATGATAATACTAGTAGAAGAACCTACCCAAAATACCTGTAGGAGTAAACGATATCATTCCGAATCTATTCTAATAGTTTTCTTTGCCGAGGCGATGATGATGAGGATTTTATGATGAAACTACAACAGCCTAAAGAAAAAGTAAAATGCACGAACAAGAAGGAACTTCGTAAATAAAAGGTTCTTTGATTTTTTTTTCTATTGAATAGAAAAATTGATTAAAAAAGCCAAATATGAAAGAGAGATGACTTTGGTCTTGTCAATATTGGTTTGGGCAAACATAAAAACAATTCTCCCATGCCGGGAATTGAACCCGGACCTCCTGGGTGAAAGCCAGGTATCCTAGCCATTGGACTACACGGGAATCTTATCCATTTTGAAAATATTAGCAATATGAAGCAAAAATTTCATTCTATTTTCGAAACTCTTGAACGAGGAAGTTGCATCTAGCCTTAATAGCTCTTGCAATCACTTTATTCTAGAGTTGATTCCGAATTTAAGCGGCAAAGCAAAACACGTGTTTACAAATTAAAAAAAAATTGCAACTCAATTTTCATCACGCAATTTTATTTAAATTTTGATGATGATTCGGAAAGGAAGTCACAACAAGAACAACTTTACAGTGTTCTTGCTCTTGTTGTTGATGATGACAACAAGCATGGCACTTATTTTGATGGTGGAAGCAAGAGATCCGAAGGGATATTACAAGACTTTGGGAGTTTCCGAGAAGGCCTCTCAACAGGAAATTAAAAAGGCATATAGAAAGTAAGTAGATTAATGTTCTTTATCAATTCATCATCATCATCATGTGTGCTATTTATTATTATTAAATAGATTATCAATGGCATATCATCCAGATAAAGCAAGAAACAAACCACAGACAGAGCAAAAAACTCTTCAACAGCAATATATGAAAATATTGGAAGCCTATGAAACACTTTCTAATGAGGATAAACGAAGACAGTATGATAGAGGAGGATTTGATCCATTCGAACATCATCAACATCATGGACATGATCAAGAGAGTGGATCATTCCACTTTTCATTTGGAGGAGGAGGTGATGATAATGATCCTTTTGAAGATTTTCCACAATTCTTTAAACATCATTTCCGATCTCAAGGACAGGGCCACAATCCATTCTTTTCATTCTTTGGAGATGATGATGAGGATGATGCTCCACCTTTTGGTTTTCATTTTGAATCGAATAGTAGAAGGAAAAATCAAAAGAGAAGAGCATCTTCAAGGAAAACACAAGAACCAGCCAAACAAAAGGACTCAGAGGGTGGATTCTTTTCCAATCTTTTCAGTACAATTGGTGATTTTTATAATGCCATTACTTCGAATAATGAAGATGATTCAGAGCAGCAGGAATATCAAACTGTGAAAAAGATTATCACTCAAATCAATCCAGATGGAAGTAGAACTACCCGAGTTGTTTATGAAAAGGTTCCAATCAATAATAAGAGGAGAACTGTTTTCAGATTCTGATTTTACAGCTGTAAAATTGTACATAGAAATTAATTTATTCGAGTTTACAAAAACTCACAAATCAAAATATATCCAATGATATCAAAATAATATTGAGATTCTACACAAAATCTCATTCATAATTTTACCAACCGCCAAACTATTCTATTGGTTGGTGAAATGAATGAAATTAATGAAGTTTACCGAGTTTACAATAAAATAAGTTTTAAAAGAAAAATCAATCAAAAAAATGTCTCAACCAACAACGTCCACTTCCTCATCATTGCCACCACCACCACGAAAACAATCACCAACCCGAGCATCAGGTGTTCGGCTTCCCAAACCACTCGAAAATGCAAATTATCAAACAAAAATCAATTTAATGTTCGCCAATCATATCATGTTCAATCCAATGTATTGCAAAACATGCTCCACTAATGAACATATTCTGGAGGATAGATCGGAAGGTAATTTCGTATGTACCAAGTGTGGCTGCGTGATTAGTCGATTGATAGACTTTGAAAATAATGATTGGAGAGATTTTGATGAGGATAAACCAAGTAATTCTCGTGTAGGAAATTCAACCTTAGAAGAGAATGAGGATGTATTGATAATTAATGAATCTAGAGTGCTAGGAACTAGAATTAAACCAGATTCTTCTAAATTGATTAAACTAGGAAAGATGAATATTGAAAATGAATTCCTCTCTGAAATTTTCAAACAGGTTACATCAATTGTTGTGGATCAATTCAAATTGGAGAGTAGATATACATTTAAAATTAAGGAATTACTCAAAGAAATTTATTCTGAAAATAGGAGAACGTTCAATAACAAGACGAGGAATCAATGTTTAGCAGCTTGCTTATTCTGTGGACTCAAATCTGAGGGGATTGGTAAGACATTGAAGGAGTTTTGTGTGATTTTACATGTTTCAAAGGAGGAAATATCAAAATGGGTTTCAATCATTCAGAAGAATCCAAAAACTAAGGAGCTCATCAAGACTAAGGATTACAATTCGCCTCAAGCATTTGTTGAGGATTTCTGTAAGAAATTACATCTTCCACCTAGTGCCATTTCAAAGATTAAGGATTTGGTTGACAAGGCCATTCAATCTGATCTGCTCTCTGGAAAAAGTCCATCAACAGTTGCAGCTGCTTGTTTATTCTATTTTATTTCCACCAGTACTGATCAGAAAGTGACAAGTCTTCAAATTGGAGAACAAGAAATTGAAGGAGCTACATCCATTACTAGTAATACATTCAAGAATGCTCTGGATTCAATTATTACTGTATTTAAGAAACAATAACAGAGATTTACTTCCCAAATTGCATATTTTATTTTTGTATTATTTTCCTAACATTTATTATTGTATGTTCGAACAGTTTCTTTCAGGGAGAACATTTGGAAATTGAAGTTGTATTATATAGAACCTTTTTCAGACATCTAATAATTTATCATGAGGTCAGTAACTATAATTGATTGAATTTATATTAAGAAACTCGATTTTTAATAAATGTTATTGTGGTGTTGTTGTAATGTTCGCGTAAGAATCAATCCATCTATTGAGAGGATAGTCACCACAACTGGATATTAATTTTCTTGTTGTGTGGACTATACTGTGACATGTTACAATGTTACCATTGCATTCAATGTGTTGAACTAAACCACCATCCATATCGATTTGTGGTACCATATCATTGGCTGGTTTCACACTGACACAATATCTGTCAATATTTTCCTCAGTGATTGAGAATTTTTGTCTGCTCAATAAAACTCCAGGTCCAGAGAAAGTCACAGCTTGCACCATGTTTCTTGAACCTACAATCTTGGCCAACCCACCACCCAAGCTGTGTCCAGTAAGAATTACTTGCCTCTTCAGTTTTGATTGGGCTACGTAATCATCCAATATTTGATAATAATATCTGGAATCGTCAAGACTTGTAACATTAGAACGAGGAACCATGGTCAACTTTTCAATTTGTGAAATGTACCAGACCAAGCTTGTCAAGAGAGATTTTGGCCAAACAGCAAATGGTCCAATAACAGATGCAATTTGAAGCAAACCTGCCTCCTTCCATACATCGAAATCTTGAACAATATCCTTTGGAATTATAGTTCCTCGAACTGAAATGATTGATAAATTCTTAGATGGAATGTACAAATCGAAAAAGTTAATGGTAGTATTTTCTCTTCTCAAAACTTGACAATTTCCACCTTTGCATTCAGGGAACCAAGTTTCCAAATCATGTGAAAAGTAAGGGTCTACCTCATAAGCCAAAGCACTGAACAAGGCATAATCAACAGGGCTGTATCCATGCCAACGATTATCACAAATATCAAATCTAGGAGTAGTGACATTGTACTGTTCACCAATTCTACTCCAATACAACTCGTCATTGGCTTGAGCATTCAAACTACCCAAGATGAAAATAGCTCCCAACAAGAACATAAAAGTCATCAAACAGGCAAATAATGCATCTGCAGCATCAATATCAACTCTCATGAACAATACGAAAGAAATCATAATGAGTAGAACAATTAAGCAAACTCCAGAAATCCACCCAATGAAATAGAATGTAAAACCAATCAATAAAAAGAGTGTAATCAATATGGAAAGTTGGAAATAAATTACTGTGAAATATCTAAAGAAGGTATGCTCGTGTTCACAGTGATAGTGAGGAGGTAAGTTCTTTCTATAATATTTGGATCTGTTTTTTAGAGTACTCTCAGTGAATGTCGATAATCTCTTACTAGAATTGCTATTTGGAATTGTTGGTGTCTTGATTTCAACTTCCTCAATATCAAATAGAGTAGCTCCCTCATTTTCTGAAGATTGTTCACTTGTAATTGCTGATCTTCTGACCAAAGATAAAACCTTATCCCACCACTTGTTCAAGTTGAATCTCAAAATTTGTAAAATGAATAAAATCAAACAAAAAGTCCAAGGAAGGAAGAATGTCAGATAAGTCTCTGTAAATTTGAAGGTGATACAGATGGCAATCACAATGGTAAACAAGAAGAGGAGAGTCTTGGCAGCCTTAAAAATAACATATGGACTGTGATAGAAAACCTCTTCAACAAATGTGATATACTTGTCAATTCTTGACAAGATCCAACTGAGTATACCATTCTTCTTTCTATCTTCGTTATAGTTCCAACTACAGAGTAATCTTTCTTTTGAAGGTTGATGTGGAGGAATGAAAAAGTATCTCTCAACAATAGTATTCACAATCATACAAACAACAATAACAGAGACAATCAAGAGAACATCTCCAACATGGAACAGTCCCAAGAGGGCAACAATAGCTATCATTAAACCCAAAACTATAAGAAACCACACAAAGGACATTTTGATATTCTTCTTTCTCTTGTGTTTGTTTTCAGGATCTTCTAATTTAGGTTTAAAGCACTTTCTGATTTTGTAGTAGAGGGCTGTCAATGTTGGGAAACTAATGCCTGCCAAGCAACAGTACCAAGTTACAAGAACCCAAACATTTCTCTCCTTTTCAATTTCATAGACCTTCTCATCTACTTGATGTCCAGCCAAATCAACAAAATCCTCACTCTCTGGAACAGAATTTGGAAGCTCTTGATAAATTGGTGGATTTACAGTTTCCTCTTCTCCTATTGTTGAAACGATGGCCATGTTATCATCTTCAATGTCAACAATCGAGGCAGAACTTGTTGCTCTATCTCTAGATTTGGCAATCAATTTTTCACTCTCTGTTGGATTAACAGTTCCATAATTGCTAGTTGTTCCATTCGATGAATCGCTCAATTTCTTTCTCTTGTATTCCATAGTTCTGAGACGTTCAAAGAATGCCTTTTTTCCTCCTAAAAACATGATTAATCTCTTCCAATTTTCAATCAAACTTCCAATCCACCACATCAATATGAAGAAGAAACTAATTACAAATCCAGAAGTGATAAAAGTTTGGAATGATTCACTCATATTTGATAAAAATCCAGATCCCTCTCTAGGATTGAAAAAGAATGTCATTAATCCAACCAATAGTGGCACAATTTCCAAAACTAAAATCAGTAATGCTTGAAAAACAATATCAATCCAACGAGGTGTTGAACCATGTCCTAAATATGGTAAAGATTGAATAAATGTTCTAAATTTCTTTGTAATGTGCAAATATTGCTCTTTCGACCACACTCTGTATGAAAGGATTAGACACTTTGATATTAAAATTAGTGTGTACGTACATTCTAATGAACTGCAAACACTTGGCAATAATCAGAGAAAAGACGAAACATGAAACTCCCAACATGCCAATCACTGCAAACTGTATACAAATTCTCTCCACATATGGATAAGCTTTCTAATTTCAATAAATTGTTCATATATTAATCATGTTTTTGATCGTGATCATTAATTTTTTCAATTAATATAAAGTTATTGTGATGATTATAATAGAAAGATTCTAGCAACCTACCATTGTATCTACAAAGTGGAATACATAGTACAATTGCACTCCAAACGACAAACCCTCCAACAACACCAAAAAGGCACACAATCCAACATTGTACGTCAAATAAAGCCTCCGAAGAAGCATAAACCAAGATCTATGCAGCTGCTCAATTGGTCTCATCCCAATAAACACAATAAATTATCAATCAACCAACACACAATTCTTCAAAAACCCGAAACAATAAGATGTTATTCTTCCGATAGAGTTTGAGAATTTTTTTTGATTTTTTAGTTTTTTGGAACCACAATAGAAAGTTGAGGCGGAAAATTTTGAGGGTTACACGATAAGAGTTGAGTGAATGTGAAAGTCTCTTTTCTTCATCTCTAGTTGAGATGGATTAGAAATTGAGTGTGAAGAGAGAAAATCCCCCAGGAGGATAAAAACTATTGGGTTAAGAAAATGTGAGCACTAACCAAATAATACCTTTACTGGCTGATTGGGGATTTAGAATAATGATATTTTTATTGTAGCGTTATCACTTGATAGGAAGGTCAGATAATCTTGTTTTACAAAAAGCAAATGCAAGTAAATAATGTGAATTGATTTTTTAATGAGATGGCTTGACTGTATTACAAATTGATACAGATATTCTTATCCTCACTGTAAAATTCCAAACTATAGTCACCTCCTTCACGTCCAACTCCTGATTGTTTCATACCACCAAATGGAGTTCTCAAATCTCTTAAAAGCCATGTATTGACCCAAACAATTCCTGATTCCAATTCATCACTAAAACGATGGCCAATTGATAAATTATTTGTGAGAACAACAGCACACAACCCATATTCTACATGATTGGCCATTTCCAAAGCTTGTTCCTCAGTTGAGAATTTGTGTACAGTTACAACAGGTCCAAAGATTTCTTCAGTGGCAGTTCTACTCTTAAAATCGAGTCCAGTAATAATTGTTGGTGTATAGAAGGCGCCATTCTTGACTGATTCATCTTGTAATTCAGCCCTCTTACCTCCAGTAACAATGGTTCCTCCCTCAAGTTTTGCCAATTGAGCATAATAATCAATTTTGATTAAATGTTCTTCTGAGATTTGAGTTCCAAAAGTGGTAGTATTCTCGAGTGGATTTCCAATCTTGGTATTCTTTTCAAGGAGTTGTTTTAACTTTTCAACAAATTCATCATGAATAGATTCGTGAACAATGATACGAGAGGTACACAAGCAAATCTGTCCTTGATTTAAGAAACCTGATCTTGCTGCAAGTTCTGCTGCCTTTGTAACGTCATAATCTTTTCAATAATTCAAAATAATTTTCAAATTCATATAATTCCACATCAATAATAATAATAGAATAAATATTGAGAAAGGGAATGAACATACCTCCAAAAACAACCATTGGATTCTTTCCTCCCAATTCCAAACTAACCTTCTTGAAATGTTTGGCTGCCATTTGAGAAACAACTCTTCCAGTGGCAGTACCACCAGTGAAAGTAATGACATTAATCTTTGGATGAGCAACAATGGCACTACCACAATCCTTTCCATAACCATGAACTAAATTGAATGCACCACTTGGCAATTTAACTTGTTCAATAACTTCAGCCAGCAAATGAGCTGTCATTGGTGTCAATTCTGAACTCTTTGCAATAACACAATTACCACAAGCCAAAGCAGGAGCTACTTTCCAACTCAACAAGTAAATTGGCAAATTCCAAGGAACAATAATACCAACAATACCAGCAGGTCTTCTAGTTGTATAATTAATTGTCTTGTTTGACATTAAATGGGCTTTGGTTGACTGTTGACGAACAGCTTGAGCAAAGAATCTAAAATTCGAAACTGCTCTAGCAACATCCATATTCTTTGCCAATGTAATTGGTTTACCAGTATCCCTACTTTCTGCCAATGCAAATTCATCAATTCTCTTTTCAATTTGATCAGCAATTAAATCCAAATATTTAGCACGGTCTTCCTCCGATAATCCTCTCCATGATTTTGATTTCCAACATTGAACAGATGCATCCACAGCCTTTTGAATGGTTTCTTCTTTCGAACAAGGAACGTACGAAATTACTTCGTTAGTTGCTGGATTTTTATTAACAATCCATTCATTAATATATTCTTCATTGATGAATTGACCACCGATGAAATTTCTAATAACATTTGATGATGAGGATGGAAGTGAATTGGTTGATTGCGGAATATTAGCTGGTGGGTTGGTCAATCCGTGTTGATCGGTGAGTGAGTGTTGTGACATTTTTTTTTAATTTTAAATGATTTTTTGTAAATTTAATTTCATTTCAATTTTGTTGTGTTTAGTTTTGGTTATTAGAAAGTTTGATTTTGCTTGGTCCTAATGCAATATTGTTAAATATCAGTTGAATAATAAGCTGAGGTTGGAGCAGCTTGTGAGCTTGACAGTAATCCTCTTGACATTTTACTTCTTTTAATGAACATGAAAACACCAATACCCAAAACAACGAGTGAAACAATTGCAACCACAGAAATAAACAAACCAAGAACCACACTTCCTACACCTCTGTTCATCGGTTCTGGTGGATTTGCATTATTGGCAACAATTAAAACTTCATGATCTCCTGCTAATAATGGATTCACATCACAAGTCAAAACATTGTTTTCAAAGGATACTTTTCTTGCCATTAATTCTTGATTACCTGATAGGAAGATACATGTCAATGAATTGAGATCGATTCTGTAACTGTCTCCAACAACATTCTTTACATTTTCATTCTTGAAAGACAAAGCTTGAAAAGTTGCTTCCTCAAATTGTAATGGATTCTTTGTAATTGTGACTGAGATACGAGAAAGTAAAACTCTAGATGTTCCCAATTTTTCATACTTTTGCTTCACTTGATTGACTGTAAGCATTGAAGGATTTGATGGTGTGAAATAATTTGCCTTTGGAAAAAGGTATCCCATCAAGTAATCATCATACGAAAACTGCAAATAGCTTGGATAGTATATGGCAATCTTCTTTCCAAACTGAACATCTAGTGGTGATTTAAAAACAAACAATCCAAAGATAATCTTCTTTCCAAAAGCTTCATTAATAGAGAAGGAATAATCCAAATCAATCTTTAAAGCATCAACAGGTTCTGAAAATGCATTTGTTGCCTCATCATATCTCAACATTTTATAAGAGTAGGGATCATACATGAATGGAGAAGGAACAGAAGTAGTAAAAACAACCTCCATTGCAGTTCTGGTTGCTCTCATTCTTGCCTTTTCCTCTTCGGGAGTGTTTGGTGGATAGTTAAGGGTTGTCTGAGTTAAATCCAAAGTAAAGAAGAACACCTCTTCCATTTTCTTATTAAAAGATGGGATGGTATGTGTGATTGGCACATCGGCAGCACTCATCTTGAGACTGCCACTCACTATCGAATCAGGGAGTGTTGAAAATTGAATATTAAAATTCCAACCCTCAAAATTGTACAATATTGGTGTATTCGGAGCAAGATTTCGAGGTGTTGTGTCAATGGATGGTTCAAAAATAGGGGTTGTTGCCTCGGCTAACTTTATCATCATGACCATGAGCAACATTAAGATTGTCGTTACGGATGGATTAAGATTGTTCCTCATTTTTGCTTTTTTTTTAAAACTCTTTCCAGACCAAGAAGAGTTCATTCCTTAATAGAAAAGGATACAGATCTTTGTGAATTTATGATTTTATTTAAAAATATTGGCTATTATCTGTATCATCATTGGCCATATAGGAAGGAATTGGAGCAGAGGAAATTATAGAAGTTTCCTCATCAGTTGCCATGATTGAGTATTCATCTTGAGAGGAGGTTGATGCCATCCATTCAGAGAGAGCATGTTGGAATTCCACTTGTTTTTCATTCAATTGTTGAGCCAAAATTTTACATTGATTTTCCATGATTGTTTTCTTCTTGATAATTTCATAGAATTGTGACTTTTCCTTTTCGAATTTGGCAAGAGAAACTTCAAATGACTTTTCTCTTTCTGAGAGTTCTTGTAAATGATTGTGAAGAGTGTCTGATTTCAATTTGAGAGAATTTTCAGTCTCTAACCTGATTGCGTTAAACTGTGTAGAAGCTTCTTCAAATGATTTTTCTCTTGTATCTAATTGGTACTTTAAAAATTTCAAATGTTGAGCTTGAAGTTCTTGTTGACCTTGCTTTTCATTCAATTCTTGTTCACGTTGTTTGATCAAAGCTTGGAAGGACTCCTTTTCTGTTGTGAAAGAAGCTTGTCTCAGTTCCAAATCAGCAAGTTTTTCATTGATAGATTCATCGAGAGAATTCAATTGTAATTGTCTTGTTTCAATATTATAGAGGTGGTGTTTCTTTTCTTGTTCAAATGATTGTTTGACACTTTCTAAATCAGCTTCTACTCTTACCCTCTTTTGTTCCAATTCGAGATCAAGTTGAGAAATTTCTTGATTTCTTCTTTCCATATCGAGTTCAAAATTATTTCTCAAAGTTTCAAATTCTGACCACTTATTTTGAACTTCCTGTTCTAATCTTTGCATGGTTTCGTAAAAATCTTGCTCCATTTGATTCAACTTGTTGGTTTCCTCGTCTTTTGTCAAGTTGTGTTGCTCAATTCTATTTTGGAGATCCTTTTCAGATTGCAATACTTGTTGACTTCTTTCATTCAATTCCTTTTCCATAGTTTCGATATTAGTTTTTTGGAAAGACAATTCTTCTAATTGTCTTGTCAACTTTTCTTGTTCTTGTTGTAATTTGATTTCCATCTCGTTCAATAAATATTCCCTAGATGAGACTTGTTGTTCTCTATTATACAATACTTCCTCTCTTATTTTAAATTCCTCTTCTCTGGCAAGGAATTTCTTGGTATCTTCTAATTGATCATTAGAAATTTGTTGTAATTGTTGTGAGAGTTCTTCAACCAACTTGTCATGTGAGAGTTTTTGTTGACAAGCTAATTCTTGTTGTTCCTTCAATTGATTTTCTAAATAATTCTTCTCAAGAGAAAGCATGTTAGCTCTTTCACTTTCCTTTGAAAGATTCTCATTCAACTTTTTAATCTTTTCTTCCAATTTGGAAATTGTACTAGATGACTCAACTGTTGGAATACTTGAATAATCAAATGGTGATGAATCCATAAAATCAGCTCCACCTCCACCCAACAAGAAACTATCATCATCTTGATCGTTATTACGATGATTATTAATCATTGGAGAAGCACTAAATGATCTATTCTCATAATCAGAGTCCATTTCAGAAACCATTCCAGGTGAGTGAACTCTATCAAAAGATCTAAACCTTTCAGGTGTAGAAATTCTTTCAAATCCAGATAAACCATCATCATTATCACCATGTTCAGAATCTGAATCTGAATCATTTTCATTCATATTACCAAATGATAATCTAGTTGGAGCAACACTTGTAGAATTATTAGAAGCAGGACTAGATACTGTTGGTTTCCTCTTCTTTTTAACTTGTTTGGATGTTCTAATTCTTGGAGTAATTTCATCTTCAGACAAAAGATTTTCTTCTGATGAAGATGAAGCAGATTTGTACTTTCTCTTTTGTTGTTTGTTTCTTTTTCTCTTATTGGCAACAGTTCTTGGTCTTTTATCTTCTTCTTCCTCTTCCGATGATGATGAAGAAGACAATTCAGCCAACTTGAGTAATTGTTCTCTATTGAAGGATTTATCCATTTGCTTTCTCTTTTTCTTATCAATTCTTGTCTTGAGAGAAGGAATGTTTCTACTAGGACTCAATCCCATTCTTCTAATGACCATGTTAGTAAATCTTTGTGGAGAAGCCACCCTAGGTAAACTATTTGAATTCTTCTTCTTATTGGAAAACATATTCTTAAACTTGTCGTATTGTTCTTGAAGTTTATCATTCACTTGTTGAGTTAATTCTTCTATTGGAAACTTTCTCTTCTTTCTATTTGAAATCCACACATAACCATCAGTGAGTTTAGAGTGAATTCTTAACAAGAGTTCCTTCTGTGCTTGTAATTCACTTGAAAAGGCTTTCTGATAACAAGCTCCTCCACTTGTATGAATTTTACCAGAGTGTGAGTCTTTGGTAGTAATACCGTGCCTAGATTGAAGATAGTATATAGTTGCTGTTGTGGTAGTGGAGGAGGAGAATAAATTATTGTTAGTGTCTGTTGATGCTGTTGTTGTATTACTTGATGTTGATTCATCAGAAGATGAAGAAGAATTATCATCGTCGTGATCGTGTTGGGAAATGATGCAAAATTGCCAATACTTGTTCTTTCCACTCATGTTTGTGGAAGTTTGAAAGACCAGAACACGAGAAAGTAAGCCATCCTTATCATTGGCTCTAATTGATGAAGTTGTTATTGATGATGAATTCATTGTTGTTGATGTAGAGTTTGTTAGCAGCATAATGTTCCTAGATTTAGATGTAAAATAATAATAATTATATGTTATTATGATGTGTTGTTTTTTAGTTAATTGTCAAACGTAATAATAGTTTAATAGTATTGATGATAGGTTGTTGTTTCCAGAGAAAGATGGAAGAGGATTTTCCACGGATAAGAGGAAATTTTCAAGAGTGGATCGAAAAATTCAGCAGCGAGGTGTTGATGTCATCTCTCCGTTAAGACTATTGTGTTTGGTATCACTATACAGTGGTATTAAAAGTGAATAATATAACATTTGTGTTCAAGTCATTTTCTTATTGTGATGAAGGGAAGAAGCAAACCGTTAGATATTTAAAATGGTTTTTAATTTAATTTAAATTTAATAAAAAATGGCAACGCTATCGATACCTTCCTAGGAAGGCTTTGGTTCCAACCTTTGTTCATTTCTGTTTCATTATTCCTATCATCTCATCAACAACAAGGTGCTCTTACAACAACAAGTACTACTGTATCTCAACCTTTTACTCGAAACAAACAACGGAAAGAAAGTAATTGCTGGCTTGACCAGATATCAATTCTATATATTTTCTCTCTCCTGGAAGAGAAAAAACATGTCTTTGCTCTCATCAATATTTCCAACAAGACAACGGTTTTCGTCCAATTAAACTAATGGTCGTCTTACTATGTAAAGTCAATAAATACTCTTGTAATTTTTCACTTTTCAATAGAGTGGGATAGCTCCAATTCTGACGGACAGTGCAATGTCTGATTGAAACCAACCAAAGTGTGCAATCAAGCACAACTCTGGACCCTACAAAAAATTGAGTTAATAGTAATTGCAACCCGTGGGCTGCTTTCAGCTATTAAACTGAAAAGAACAGATACTACACTCGATCAAAGCCAATTGGCCGAGAAAGATGTTTTCGAGAGAATTGGATAAGAGGTTGTATATGTGGAGCGATTCTGTATTACCTTGGATGCATGGTGTTGTGGTACTTGAATAAAAGTTTGAAAAGATCAAAAATTGAACAGGTAGCAAATGAATTATCCTTATAAAAAGCTAAATAAAAAGACTACAGCACCACAGGTTCCCAAGTTGTCTCCAACCTCAGTACTGATGTGGCTCGACGATGCTTAACTTCTCAAATCGGACGGGATGAGGTGCATTCATCGTGATATGGCCGTAGCCATTCATCACCTTAATTTACGATATTTAATCTATTAAGATGAGTGAGCTTTCTCGAACATAGAAGCGAGGGTGGATGAAAGAACCATTTTGTTCATCCTTATTGTTATCAATAACTTTAACACTTGGGGCATTATTTCCAACCATCCAAGATGATTACTTAATGATCTAACACTTTGAACTTTAGTAACCATATTTATAACTGCCTTTAAGTTGTGTAATGTAGAGTCGAATTCTACTAGATCGCTACTTGGAAGCAATGTCAATAGAAATTCAATTAATTAGATACGACAGGAAGCCTGCCAGGAATATGGCGACTGTCCCGCTACAGTCTTTGACTGTATGAACAGTGAAGGCAACGAAGACAGAATCTTGTTGGTTCAGGTTTTGTTTGAAGAAATAGATATGGTTGATCAACCTAGTATTTATTGAACTTTTGCCATGTTGAATTGTTTGATGCAAATTTTGGTTTCTCATATTCTGATCAATTCTAAATTGAAACTTCATCTATTTCAAAACATTTACAATTTACTACGTAATTAGTTACAAGTTAATTTACATCTTTTTCGATTTGGTAATCTTCTTAGTGGTGGCTGATTGTTGTTTAGCTCTTTTCAATTGAATTTTTCGAAGATCTTTTCACTGAAATTTCTTTACCATTTAAATTTGCAAGATGATAATCAATGTCTAGTTCCATTTATAATATTAGATGTATCAATATCAAATAATGGTAATCTTTTAGATAAATCAATCAACTCCAAATTTTGTACAACCTAGACATTCACTGTAAATATATTTAATTCTGTTGATCTAATGGAATACCTCCGAATCAAATAAATTGTCATATTCAACAGAATCGTTCCCTTTCGATAACATTCCTCCGTAACACTGTATTCAGGTTTTGTAATAATGTGCAAGTTGTTCATCCTCATATAAGCAATAGTTGTAATTTGTTCTATAATGAAATAAAATCCTATTTGAAATGAATATTTTGGGTTCCTATTAGCTTTGATAGCACAACTTGCATTCTTGCATGTTGCATGAAAGCATGTTAACATGTCCATGTTGTTTTTTTCGTTTTTGTAGTTCCAAAAGTTACAATGAGTTTCCAACTAATTATTTTAAGCAACACGATCAAGAGGGTTAAATGAGAACATTGGAAACTAATATCCTCCCTTTTCCATATCCAATTGTTGTTGTTGAGTTCTATTCGATAGTTAGATGATACTGAGGTGTTACCATTCCTCTTACTGACTTCTCAATAAGGTTGTTCCACAAATGTTAAACCAATTCAATTCTCAGAAAACCATTGAACTCTATTAAACTCCATTGTAAATATTGTAATCTTACTCAGTAAAAATTACTATAAATTCAAATTGACCATTCTTTATGATAAAGACAAAACAAAAAAACAATATTCAATATTGAATTGTATCTGAAAACTCCTCAACAAGCTTTATATCAAAATGACTCAACAAACTCACGAAGAATTATTCAATGAAAACATGTGTGGAAGTGGTTTGGCATTCAAGAAGGTGGTTCGTGAATTATTCAACAATCGTATTGTTCCTGCTACTAAGAATCTTCAACAAGTCAATTCAAAGATGATCATCTTGTTGGATTGGGCTTCTCTTGCTGCATTGCCAACTGAAACCAAATACAAGTATGGTGATAGATTTGCTGAAGATACCTTGTTGAATAATTGCATCAAATTCTTAACTGAAAGTCCAAGATTGAGATGAGTGAAATTGCCAAGGTTTTCATCAAGGATCCTGATTGTAAGGACGCTTTCATGGGATTGGAAAAATTGATTTTCAGAGTTGTCCACAATGCTGATAGTAAGGAATCTTCTGGTTTCCTTGGATATTCTTACAAGGTTAATGGTACTGATTTGGTTGTCACTTTGGATTGCAATTTGACTCTTATTATGAAGGTTGCTAATGAAAGACAAAGTCCATCTGCTGATTCTGAAGCTAAAAAGTTGATTAATGCTTTCTAATTTTGTAAAATGGCAGTACTTAATGAATCAATATTGAAAAACCAATAAAAACAAGCTTCCAATATTGTTGATATCAAACAAGTGTAAAATCTGCAAAAATATAAAAAGAAATAAAAGACTACAGCACCACAGGTTCCCAAGTTGTCTCCAACCTCAGTACTGATGTGGCTCTACGATGCTTAACTTCTCAAATCGGACGGGATGAGGTGCATTCATCGTGATATGGCCGTAGCCGTTGAAATCCTTAATTTCTGATATTTAAATAAAAACTATACCGAAAAAAAGCCAGTTTCAGCAACATGGATATAAATTGCATTTTCATTCAATGATTAATTTAATTAGAACACTGTTAGCCACCTTTAGCCTTAACAATCAAATGAAGATTGGAATCTTTTTGAATAACATTAGAATCCAACAAGGTGATTCCATCCTGCAATTCCTTACCAGCAAATATAATTCGTTGTTGATCTGGTGGAATATTTTCCTTATCTTGAATCTTTAATTTAACATTTCCAATAGTGTCATTCGATTCAACCTCCAAAGTGAGAATTTTACCAGTCAATGTCTTGACAAGTATTTGAACACCACCTCTCAATCCTGACACTAAATGCAGAGTTGAATCATTCTGAATATTGTAATCTGTTAGCATTCCATCATGTACTGGTTGACCTGCAAAGAAGAGTTTGTAATCTGTTAAAATTCCTTCCTTGTCTTGAACTTTGGATTTGATATTTTCTATTGTTTGGTTGATTGACTCTACTTGCAAAGTAATTGTCTTGCCTGTGAGAGTTTTAATAAAAATTTGCATCATTTTGTAAACTGTTCAATCTCTGCAAATACAATTAAGTTGAGTATTTTTTTTGACCTTTATTTTTAGAAAGTTCACTGTTACAATGTTAAGTTATCGAAATCTTACTCATGATGACACATTAATACAATAAATAGTTTCTAAAGAAGAACTTTCTTATTGAGATTCCGCATTAGAAATTCTTCAACAATTAATTGAAACTTTAAAATTCAAAAAAAAATGCAAAATTCCAAACAACCACTCACGGAGGAATATGTGATGAGCCAACCAGCACTCTCTATTGAAGAAATGTTGGAATTGCTAGCCACCAATCAAGAACTTTTCAAAAAGTGGGAAGAAAAATATTTAACTTCGGAATATGATGATTCTGAAGAGGAATTTGATGATGATAATTCCGAAGGTGCTGAAGAAGTAGAAGATTCAAATGAAAATTAGAATGAATGAATCAATTAAATAACAATGAAGAAATGATATTAAATTATAATTAGTAATACTAATAATATTATCTGTGAAAAGTCATGATAAAATCAAGTGTGGAAGGTTCAATTTGGAAATCTTTATTTGATGAATTTAATAATAATTTTAATATTTCAAATTTAATTTGGAATTCTTTTAAAGATATTTAAAGTATTCAAGGTTTAACATAATGCAAGGTTGTGCCCTTGGTAATGCTGTAATCCACCAAGTACCTTTCGTTTTCCAATGCCTTTCCTGCGAATATAAGTTTAATCATACTAACATCCCTTGAACGTTCGCACACTCGTTCCAAATCAATTGTCCTGTAAGAATAATCAATATATATATGGATGGGAATTGTTGCTTGACTCAACCAATTTCTAATAATCACCTCATATCCTCCTTCATCATCAACAACAAGCTCTGGAATTCTCTCAGAGTTTTCATTCTCTTTGTTTGCAATCTGCTCCAACAAGTTAATTCTCAACTCAATTTGTGATACATGAATTGAAATCCTTTCCAATTTTCCAAATTTGTCTAGATTTAATTGTTTCACATTTCTACAATGGCTAATTGATAGACTTTTTAGTTCATTAAAACTAATACTCTCCAATTGATCTTGTCTTAATCGATGCAAACCATTCAAGTTCAATTCTGTCAAACAAGCAAAGTTTTCAATTAAATATTTTACCAATAATTCACAAATCTTGTCCTGTCTCTCTAATTCCATCCTAAGCAAATCACTACTATTGATCAAGGCTTCATCATTCCATGAGCATCTCTCATAAGTCTTTATCATTACTCCATTACTAGTAACGGAATTAGCATTCACAATTTGATTAATTGCACGAGCAACCATCTTTTTCCTCGGCAAAGAAACACATCCCGACAAATCCAATCTTGTTATTCCATATTTCAAACCATCATGAATTGATCTTGATCGGCTCCTACAACAAGTCCAACTCTTAATATTTTCCATTATTAAATTCTCTTCATTAGATCTCTTATCAAAAGGTTCCAACATGGAAAATATCAGGGACCACACTCCATAAGAAAATTGTTGTTGTGCTGCCATTTTTTTATTGTATTAACACAAAATGGATGGAATTAGAACAAACTCCAATATTTAACATCTGCTTTTTTAAAAATTACAGTTTTGCTCCATCAAATCTTCTTTCATGATTCTCTATGTGGATCAATATCTTTCACCATTATTCTTACAATTTTCTGTTATTTTAGTTACGAATTAAGGTTACATTCTGTTAAACCAGAAGCGTCGATGGTTTAGTGGTAGAATACGGCGTTGCCATCGCCGTGACCCGGGTTCAATTCCCGGTCGACGCATCTGATAGAAATACATTTTTGCTTAAACCACGTATAGTTAAACTTTTATTATTTAACAGCATAAACTAGACATGTAAGGGCATCTTTTTCTAAAATATCTCTCTTTTATCTATCATATTGATGGAGAAAGATTCCACAGTTTTGACTTCATTTTTTTCCAATAAAAGAAATGCATGACTAGTTCCTTAACATACAGAGCTGTTTGAAGCAGGAATTGAATAAAATGGATCACACATTTTCCTGTTTCACTATTCATTGATTTAAATTCGAAAATTAAACTAAGGCAATTTAACCAAATCTAGAGGTTTTACTTTCAATATTATTCCGAAAAAAATGTCTGATAGGTGCGGTACTATTTTACAGCTACCCGTTGAATTATTACGTGATGAAATATTTGCTAAATATTTGGAATGTAATTTTATAATCACCAAATGTTCACTCGTTTGCAAAAATTGGTTGCAAATTTCAGCCGATTGTAAATTAATTATTGATGTGAAAAAGAACTGTCAAAGTTTTGCAAAATATTGTCAGAGTCAACGATTATTGAATATTGTTGGATTTAGCTCGACTGATAATTCATCTTTGGGAATTTTTGTAAAATATTGTACAGATTTTCAAAGATTGAAGAGTTTGAATTTGTTTTTTTGCCTGAAAGAATGTTTTGAGCACATTTCCAAGTTCACTAATTTAGAAATGCTATCTATTACTCAATCTGACTTTGAAAATGCACTTTGGATTGGAAATTTCACTCAATTGACCTATTTGAATTTGAATGGTAATTTTGTTGGAAGATCTGGATGTGAAAATATTCGAAACTGTCAATCAATAATGGAATTGAATCTTTCCAATAATGATTTACAAGATGATGCTTGTGTCTACCTCTCCGAATTGAAGAATTTGAAAATTTTGCTAGTTGAGAATAATGACATTGGTGAGAATGGTTGTGAATCTCTTTCTCGAATTGAAACTCTAACGAAACTGAATATTAGTCGAAATCATATTCATGATGATGGATTCAGTAATATTTGCAAATTGTCTAACTTGACGCATTTGCATGCATCTTGTTGTTTGATTGGATCTGTTTCAAATTTAACAAACTTGAACAAATTGATTGAATTAGAGCTGAGTGGAAATTTAATTGACAATGAAGGCGTGAAGGTAATTTCTGAAATGCAGAATTTGAGAATATTGAATTTGGTAAATAGTTATATGCATATTAGTGATGATGCAGTTCACTATCTGACCAAATTAGTTAACTTAGAGTTATTGGATTTAAGTGAAAATTCACTGAATATTGAAGATATTGATTGTTTAAAGAGTTTACCACGACTGAGAGAAGTAAAAATTCTAACTCGGCATAAGTATTTCTAATCAGATTATAATCATACAATACGTATTGCATGCTGTTATTAATTTACAAGAATGGTGGCATAATCACCATTAGAGGGATTCATAGCACAAATATAAATAGTAGTCTCATTCAATAATGGATGATTCTGTGGCGTGAAAAGTCCAGTCATCTTTTCAATGGTTGTCTGATCTTTTGGCATTCGTTTCAGTAAACTATTGGCCTTTTTCAATCTCTGACTACTGAACAATATGTTACAATTTTTCTTAATTTCCTCCAAACTCTTCCACCATTCTGCATTGGTCTGTATCAATGCTTTTGATTCCTTTAAATAGTACATTTTGGAAGTTTCATTATCTTGATCCAAATCACTCAATTTGAGGAGGTAGGCATCAGAGCTGAATGTTTCTCTATTTCTAGTAATGATAGCACCTTCTCCCTTATTAGCACCAGCTATAGTAATATAAACTGGAGCAATCAATTTGCTATTCTTCAAAATTTGTACAGCATGTGAAAATGTTGCACAATCTGTCAGTGTTTCTCTAACTAAGAATGAAATTGGCCATCCTCTGGTAATACTCTTGAGAATATTCTTTCCAAAATGTCCATCATCAGTACTTCTAAAATTAATAGAGACTGAAAATGCTCCAGGTCTACATCCTGTCAAAACTCCCAAATATCCAGCCCAACTTGATGCCTTGAAAAGAGTAGTTCCATTCTTTTTGAAATTCAATTGAACTGTATAAGATTTGAGAAAATCCATTGACCAATCCATAGTTCTCACATGAATTCTGATATTGTTAATTTCACCTTGTAAAAAAAACTAATACTTACGGAAATCCATCACTATTCTCCTTTACAATACTAGTACAACAAGCAAACAATTCATAACTCAATTGCATAAAAGCAAATAATCCAAGTGGCAAATTAGCCTGTTCAGCCACAGCTTTCAATTCTTGTGAATAATAAACAGCTCCAGAATTTGTAAAAACATTAAACAACATATTCAGAAAAGTTTTGGCAAACGTAGCTTTCCATCCACCTCCCAGCACTCCATCCATTTCCTCCTCCAAAAAGGCAATCAATGCAGGAAATTTATCTTTATAATCTTCAATAATAGCCTTCCATCTCTCCGATGCTGGTTTATCCAAATCAATTTCATATTCAGGAACATTTGTAAAGGCAAATATTGAGGGCTTTGTTGTAGGCTGATGATCATCACTCGTTTCGGAATCAATGTTTTCATCATCACCAAATAACTGATCAGAGATGATCATGGAAGAGAGGGGAGTAATATCTTGATCAACATCTCCAATTTCAATGACTTGGGAGACGAGAGGAATTTCTGGTTTTTTGTTGGAGGTTGTGGAAGAGGATGGTTGTTGAGACATTTTTTTTGGTTTATTGGAACAGTTCTTCTTGTGTTCACAAGTTCATCATCCATTATGTTTACAATAAATATTTCTAATTACTTTTTAATTGGTGAGGACAAGTTGATTCTTGGTACAGAATTAGTTTTTGGAACTCGTATTGATTTGTTAAGAGGTATTTTCTTAGTGATTTCATCACATCTGATTCTGAGAGGTTTGCAGTGCTGTAAGTTTGGAGCATGCAGTTCATCTTTTGATAGATCAAAAACAAGAACTGTTCCACCACTACATAGAATGTACACTGCTGGACTTTCAACATTCTGGCACCACCTAAGGGATACAAATCTTTCATTAAATCCTTTAAAGGTTCGCCTCACATCGTGAATGGTAATCTCAAGACGAATAGCATCAAATAGAGAGTAGAACTTATCACTGGTCAATCCATAGTTCTTTCCAGATTGTACATGATGATAGAGTGTATACTGATAGGAAGCGTCTGGTACCTTTGGAAATTCTGGCCCTTTCACCAACGAATCAGGAATGGAAGAAATTGATAAAAATGTATAATCAATTTCTCCTGAATATTTTACATAGAGGAACTTGTCCAATTTTCCAAGCTCGGTAATTTTGTTTGAAAGACTCACATTAATTGGAGCATCGAGGTTTTGAATTCTGTTTGGTGTGTTTTGGAAAGTTCTGAAAGAGTAATCCTTTTCACTATTCCACAAAATCAACAATTCTATTTTGGTTGAGTTCACTAAAATTTGGCATGTTTTCACAGTTAATCCTGATAGCCCCTCTGTGACCAGAGAAATCTCCTTACACTTGACAAATTTGAAATCTGATCTCAATTCTACAATTTTCAATTTTGACATGTGGGTTACAATGTAAACATTCGTTCCATAAAATTCTAAGGCAACAACTGTCTCACCCTTAATGTGAATGGACAAATCCTTTACCACTTTGAACAATTGGTCAGAGATGAAAATCTCCTTTTTTGTCCATGAAAGGTATCTATTTTCTGAAACTTTCAAAAATCCTTGTATCTTAGAGCTGTGTATTGGTTGGAATGTACACAATGGTTTACAAGGGCCACTAGGAGTTTCCTTTGAGAATAAAGAAAATGTTCCATCTTCGTGGCCAAAGATATACCTGGCAACTGATTTGTCATTCTTGCCTAATTGAAAGATATCAAAACTAGATGTAGTTAGGAGACTGTCTTTCACATTTAGTTCTGAGTTGTTATCTGCATAGTTCTGTGTAATGATATCAATATCTGAAAATTCTTCAGAATCACAAAAGGCCGATAATTGCAATTTTTGTTCTTGGAACTTTTTGTGTATTGGGAACTGAATGCAATCAGCAGAAGCAAGAGTGAATTCTGGCTGATGCGGATCTGTGTAGAAGGCAATAATAGAGCCATGATCTCCAACAATAAAGCAACAAGTTCCGTCCGTACTCCACTTCATCCTTAATAATTTTTGATCATTAATTTTGAAAACTCTCTTCATTACTAATAATAAGAGTTTGGAGTAACTGTTTTGATGAGTAGAGAACCATGAAATGCCACTCGAGTAAGCAAAACAGTAATTTTGATTTTCACAACAATGTATTCCTACAATGTCTGAGAATGTTGAAATGATAAAGGCAAGTTTTAAGAAACAACGTACCATTCACTTCAACTCCTGTATCAGTTTTAGTATTGACAGTGGAATACATTTTGATATTGTCAATAATGTTTGATGAAATCAATTTGGAAATATCAAACACACAAACTTTACGTTCATCTCCCTTACAGACAGTAGCAATCATTGTCTGTTGATCCGAACTAATATCTATTTCTGAAATTTTGCCTCCTCCCTCAAATTTTACCTGAGAGAATTTCCCTCCTCCATGGTTATTGTGCTTGGAAATTCTATTTCCTTCCCAAAGAATGTAATACTCATCAATACTTCCTCCCATGATCAATACTTGCTCCACACATAAGGCAGTATTCACTACCAATTCGTACTGTTTCACTAAATCCCCTGTGTCCAAACCAATCTCCAACACTCTTCCATTCTTTGTAAATATATGAATATTCCTCTCAACAACCAGAACTGTTGCTATTGAAAATCCCTTTACATGGTGCGACATGTCCAACTTTAAACAAACTTCACCTTCCCTTGAATCATTGAATAGTCCACTTTTAATCTCATGCTTACTCCACGAAACAAACGTATTCTCTCCAGGCACTCCAACAATTCCACAAATCTCCTCCGAATGCATCCTTCCACACCAAACATCATAACTCCTCTCCTCATACAAATAAGCCTCATTCATCACTGTATTATTATGAAAAATAGCAGTAATAATTCCATCCAAGTGACCAAAAAACAAAACATCAACCCTCTGCTTTTTAAGCGTTCCATCATCAGCAGAACCCTCCTCACTCAAAATACCTGAAAGCACTGACAAGGCCGTGATGGTGGAATGTTCTAACATTTTTTATTTTAAAAATTACCGTAAATTATTTTGGCGGTTCGTTTTTTTTCAGTTCGCTAAGTTCAAAAACGGTTATTAAGGAAAAACTTCCTTATTATCTTTTCTTTTTGCATATTTGTCAATTAATGTGTTTATAAGGAAGTTTGTTGCTTGAGGATTATTTTGATGTTAATTGAATACTTTTGACAGGAATCGAAACATTGTAATAGGTTTGAAATGTTCGATTACTAAAAGGGTTTTTTACTTGATCCAGTTAGAGATGATTGCATATTTACTATTTTCGGTAATTTATAATGTTGTTGAAATAAGAGACAAGATGCACCTACGACCATGTTGAATTAGACCAAAGAAGTGGTTTTTAAGATCTTGGTATTGAAATTAAACTCTTTGAAAAAAATTAGGGAGATTTATTCGAAACTTTTAGAAACTTAACTTTCTATTCTGAGAACCAAAAATCATAATAAATACCAATATCCAAAGATTTGACTTGATTATCTCTTCAAAAGCAGATTTGATAAAGATTCTATCTAGTCCTGTTTTTATCTCAGTTTCTCAAAGTTAATTCCTGTCAAAAGTACATCACCGAATGTCAAAATGTACATTACAGTAGAATTTTATTCTGAAGAGGGTACCTCTCTGCTTAATCGGTAGATCGTTTTGATTCTGTTTTAATAATTAAATAAAAAACCATCAAACAATTTAGACTTTTGACAGCAAAATGATTAAACGTTTTCTCAAACATAAAGATCTACCAGAACCAGAGGAAGATGCCAGCAAACTATCATCCCCCACTCTTCTAACTCCTAATCCTCCACTTGCTCAACTTCGAATGTCATACGAAAAGAAATCAAGTGATGACAACATGTCAGTAATCAGTGATTCTAATCGTTCCTCAATGTCAAATTTACATAGAAAATCCAGAAATCAATTAAATAGAGGTATTAGTTCACGATTTGTTGGAAATCTTCAAAGATCCAGAACTAAAGAATCTTTAGCAAGTGAACAATCAATGCGTAGCTCAATGTCATCTTTCACTCAGTCAACTTCGTCAGCTTCTTCTGGGATGGAAGGTCAGGATTTTGAAGATTTGTATCCAAGTACAAGAGTAGAAGATTATTTGGAATTGAATGTGCTAGTGAATCAACTTTATACATGTGGATTTCCAATATTAATATTCGATTCGAATTTGACAATCGAATATTTAAATAGAGAAGCTGAAGATTTATTTGGATTATTTACCTTCTCAATTATGGGTGAATATTTGAGTGAGGTGCTGTCAGCAGAATCGACAATGGATGTTCGAAGTTTAATTGAAAATTATATTGGAATGGATGAAGAAACTTTTGAAAATAATCCACAAATTCAAGCACTGAATAATGTGGCGAATGTGATTCTACCAATTTCTCTGATCACTCCGGAAGAAAAACAAAAGAGACGTGATGAATTAAAGAAATCTCGACAATTGACAGGAAAATCAGTGACAGAAAAACGAATTTTTCAAATGAAGACGAATTTGGTAGTCCTTAATAAGCTAAATCAAATTCACTTTGCCATGTATATGCAACCAATGAAGCAATCCCAAGAAGATGCTCAAAAACTTGCTTCGATTCAATTTGCCGAAACAATTACTGACCTTTCGGTTGTTCCAATTATTGGAATTAATGATAAGGGAACTGTTTTGATATTCAATAAGGCATCTACCACAACATTTCAATATCAGAGAAAAGAAATTGTTGGTAAGAATATCAAAATGTTGGTACCTTCCAAAATTAGAAATCTTCATGATGGCTATCTGAAACGAGTCGTAGATCAAGTACGTGCACTCAAAGCAGTCAATAAGAGTGGTAAATCTGTTCGAATTGAGCTCAGAGTTTCTGAAATAATCGATCCATTAACCTCAGTTTCGTCCTTTGTTGCTTTCATTCGTGATGCCAAACAAATGGTCACAAAAGAAGAACAAATGAACAAGATTACTGAAAAGATCTTTCCAAAAAATGTTGTACAACGTTTAACAATGGGTCAAACTGTATTCGATACCATTCCAACATGTTCACTCATGTATTGTGATATCGTTGGATTTACTGCACTTTCTAATGGAAAACCTCCATCAGAAATTGTGAAACTCTTGCATGAAATCTTCTCTGCATTCGATGATATTGTCTATGGAAAACAAGTTGAAGGATTGGAAAAGATTAAAACCATTGGAGATTGTTACTTTGTTGGTAGTGGATTATATAAGGAAAAGAAGAGGGGACCTCAAGTGCCAACCATCATTGACAGTTCGAATGGTTTGACACATGCTGATCACTGTGTTAAGGCAGGTATATTAATGATCAAGGAATTGAAATCAGTGATGGAAAAGAAGAAGGACATTGAGTGTGGAAGCATTCAGGTCAGAATTGGAATTCACACATCAAATAATAATCAAGTTTTTGCAGCAGTGGTTGGAAAGACAAAGAGAACTTATGATTTGTTTGGTCCTGAAGTGGCCACTACTCAATTGATTGAGGCAACTGGAAAACCAAATCAAGTTCACATCACTAGTGATACCTTCAATACTTTGCGAGCTCAGAATATTGTGGAAATGTTTGTTGAGTATTACAAGCAAGATGAGGAAGTATTGTTGGAAAAGAATGGCATTTGTGTGATTCCTAAACAAACATATATTACTGATTTGGATTAATAAATAAAACAATTGTTGGGTGGTTTAATTATTTACACATCTCAATTATTGCCATTCAGTAGTTTGCTTCAATGGAATGACTCTGTTTGGATTGATTTCCTTGAATTTAGTATTGTCCTTACTGGCATTACCACGAAGATCGTCCATATGTACACCAGTTGTGGTTGCCTTTTCAAATTCTGAAGAATCAATCTTTTTAGTTGAACCAACAAGAAGACCAGCACCACTAGTAACTCCTACAGGTGGCTTTTGACCTGTTGTGGAAGTGGAAGTGGTAGCAGTAGATGGTGGAGTACTCTTTGGAACTGTTGAAGTGGTGACTGGCTTGGTTGATGATGAAAGAGACATGTTGTTGAATTGGTTTGACAAACTATCATTATTACCCTCTTTTCTTGGAACTGATATTGTTGATGAAGCCATTGATGGAGTTCTAACTGGTTGGGATGGTTGTCTTGGTGGAACAGAAGTAGGAGGTTGATTAATGGTACTTGTTGAACCAAATGATGGAGGAGTTGACTTTGGAGGCATGCTTGCACTTCTTGATGGAGAAACAACATTAAGATTGGTTGGAGGTGGAGTTGGAATGTTATTACTTCTTGGTGAAGTGCCAACGTATGGATTGACAGGAGTAATAGTAGATTGAGGTGGTTGACTTGGAGTCATTGGAGTACCATATTGATTATTGTATCCCATAGGATTGATAGGCATGGATGGTTGGGATGGTTGTCTTGGACTAATATTTACATTGGTTGGTGTCATTCCATAGTTGTTGTTATTATTATTATTAACAGGTGGAGTTTGTGGTGGAGAGGAAATTTGTGGTCTACTGTTATTCATCATTGGTTGTTGATTGTTGTTTCCGTATTGCATTCCTTGTGGTTGACCATAACCCATATTGTTATTATAGTTATTGTTCATGTTGTTATATTGTTGTGGTTGTTGACCATAACCATAATTTTGATTCATCATACCATTATTGTTGTTCATCATTGGTTGTTGTTGATTCATCATGCCATTATTGTTGTATCCATAATTATTGTTATAACCATTGTTCATCATTGGTTGTTGTTGATTCATCATGTTATTATTGTTATAACCACCATAACCACCATTATTATTCATCATTTGATTGTTTCCATATGACATTCCTTGATTAAAGTTATTATTGTAATTATTATTATAATTATTATTTGGTGGATAATTATTGTTATTACCATATTGTGGTTGATTCATCATTTGTGGTTGACCATATTGTTGTTGTGGTGGTTGTTGATTCATCATTGGTTGTTGTTGTTGTGGTTGTTGCTTTGGTGGTTGATTAAAACTACTCATCACAGATTGTACAGGTTGAGAATCACTTCCACCAAATGAAATCAAATCATTATTCTTGTTACCACCACCATTACCATTACCAACCAACCACTAATATTTGATGATTGAATAATTGAAGCTGAATTGGTTGTCTTCAAATTAGCATATTGTGTAGTATTCAAACTAGCACCTCTTGTTCTAGTATCAATGCCTCCATTATTGTATTGAACGTTATTGTATGGCATTTGTTGATTATTATTATTTGATCCGATAGGAGTCGAAGATTGTTGATTTGTATTAGTAGTAGTGGTTGTATTGGAATTACCAACATTTCCAGGAGTAGAACCACCACCAGTCTTATAAAGTCTTTGAATATAAACCTTCTTGATGTGTTCTTTAGCCTTTTCTTTAAATTCCTTATCGGAGGCACATGTTTCAGGATTTGGACGAACAATTTGATCATAATTTCCACCATACCAAGCGGCTTTAACCTTTTGATTACCACCTTGTCTCATCTCTTCAACCTCTTCTTTAGTAACATTGGATAATCCAATTTGTTTTACTCCACGATGACCATATGTTCGATGTACATCGGCACACATCTCACAAATATAACTTTGAAATTGGAGAACAATGAAGGAGGTCTTCTTCTTGCTCATACAATCAACACACATCATATTGTCTCGGGAGGAGACGGACAATTCTCTGAGTGCTTCACGATATCTTTCTTCTAAGAGTTTTGAAGTCATTTTTTTTTAAATTGTTGTTAATTAATCAGATTGAAGGAGATTTTAGAGTTTCAATTTGAAGATTAAATAAGGTAAACTGTAATGTGGGATTGAACTAGGAACTATATATAGACGTTTAGAACTGTAGTAGTAGCAGAATGAAAAATCTTTTGTTTTTCAGTGACGTGTTTTTCCTTTTTGTAAAAACGAATGTGGCAGAATGCTGAGAGACAAGGTTTGCTTTGTCTTTCTTTTTTTTTTTGGCTTTTGATTTATTTTTGATGTGTTGAAGGTTGATTGATGAGAGAAATGCATAACGGAAATAAAGTGATGGACAGTTTACTTTTAATGCAATGTTACTTGTTGTGGAAGATGAACTACAGTTAGAAGTTTAATATTTGAATGTTTACAATATGTGAAATGGTAAATACGAAAGCTATTCAGTGCTTGAGAATCAATCCATTTCCTTGCCTATTCCAATCCTCCAACCATTTAGGATTAAACATGAAAACTTTTTCAATCCATTCTATACCACTCACTCAATATAAACGAAAATCTTAATTGCCTTCACTCCCAATAATCTCATCCACATGCAGAAGATAAAAAGTTCTCGTGTTGGGATATCGAGTACACTGGGATTTTGATATAGGAAAGAAGGTGAAGGACAAACCTGTTAGAAAATGAGATTGAATGTCAAATTTGGGATTTTTGATGGTTTGGATAGTGATTGGATTCCAATTGTTGTTCTTGGGAAAGTTCTTGTTGAAATTAGCTATGTCAAACAACTATTTCCAATAACTGTTACAAATGATAACGATACTAAACTTTACTCGAGGAAGAAACTATTTATTTTCTTTTTCTATTCGAAAGTACCTTCTTCTTTTCTTTAATTTGAATTTCAATCATGGCTTTGAATCTATGATGAGTATCCATCATTAGAATACTAACATCAGTTTCAATAGCATCGAATAAACTTTCAGGTAAACTTTCGTTTTCTCCCTTTGCAAAGAAATCCAAAAACTGTTTCACCTTATCTGCCAAATTCTTATTAATATTAATCGAATGATCACCTCTGACATCTAAATAATCAGTAAACACTTCGAATGCCAACTCAAACTTTTTCTTTTCAATTTCGAATAAATCCTTTTCGGTGAAACCTTTCTTATTCTTTTTCTTTTTCGAATCTGTTGTTTCGTTACTGGAGGTAGTCGTATCAGAAACCATATCTGAACCACTCAACTCATCATTATCATACAGAACTACTTGAATATCAAAACTTCTCTGACATAATTTTTTGTAATCGTTAATTTTTTCCAAAACTGCAAAATTTTCTTCGCTTCTTTCGAGTTTACAAAATTCTTTGAATTTTTCACAGAGAACTGAATCATTGATGGTATCTATTAAGAGATATTTTCTTACTTGTCGTAATTGCTTTTCCTTTGAGGTGTCTTTTGTCACTGAAAGACAAACGAAAACAATCATGATAGGAATGACAATTGCCATTGAAACTGCAATGACAACTAGAGAAGTAGTAGTGACAGCAAGGTCAGCATTAGCATATCCATCACTCACAGCCTGTGCATAGTCCAAAACTGGTTGAACTTCACTAGAATAACCTGTCAGTAAATAATTGTAATTATCCGAATCTAGAATAAACTTTGCGCCAGAATAATTGAAAGTTTTGACAAGCTCAAGAGCAGCAAGCTCTGACTTTACAGCTCTTCTCGACATGGTCTCCTCTCTACTGATATTCATTCTAATGTATGGAATAACTTCTGATGGCACAACTATATAAAGTGAATTAATAGATTTGTAATAATTATCAAAACAATTTTGATAGATATCAACATATTCTAAAGCAATAGTTCTGTTGTATTCACTGTCAGCTGCAATTCTACTTGCCATTTTCATCATTTCTCTATAGTAAGTTGCATCAGTTTGAAGCACGCCAATTCTCGAACTAATGTCAGTAACAACTGAATAGTTAAGTGCAATGATAACTATGAGAAATGTAAAGGCAGTCAAGCTGACGGCTAATGCTAACATGCTTGTCAACTTGAGACAGTTAAATTCCATAATACCACAACAGGTGTGAATTTTACATGCACGATTGTAGAATTTTGTGATTGAGGACGAAAGTGGAGTTTTTGTTGAGGATGGGTTGGACTTGGAAACTACAGATCGTTTACCAGACATGGAATTCTTCTTTGGAAGGGTTGGACTACCAGATGACTCGAAGAATGGGTCTTGAGAAGTTTGAGAAGTGAGTGTGGTTGGACTCGTCATCGTGGTTGGAGAAACTATACGAATCTGAGTTGGTTGTTGTGTGGAATTATCTTGAGTCATTTTTTGATGTTGTGGTTTGGTGATTCTTCTCGAGGGTTTTTTAAATGTTTTGTGCAAAGGTTATGGAGTGTTTTACAGGTGGAAGGTGTAGGTTGGTTTAGGTTGATTTCTCCCGAATTCGCAAGTCTTGCCAGGAATGTATTTTGGATCTTGGTGATTTTTGGCTAGAAAGACCGATTAAAACCCCAGAGTTTAGATGAGTTACTGATTTGTTAGACATACCGAACCTCACCAAAAGATGACAGCTGCTGAATAGATTTTCAGTCAACCAACGTTATTGTCGCATAAATAAGGAGGTGAACTAATTTGAGCATTTATTGCGTGGATGTTTGGCATAATTCAACATGATTACAATATTTAAGAGGAGCTATCGAGTTGACAAGAGAATTTAATTGTTGCATTTGGAAAGGTCTTTCAGTAATTACCAAGTTGTTGAATCTTGTGAACATTAAATTGCATCCAACATACTGTTAGAGATGACTTGATTTCATCAGTGATGCAAATCACACATTCACACCAATAATTGTAATGTGATGAAATATCAAGTTACTTCCATCAAGTAGTTTTATTGTTTGATTTGACCAATGGTGAGTAAATATTCTGTAGATTCCTTAACTTGAGTTTTGGTATCCACAAATGTCATTCCGAAAGCATCCTTAATTTTCTTATTGCTGAAATATAATGGTTTTCCTAGATTACTTTGCATATAGTCACGAACACCCTTAGGTTGAAAGATTGAACCCATCTTGGCAATGGCACACCCAAATTTACCTTCCATTGAACGAGATGGTAAATTCTTGACCCATTTGTGTGGAGGATTAGGGAATTGTTCTCTGAGAATATCGACTAATTGTTTCATTGTTGTCGATTCATCACAACATACAATGTATCGTTCCATGTTGGATGGAGTAAATCTAGTTCTATCATCCTTTTGATATTCCATGGCCAAGAGATGAGCTAGACCAACATCCTTTACATCCACAAAAACAAATCCAATAGCAAATAATGCAGGGAACCCACCATTAGCAAGCATAATAATTGATTCGTGACTAGTATTAACTTGCTTTTCAAATATTGGCTTTCCAATAACAGCAGCTGGACAAATTGTGACCAACTCTAAAAATCCCTTTCCATGTTTTTCTTCAGCTTCCTTCATTAAACTCCAAGCAGCCTTTTCAGCCATAACCTTAGAGAAAAAGTATGGATTCTTGTTCAAATTAGATACTTCATTCCAATCACCTTCATTGTAAATCTTATCTGGAAGTGGTGTATCAACAATAGATGCAATTGAAGAAGTGAGAATAATTCTCTGTAATCTATTTGGATCTTCATTGGATTGAGATTCTCTCAACTTGATACATTCTCCCAAGACATTTCTTGTTCCCTTAACAGCAGGATCAACTAAATCCAATTGAGGATCCTTGACAGTAATCTTGAAAGGAGAGGCAGTATGTTGAACGAATTGGCATCCCTTGATGGCCTCAGCAAAACTTCCTTCCTTCAACAAGTCAGATTCAAAGCAAATTAAATTTTCCTGCAAAATTTCCTCCGATAATTGTTTCTTCCCTTCTTGTGATTGATCATAGGCTAACAAGGCCTTGTACAATTCATCTCTTCCCTTTGGCATTGAACGTACAGTACCATGAACAATATATCCCTTCAACAACAATTGATAAACAAGATGAGAGGCAATAAATCCAGTCGCACCCGTAACACAAACCCTAACTCTTGAGCCAGCACAACTACCAGAATTTCCCTCATTGCTGGTAATAGCAGTAGTAATAGCTTGAGCTGATGAGTTTGGAATTTCTTCAATTTCGTCGGACATTTTGTTTGTTTTTTTTCAAAGTGATTCTTCCTCTCTCTTTGCTTCCTTGTTGTTTTGTATTACCAGTAAATTCTCCTGAAGTGTTGTTGTTGAAGTTGTTTACGGTTGGGGTACCTTTTTGCAAAGGATCAATTAATTGTTATACCCAACACAAGTGTTGTTGTTGTTGTTGATGATTTGTTGTTATTGGAGAACAAGAAACACCAAGAAATTATTAATTCAATGAATGTGTCTTCAATCATCATGTTTGAAGCATTTAAAAGGATCGGAGTCGGAGGTGGTAATGAGCAGAGATTTTACATGTTGATATTATGATGAATTGATTGTTATTCGAATTAATTATTTAATTATTTAATAATTGTTAAATCATGATGATTATGGACAATGAAGTGATCACCAGCAGTTGAGCGGCTAATTTTTTTGCTATTTTAAAAAATCTTTAAATATTATTTTAAAAAAATATTTAAATAATACAATATTATGTCTTAGCCATTGAATACATTCAATATTCAATGCTGAAGTAACATTCAAAAAGAGATGAAACTTTGTATCAGAGAGGAACAACCAGTAGCTGTATAACAACAAACCCTTTCCAACCGCCATAACGAAAAATGTTCCGTCTTCTAACACACTCAAATTGTGTAACATATTAAATAATCTGTGATGATGCAATAATCACGCTAATAATATAATATTATCAAAATCATATCAAAAAGAAAGTACCTACAATAGTACTTGCTTGTAATACACTTTTAAAAGTATCATATAATATTATTATCTGACTAAGGTGAATTTATTCATCATCATTCACAAATATTAATAAGAACATATTGAAAAAGTACTAGAAGCGAAATAATTAACATGGAACCAATCACAGTTGCTGTGAGAATTCGACCACCTAAATATGAGGAAATGGTCGGATTGAAGAAACAAAAGGTTGTCACCATCAGAAAGGATGAACATACTCTCCAAGTGAAGAGAGCTACCAAAACAATTGATAATAGAACCAAACATGTGGTTGATGAATTTAAATTTGATCATGTCTATGGTGGAAACACTCCACAATCGGTAATTTATCATGATTTGGGAAAGATCATTGTGGAGAATGCAGTGAGTGGTATCAATTGTTGTTTATTTGCATATGGACAAACATCGAGTGGTAAAACTCACACAATGCTTGGTGAAGATCTCTATGCTGCATTGGAAGAAGCTTCTGATAAACCTTCTGCAATTAAGGGAATGCTATTTGAGGCACTGAAACCACTCTTCTTTATCTTGCCATACGATTTAATTTATACGATTCATGAATTTATAGATTCTGACTTTTCACAACATGGTATCATTCCAAGAGTTGTTAAGGAAATATTTACATCTGTGAGGAGGTATTCCTATTTTCATGTTTCTTGTAGATTTGTAGAGATTTATAATGAGAAGGTTTGTGACTTGTTGGTCAGATCCAAGAATCGACAATATTACGACTATCACTCTAATATTGGTTACAAACATGTTAAAAATTGGAAGGATGCTAGAAAACTGATTACCAGTGGATTTTCCAATAGAAGTACTCGAGCAACAGCCATGAATGATGTCTCTTCAAGATCTCATGCAGTCTTTACAATTTCTTTAGAGTTTCAACCAGATGAAAATCATGCTACAATTATCAAATCTCAAATCAATCTTGTTGACTTGGCTGGTAGTGAAAAGACAGGTCAAATTGCCAAATGTAAAGATGAACGAGATGAAGGAACTGCAATTAATACCAGTTTACTTCATTTAGGACGAGTAATTAACAAATTGGCCGAACTCTCTGAACAAGTTTCCAAACTTAAGGACAAGAATGAAGCTAAAGAAAGGATCAAAAAAGCTCACGTTCCTTTCAGAGATTCAGTACTGACTAATATGCTTCAATCAACTCTTGGTGGTCGAGCCAAAACTATTATGGTAGCTACTTGCAGTCCAGTTGAGAAGAATGCAAGTGAGACCCTCTCCACTCTCAGATATGCTAGCAGAGCTTCGGTTATTAAATCAAGTTCTTCAAAGAATGATGAAGAGGGCTTTGATGAGCAATTGGTGGATCTACTCATGGATACAGTTACTCGTAGATTCCATTACAAGAAGGTCAAGTTCAGAGCTATTGAAAAGAAGATTTACAAAGGCAACAGGGCAGCTGCTCTTGCCTCACCTGAGTATCTCTCAGTTAAAGGAGAATTACTGGCATCATATAACAAGTTGGTGGTATTTTTGGATAATAAGGCAAGCATGTTTGGAAGAAAACAAGTTGGTGAAGTTATTGATAGAGTAAAGCTTAATGCTCTCAAACCACTTTTGGCAAAGGTAGGAATGGATCCATTTTATTTGATCTCTGTTTCAAAGGTTTATAGATTGCCTCTATTATCCTCTTATACTTGAGCTGTTTAATACATTTTGCAATTTCAAATCTTCAGATGAGAATGAAATTGTAGAAGGAACTTGTCGGTGTCACATCACCACAGTACGTGAGGTGATTTACGTTCACGAGAGTGTTCATCATTCAATCTTTTATTCCTCACTTTTGCACCATTCAAAGAAAGGATTTACAAAAGTGGAAACCAAATCTGCATGAATTCTGTCAAATTTACCATCAAAAGATAACTAGATGGATTATTATAGACCTCTTTTCAATAAATGACTTCAATCTAATGAAACCATTTAATCAACACCAATAATTTCCAACAAACCGGACAAGATTTCTTCCTCGTTTTTAACGATGATTTAAATCTCGTTGACATTTCATGCCCATTGAGATCAGATAGTTCACCTTTTCGATTTTTCTAAAATTTCCTTATCATTTCTCAACTTCAAAGACATGTGATTTAAACTTTTAGTATCTCTAAATGAAAGTAATACTATTTCTCTATCACTTCTAAATTTGTAAGGTAAATACTGTAACCAAAATCCATTTTGCTTTACACATCCAATGGCAATCTCTCTGTCATTCTTCAAAGAGGTTGTAAGATATTCAATGTCTATTTCATCTTTGAAAGCTTGAAGAACTTTTTCTCTGTTTGAATGGTCTTCAATTGATAATTTTGTAAGAGCTCCTTTACTTCTTGCCAAGTTGACTATTTCAATATCGTTTTTGAATTGAGCATCTACCAATTCAAGTACGTTTGGTCCAAAATGTTTTACAGCTTCCAACACTATTTCTCTATCAGCTCTAAACTGATTGCTTAAATGGGATAGTGCTCGTTGATGATATTTGACATATGTTAATGCTATTTCTCTGTCGTTCTTGAATTCAGGAGGTGCAAATTCGAAAAAATCATAGTCCCAATGTTCACCACGGAATTGAAGTGCATGAATAAAGGCTTCTCTTAATAATTCTTGAGGTACAAATTGTATAGCTGTGGTTGCTGATTTCACTGCTTCCCATACTATTTCTCTATCAAGTTTCAGTTCATTTGAGGCATGTTCCAAATTGTATCCATCACGTTTAACAGATTCCAATACGATATCTCTATCACTTTTGAGTATTTCTGGAATATATTTCAATATTGTCCCACTCTTACTACTATGGAATATTTTCTGAAGAAATTCAACATCATTTCTTAATCTGTCTGATACATGTCTAATTGCACGTCCATCAGAAGAAAGTGCCAATGCAACAATTTCCTCATCATCTTTCAAATTATCTGATGCATATTCTAACATTGATGGCTCCGATTGTATTGCCAAGATGGCTAGTTCTCTATCATTCCTCAATTCATCTGAAGTATCCCTGAATATGTATGGAGAAATTTTAACTGCATTGAGGAATATTTCTCTATCGTTTCTAATTTCTTGAGATGCTTTCCTTAGTATATACACATCCTCTAAAGATACTTTAAACATAAAATCTCTATCATTTGTAAATGAGTCCAATATTGCAATTTTACATGCATGCGAAAATGATTGCAAAGCTGCCAATATAATTTCCTTATTGCTCCGTAGTTCTATTGTTGTGAATGCGAGAGCTCGTCCATTTTGTTTGACAGCTGCCAACACAACATCAAAATCATTTCTCAATCGATCAGAAGCATATTCAAGAGCCTCTCCACAATGTTTTACAAGTGACATTACAAGTTCCTTATTATCTCTCAATTCCTCTGATGCCTCATTCAAAACATTAACATGTTCCAACAATTCACTCACAAATTCAAAATCATTCCTCAATTCTTCTGAAGCATACGAAAGTCCATTTCCTGTTTCTTTCACAGCATTCATTACAATTTCTCTGTCATTGTTAAATTCCTCAACAATAATGCCAATACTTGCATGTTTCATGGCCAAATCTCTATCGTTCAATAACCCAAAATCCTCTCTAAAACTACAAGCAACCCATTTGTACTCTATTATTTGATCGTAAATATACCTTTTATCTCGAATAACATCAATTTTTAATAAAAGTCCTTGAAGGAGGCAAATTGGATCGTTAATATCGAAATCATCATCATAATCATAATCATCATTATCGGAATTGTAATATTTCAAAATTGGTTTCATGATCAAGTCATATTTATATCGGAGAGGAATGGATTGTATTTTAGTGGAGAGTAAATTGGATGAAAAGTACAAATCTAGATGCAACACTACAGTGCAATGGTTCGTCTGATTGAGTTGTTGTTGCAACATTTTTTTGATTTGTGTTTACAATAAAAATTAATGGTGTGTAATGCAACATTGAATTTGATATAAGAAGAATTGAGAAACATTGTAGATTTTTTTTATAGATTCCCCACGAATGGTTCTTCCCTAAATCGCACTATTAACACCCAATACCCAATTCAAATTGTCATTGTAACTAAGTATCCACCAAATTACATCCAAAAATCATGCAAAATCATGTATGACCACCATTTCCTCTCATTCTCAATGGTCGGCCAAAATGCTATATTGTCTTTGTAAAATGTGGCTTGTTGTCTCTTGAACACTACCAATGCAACAGTAAATATTCCTATCATATCGGTATGACAATCACTGCTTCTCTCCATCGGTATTCATTTGATGAAGATTTGTGTGTGTTGGTTGCTTGTTGACTTCATAGTTTGTTGATAAAAAAAACACGAGTTGAGAAATTACTGCTGCTGGCGATTGCGTTTGTTGACTGACGACGATTTGTGTGTTTGTCTCTCTCTTTTCACCACCACTACCACCACCAAATTCTTTATCTCGCAACTTTATTATTGTTGCTCGGCGACGACAAGGTAGAATTCATTTGAGAAAAACTAACTTTACTCCGTATATATCTGATAGAAGAACGGAAAAGTTATTGTTATTGAATACTATATAGCTATATATTTCTTCATAGTATATTTTAGGAGAAATAGTTGTTATCTTGTTGTCATCATCTTTGTGTATTGTTATCTATTATTTCATAATAATAACAATAGAGGAATTAATTCCTTTGTACAAGAATTGTAGATTATATAGAAAATTTTGTTTCATAACTAGTAGTACCAATAGATTGTAGTAATTTTTCAAATTCTATTGCCCGAAAGCCTTCTAGATTATCTCTCACTGTTATTATTATTATTATTATATTATTAATTTCAAAACTCTTGTACTATTAGTAGTATTATTATTATTTGTTAATATTCTGTGCTTTTAGTATTATTATCATCATCATCAAACGAAGATAATTTCTGTAAAATGTCATCTACTACCAACAATAACGGACTGAATAACACAGTCAGAACTCTTCAATCCATCATTTCCAATAACACCAACAATGACCCATTTCATTCCACACCAAGCAATAACTTGTACAACAATAATGAACAAGCTGTAGGATGGGGTTCATCCAATGTACAATCATCTCCATCTAGAAACCAGGCACCAATTGGAAGTGAAATTAAACGTAATACCACACCAAATAATAATGAATATTTTGGTTTATCTATTCAGAGAGCTATTAGTGCTCCTCCTGCTATGGAATTGGACACTAACAATATATTTGCTACCCAATCACGTTATTCACACTTGTTTGGAGATATTCGTTGTGAATCTGATTATGCTAACTTTTATAATTCCTATTCAAACAAGGATAGCTTACCTACTCCAATTGAAGCTAATCCATTATTTCTCTCACCATATGAAATGTTCGGAAAACCAAAAGGAAATATGTATGGTCCTCCTAATGGTATGAATATGGGTGTTTCTTCATCAACAGCTCCAAACATGTATCCTTATCAACAAATGATGCCAAATAATTATCAAAATGCTTATGGTATGGAGAATGCTTGGGCAATGCAACAACAACAAGGTTTTCCTCCAGGAATGGACAATCAAAACATGATGCAACAACATATGCAGCAACATTACCCACCACAAGCACAACAACAACTTCCTACTCTAGAACAACAACGTTTATATCTTCAAAATAAGCAATTGGAAGAAGCTCTATCCAGACAACAACAACAATTAGAATTCTACGGACAACAAATTATGCAACAACAACAACAATTGATTCAACAACATAATCCTACTACTGGTTTTATTCAAAAACCAACACCAATGCCAACAGGAGGAAATTTCAATCAAGTTATACCTCCAAATCATTTACCAGTCAGTCCACAAAAGCAAGAGGTTGCTTCTCCTCCTATTGCTTTCAACACCATTGTTGCTAGTAATATGGGAGTTCCAGTTAATAACACTAGTGCTAAAACCATTGTTGCTTCAAATAATGTTGTGGAACAAGCTAATAGTGGTTCAAGTTCTCCAACTTCTGACTCTTCATCAGGTGCCTCCACTCCAACAATTTCCAACAAGAAGAAGGAAGGAAAGAAAAAGAAGGAAAAGGTTGATACCTCTGATGATGACGAAAAGAGTTCAAAGAAGTCTGCTTTTGGTAAATTAAGCTCAATGACTGATGCTGTCGGAAAGGTTTATAAATTAGCAAAGGATCAATATGGATGTAGATTCCTCCAAAAGAAGATTACTGATGGTGAACAAGGATTGCAAATGGTATTTGATGAAATTTATGATCATATTGTTGAATTAATGACAGATCCATTCGGAAATTATTTGTGTCAAAAATTGGTAGAACATTGTACCAATGAACATAAGACTCTCATTATTAGAGCAGTCTCTAAGGATCTCATCAATATTTCCATGAATATGCATGGTACCAGAGCTGTTCAAAAGTTGATTGAATGTCTCACCACTCAAGACCAAATTGGAGAAATTATTGAAGCTCTCAAGGATTCTGTTGTTCCTCTTATTAAGGATTTGAATGGCAACCACGTTATTCAACGTTGCCTTCAACAATTAATTCCAGAAAATAAGCAATTTATTTACAATGCTGTTGCTGGTAGATGTGTTGAAGTTGCTACTCACAAACACGGATGTTGTGTCTTGCAAAGATGTATTGATCATGCCGCTGAATCACAAAGAATGATGCTTATTAAGGAGGTTATTGCCAATGCTCATACACTTATTCAAAACCCATTTGGTAACTATGTTGTTCAATATGTACTTGATCTTGGTGATGATTCCATTAATGAAAAGATTATTGCTAGATTTTATGGTAGTATTGCTTCATTGTCTATCAACAAGTTCAGTTCCAACGTTATTGAAAAGTGTCTCAGAATTGGTAATGAAAATGTCAAGAATACCATGATTGAGGAAGTTCTTGAAGATAGAAATCTCTCAGCCCTCTTACAAGACTCATTCGGTAACTATGTTGTTCAAACAGCAATTTCCATCTCAGATGCCAATCAATTCGCAAGATTTAACAATAATGTTAAACCATACCTTCCAATCATTAAGAATGCTCCATACTATAAAAAGCTTGAAAGCAAGTTGAACAGAGTTCCAAAACCTGCCACCTCCTCCCCATCTCCAAAGCAAAGTAGCAAGAAGTAAAATTCAATTTTGTAATTTATTTTGTTTGCTATTTTTACTGTGGTGAAATAGATAAGGAAAAAGTAGTTGAAGTGATATTGTTCATTGATGTTTTCCAATATGTTTTCATTTCTTTTATTAATATCTCCCAAAAGTACCTGTTATTAGACGAATTTTGTTGAACTTCTTAACGTTTAGAAGGGTCATTTTCCCGCTTATTCGGTTACACCTTATATTTTCTAAAACTACAATAAAAAAAATTACGCAACTACATCGCTTGTTTCCTCCTGCCTACAATGAATAGATTCAAGTTGAACCAGTTGATTGGAGCAGGTGCCTACGGAAGCGTTGTTAGGGCAGTTAATAAAGAGACTGGAGAAGTGGTATGTACAATATTTATTTCCATCATCAATTAATTATTTGATAATATTGAATACATCCTCCGCTTCACCTCAATATTTTCCCTTCTCTTTCATCATCACAATATTTAATATTCAACAACAACAATAATAATAACAAAATAATAGGTTGCCATTAAGAAGATTAAGCGAACATACTCCAGTTGGGAAGAATGTATCAAATTAAAAGAAGTACAGGTTTGTTTCAACTCTTTGGAAGATTTTAAATTTGATCTTTTTAGACATTGAGAAAACTTAACCATCCGAATATTATTAAATTGAAAGAAGTCATTAGAGAAAATCAGGAATTGTATTTTGTCTTTGAATATATGGAGGCCAACCTCTATCAAGTGATGAAAGACAGAGACAAATTGTTTTCAGAATCCAAGATTAGAAATATTATTTATCAAGTCCTGCAGGGCTTGGCTTACATGCACAAAACTGGATACTTTCATCGTGATATGAAACCTGAAAATCTTCTTGTTCATAGAGATACTGTAAAGATTGCTGACTTTGGTCTTGCTAAGGAAACACGATCCAGACCACCATTTACCGAGTATGTTTCTACTAGATGGTACAGAGCACCTGAGGTTCTTATGAAATCACAAAACTACAACTCACCAATAGACATGTGGGCAGTAGGTGTTATTATGGCAGAGTTGTACACATTTAGGCCACTCTTCCCTGGTAGAAGTGAACCTGATGAAATTTTCAAAATTTGCTCAGTTCTAGGCACACCCACTAGGGATACATGGGAAGAAGGACTTAAATTAGCTGCTAGTATGGGAATGAAATTCCCTCAATTCGTTCCTACACCTTTGGAATCCATCATTCAAAATGCAAGTCAAGAAGCCATTCAGCTAATGACTGATTTGTTGAGTTATGATCCAATGAAAAGGCCAACAGCTAGTCAAGCTCTTCAATATCCCTTCTTCCAAGTTGGAATTTCAGCTCCAATACCTCTCAAGTATAACATTAATAGTAGAGTTCAATCTGGAAAGAGTAAGTATTGATTTTAATCTTGTTTTCCTTATTTTCAATAGAACAAACAAATAGTAATAATAATAGTAATACTGAAGATTCATCACCTCTAACAGGAAACAAAGGCCCTACCTTGAATGTACAATATCAGGGCGTAAAATCCTATCCTCCCTACCCTATTCAACAACCTCAACAACCAGTATATAATAATGCTTCAACACGATCTCCTGGTAATCCTCCTCCTGCTGGTACAGCCAATGGAGCAAAGCTGTTCTCTTACTCAAGGTATAAACCAGGAGTAAACTCTAGTGTGGACAAGTCCACTGTCAATTCTAAGGAAGCTCCTCGGGGGTCTTCTAGAGGAGGAAGTGGTTTGTCCCGAAAGAGGTTAATGCCTCGTAGAGCTGATAATCAGCAAACACCACCCTCTTCCCTTTATGATTTTAATAATGTACGGAAATAAATTGTTATTTCTCTCTCTTTGAATTTGGAGCAGTAATTTAAGGTTTATTAACCCTTTCCCAAAAAGAAATACTGGAATTTAGTCTAAATTAAAATCTTAAACAACTGATTGTATGTAACTACTTTCTAAAGAAGGAATCTCCCAAGTTTGGAAACAAATAATTATGGAAAAAAAACAATCTCGTTGCAATACATGAAAGTCAATTCTCAAGTGCATAATGAAAGCACTTTAAGTGCAGAGAATACTGATTCCTCCTCTTCTCTAGATCCACAATACATATACATCGACAAGAACATTGATGAAGAATTAATTTGTCCCATTTGTTTTCTTCCCTTTATCGATCCAACCTCACACGGATCTTGTGGCAGCACCTTCTGTTCCACCTGTGTTGAAAATGTTCATGATTGTCCAATTTGTAGAGGTGAAGATTTCAAGAAGAATTGTTCAAGTGTGAAGAGTATTAAAAACATGTTGGACAAATTGGAAGTTCAATGTCGAATGTGTAAGAATGTAGTCTTGAGGGGAGAATTGAAAATCCACCAGGAAAAGTATTGCTCCTTTCTGGAGGCGTATTTTGAGGCAGATGAATTAAAGAGGAAACTTGAGGGTGATTATCAAGAAAAACTCAAGAGTTTACAACAAGATTATCAAGAAAAATCAGATGAGTTGGAAAGGAAATATGAAGAATTGAATCAAAAGTTGACTAATGATACCAAAAAACTTGTTGAGGAAATTACAAGTGGTTTCAATGAAAAGAAAGAAACGTTGCTTCAAGAATGGAATCAAAGAAATGAAATATTGACTCAACAATTGGAATTGAAAGAGAAAAACTTTGCGAACCAAGTTTATACTAGAGAGAAATTGGAAAATTGCAACAAACCAATTCACTTAAATGTCAGAGGAACTGTCATTACAGTTGCATTGGGAGATTTCATTCATAATGACAGAGAATCTGACAATGTATTCAAGAAAATGTTCACAGGTGAATATCCATGTTATCAAACATCTTTTAATTCAAAATTCGATGCCCCAATTTATTTCATTGATTGTGATTTAACTGTATTTTATTCAATCCTTAATTGGCTAAAGTTTGGAATTGTGGAAAAGAGCATTGATGTTAAATTTAAACTATTGCTTGCTGGTTCATGTCAACAATTTGGCATTCAACACCTTCGAAAGAATTTACTTCAATATTCCAATCTACGTGGGACTGAATTTTGTGGATATGATTTCAGTGGAATGGATTTGAATTTGACACAATTTCAAGGAAGTAATCTGAAAGGGTGTGATTTCAATCATTGCACTTTATCAAACACCAATTTTCAAAATTGTGAATTGAGTGGTTGTAATTTTTCAAACAGTTTTATGAAATCTTGTGATTTCACTGGTTCAAATATTAGAGATTGCAACTTGGAAAATGTAAATTTGATGAATGGTAATGTATTCAATAATTGTACTATCAAGAATGCAGATTTGAGAGAAGTGACAGATTTATCTTCTTTTAAAGGAAGTAGTTTTGAACAAGTTGAATTTCAACTTTTAACTTCCTTAAAAGGAACAAGTAATGTTTTCACAAATATTAAGGGTTTCATTCCTTTCACTTTGATATCTAATATTATTAATGAAATTTATTATGATGATACGAATTCAGACACCATTTCAAAAGAATTGTATTCGAATACTGGCACTCAATTAGTTCCACAATTATTATACAGAGGATCAAGGGATGGTTTTAAAGCAATTGACTTTCATTCAAAGTGTGATAACCAAGGTGCAACTTTGACAATTATCAAATCGGCAGAGCACAATCAAATATTCGGTGGTTTTACTTCAAAATCATGGAAATCTCCTAAACAAAGAGAAGTTGTGGAAGATAGTTCAGCATTTATTTTCAAATTTGTAAAGGAATCAGGAGCACAATTTCATAAATTCAAGAGAAGTTCCTTTACATTGCGGAATGCTACCGTTTTACAAGAAGGTTTATTACCAACCTTTGGTGTTATGTTACTCAAACCAGGTCATGATTTTACAATTTCAAGTGATTGCAATTTAAACTACAATTCAAAATCCAATTTTGGTATAGCTTTTGAATTGCCAAAAGGATTCCAAGAAAGAAATGAACAAACTGAAAGTTATTTGGCTGGAAGTCACCAGTTCAGAGTTGAGGAAATTGAAGTTTTCAAAATAACTCTATAAGAATTGATTTAGCAAATTAATAAAGAAAGATTGAAATATATACAAGTTTATTGATTTTAATCATGTTGAAAAATTGGTAATGTACATTTAGGAGTTTGAATGTGAATCAATTATTTGACAGATTTGAGTTTGAAATTTGCATTCCCTTGTAAATCCATTATCACTGATCTCAAATTGTGAGCTGCCAAATCAGTGCTATTAGCAGAGTTTTTCAAATATTCATCAATTCTTTCAAGTGCTGTATCATACTCCTTATCGAAATAGTATTCACATGCTTGATTGTAAAACTTCCACTTGTCTTTCTTTTCCTTTTCTTCCAATTCATACATCCATTCTAAAGTTTTGAGAGAGAGGTGTTAAAATATTATTCACACGTATTTTGTAATACTTACCATCCATGTTCACTTGATTACAAAGACCCAATTCGTACAATGAATCTTCTTTGAAAATATTCGATTGTTTGTATCTGTCTGGAACTGTAAATACATTGTCGGCTAGTAATTGTTTAGTTTCAATGTATCTAAATTGATATTTGGTATCGACCTTTGATTTCAATTCAGATGCAAATAAAATTGAAATATCAAGTCTAATAGCAGTTTCTAATAACATTTCAATGTTTTGCTGAATGGATCCTTGAATTGAAAAGCTCATTGCTTGTTTAGTACCAATATTACCACATAGACACTCTTGTGTTGCAATTGCAATCTTTGTAGAAAAGTCAACTGTTAATTCTTGTTGATCTGCAAAGGCATTATTCTTCAAGAGTTTCACCTTTGTATAATCCTTTAGTTTTGTCGATAGAGTGTATGCAGTTTGAATGGATTTGAGTTCGTGAGCATTTTGATTGGTAGATGCATTGAATGTTATCAGTAAAGTTTCATTTTCAAATTTCCATGCTTGTCCATTACTTGGTTTGGAAATTTGCATAATCTGATCATATAAACCACCGAGTAAATCAACACTCACTTCAGGAGCTAGATCAACGAACCATCTATTAATGCCTTGCATACAGACACCAATGACTGAAATGGGTTTCTTCTCAAGGTGCAACGAGAACATATTCTTGGCAGATAATTGTTTCTTGACATCGAGTTTCGAATTTGTTGTTGGAGTTGTTATTGATCTACTGGACATGTCAACCTTAGTTTCACTATTGGAGTGGGCGAAACTCTTTGGTTCTTCCTTCTTGACAGATATTTGAGAAGCTGATTCTTGTACTATATCTTCATTATCATCCAATTTACTTAACAAATGAGGTGGAATGAATTGTCTGTAAAGTTTAATCTTGTCAACCATTCCAACGAAATGAGTTTGCAGAGTTTTGACCTCAGAGAACAAAGTCTTGTATAATTTCAAATCATCCAATTCCATATTCGATACATTTTGGAAAGCAGCTATCAAGTTTTTAAATGGTTTTACAATTTTGAAGGAGAAGAAGACTGCAATGATTATTCCCAAAAAGATGATAATTACAGACGCAACGATTGCACCGATAATGGCAATAAGCATAGATCCAATGTAATTCCATTGTGGTACACTCAATACGAATACCCTGAAAGTTTAGTGTTAAATAATATTGAGAAATATTTCAATTCAACTACTTACCAATCAATTCCTTCACTTGTACAAAGTCTCTTGACACTGGTGTATGTACCCTTTACAATAAGTGTAGTGTAATTGTTACACGGTAATGAATCAAATTTAGAACCCAGTTGATTAGCTACTTCAGTTCCAATCTCTGACACCTTTCCACCATAATTGTTAACTGTATATCTGATACTCGTACCATTGGTGAATTTCACAGTTGCCTTTGCAGGATTATCTGTTGAGAGCAGGTACGTTGTGTTTCTTTCAATGATAAAAGTGACACTTCCTGGAATTGAGGATGAAGCTTCCACTAGAAAACTGGTAATTTCTGCAGAACCAAACAAGACAGAAACATAATTACTAAAGGTTTTACCTGGAGGTATGTAACCTTGTGTAAAAGATGACACACAACCAAACAAAACCAATGAAGGATGGGTTGAATCAATAAATGAAGGACTAAACGCAAAACCACCTGGATTTGAAGCTGCTGCATTGTATAGAATTTGAATATTCTTGAATGGAGCTAAAGTCATTGTTGGAGTTGTTGAGTTTTTCTTGCAATAATCCAACTTTTGCCAATTTAAACATAACCAATATAATTGATTTTGACCATATGTAATATTCATGTACATTGGATTGTTTTTGTAACTGGAAATACCAAAGGCATCACCCATAGAAGAACCAACAAACATGGCATGTGCCCAATCTCCCAAATTCTTTCGTTCCATCTTGTACAATCTAAAGGTGTGATCTGCTATGAGAGTTTGATTCTTAAAATCAAATCCAGTGTACAATTGCGATTTCACAGACTCTGTCATTATCAACATGGTTTTCAAATAGTCTGTTGTGGCTGAATACATATTGTCGAAGTGTTCTTGTCTCACCGTATTACTCAATTCCTCAACTTGGACACTGAATGCTGAGACCCACACAGCCGATAATACCAAAACACAGAATAGGATTATTAAAGATGTCATGGCTACCAGTACTGTGTTGATGGAGCAACAACAATTGGTCGAGCTCTTCACAGTTTGTTCCTGTAGAAAATTATCTTCTTCATCGTAAACTTCATCCACTTCTAGAGGTGTCACTTGGGCCATTTTTTTCTTTTTGCTTGTGTGAGACACTTTTCTAGAAGATAAGTTACTGTGTGGTGGATGAGGATGCCACTATGAATAATTCCGTGAAACAAGGGCTAGTTTCTTTTAAGGCATTATGCCAGAATGAATTTTTCATTGAAAGTTTTCAAAATGGACTGTTCCTAATTACAGTTACTTACTGTACCTTATTTGTGTTAGAGTTGGAGTAAAATATGGCCCTTTCATCAGCTTATCCTCTTTCTAACGCACTCATTGTATTACAGTAGATTCACTACGCAACAACAATAGCTGTTTCAAAAGCTCAGTACTGATGATGTGGATAACTCGCAGGAGTTCATGATCGAATATCAGAAAGTAAGCACAGGATAACAGTTGGGGAGATTGCGGATTGTGTGATTGTTGCTGGTACTTGGCTAGTATGAACTTGATGCAACTACGAATGGTTTGTTTGATACTTTTTTGATTGGATCATAGGCTGATACTTTGTCCCTCACCTGAAAATGGTGAATTGCTTACTTTATTCTCTCTACAATGGCTTTTTAATTTGTATGCTTGATGGTGGCAAGATTAATTCTCCTTATAGAAATATAGAACATTACAGTAAGATTTTGCATCCTCTCATCCCTCACTGATTCTTGAGAACGAACTAATATATAACCCTCTTTCTTAACAAGATTAGTTTATGGATTGATTGCACCATGTTTAGGGTGTCAATTCAACCAACGAACAATTGCAGAATGGATTCAAAAACAAGTCAAACTCCAGAGTGTTGTTGCGTCAAATCAATTACCTAAGCAAGAATTTGTGCTAGTGTTGTTGTATTGTGTTAAGAAAACTATTTTTATTGAAGAGTATCAATTTTTCCTGTTTAATAACAGGAATACATTAATTCATTAATTTCAATACCCACCATTATTGCCCACGTTATTGAATATGGAATTATTGTTTAAAAATCAGAGTATTTGTCATGATAACCTTTTTTCTAATGCCGATTGCCCAAGTTGGCTCTCCAAATATTTCCACTTTTTTAACAATGTCAAAGGTTTCGTTACTTTCCTTTTCATCGTATCTGAAAATATACATGATTGTTGTTGGGCTGTTTACATTGACTTCAATCATATCGTCATCAGGAAATCTTTCTCTCACAATAATGTTGTACCCTAATGTGCTGTGATCCTTATTGCTGGTAGACTCAAAACCGTTTAGCAAATCCATTTCCTCCAATACTAATTCAGTATTTTCTGGACGTATAAATAAAACAGTATCATCTTCATCGCTTAAAAGATCTAAGTATTCATACACGACAGAGTAGATTGAATGTAAAACCAAGTTAACATCACTAGAAAATGATGGTCTCAAGACTTTTTCTCCTCTTTCATAAGCAGACTTGAATAGAGTTTTGGTTGTCCAATCAATGAAATGTTGCTTCTTATAGATAAAGTCATCGAGCATATCTGAAGGGACTAATAACTTTTCCTGGTCAGGAAGAACTCTGTTTAGACCGGCGAAATTCAACTCAGTTTCATCAATAAATCTACTTGAATACTTTCCTATTAGTATCTCCCTAACAAGCTCAATACTATTGCTGCTGTTATCTGGACCAATTAACCATAAATGTACACATTCCCATCTGTCATTCATACTTGCTCTTATTTGTTCAAACTCAATCATATTCTTAGTCTTTCCAAAGACCAACAGATTCATTTTTGAAGTTGCAAAATCAGAATCTTTCAAATAAATACTTCCATTACCAATAAGGAATACATAGATAAAGGATTGAGTTGGGTAACAATCATTTAAACAGGTTACATTACGCTTCATCTCTTCTAAAAGCTTTACAATTGGTGTTCCTATAACAACAATTTCTTTTTGGTATTTCTTTCTTGCTCCTTGTTTAATTTCTTGGGTTTGTTCTTCTTTTTGATCGTAATCAAAAGCGGTTGGGTTTGGTTAGGATTCAGAGTTGATTTATTTGGGTTATTTAAGAGATTACTTAGTGAAGATTCATATCATTGATTATATTTCTTATAATCTATTAATGATGTAAATTTGATGTTTTCATTTCTTATATTGATAGATATATAAAGGTCAGGTCAGTATCAACTTTTGAAATATGGACTTTGAGAAGTCAAATGTTTGGGACGTGAATCTACTCATTGGATTGTGTTGGTATTGCTAATAAAGGAACATTTCATTGATTTATTGATTATAACGGTCAAATTGAGTTGAATGGAAGTGAATCTAATGTTGATTGATCGTGGATGGGTAGTTTCGCCACGAAGTGGTGCAACTACCAACCTTTGTAGATTGAATCAGGTTGATTTGCATGCAATATGAATAAGTAACATTATCAAGAGAGTGATTATTCACCAATTCAATGATCAATATTCAA